GCTTCACGATGGACCCGGAGCGCGACCCTGCGCTTTCGCGGTGCGGCTCTGCCGCCGACAGCGGGCGCGACGACTTGCCCTCCTCCTCCTTCTTGGTCTGCGCCTCCCGGTACTGCGCGGCCGCGTACTCCACGGACGGCGGGAGCCGCATGGCGCACACCGAGCGCAGCAGCGCGCTGCCTTCCAGGTGCGCAGCGTCCCTTGGCTCGCATTCCTGCCTCAGGACAGCGACCTCGAGGTCCTTCTGCGCGCCAGACCGTAGTTAAGGGAGTGTTTGAGGGCGGGAGCTGCGCTTCGGGGCGGAGAGCGGCCGTGCGGGCGCGGGAGCGCGGGGGCGGTTGGTGTGGAGCTGAGGCCGTTGGGGCGCCGCACCTCGACCTTCTTCCCGCGCGGCTTGGCGAAGTTCGGGACGTATTGGGAGTTGTTGAAGTGGTGCGGCATGCCCGGGAGCCAGCGCTCGCGGCGGTGGCGAGGACGCACGACATGCTCCAGCTTCGCCCATGCCTGCTCCGCTGTGATTCCCAGGGTGTCGACCACGCTGCGGGCCTCATCGTGCTCCTCTTTGGTGTCCCCTGCGGTGGTGCGGCGGGCGAACGGGCCGTGTGTGACCGCGGCGGCGCGTGGGGAGCGACAGAACGCGCTGCGCAGTGCCCGGGGCGCTCGTGAGGGCGCTGTGGAGCACCAGAGCGGGCAACGCGCATCCGCTGCGACAGTCTGGGGGTGAGGGCTCGTCCTCGGTGCGTCGGCGTCGGCGTGCGACGGCAGGAGTGCGTACGGGAGGCCCGCTGCGATGCGTGTTGCACTGGCAGCGGCTGGTCGCGGGGCAACGAAGGGGATCCCGGCACGCTGTGGACGGCTCGTTGTTGTGTGATGGCGGTGCCGGGATGCTGGGCGCGTGCGTGCCCCGTGGAGCGAGGGCATGAGGTGGCGAGCAGTAGCATGCCTACCGCGCCCGCGTCCCGGCTGGGGCGCAGGAAGTCCGGACGACCCCGCTGAGCCGTTCGACGGTTATTCGAACGAGCGAGTGCGCGCGGCATATCGCGTGAAACGACCGTCTCGCGCCGCGTGGCCGTGTGGCACACGACCGTGCGGCTTCAGACGCGGCTCCGCACCTGCCGCGGAATCCCTTTGCGCCGGCGCCGCGTCCGCATCGTCCCACGCTACCGCCGCCATCCTGCCAGACCGCACCCGGCCCAATCGCGATCGCCCACGGCCGGCGTATCCCGCCCCGGCCCTCCACCAACAACACACCTGTCCCTCTGCGAGGCCTAAGTGCCGCACATCGTCGTCTAAACGGTCAGGTCGCTTCCAAGTTCGCGCCCCATGTACACGCCCTCCAGCTCTGACGTCCGCGCGCCGCGCGCGCAGGCCTCCAGGGCCCGGAAACGCCGCTGTAAGGCATGAAACGTCCCGGAGTCCTGAAGTCAGTCGCATTTCCGGCTCTGTGCCGGCGCGGGAAACCCGCGACGCCAGTTCCTGCGCAGGGAGACGATCGTGAGCGTCCGTGCCTGCGCCGTCGAGCTGTTTTCGCCTGTGCACCCGCGCAGGGCGGGGGGGAAAGCCTCCTCATGAGGTTCATCAGCGCCCCTGAGGGCAAACGTGGGTCTGTCTGGTGGCCTGGGGCGATCGCGGGGAACCTCACGGGACTGACCTTCCTCGCCGCTGTGTCCATCGCGTTCTACGAGCCGTCGCGGGACCTCCCGGGGCTATCGCACCTCTACCAGCTCTCCGACGTCCTGCTGGGCTCGGACGACAGCCTGCGCTGGCTGATGGGCGCGGCGATCGGCGCCCACGCCGTCGAGATGGCTGCCACGTCGTACGTGTGCAAGGCCGGCCAGCTGTCCCTGCCTGCCAGCGTGTACGTCGCCCTACTCACCCCGCCATCTCCGGCCTCCGCTCGCACGCGCCAGCCGCCACTCTGCTCCGCACGCCCTCCACGCGCATACACAGTTCATATGCTATCGCTCACGGTCCCCGAATTCGCGCGCTGGACTCGCGCTGCGCAGATCTCACACGCTGCCGTTGCCTCTGCATGCGTGCCGCAGGTGGTGGGTGGGCCAGACGGCCTTCATGGGGTACTTCGCGCTCCGAGAAGCCCGGTGGGCCGCGCGCCTCAGCATCCGGAAGCAGCGCGCAACAAAGAAGCAATGAGTGCATAACTGTTGCACTTGGACCTGTGTGTCTGTGTCTGTTAGGGCCGCGTTTGTGTGATATTGAATCAAAGAAGCAGTACGACGAGCTCGTCTCCTGGAGATCGCAGTGACCGAGCAAGGGAGGCCGCGCGCAGCGACAGCGTCGAGGCACCTGCACGCCAGAACAGTGGTAGGATAGTGCAACCATACTCGGCCGCTCCTGGCAGCACACGCTGAGCACAGTGCATGCATCTGCCGTCCCGCGGGTAGCACGGACCGCCCAGCGCACGAGAATCGCGAATCCGCCGCAGCCGACCGCGGCCGCAACAGGGATGCACGCCGGTGCTTGCACCGCCCCGTCTGCTCCGTCCCGCACGCCCGAGCAGCGCGCGTCCGTCGCGGCCGATGCGCGCATCCGCGGCAGGACGCCCAGACCGCTCGCGGCCCAAACAACCGGCAGTCTGACTCACAGTCAGTCACTGTAACACTCCCCCTGTTCAAATAACCCCCCCCACTTCTGGTCCTTGCGGCCCATGGCGGCGCGTGAGCAGGCCCCAGCGCACCCCGGAGGCGCACCACCCAACGCAGTCACCCGCGGCCCTCCGCCTGCGCAAGCCGCCGCTTCAGGTCCTTATTCTCCTCCTGCAGCCAGTACATGTTTTTCAACTCCAACTTCGCGACCTTCAGCTCGCCCTCCAGCGCCTCGACGCGCCTCCGCAGCGCCGCGTCGCCGCCCGCCGCGGCCGGGCCCGCGCCGGCAGCGTCCGCGTCTGCGCTGCTACCACTGGCCTCGGTGCGCTGCGCCGCGGCGACGAGGGCTTCGTCGCGCTGCTTCTTCAGCGCCTCGACGGCGCGGACGAGCGCGCGGATGATTTCTTGGGGACTTGCGCCTGACGGGAGCCGCACACCCCCGCCTGCGGCGGTGGCGCCTGCGCCGCCCGAGGGCGGGCGCGCGGCGCTCGGCGGCCGCTGCAGCGACTCCGCCGCGCTCGAGTGCGCCGCCGCAGCGCGCAGCCGGCTCGCGAAGGACCCCGACCCCGCCCGCTGCGCACGCCGCCCCCCCCCTGACTCCACGCTGTCCGTCCCGTCCTCAATACCCCCCCCCTCGTCGATCCCGCGCAGCGCGTCGCGCGCGATGTACTCCAGGATGACGCCACCGGGCTCCTGCGCGCCGGTGGACGCGGGCCGTTCCGCGGGCCCCTGCCCCGCCGCGTCATCATCCCTGCGGCGTGGCGGGGCAGCCGCGCCGTCGGCCGGGGCGCCGCAGAGCTCCGCGCGGTCGAGCGGGTCGCCGTCGAGGGTCTCGAGCGACGGAAGCGCGTTCGCGAGCGTCGCGGCGTAGTCGTCGGACGTCGCGCAGGGATTCCCTGCCAAGTCCAATTCCCTGACTCGTGTCAGACCCAGCAGCGGTATGACGACCTCGCCCTTGAGCCTGCGGAAACGGAGGGCGGCGTGCGGGTCGGCGTGGTCGCTGGGGCGCCCGCAGAGGGCCACCGCGGGGCCGCGATGCAGCGCGCAGTGTGTCTGTGGGCGACGCCGCCATCCTCACGCATGATATCGCACGTTTCACGGGCGGAGAGGGACACACGAAGCATGTTCGTGCTCTCGGGCTGCAAGCGCGCGCGCGCGCCAGCCTCAGCGCGGCGAGCGAGCGCAGGGATGGAGCAGTGCTGGGTAGCTTACTCCGGCACCGAGTTGCGCAGCAGGCACACCGTCTCGAGCCTCGTGAGCTTCGACAGCGGTCCCATGTCGCGGATGCGGTTGTTTGGGGCATATAGATGCGTCAGGGCCACGCAGTTCTCAATCCCTTGCAAAGACGTGAGTGCGTTGAACCCCACGTTGAGGCGTTCGAGCGCCCGGAGGTGCCCGAACGCGGACCCGAGCGTCGAAAGAAGGTTGTGCGACAGCGACAGGATCTTCAGCGCGACCAGGGAAGCCGCCAGCTCCTCGGGCACGCTGGCGATGCCGCGGTGGCGCAGGACCAGGTCTGTGACGCAGCGCAGGTCGTCCTCCCCCGACACCTCCAGCACGTCCTCCGCCGTCAACGCCGCCGGCGCGGCCGCCATCGGCCCGCACGCACCACCCACGCCGTGCCGCGCACGGCGTTGCCCGCACCTCGCGCCCTCGCCGCACGCACAGCGCGCCGCGCCGCCTCCTCGCCAGCCACCTACACGCTCTCTGCCGCGCCGTCCGCCGCAGCCGACACCAATGCTCTGCCACGGCCCCCACAGGGGTGGGTGGGGGGGTCTCTCTTCGCCGACAACAGCGTGTTATACCGGGCCCGCCACGCCGTCTGACGCGCGGGGCGCCCGCAGACAGCTCGCGCGCGGTGTCCGCTGCCGCCCTGCGTGCTCGGATCCGCGTTCGCGCCCTCGGAAGCGCAAAACACCACAGCGCGTGCACGCACGCAGTGTCGCGCTGTGGGAACGCGACGCGCGCGGGCTCGCAGCGCCCTGCGCGGCGCAGGCCTCCGTCTTTGCCCGCCTGTGCTGCCGCCGCGAGCGGCCGCCCCGCCGTCGCCCCCGAGCACCCGTGACGCGGAGACTGCATCATGGCGTAGGCTGACTGCAGGGCATGACGCTGAAGCTCCCCTCGCGTCGACACAGAGGCGTCCGGCTGGCCGTGGTTGCCGCGGGCCGGGACCGCGCAGGGCAATTCTGTTCGCGGCGCACCAGCGGCGGGACGTCTGACCGCTGTCCTAGCGCGACGAGCGCTCCAGAGTGTTGCTAGGCCCGGTCGTTCACGACCAGCTCGGGCTCCCAAGGGGAATCCGTCGCAAATTTTGCGAGTTCCTGACGTTCGCACGTCCCGGGCAGCTCGACGCGCGATGACGCCACCGCAGCGGGCCGTGGCGGGGGCCTGCGCACCCTGCCGTGCCACAGTTCGGCCCTCGCGGGCCGCTCGCCCGCACGCGGCGGCCTTCCGGCGGTCCTCCTGGCGCAGCCCACAGCAGACCAGCTTTCCAGCCGCGCCGCACGGCGCGAAACACTCCAGGTGCGACAAAACGCGACGCACCACCAACCGTGCCCTCGGGCACTCTCCGAGTCGCCGCGGCCTCAATACCCCCCCTCCGCGCACCGCGCGCCCCGCGGTCCGCGATCAGGCCCTACGGACGCCCCTAGCGAACGCTAAGTCGCGCTCCCCGCGCCCCAGCGGCACCCAGGGGCCGCGTCCAGCTAGCCAGCTGCCCAGGGCCATCCGTCAGCCTCCGCCTCTGCCGCTGCTTCCGCGCCCCCCGGGCGCAGTTTCCGGATGCGGATGCTCCGTGCCGTCGCGCGCGGATCGTCACACCCCGACGGCACGTCCTGCGCACGCCGCGGCGCGCCACGGTCCATGGCGCCCCCGAGGCCCTCGCGGTGGCGAATCCAGGGGCGGAGAAGCCTCCCGGGTCGCCGCGGCCGGTCGCTGAGTTACTGGATTGCGTTCCTGCGTGGTTTGCAGCCGCGGACCGGCGCCCCCCGCGGCGGAGCAGTTCGATGCCCCCAACTTGGACGGACCCGCGGGCAGCACGACGACGCTCCCGATCTTCCCGCTCGGTCTCGTGGCGCTTCCGTCGACGGTCACCCCTCTGCACATCTTCGAGGCCAGGTACGCGGGCGGGCCCGACCACGCGCGCGCCGGGACCGCGGCGAACCTTCCCTAGCATCACCCGCGCGCCGGAGATCGAGGGTTCGGGTCTGGCAGCTCACGAATAGGCCTGGAGTTCTCGTTTGCAGGTACCGCGTGCTCTTCTCGACGCTGATGGACGGCGCGGACGGCTTCGACATCGAGGAGGGGCTCGTCAGCGAGGACTCCCCGTTCAAGGGCACGCGGACCTTCGGAATGTGCCTTTCGATGGGAAACGGCAGCATGTGTGCTACGGGCACTAGCCTCTACATCGAGACCCACAGCAAGCTCCCGGACGGCCGCATGCTCATCGAAAACACCGGCGGACGCCGCTTCCGCGTCAAGGACGTCCTCCAGGTCCGCGCGCGCCGCACCCGCACACGGAAACACACGCCAGTGCCCCCAACGGCCTTTTTGTTCACCCGCTCTCGCGCGCTGGCGTGCTTTCTGGGGCGCAGGAGACGCCCGTGCTGGTGTGCGAGGTGGAGTGGATCGACGAGCCGCAGCCGGAGCCGTTCGACCCCGAGGCGGAGGAGCTGAGTCAGGAGGTGCTGCAGACGCTGCGCTCCGTGCTGGACCTGAACTGCAAGCTGAACCAGGCGGCCAGCGACGTGATGGACAAGCTGGAGCGCGAGGCTGCGGGCCGCGGGCCCGCGGAGGTGTCGTACCTCGCGGCGTCGATGTTTGCCGATGCGGTGCGTCGACAGCATCACCCCCCTAGCTTGCCACACGCGCGGTCGCAGGCCGCGCGAGGCATTGCCGCTTCAGAGCCTGACCTCGGATTTTCGCTCGCGCGCCGCTCGTCGGCGCTCGCGACCGCCAGCGACGCGGTCGCAGCGCACAGCTGCTCGGAACGCTCACGACGGTGCGCGGCCGTGTGCGTTCGTTGCGTGCAGCCGGCGGAGCAGCAGCAGCTGCTGGAGATGGACACGGCGATCGAGCGGCTCACGCGCGAGCGGGAGCTGCTGCAGGAGGCGGAGCGGTTCTTGTCGGCACAGGTGGCGTTGAAGGGGGTGTTTGGAGAGGGCTCGGAGGACCCCAGCGAGAGCTCGGGCACGCGCCGGCGCAGCGGGGGCTCGGAGGAGGAGGCCTAGGCGCTGCGGAGGAGAGGATGTGCGCCAGGCACGGCCCGCAACCGGGACGGCGGGCGCAAAGATTCGCAGCGCATGTGAGTTGCTCGCTTGTTGCGAAACGCGAAGCGGAAGCCCTGTCACGCCGCGGCGGAGGATACGAGAGGCGGACGCGGCGCTGGAACGCTGCGACTGGCCACCTGTGTTGACCACCAACAACCGCGGTGCAAGCCTACTGCTACTGCTGTAGCCTTCGGGGGCGCCCGATTACTCTACCGCTCATAGCGAGCGTGGGGACAATCGGCCTACCGACGCGACTCGGCCGCCAGCGCTGCGCCTCCGAAAGGCGCGATATGGACTGCAACGCCACGCCGCCTGGATAGATGGCACGCGACACATACGTTCTATATATCATCGTTCGAGCCTAGAGACACCGCTGAAACGCGCGTGGACCAGCCTCGCAGCCCGCTCGAGCCCCGCGATTCCCAGCGCGTCACATCCGCACGCCCGCCCTCAAACACCCCCAACGCCCCCCCCTACGAATAGATGGATGCCGTCTTGCTGCGCAGCCGCTGGATCTCGGCCTTGATCGCGTCGATCTCCTCGGCCTGCGTCTGCACGACCTCGATCATCTGCCGCCGCTCCGCGAGCTCCGCGCGCCGCTGCTGCACGTGGTCCGCGAACAGCTGCGTCTGCACCACCTTGAGCGTGCGGTCAATCGACCGCCGCTCCTCCAGCAGCCCCGCCATGTCCTGCAGCAGGTTCGTGTTCGCGAGCGTCAGCCGCGCCACGACCTGCTGCTGCTCCGCCACGCTGCGGTCCACCTCGGCCAGCTCTCGCGCGAACCTCCGCTCCTGCCGCTTTAGCTCCTCCTGCAGGTCCGGGTTCGCGCGCTGCCGCATCGCGCGGTCCAGGAGGTCGAGGTCGACGAGGGAGCCGAACTTGAGCACCTGGATCTCGTCGGCGCGCGCCCGGAGGTCCCCGATTTCCTTCTCGCGGCCGCCGAGCTCGCGCTGCAGCTGCACGTGGTCGCGCCGGAGCTGCCGCTGCTGCGCGCGCAGCTCCTGCTTCTCGCGCATGAGCTCGCCGATGCGCGCCTTGAGGCGCTCGCGGGCCGTCTGCGAGAAGACGAGCGCGTCGGAGAGATCCCGGGGGAGGTGTCCGTCGTCCAGGTACTCCACTTGATGCATCCGGAGAATCACGTTGGTCGACACCTCGTTCATTTCGCGCTGCTTCTGCCGCTCGAGGTCCATCATGTCCTCCTCGAGCGCCTGCAGGCTGCTCTCGATCATCCGCAGCCGCTTCGACTGCATCTCCCGTTCCTTGTTCACGGCCTCCACGCCCTTCGCGAGCTCCATCAGGACGTCCTCCTCGTCCAGGCGGCGCTCCCGCAGCTCGCAGACCTTCTCGTACAGCAGCTGCTCGCACCCGCTCGGGCACCCGTCCTCGTCCTCGTCGTCCGCGTCCGATCCGTAGTCGGAGCCCGCGTCGCTGTCCGAGGCCTCCGACCCCTCCGCCTCCTCGTCCGCGCCGCCCTTCGAGCGCTTCACGCGCTTCGTGAAGACCTTGTGGAGCTGCTCCCGGAACGGGTGCTTCTCGTTCACGAGCTCGCTGAACTCCTCCGCCACTGCCGCCTTGCGTTCGTTCACCGCGGCCACCTCCTCCGCCTTCTTCTCGAGCCGGGACTCGCACTCCTCGATCTTCCGGAGACCCTCCTCCTGCTCCGCGAGCTTCGCCTCGAGCTTCGCGCGCAGCTGGTCTTCGGACCGACCCAAGTCCCTCAGAATAGCCATCTCCTCGAGCATCACGAGCTGGCGGCCCTGCTGGTACTTCAGGTCGGCCTCCACGACGAACCGGCGCTCGCGCAGCCGCTGGACCTCCTCGTCGAACGACCGGACCATCCGCGCGATCTCCTCGCGCAGCAGCTCGCGGCGAATGCCCAGCCGAGCGCGGTCCACCTCCGCGCGCGCCTCCTGCAGCGCAGTGGGCTTGACCGCGTGCGCCGCCTCCGCGCCCGCGCGGGACTTCGCCGGCGGAGACCGGCCCTTCCCGCCGCCGTACGCCACGGGGCCGAAGCCGGCGTCCTTCGCGCGGCCCGTCGACGACTGCGGCGTCATCTTGCCGGGGGTGTTTTGGCCGGCGGCTCCGCCGCCGCCGCCGCCGCCGCCGCCGCCCGCGAAGCCGCCGAAGCCGCCGGCCTTGCTCTTCGCCGCGGCCTTCTCCTCGTCCGCGAGCGCCTTCTTGTGCGCGAGGATGTCCTCCTCCGTCACCACGAAGCGCCGCTCTGGCTGCTCGTCCGCCGCCATGCGAAGCGTCGGCACCGCCTCCTCCTCGCCGAGGACATGCGCGACCTCCGCGAGCTCCTCGTACTTGCGCGACAGCTCGCCCAGCAGCTTCAGCTTGCGGTCCCGCAGAGACAGGACGTCCTTGTTGAACGTCATTCGAAGATTGAATAGCGCCACCTCCAAGTCCAGCACCATCCGCCGCTTCTTCCGCGCATCGACCCGCAGGTGCTCCGGCGCGAGGTACCCCACGTCGGACTTGAGCTTCCAGTCCCCGAGCGTCCTCTCGGCCTCCTGGATCGCCGCCACGTCCACGGGGTTGTCCGTCTTGTCGTCGGGCTTCCGCGCCAGGAACGCCGCCCACTCCTGCTGCCGCTTCATGCGCGCCTGCCGCCGCTGCTCCTGCTTCGACGCCTGCTCCTGCCGCGCCCCGTCGTCCCCGCTGCCCTGGCTCTGCGCCCCCTGACTCAGCGCGTCAAAGTCCTTGAAACTCTTGGAGCGCTTCGCGCTTCCGATGCCGAACGACTGGTTCTTGTTCAGCGCGACGCGGCGCCGCTCGAGCAGCCCCTCGTCGTCGGCCGCCGACGCGTTCAGCTCGTCGGCCAGCCGCGCTGGGAGGCGGGTGGCGCGCAGCGTCGCCACCGCAGCCACCTCGTCGATCGCGCGGACCACGATGCGCTCGACCTCGAGCGACCCGAAGAACCGCTCGCGCAGCTTCTCCATCGACAGCCGGCACCGCTCGCTCTCCCACGCCAGCGCCTTCCGCGCGTCCCCGATGTCGCCCTCGATGCGCTCGCGCATCATGTCGCGCAACCGCCGGTCGATCGCCCAGGCCTCCTCGGGGAGCCGCTCGGGCGCCGGGAGCCGCGCGTCGGCCTCCTTGAGCGCCTTGAGCTTCCGGCGCAGGTCCTCGATGCGCTGCTTCACCGTCATCTTCTTCCGATCGGCCTCGGCGCGTATCGCGTCCTGCTCGGCCTTCTGCTGCGCCTCCTCGATGGTGTACGCGTCCGGGTCCTTGATCGGGTCCTTCACGGGCATCGGGTCCTCGCCGTACGTCGGGAGCGCGAGGTCCGTGCCCTCGCGCTGCACCGCGCCCTCGATGCCGCTGACGAGGTACGCCACGAGCGTTCCGTCGGCGCCGGCGACGAGGAGGTAGCTGTTGTCGAAGGAGAGCGTGAGCGCGGTGATGCCGCCCTCGACGAAGCTCTGCACGCTCGCCTGCCACATCGACGGGCCCTTGGGGGGAGTCCGGGGCAGTTCCCGGGGGGAGTCGAGCAGGCGCTGCAGGCGCACGAGCCCGTTCGAGAAGCCCTGCACGCAGAACATGCCGTCCTGCGAGAACGTGAGCGCCGTGCGGCGCGCGGGGCAGTTCGGCTTGCTCGGCGCCTCGTCGTAGCGTTCGGCGGGGATCCCCTTCTCCAGGAACGAACACGCAAACGTCGCCCCCGTCATCTTCGCGCCGAGCTGGATGAAGAACGCGTCGTTGTCGTCGCCGCGGAACACGAGGCGCTCCACGGGCCACGGCCCCGTGTCCTCGTCCTTGGGCGGCGCGCTCGTCGCGGTGCGCTCGAGCTGCGCGCCATCCTCGGGGGGGGAGTCCGCGCTGTTCTCCGGCTGGCTCGCGGCCTCGGCGTCGGCGTCGGGCTGCTCGGCGGCCTCGGCCGCGACGGGCTCGTACGGCTTGACGAAGACGAAGTCGTCGCGGGGGAGGAGTGACGTCAGGAAGGACTTCCCGGGGGTCTCGTGCAGCGCGGGGGGGGTGTAGCGGAAGACGTCGCCGTTCTCGCACCCGACGAGGAGCTTCGACGAGTCCGCCGACCACGCGACCGTCGTGACCTTGCTCTCGACCTGCACCATCGCCTGAGGCACGAGCAGAGAGTCCACCAGCTTGAAGAAAAACACCCCCCCGTCCGCGGCCGCCGTCACCAGCCGCAGCCCGTCCGGCGAGCACTTGACCTGCGTGATCGGCTTCGCGTGCGGCTTCTCGCACCCGACGAGCTTGAACCCGCCGCTCACGCGCCACAGTGCCCGCAGCACCCCGTCCGCGCCCCCAGCAAACAACAGCCGCCCGTCCGGGTCCACCGCGCGCGCGCACTGCTCGAGGCACGTCACCGGCGCCTCGAGCTTCATCGAGTGCGACATCGTCTTGTCGCGGTAGTCGTACACGCGCACGGTGCCGTCCACGCCGGCCGTCGCCACGAAATGCGACGCGGGACCCGCCGCCATCCCCACCACGCTGCCGCTGTGGAACCGCATCAGGTCCAGCACGCGCGGCGCCGCGGGCGGCTGCATGACCACGCGCAGCAGCCCGCCGGCCTCGTCCTGGATCAGCATGTGGTCGGCCTCCACCAGCAGCGACTTGATGCGCACGCCCTGCCGCACCAGCGTCTCGGTCAGCATCGGGACGCTCACGACGATGCCGTCCTCGGGGTCCGCCTCGTACAGCTCCTTGAAGGGCCACGTGCGAATGTACCCGTCCGCACCGGCCGTGAGGATCGCGTTGCTGCCCTTGTCGTGGTAGATGCACTCCACGGCGCCCGCGTGACAGGGCTTGTCGCCCTCCGCGCGAATGACCGCCTTGATGAGCCCGCCGTCCCACAGCAGCAGCTCGCCGTACTCCGACCCGGACAGCACCTTCCCGTCCGGCATCTCCACGTACCCGGCGATGTCGGAAATCTCGACTGCCCCAAACTTCCCAATTTGGCCCTGGAGCTTGAGGCCCGTGAACGTGTTGGCCATCTTCCAGAAGCGCACGTGGCCGATGCCGGACGTGTAGAGCAGCCCGTCGAAGTACCGCGAGAACGTCACGTTGAAGACCTCTTGCGAGAAGGCCTTGGAACGCAGTACCGTGGCCTCCGCGTCCCAGTTCCACAGCGTGAGCATGTAGTCCGGGCTGGACCCGACCGACGCGAGCATGTCGCCCTTCGGGTTGAACGCGAGCGCGTTGTACGCGCGCTCCGTCCCGCCGCGCAGCACGCGCTGCAGCTCCAGAGACGGGAACGCGTACACGTAAATGTTGGGGCTGCGCGTCAGCGACATCTCCGCGACGGCCAGCCACTTCTTCGACGGGTGCACCGCGAACGCGCCCACGCCCGCGCCGTCCAGGCTCGGCATGAAGCGCTGCTCCAGCGTCGTGTCCGACACGTTCAGGAAGACCAGCTCGGCGCCCGCCGCGCTGACGACGACGTCGTCCGAGACGTACGCGAGGTTGTTCCGGCGGTGCGCGTTGAGGCCGAGGACGCTGTGGACCTCGCACGTCGACGCCGGGAGGCTGATGCCCTCCTCGGGGGGCACTAGGAAGTCGTCGGGGTCGTAGCGGCCGCGCTGCGGGCCGTTGGCGCCGATCGGGGGCTGGTCGACCGCGAAGCCGTCGAGTGCGCCCTCGTCGACGTCGTCGTCGCTCTCGCGGTCCGCGCCGGGCGCGCCGGCGGACGCCTCCGGCGCAGGCGCGGGCGGCGCGTCGGGCGACGCTGGCGAGGCCGCGTCCGAGGCGGCTCTGACCTCCTCGGCGACGGTGCCGAGGGCCTCGCCCTCGGGCGCGACGTGCGGGTCGAGCTGGCGGTTCGAGACGACGCCCCCGCCGGCGAGAACCTCCTTGATTGACGCGATTTTCATCGGGCTGGGGTTCCCGTGCTCGTCCTCTTCGTCCAAATGCGGGTTTAGGGACCTGGAGGAGATCGCCCCGCCGCTCTCGAGGACCTTCTTGATCGAGGCGATCTTCTGCGGAAGCGGGAGGTCCTCGCGGTACGCATCCGCGACGGAAACGGGCTCCGGAGGTGGCGTTGCGGGACCTGCGAGTGCGTTGCGGCGAGCCTCGCGGTCGGCGCTGGGCTCATTCGACGGATTCGTTGCGCTCATGGCGGGAACGATGGCCTGGGCCGGCGGAACGGGCGGCTCACCCTCATCTTCGGCGGCAACGTCGTCCTCTTGCTCGGCGCCTGGACTGTCGGCCGCTGGGGGGGCCTCCTCCGCGGCTGGGACCTCCTGCGGCTCCTCCGCCGCGGGAGGGTCGCCTACTGGCTCGCCGGCGTCGGACATCTCGGCCTCCCTGCGCAGTCAGACACAGCGAACCGTGGTCTCGCTGGCGTTCAACACAGCCGGGCTCCCGCCCGGCGCACCGCGCCTGTGGCGCCAAACACGGCCGTTTCGGGCCGCTCCTGCGTAGCCAAGCCGTCTGAGATATCGCGAAACGGCCTGAGAGGGACTGGCCGGCACGGAGCGCTCCGCAGCTGCGCGGGAGGCCCCAGAAACGGGCCCGCCGGGTGCGGGCAGCCCGAACGCGGCGTTCCGCGGCCTTCGCGCGGTCGCTCCGGCCAGGACGAGGCTCGCAATGGTCGTGGCGAGCCTCCGGGGAAGGGCGGCGCTCGGTTGCGGCGCGCACGGCGCGCCCGGCGCGTTCACATGCAGGTCGGCCCGCGTCGCACCTGCCTTCGCCTGGGGAGGTGTGTTAGCCCTCAGCGGGTCCGTCTGGGGGTCCGAAGGAACGACAGCCCCCTAGAAACGCGCCAGGGATGCGCCGCGACCCTGCCAGGTCCGCGCTGGCCGCGTGCGGCCCGCACAAGCAGTGCTCGGGTGCACTGGCGGCCTATCTGGGGCCTGGGAACCCGAAACGTGACTCCCTTTCCCCTCCACGCTCTTCTAGGGGTACAGAGAGGACACTTGGCGCGACGGGGCGTCGCGCGGGGCGATAGCGGCGCTGGCGCGGCGGTGGAGGTGTCTCGGGGCTTCCTACCAGCACGAGTTGGTGGTGCGTGTGCGTCGTGACGTCGCTTCCTGGCCCGCGCCCGCTCGCGCTGTGTCGTAGTTGTACCGCGGGTCGCTGCGAGGCGTCGGAAGCAATGACGGTGTCGTCGTAGGACCCTGCAGAGTGACGGAGGTGCACTGAGCTGGCGCTGGGGCGCTGAGCGGGTGCGATGGAGGGAGAGCCCCGCTTCGACCTCAACCTCGGCCTGGTAGTGTGCTCGCAGCAGCCCGACGGGAAATCCTTGCTGTATCCGTTCGACGTCGTCGTCCCAACAGGCAAGCGTCCCCGCGGCACCGAGAGGCGCGCAAGGGAGGCTGCGTTCGCAAAAACCGTCCCAACTTGGTCGCGCCTGATTCATTCGCAGGCAAACAAGACGTCGAGCGGATACTCAGCATATTTCGAGGCATTCAGAGCCCCATCGGTAGGCAAGTACCTCTTCACTGCACTGCCACCCGCTCCAACGGCCTCCCCGCGCGCCCATCTCAGTCCGCTCTGCCTCCCACACGCATTTTATCTACCGTCCAGTCCCCTGCGCAGCTCAGTTCCCACGCGCTGTCCTCGCCAGGCTCTCAGGACGAGTAACAGCCTTCTACTGCACCTTGTGGGCCGCAGGTACCTGTTCCTGCGGAAGCTGTGCGAGGACGACGCGAACCTGCACTTCCGCGCCGTCGTGCAGCACGCCTCCGAGTTCCTGCCCTTCATTTACACCCCCACCGTCGGCGAGGCCTGCCAGCGGTACGACGCTCTACGCATCCGCACGCGCGGCCTCTACGTCACGCTCGAGCACCGCGGACGCATCGCACAGCGGCTCCGCGACTGGCCCGGCCGCAGCGTCCGCGTCATCGTCGTCACAGGTACTCCCCGCCACCTGGCGCTCAATTGCCACGGAACGGAAGTGAATATGGTATCTTGAGTCCTTTTCCATCGATTCCCTGTGTCTCGCGGCCCTCTCCGACCCGGCCTGGCCTTGGCTATATTTTTCTGCAGATGGGGAGCGGATTCTCGGCCTCGGAGACCTCGGGACGGGCGGCATGGGGATCAGCGAAGGCAAGATCACGCTTTATACCGCTGCGGCGGGGCTGTCGCCGCACGTGTGCATGCCGGTGTGTCTCGACGTCGGTACGGACAACGAGAAGCTTCTCGAGGACCCTGCGTACCGCGGGCTGCGGCGGAAGCGTCTCAGAGGTGCGGCGACGCAACGTAGCTGGCACCGTCGCCTGCCTCACGCAGCGCCTGGCTCGAGCATGCCCGGCGGCGGACGCGAGGGCTGCGTTGCTGGAGAGTGGCGTGGGAGCTGAGGCGGGGGGCTTTCACGGCTGACTGCAGGTCCTGAGTATGACGCATTCGTGGGGGAGTTTATGGCCGCGGTGCGCGCGTGGCAGCCGCACTGCCTGGTGCAGTTCGAGGATTTTGGCAACAAGAACGCGTTCCGCGTCCTCGAGCACCACCGCAACGCGCACTGCTGCTTCAACGACGACATCCAAGGAACGGCATGCATCACTCTTGCAGGCGAGCTGCCTCCGTCACTTGCGCGAAACACACCCCGTAATGCCCGCAGCTAAGCTTCCTTGCAATGTAGAAGCTCAGCTGCGCCGCGAAACGAGCTGTTCGACGCCGCGACGTTGCGTTTTCGCAGGATTGTTGTCAGCGTTACAAGTGACACCGAACCGGCGCCTCGGCGCGCAGCGGCTGCTGTTTTTCGGGGCCGGGGAGGCGGGGACCGGCATCGGCGAGCTCGTCTCGCGCGCGATCGCCGCCGAGGAAAACATCCCCCTGACTCATGCCAGGACCCTCTGCAGCTTCATGGACAGCAAGGGCCTCGTCACGCGCGCGCGGCGCGACGCCGGGGATCTCCAGGAGCACAAGCTCCCCTTCGCGCACGACGCGCCCGCCTGCACGGACCTCCTCGAGGCCGTGCGGCGCCTCAAGCCCACCGCGCTGGTGGGCGTGTCGACAATCGGCGGCGCCTTCACGCCAGAGGTCCTGCGCGCGATGGCGGAGATCAACGAACGCCCGATCGTGTTCCCGCTCTCGAACCCGACGCCGCTGGCGGAGTGCACGTTCGAGCAGGCGCTGGAGTGCACCGGCGGACGCGTGGTGTTCGCCAGTGGCTCGCCGTTCCCTCCTGTCGAGACGCGCGCCGCGAACGGCGCGGCGGCGCTGCGCTACGCCGCCCAGGCGAACAACGCGTATATATTCCCGGCGCTCGGGCACGCCGCGGTGCTCGCGCGAGCGGCGCGCATCACGGACGCAGCGTTGCTGGTGGCTGCGCGTGCGCTGGCGGAGCAGGCGTCGACTGAGATGGTGGAGCAGGGGCTGCTGTTTCCGCCGTTCGCGGGGATCCTCGAGGTGTCTGCGCGGATCGCGGAGGCGCTCGTGCGGCATTTCGTGGCCGAGGGCACTGGGGCGGTGCCGCCTGGGGTGCACGCGCGCAGAGACGGCGACGTGGCGCGGTTCGTGCGGTCGGCGATGTGGTTCCCGGCGCGGCAGATGATCGAACGCGATAGGGCGCGCCTGTGAGCTGCGATTGCGATCACGCAGTTGAGACGACGAGATTTTCCACGTTGATTCTCCATTTCCCAATTGATATTACCTCGCCGTTCTATATCTGAGTGTCTCATTCCGTCGGACGACCAATCAGACACTCATCGTGCGAGTGTTCCGGGAACCGGCGGACGGCCACTGCCGCGGTGACCACGTGACAGCGAAACGTTCTCGCGCGTCACACGCGGAACGTGGGCCGTTTCCCGAGGCCCATCGGGCCGCCCTTGAGCCGGCTGCGACGGCTACGCGCGTACCGGTGCACCGCAGCCATGCCGATCGCCGAAACAGACAAGCCGAACCAAGTGAACGCGTATCCCAAATGGTCGACTGGCATCACCGCGTGGCTCTCGAATGCCTCCGGCGCGCGCACGACGGGCAGCGACATGTCGCCTCGCTCCCCCCCGGCGTCCCGCCCCGTCCGACCCTTCAACGCCTGCAAACAGACGCCAGCGAGAGCACACCAACTCATCACATGGGCAGGAACCAGGAGCGCCAGCGGCGCGCGCACGCGGCGAAGCACGAGTTGCAGCCTCACTGCGACCCTGCAGCCATCTGTCGGACAGCTCCGTCGCGACAAACCGGGATCAGAGCCAGTGCTCGTCGCTGCAAGACCGAAAAAGCCATCTATGATTAATTAATTCAACTTGTGTTGTGCAATGATCAAGAAGAACAAGACCTCACCCCCATGCCGGTGTTCGGCCGCTCCTCCACGTACCCGCCCTCCCGCACCACCTCCACCATCGGCGTCGACTCGTGCAGCCCCATCGCCTGCGCCAGCAACGGCACATCAATATAGTGCCACTGCTGCGCTCCCACGTCGTTGGCGACCCCGGAACGCCCCGGGTCCTCGCTGCCGCGCACGAGCCCCTCCACCTCGACGACGCCCGCGGGCTGCCACTCCCCCTTGCGAGCGGGGTCCTGAGCCACGTCAGCGGGAACCCACCCTCTGTTGACTAGCAAGCTGACACCACTGTCCGCGTCGTCCATCGCAGCGACGACGGTGTACCCGATGCGCGTGCGGCCGTCGATCGTGCGCGGACGCGGCCCGACGAGGGCCGTGGTGTCGTGTCGGACGCGCCCGCGGACCCTGACGCGGGTGAACTCCTCCGGGGTACTGTCCAGGTCCTGCGTCAGGGTCGGCGGCCGGCGGACGGGCGGTGGCGCGGAGCGCGCGCGGTGGGGACGCGCAGGGTGCAATACAACGTCGCTGCGATGCCCGGCCTGGTCAGCTTGACTGTGCTGAGAGGGTTGGTGGCGAGCGCGTCAGCCATCGCGTGCGGTGCGGCGCCAAGATCGCCACGGTCCGCGGGCCCGAAGGCGCTAGCTGCGTCCGACGTGCGCGCCGACGGCGCGCTCGCGGAGACCAGGCCGGGCGTCGCCGCGACGGTCTTCTGTTGGGCGCTGCGTGTGGGCGCTGTCCGCGTGGACATCCACGGTGCCGCCCCGACGCAGCCGTGGCGCGCAGGGCATCGTGGCGAGATTGTTATGTCGGTGTGAGGAACGGTTGATATCGTTTTCGTATTTGCTGTTGAACACTTGCGTACCTTGAGAGAGACCGCCGGCTGGTGGATGCGGGCGGCGACGTTCCTGAGCAGCTCCTCCTTCCAGCCCTTGCGCTGCAGCTGCCACGTGCCCAGACCCGCGCACACCACCGCTGGGAACCCAAGCAGCCAGATAGGAATTCCTCGATTGCTGGCTGCCCTTCCTTGTGTCTCAGCGGCAGCCGCAGCCGTCGCGAACCGCAGCCCCTGGGCCCCGCGCGCGAACGGTGAGTGCGAGACGGCTCCAGCGTCCGCCCCGCAGCGCCCCGGCAGGGCCCGCTGCGCGAAGATGCCCCCGGAAAAGGGGGCGGCCTCCGCCAGAGGCCTGCACGCGGTGCCTGCGGCGCGCACAAGGCGCTGCATCGCGGCTGTGCGTTACGCGTGAGCAGAGGACTTGCTTCCGTCGCGCTGGCGTGGGGGGAGTGCGCGCAGGGGGTGGTATTGCAGCACGGAGGCTGGTGGGCCCCGGCGGGCTAGGTTGTGGTCTGCCACGTCAGCCTGGGTTGTTGTTCCGGTGGAGTGACGACTCAGGGCGAGACTCTGCGGTCATGTGGCGGGCGGCGGTGCGTCACCGGAGGGGTTCAGGGCCGCACGCCTGCGGGGGACGTGGAGGAGCTTGTGGGTGTCGTACTGAGCTCTGTCAGCCACCGCAGACTCCCCCTCGTCCGCCGCCCCGTGTCTTTGGTCGCCGAAGCACGCCCAGACCTGACTCGTGACATCCAGATAGGATTCGGGCCAGCTCGTGATCGCAGGGTGCACTAGCGAGCACGCAAGTCGTCCATCCCCGCCAGACAAGCACCGCGCCCTCGCGTTCGCGCGTCACGCAGCGCGCGGTCCGCTCCGCGATGCTGATGCGCGCTAGCTTCGCGCCAGGGCGCCCGTGCGGCGCATCGCTCGGCAGGCCGCGGAACGGACACGCACGGAGACACAGCCCAGTGCTGGTGGTGAGTTCCCGTTCACGCTCTCGAACCACTCACACTCCATCTTTCCTCCTCCCGGCCGCTCGCACCGTCTCTACGACCCCGCACGGCCCCCGCAAGCGCATCTTCGTGTCCCAGCGCGTGCGCCCGCACCCTAGCACGAGCGACCCACCCATCTGCCGTTTTCGCAGCGCGCGGACCCCGGCGCGGCGCCCAGCGGCGCCGCGCTGCAGCAGTGGGCCCAGAACAACAGCATCGAGCTCGACGCAGCCTGCTCCATCGACGAGGCTACGGTTGCGGGCCTCCCTCTCTGTCTCCGGGCCTCAGGCGCGATCAAACGGGGCACCGTCGTCGTGACCGTGCCCGAGGACGCCTGGCTGAAGGCCCCTGCATCCTCCGGGGACCTCCCTCCGTGGGCCGCGCTCGCCCTCGAGCTCGCACGCGGCCGCGGGGACCCAACCGGCGCCGCGGCGTTCCTCCCAGAGACCCCCGCGTCGCCCCTCGGGTGGCCCGCGGAGGACCTCGAGCTCCTGCAGGGCTCCCAGGCGGCGTCCACCCTGGCGAACTACCGCGCGGCGGTGCTCGAGCGGCTCCCGAGCGATGCTGGTGTGTCGCAGGAGGACTGCCTGTGGGCCGTGGCGACGGTGCGGGAACGCATGCACGAGCCCCTGATCGGTACGCACGCACCAGCCACGCACACGCGGAGCCGCATGCTCCCCGCGGAACTCCACGAGCGCTGCGCCGCAGCGGCCTGCGGGACCGAGGCTCAGGACGAGAGCGCGAAACGCGTTGGTTGGGTCCGGAACGGTGCTCGCAGGGTCGGAGCTGGCCGTGGTGCCGGTGGCGGACCTCGTGGCGCACTCGCGCCGTCCGAACGTGAAGTGGGAGATTCGCGCGACGGGGTTGTTTGGGCAGGGTCCGCGGAACCTCTGTGTGGTTGCGACGCGCGACGTGGCGCCGGGAGAGGAGCTGAGCCTCGACTACGGGCCCGAGAAGCTCGAGGGGCAGATCGCGCTGGACCACGGGGCGTATGACGCGGTCGCGGGGCGCGCGGGGGTGTCGCTGACGCTCGAGCTGCCCGGCGACGACAAGATGTTCGACGACAAGATCGACACGCTCGAAATCAACGGGTGCGAGCGCGCGCGGCGGTCTGCCGGCGCCCAGCGCCCTCTCACGTGCCATGCTCTTTTGCCAAAGATCACGCATGTGTCTCTGCCGGACCGTCACGCACCTCGCCTTGTCGGTTTACCATCCAACACCAGACACCGGTCGCGCATGCCTCTTCCAGGCCCGGCGTCTGACTGTCCGACCGCCTAGCCAACCGCGCGCCCCGCACACCCCCCCGCGCAGCTTCGACCAGGCCGTGGCGTTCGAGCTGCTCCCCCGCCAGCCGCCGAGCGAGGACATGCTCGCCTTCCTCCGCCTTGTCTCGCTCTCCGGCCCCGACGCCTTCCTGATGGAGCCCATCTTCCGTAATGAGGCGTGGGCGCACATGTCGCTGCCAGTCAGCGAAGAGAACGAGGCCGCGGTGTGCGAGGCCATGGGCGCCGCGCTGGACGCGGCGCTCGAGGGGATCGGCTCGACGCCCGACGAGGAGTCGGCGATCATCCGCGCTACGGGCGGGCGCGGGCGGGCTGGACTCGCCGCGGCGATTCGGCTCGGAGAGCTGGTGCGTCGCGCAGATGTGGCTGTCCTAGCGCATTGAACGCGCTGCAGTGCACCGGCGCTGTCCGTCGGCTGAGCCGGTTTCGTTGTGCGCGACGCGCGCGTTGCTGCTGGCGAGATGCAGCGCCGTTCCCGCCGGCGTAGCGACGTTCGCGCGCGTGCAGCGGCTATTCAGAATCGTTGCCGCGTGCGGCGCGTCCGAGGCTCTGCCACGCCGGCCCTCTCGCGCCGTGTGCGGTGGCGTCGATGCAACTGGTACAGTGCGGCATTTTATGTGCGCGCAGGAGGCGCTGGGGTCCGCGCGGCGCTGGTTCGCGACGCGCGCGACGGAGGAGGTGCTCGGGCAGCTGGAGTACTACGCGGAGCGGCGGCTGAAGCGGCTGGGGTTGATGGATAAGGAGGGCAACAAACAGAGTAGAATTGACCACCCGCGCACGAAACGAAATGCGGGTGTGCTATCGTCCTGATCAAGGCGGCAGCGTGCTAGGAGTACTCGCGCGAAATGCCATGTGAGCGTGCCATCATGTGCCAAGGGAAGGCTCTGACCTGCAATCAGTTAGAGTGAGTGGCGGGCGTCGTCAGCAACAACGCGGCGAGCCGCGCGAGTACTGGACGACGCCCGCCAGCCGACGCGCCGAAGTGCTGGTCCACGTCCTAGGCTGCTTGTACCAGGGGGTGTCGGCAGCCGGCTGGGTGACAGCGGTGACCGAGTCTGCGGCATTGTCCGCGTTGTGTGGCGACGCGCCGACGGCTACTCAGCTCTCCTCGTCATCGCCGTCCCCCGCGCGTGGCCTGTCATGCGAAAAGGGATCATACCTCGGTCTAGCGGCCACGGAATACGCGCATGGCCAACATGTCAACATCGGGGGGGTAACAGAGTGCGTCATGTGTGCGGGCATGGCTGGATAGTTCCGAGCCAGCTTCGCAGCGCCGGGATCATGTATGAGGGTGACGAGTTGCAGGGCGCCGGGCACGCCCTGTCAGCAGGTTGGCCAGTATGGTCTGCAAACTGCACGTGGCGACGCACGAGGTCAGCCAGGCCCGCCGGCGTGGCAGGGCCAAAATGCGGGCTCGGGTGCGTCCGGCAGGCGGCGCGGTGGATCGCCAGGACCTGTCGCATGCAGTAACCTCGATGCGTACGCATGTAGCGCATCATGGCCGACATCTTGGCTACGTAGCTGTCGCGGTCAGTCACCTCGCTGGACACGCGGATGTGTTCGGTGCGGACGATGTTGTAAAGGTGTCGTCGCAGCAGCGCACACGAAGCGTGGGGGTACTGTATGAGGTGAATGTTCTCAGGAAACAGACCGCGTTTGTCATAGTGCGAGATCAGGAGGAAGCCCTGATATTCGGGATGCGGACGCACGCGGAGGTCTAGGAAGGAGACACCGTCGAGCGGGTTCGCTGGGGCGTCAAATTCGACCTCAAGACAGGGGGGGTACATGTTATGTATACCAGAGATGAGATCTACGATCGACGACGGGGTTTCGGGGGGCGGGGTGGGGGGGCGGGGGTGGGTGTTGAAGTAGCGGTACAGTGCGTTCGCGAGAGAGAAATTGTCGTCGATGTAGCGCCTGGAATAACGGAAAGACCCCAAGACCTTCAGCCAAGCGACGTCGCCAGTGCTCAACCAGCGGTCGCGAAACTGGCAGAGGAACGCGAGCTCATGCCGGAACATGTAGCAGTTCGCGAGGTGGGGGGAGGCCGAGAGCCCCATGGGCACACCGCAGGTCTGGTGATATACGACGCCCCCGAACACCACGTAGGCGCGTTTGACGAGGATGTGCACGAGACCATGAAGTTGCTCGATGCTCGGTGCCCATTTCCCAACCATGCCGTCCGCGTCCGGCAGCTGCGCCACCCACCACCACGTCTCCCTCGCGTCAAACGCGGGTTGCAAGTCGATCAGGAGGTGTTGCCCTGGATGCAGTGCAAAAACAGCGTCGATGTGTTCGATGACGCAGTCGATGAGGCCGGTCCCGTGGTCCGCGCTCGTCTCGTGCCGGATGTGCGTGTAGAGCCGCTTGATGTCGGCGCCCAGCAGCAGAGGTGGTTGTTGAGCATGTATCGCTGAGCGTGGTGGGTTGTCATGTAGATACGCGGTCACCATGTCACGCATGCCGCGGCTGGAGTCCACCAAGAAGGGCGCGAAGCTGCTGCAGAGGTCCTCCGGGACGCCGTCGAAGATGGAGCTCCAGACCTCCACGAGGGTGGCGTGGCACATGAGCGCGCCGAGGGCCTTCGTCAGCAGCTGCGCTGCGGGGCGCGTGATGTCGCTCGAGCAGTCCGAGATGTACCGCACGTCCACCTTGGCCTTGTGAAGCTTCATCGTCCCGTAGTAGTGCGGTAGACCACCGCACTCGCGTTCGGTGCGTATTCCTGGTAGCTGCAGGTTGTCCAACATAGCCTCCGTCGTGTTAGCGACGTTCACCACGTGCCTGGCATGCGTGATGTTGGCATTTGCCGGCTCGTTGACAGCGAAAGCGTCGTTGCTGTGCAGGTCGTGCAGGAGGACCTCGATGTAGGCGCGCCGACACACGAAAACCAAATTCCCGGCGTTCTTGTCCATGGTCGTGATGGTGAGGCGTGTCGCGTCTCGCCGCAGAGCCACGCGATCGTCGGGCTGAATGTCCGCCAGCGGCGGGGGCCATGGAAGGCGGAACCCGGGTTAGCCATCGCGAGACGGGCGGCGGGATCGCGTGAGCGCGCCGACGGGCTGTGAGGCACGCTAGAGAGCGGGTGAGCGTGCACGCGCTTTGTCGCTGGCTGCGGAGCGAGGTGGATGGCTTTGAGAGTCTAGTCACATGTTCAGCAGAGCCGTGACCGCGACCCCCGAGAGCTGAGCTGGCGCGCGGGTACGGCTCCGTCCTCGAAGCCGCTCAACAAAAACCCGCGCGCATCGCCGCTGCCGGTCCGCACTTAGGCCGTGGGCACGAACTTCGTGGCCAGGGCGAAGCCCTGCAACGCGACAGCACCGCAAGCGCACGTCGTCAGCGCGGTCCGCGACGTTCCAGCCCCGAACCCGCGCAGCAACAGGCGGCGGCATGCAACTGCGACGCGCGTTGGAGTGGGGGTGCGGGAGGCTCACGTTGTTGACCGAGGGCTCGGCCAGGTGGTCCTGGAGGTTCTGGATCGGGCCCTTGCCGGTCACGATGGCCTGCACGAAGAAGCCGAACATCGAGAACATCGCCAGACGGCCGTTCTTGATCTCCTTGACCTTGAGCTCCGCGAAGGTCTCGGGGTCGTCAGCCAGGCCCAGGGGGTCGAACGAGCCGCCGGGGTGCAGCTTGTCGAGGCCCTCGCCGGCCGGGCCGCCGTTGACGCGGTAGCCCTCCACGGCGCCCATCAGGAGCACCTGGAAGATGAGGATGGCCACGATGGACTGGGCGTGGACCAGGTTGGGGTTGCCGAGGTAGTCGAGGCCGCTGCGAGAATGAGAGAGGGGCGCTCGGCGTGAGCGGGGCGGTGGCGGGCCGCGGACGACGCGGCGCGGGGCGTGCCCTGGTCGCCGGGATCGGTACGCATCGGGGCGCGCGGGCGCGCGCTCGCGCGCCGCGGCGCGCGTCGCGCGGCGGATCTCGAATGTCGAAAACCGGATTCGCGCCGCGGGAGTGTGGGTTCGCGGCGCGGCGCGGCGCGCGCGCCGCGCGCGCGGGATCCCTCGCCCGGCCAATGAACCACCAGGGAAGCAATCGTCGCGCGGCGGGGGACGCTCACCCCTCCTGGAAGATCTGCGCGCCGGCCTTGAACCACACGGCCTCGCCGAACTCAACGCCGTTCTTCTCCAGCAGCTCCGGCACGATGCACCCGAGCGCACCGAGCATGGCCCAGCGGGCGTGGATGAGCTCGAGCTCGCGGTTGCGCGCGAACCTGTCCGGGTCCGTCGAGAAGCCGGCCGTGTCCCAGCCGTAGTCGCCCGGGAACTCGCCCGTCAGGTACGCCGGCGGCTCCGGCGACAGCGGCCCAAGGAAGAGCGGGCGGTCAGGGCCGTACCACATCGAGTCCGAAGTCGGCGACACAGCCTTCTTCTTGGCGACCGTGCGGCGCATGGTGGTGGTGCCCTGCGAGGCGCGCGTGCGGGCGGAGCGGGGCGGGTTACGGGCGCGGACATCGGCGGCGGGGGGCGGAGATCGAGAGGCGCGTGCGCGGTGGAGCTGGGCCGCGGTGCGGCGCGGTGCGGGGCCGGACGGCGCGCGAGGCGCGCGGAGATGGATGCGGGCGATGTGGGAAGGGCGCGTGGGGGTGGGTGCGGGGGCCCGGGGGCCGGGGGAGGCCGCGGGGGCGCGAGGGGATGGAAAGGATCCAGGCGGAGATATGGGCGACTGGTTTGGGTGGAGCGGAGGCGCAGAGGGCGCGAGAGGGCGCGGAACGCGCGCGCCTGGCGTGTCGCGGGCGCGGGGGAGCGTTTGCGGGGGGTTTGCGGGCGCGGGGGCGCCGCGCGGGGCGCGGGGCCGGGGGGTCGCGCACCTTGTTGGACACCGCCGGCAGCGCGACGGAGCCGCGGACGAACGAAGACGCGAACATGGTGACTGACTGGATTTATCTCAATTCAAGAGGCAAATGCACCGAGCGGCGCGGCGCCGCGCGCCCTTGGGGCGCCGCGCGAGCGCCCCGAGGCCACCTTTCGGCACCCCCCCCTCCTGTCAGCCCGCAGATCACGATCCCCACGCCCGCGGGGCCCGCACGCGATCCCCGGCGGATCCTTCACATCCCCCCGGACCCCCCGGACCCACCCGCACCGCGCGAACCGCCCGCATAGAGTAGTAATTGACCACCCGCGCACGAAACGAAATGCGGGTGTGCTATCCGCATCATTGCCCCGGAGCCTCCCGCAACTCACACCTGTGCCGCCATTGGCCAGCCTCTAGGCCTCCGTCACCCGAAGCCCTTCTTGCCCCCCGCGCTTTTCTTGCCCTTAGCGCCCCCCTTGCGCGCCTTCCTACCCTCCCGGGCCTTCATCGACTTCTCCAGAGCCTTCTGGAATCCGGCATCCGACTGGGAGCTCAGATCCCCTGCCAACCGATCGAGGGTGCCTGCCGGGGCCTCCCGGGCCGGTCGCGCCGCCGGAGGCGCGCCCGCGCCGCCCGCAGCACTCTGCGCGGCCCCGCCCGCCATCTCCGCCCTGCAGCCGCGGACCCGGGCCGATTGTGATCGCGAGATACGCTCAGATATAACTGAATGGTCCGCGGTGGCACGCAAGCCCTGGCTCTTGATTTGACTCGCGCGGGCGGCTGCCGCAGCGGACGCGATGCGCCCGGGACGGCGCGCAGCGCACCGCGCACGCACGCGCCACGCGCGGCGGCGCTCCGCGGCGAACGCCCGCGGCCGGGGCCGAAGCGAAGCGGCGCGTCGGCGCCTGTAGCACGCCCGCGCCGGCGCGGGGCAGCGCACCTGACGTTCGCGGAATTCGCTCCGAAGAGAGCCTCGAGCGCCGCGTCGGCCTCGCCGTCCGCCTGCCCTCCGCGCGCGCCCTGCGCCGCAGCGGGCACGCCTGGCGCCCACGCCACCCACTGTTGCGCCACCCACTTCGATCCCGCCGTCACGGGCTCCGCCGCGTGCAGCGTGCGCTCGTCGTTGTACCCGGACTCGGCCAGCGCCGGGAAGAACACCGCGCACGTCCCGCGCGCCGGCCGCAGCGCGACGCCGAGCTCGTGGAAGTGCGTCGCGCCGCCGGCGTCAGACGGGACGTCGTTCAGGTACGCCAGGACGGTCGCGCGGCGCTGGAAGCCGTTCTGCGCCATCGTCTCCTGCGGGAACCCGTCCTGCGGCGCGGCGCGGGCACGGGCGCGCAACCGTCGCGCCGGGGGACGCGAAACAGCGAGGGAAGGTGAAATTGAGGCCTGGGGGGGTCTCGGGGGGTGTCTGCGGCGTCGGAGGCGGGCGGGCGGGGCGCGCTGGGTCGCGGGGATCCGGGGCGCGGCGGGGCGCAGGGGCGCACCTCGTGCGCCATGAATTGCTGGCCCTTTTCGTATCGCGTGACTTGTAACAGCTCGAAGCAGTATTTGCCGGGGGGGGGGAGTCTCCCGGGGGCGGCCCAGGTGCCGCCGCCCGGGAGGAGCTCGCGCGAGCGCCGGTGGATGAGGTCCTTGTGCGTCTGCAGCGCCGGGTGCTTGGCCTGCGGCACGGCGGCGGCGCGCAGGTGAGCAGACGGATTCGCGTCTGACTGGGCCTGACGGGGCAGAGGTTGTGCCAGAGGCCGGGGTGCGTGTTGGGGATGGATGTGAGAACGCAGGCACGCGGTGAATCGGCCGGTGCGATGCGTTCGGGGGACGTACGCAGAGGTTGTCATCCAGCATAGCAGATTCACTTGTGCGCCGCTCTGAGAGCGCATTCGAGTCCGTGCCGAAGATCGCGGCGCCGATGAGGGACCTCTCGAGCGTGTTCGACTCCTCGGCGTCCCGGATGACCGCCTCGCACTCTGAGTCCGACAAAAACTCGCTCCAAGTGATGATCGCGGGGTCGAGGTGGTGTACACGGATTCCTGGCAGGTCCAGGTCGACTGGCATGAATTTCGACGCCAGCAGCGCCTCGAACTCCTCCCTGGGGAACCCCTCGTCCGCGGGCGAGGCGCCCTCCGTCGCGTCGAACCCCGCAGGCAGCGGCTTTATCGGACCAAGGCGCCGCTCGCGCGCCCGCCGCCCCTGGCGCTCTAGGAGGCCCTCCGCGGGCGGCGGCGCCGACTTGAAGACGCCGTCGGGGTCGAAGCCCGCGCCGACGGGGATGTCGGGCAGGCCAGCCGCCGCGACGCGCCGCTGCAGCGGGCGCAAGGCAGGCCTATGCCGCGCAGCCAACTGCGCCCCGCAGGGGGGCGCTGCGCGGCAGCCCGGCGCTGTGAGGCGCGCGCAGGGCGAGAGCAGCATCGCGGCGTGGTTCTGCGCACCCTGGCGTGCGGCGGCGGGCCTTCAGGCCCGCACCAGGGCCGCCGGTCTGGTACGTCTGGCGCATGACGTGTGTGGAGTGGCGGCATTTCGGGGCCGCGGCTGCGCACGCGGGGAAAACTGCGCCGTCTGGGCAACGCCTGCCGCGTGACGAGTGAATCTCGGAGGAACAAACCTCGGTTGCCGAAGTTCGAGGGACGCAATCGTGGAAGACAGCATGGAGCGGGACCACGAGAGCATCGAGAAGGGCCTCCCGCCAGGGTCCGAGAAACTGGACCTGATCCAGGAAGTCCTCGACAGCAACAAGTGCGTGCGAAACGCCCCGGGGGACGCGCACGGCGGTGCTCGTTACGCAACCAACACCCTCCAGCGCGGCCCGCACACGCCGTCCCGCGGCTCCGCTGCCACGCGAGGACGCTCTCGTGCTCACAGTGCGCCGCTGCCGTGCTCCGCGTGCCCTCTCGCGCCCAAACGGCCGCGCACGCACGCCCTGGATTTTCTGCCGCTGCACTGGTCCGTTGCGGCCCAAGCGCGCCGATTCCCGCCCGCTCCTGCCCGAGTTGCCGCGCCACGGCCGCCTCCGTTGCCCGGGACGCGAAGCGGCGCGTCTGAGCGCGCGTCCGGCGCCGGCGCGGAAACTGCGGGCACCCACGCTGCCTGCGGTTGAGCGCTGTTGCGGGCGGCGCGAGCTGTGCGGGGCGACGCCGCTGGCGGTCCGCGGCGCGGAGCCGCCTGCTCACCGTTCCTCCGCGTGCGGGCCCCGCGCAGGATGCTGATTGAGCAGATAAACGAGAACCATGAACTGAAGACTCAGGAAGCGCTGGCCCGCAATGTCTCGCTCATCATCGAGCTCAACCGCAACATCAACAAGGTCGTCGAACTCTACAAGGTGCCCACCCGCCGCCCCCTGCCCCCCCGCGCCCCACTCTCCATCGCTCGCCGCCTGTGCAGCAGTGCACTGCGCCCTACCGCGTCTCCCGGCCCCCGTCCGACCCCTGGCCCGCGCCCGCGGACGCTGCATCGCAGGACATGTCCACGACGTTCGCGGCGGCTCCAGTTGCGATGCCGGGGAAGGCGTAGCCGCCCCCAAACCAGACCCCACTAGCAACGCCCACCAACCCGAGACCGCCTCAACGACCGGACCCCCGCCTCTCGCCAACACACTCCCTCGCCTCTCACCTGCCCACTGTACGGACGAGCAAGAAGCTCCCGCGACCCACCGCTTTGTATCTCAACTTTCAGGACTTCCTTTCTCTCGCCGACTATCTCAACTCAGAGCACGCCCACGCCGTTCGCCGCCCGCTCCCACGCCCTCGCGGCCCTGCGCCGCCGCCACGCGGTCGCTGCGGCCCAAACCACGCCGCGCCCCGCCCACGCCGAGACCAACACTGGCCAGTGACAACACGCCCACGAGCGTGGCCTGGACGCAGCAGCTGGAGCTGACGCCCCGCCCCGTAGACCCTAGACTTCTCTTTGACGCCCACGGACTCCTGTCGCCTCGCATTTTACCACCCTGCATGGCCCGCATGGACGCCAGCGTGTGATGACCTCCCGACCGCTGCCGCCAACACAGCTTCGCGAAAAGTACCCCCGCAGCCGCAGCTAGCTCCGAACGACACGGACCCGCGCTCCTGCGCACGCCTTCTCGCCGCTGCGCCGCTCGGAACGTTCACAGCCTGTCGCGTCGTCGCGCCAAGGTGAGGTTGCGTGCAGTTGACGGATCCGAGGCGGATTGGCCCGCAGCTAGCCTACGAGATGATAGCTGCGCACTCCTCCGGGGTCCGCTCCGCGACGGGGACGCCGCACGCGGCCACGAGGCCGATGGCGTCCTCCCGCGTGATGTCGGAAAACTCCCCCGCCCTGGGGTCCGCGCGGACCAGCCGCTCAAGCCTGTCCATGAGGTTCGGGAAGCACGTGCACCTGCGATGAAGGGAGCGTTTCCTGCCTTTTTTCGCCAAGCTGCGGGGTCTGCCAGCTGGACGGTTCGTGTTCCCAAGAAGTCGTGTGGGCCGCGGACCCGTAGCCCGGCCCGTTCTCGCCCACGAGCAGGCTGATGAGGTCGCAGCAGTCCTCGGTCGCCGTCAGACGGGGCGGGTCCGCCGTGTAGCAGGCCTCCATGGCCAGCAGCGCCTGCGGGGATCCCTCAATGTCCTCCGGCGCCACCGAGTTGAGCAGGTCCGTGCAGTCGGCCTGCAGGGACGTACACGTCACTGTGAGTTGAGCAAGCCGCTTCACGAGCCCCGTGAAGGCGCAGGTGGTTGAGTTTGACGTGAGGTGAGCGTGTGCAGCGCCGTTAAATCCCTGCATGTCCGAAATCCGTTGCGCGCGTGCACAGTGCGACCTCGCGCAGCTGGGCGATTGAATCACACGCGGGGGCTGCGCGCCTCGGTGACGCCGTGGACGGAGCCGACCATGGCTGCGAGCGCAGCCAGCAAAAGCATCTTGAACATCTTGTGGTGCACTGCGGGCGATACAACTGGAAGCTTCGAGCTTGCGACGGTCCTCTGAGCGGCAGAGTGCCGCATGCGCCGCCGGCGAGCGCTCTTGTCTCGCGCCCGCGTTGCCGGGACCCGGAGAGTCCCCCCTGTGAAACGACACGTCACTGTTGACGCGTCACTGACGTCAGGTCGGGCTGCGGGCGCAGCTGCGGTGCGCCGGCAGAGGCGGCGCGCGCGGCGCCGCGCGCACCTGCGCGATACCCGTCCGCGGCGGGCCCACAGCGCGCGCGCCTCTCCGCGGCCCCCGCTGCAGAGGCCGCCGCGGGGCGCCTCGAGTGCTACGAGCGCTGTGGTACATCAACCCCGCAGATCGCACCCGCAACGACGACCCGCCGCCCCGGCCCACCACGCCCGCCGCGTCCACAGCACCAAACGCATGCCCGCGCACCCCGCAAGCCCTGACGCTCGCGCGCGAGACCGGTGTTCCGACGCGTTCTCTCACAGCAAGGCACCGCAGGCGCGTGCCCACGGCCTCTGCACGCGACGCGTGTCTATCTGCCGAGCCACCGCTGCGCCGCAGCGCCGCGCGCGCGCAGGCGTCCTGGTGCTCGGGGCGCCGTTGTGCGCGCTGGCGTGCTCAGATCTTGCCGCCCTTCTTGCCGCCCTTCTTGCCGTACTTCTTCGGCGGCTGCCTCTTGACGCCGGGGGGCAGCTTCGGGCGCACCCACTTCGGCGGCTTCCTGTACGCCGTCGTCGACAGCCCCTTGCCGGACCCGGCGAAGTCCGTCTGCGCCCACACCGCACAGCACCAGCCACGGTCGCGACGCAGCGCCGCGCGAGCGCGAGCACGAGCACGAGCCTCGCGCGCGTCGGTCGCGAGCAGGCGCCGCTCGCCCCCGCCGCGCACCGCACCGCACCGCACCGCCCGCCCGCACGCACGCACCTTCTTGCCGTAGCCGTCGACGGTCTTCTCGAAGAGGTAGTCGGACCCGGCCTTGCCCTTGTAGTCCGTGTAGCCCGTCCCGTACGCCACGCCGTCGCCGTCGCGCCCGCTGAACCACGACGACCCCTTCGCGATCAGGCCGGCGCCCTTCTTGCCGACGGTCACGCCAGACTCGCCCTTGGTGCCGGCGCTGACGTGCGAGCCGTAGACGGAGTTGCCCTGCAGGACGAGGCGACGCGGCATCACGCGTGAGGTCGCGTGGCGCGACAGGTCAGGTCCATCGGCGCGCGGCCCGCCCGTCGCTGTTGCTCGGCAGCAGCTTGTGTCTGCAGCGGCCAGCATCGCGTGCTGCGCCGACCACGGCGCGCTCGGCTGCACGCTGCCGCGCATGGCTCGTCGCACCTGGGTCGTCCCCGCCGTCATGTCCTTGACGTACGAGTTGGTCCCCGAGAGGTCGGTGATAGTCCCGTGGTCGCTGTAGCCGTTGGTCTTGACGTTGGCCACCGTCGAGAGGTCTGCAGCGCAGCCGCGCACGACGCACGCGCGTCAGCGCACACACCGCGGCATGGCGCCCGCGCGCTCCCGCAGTGACGTCACCATGCGACGTGGACAGCAGCACTCATGTGTGGCACACAAACGCGCGCGCGGGGCGCGGGTGGCGCCGGCGCGCACGCGCGAGGACGTCCGCGCGGCATCGACGATGCGACGTCGCTCGCGGCGCGCTCGGCCGCCCCCGCAGCCCTCCCGCCGCCATGTGCGCGCCAGCAGGTCGCTGCACATCGCAACGCAGTATAGTGCGCGCCGGCGCGCCCGGCGGCGGCGGTCGCGACGCGCTCGCCGCGCACGCACGCTGCACACTCCTCAGGCGCCCGCGGGGACGTACAGGGCATCGACTTCTTCTTGTACCCGCCGCCCCCAGCCTGCGCCGTGGCCACCAGCGCTGCCAGCAGCGTGACGATGAAGGTGCGGATGAACATGATGCTTGCGACGGCGGTCCCTCCGAGCGGCGACGGCAGAGTGTGCCGCGTGCGCCGCCGGCGAGCGCTCTTGTCTCGCGCTGCCGGGACCCGGAGAGTCCCCCTTTGCTGTCAGGTCGGGCTGCGGGCGCAGCTGCGGTGCGCGGGCAGAGGCGGCGAGCGCGGCGCCGCGCGCACCTCCGCGATACCCGTCCGCGGCGGGCCCACAGCGCGCGCACCTCTCCGCGGCCCCCGCCGCGCGCGCAGCGCCCCATACATGGTGCAATGGGAACTGCACGCCACGACACGTGGCCGGCATGGGACGGCACACAGGCGGCAGCACACCAGCAGCGCGGCGGCAGGTGTGACGCGTGCCGCGCGGGCGGAGTCGTGCGGGCCTGCAGACGCCGCCGCGGGGCGCCTCGAGTACTACGAGCGCTGTCGTACATCAACCCCGCAGATCGTTCCTCTCGTGTCATGCATGCCCTCACACGGCGCCTACACGGTTCGACCGCTCGCCACGAGACACCTCCGCTGCTGTCAACGCGTCATCGCGCCGTTTGCGAGGCCGCGAGGTTCGAACGTCGCGCGTTGGTGGCTGCGAGCGTGCGCGCAGCGCCTCCAGGGGCCCGTCAGGCCGTCAGCTCCCCGCACTGGTCCGGCGTGTCCCTCATTGTTGGGATGCTGCACGAGTTCAGCAGCGATAGAACCTCGTCCGCGCCGATGTTGTCCTGGTACTGCAGCAAATCCGCCAGCCCCGCGGACGCAAGCAGCTCCTGGACGTCGTCGGCCAGCTCGTCGTAGCAGGTGCACCCGAAGCCTGGCCCGTCCGGGCCGACGGCGAGCCCGAGGATGCCGCAGCAGTCTTCGGTCGCGGTGAGCTGGGGTGGGTCTTCCTGGATGCAGGAGGCCAGAGCATTGGACACCGCGGTCGTCGTCTCGTCGCTCGGGCCCACGCTGGCGAGCAGGTCCCTGCACTCGTCCTGCGAACGAGCGACGAACCACGCTGGTCGGTGTGAGGAGATGTGCGCAAGACACAAGCCTCCTCTCCGTTTCGCCCGCGTCCGTGGTCGGCACGTTGAATGCCGCGTCCTCCGTCCCTCAGTTCCGCTTCGCTGCATCGTCGGGGCCCTGTTTGCGTTCCGACGGTGCATCGATCCAGAAACGGGCTGCTGAGGACATCGCATTCAACGTGCAGACCACCGACGCGGGCGGAACGGCGCGGCGTCGGCCGCTGTGAACACAGGCCAGGATTGCGAGCTCGCGACGACTCACCAGGCCGATCGCGCCAACTTGCACGGTCAGCAGCGCTGCGACGCCTGCCAGCAAAAGCAGTTGAGATCGAATCATTTCGTTCCCGCAGTCGTGCCTGTCAGCAGCTACGGGCTCGAGTTCTGTAGATTGATACATGCACGGGTCGGCAACGAACGGCGGGCGCGGCCGCGTCGCTGCGGCCCCGCAGGACGGCACGTCTGACGCAGCAGCTGCAGCAGTCACACGCTGCGTGCGCAGCTGCGGCTGTCGCGGCCGAACGCTCCGCGCGGCGCCGCAGCTACCTCGCCCCTGGTTTCACTCACTGTCTCGCGAGCTTCTCACTTCCACGCAGTCGCCGGGACCGCCGCGCTGCGTGTGCATAGCTGCGCCGTGCAGCGGTGCGGCCCTGGCCGCTGCTCGAGCTTGCGCCGGCCCAGGGCAGCGCGAGAAGCTCCGTTGCGAGGAGCGTATCGCACCAGGAGCTGGGGCCGCCGGGACGGCGGCGCGGGATGACGACGTTGCGGTGACGGCAGCAGTGCAGAAAGTGCCGTGGTAGGAGCCACTGGTCGCGATCGCCGACGTGCAGCCGTGCTCGAGGTGCAGGTCAGCGCCGCGAGACCCCCCGCGTCCGCCTCTGGCAGGTAGACCAGCTGTGCTGTGCAGCGCGCAGCTGCGCCCCGCAGGTGACCAGGCGGCCGCTGCAGGGCGCCGATTCGGCTCATCCGGCAGCCGCCACACTGCACAAAGGATGGCCATGGTGTAGTGTGCCGGCTGTCGAATCAGCCAGACCGTCGCTCAGCAGGGCTGCCTGTTCACTGGCGGCGTAACGCGGCCACCTGACGTGACGCGGGGCAATCGCCGTCGCCGGCGTCGGTCCGAGGCGCAGCGCGGTTGGACCGCGATGCGGGGCCGCCGGCGCCGAGCAGCTGGAGGACACGGCTGGAATCCCGCCCGCGAGCAGCAGTCCTCGCAGCGCCGCGTGCTGGACCCGCGGCACTGATACGACCACGCCCGGACCAAGCACGCGGTACTGCGAGGACTCCAGCGGGACCGCGCCGCACACGGTGCCCCCTGCGGTGCTGCAGTGACGCCAGCCAGCCTCCGCTGGCGTCACGTCAAGGCCGCGCCGTGCCCGTCGAGGATGCGCTTCAGCTCCTCCTTGGTGTCGCAGGTCACGACGAAGTCCGGCCGAATCCGCGAGAGCGTCCTGAGCAGCTTGTCTTTCGACACGAGCACAACCTGCTGCAGGTTCGCTGCGCACGCCGTGCGCTCGGGCCCGCGCGTCTGCGCCAGCCGCTCGGCCTCGGTCAGCATGAGCACGTCCACGATGTCCGCGCCGTCCGTCGCGGCCTGAACCGACCACACGTTGGCACACTGGCGCGTCGCCAGCTTGGCATGCTTCAAGTTGGAGTGCTTGGCGCAGAACTGGACGAAGCGCGCGAAGGGGAACTGCGCGCAGAAGGCCGCGGAGACCCAGCTGACGTTGTCCGCGTCGACCAGCACGCGCACCAGCTCGGTGTTGAGCTCCCGCAGCTCTAGCTGCTCTCTGCCTGTCAGGGGGAGGTGTTGGCGCAGAGACGGAGGGCCGGCGTTGAAAGCCGGCTCACTGGACATGGAGCCGGCGATTTCCTCAGCGACGAGCCTGCGGCGCGCGGGCACGACGAGAAGCCGCAGTGAGACAGCAGGGTGCTCAAGCCGCCCGCCGGGGCGGCGTTTCCGGGGACGTGAACTGCCGCGATCGATAGGACTAGAACCCCCGTCTCGGACGGCGGAGCCCTGCGGCGCGAGACGCCGCGGTCGCCGGCAGAGGCGGGCCCCCCCCTCGCCGCGGCTTTCCGCGCCTGCACCTTCGAGCCGAGAACGGCCTTCACCTCCTTCTCGATCACCTTGCCGCCGTGCTCAACCGTGAGCGTGCAGCTCCAGCGCGGCGCGTGCGGGGGCCCGACGTCGGCCTCCGTGACGAAGCGCACGCTGCGGCACTGCTCGTTGATCCAGCCAACGTAGTTGAACGAGTCCATGTCGTCCGCTTCCGTCGCCGCAGGATCTGCAGGCGGAGAAGGCAGCGCGTGCGGACGCTGTACGCGTCGCGCGCCGGCCGCGCTGCGCAGGGTCCGCGAGAGCGGCCGTAGCGCTCCTGGGAGCCGCAACGCGCCGCACCGCGCGAACGACATGTGTGCCGCTTCTTCCACGCGATGCAGAGCAGCGGCGCAGCCGCCCGGCCTGCCCATCGCGCCGTACGGCGCAGCTCGCTCGACCCACGCGTGGTCGGACCATGACGGCGGTGGGGGCATCACACGCGGGCCCCGGGAGGTGCGCGCTCGGCCAATGCGGCGGCGCGTTGCGGCCCGGCCGCACATGGCTGGCCCGAGCTAGGCAACGCGGTAGCGAGACGCGCATATCACGGCGAGGCCCGTCGCGGAGAGCGCCCGCATGGTGCGCGGCATATGTCGGGGGGCGTGAGCGCGCGTTGAGGCGGGATGTCGGAGCTTTTGACAAACGCGGCGGCCCAGCTGGCCCTGAAGAACCGGCTGACGGCGGGCAGGGCGCTCGCGGGGTTCAGTCGGAGAGACCTGGGCGAGTATTTGCAGGGGGGTGGCGGAAGACATCCGAGGGGCAATGACGCGCGCCACAGGCGCCGGTCGCGCTCGTCGGGCTACAGCAGCCCGGATGACATCGAGAGCGTCATTGAGGACCTGGACGACGAGATTGCGGGCCGCGAGCGACGCAGGGCCGGCCTCAAGTGCGCCCGCGCACCACAACGCTGGTCCACGGGGGCCGCACGCGTCGCCGTTGCAGCGTTCTCGCCAACACATGCCCTCGCGCGACTATGTAGTGCACGCGCGACCGGTTCCCTGCCTGAACAGCGCCGTTCGAGCCACCCGTGCGCAGGATCAAGGCGCAGGCGGTAGCTCTCATGAATCTGTATCTTCAGAGCGCGCAATACTACCAGAAGTGGAGTCGCGGGTGGCAGGTGCCCAGCATCATCCTCCAGGCGCTCCTCGGCGTCCTCACGGGCGCCATGCCGGGCGTCTCGGACAAGGTGCCCCAGGACACGGCCCTCCTAGTCCTGGGGCTGTTTCAAGTCATCCTTGGCATCCTGAACGCGATCGCGCGGATGTTCTCGTGGGACGAGCGCATGACGATTTGCAAGCAGCAGGCCCACAACTGCAGCGACCTCATCATGCTGCTCACCAAGGAGACAAACGACGACACTCCCGACGGTGAGCACACGCGGAGCGCCGCGGCGCCCCTGCGCCCCTGCTCGGCGCTGCTGGCTCGATGACATCGAGGCGGTGACGGCGTGCCGCACCGCGCGCTCCGACCCCGGGGCCAGTCGCGGTAGGCCGTTTCCAGACCAGTTGGCCTTCCTCGAGTGTTTTGCGCAGGAATCAGCAAGGAGGCGCTCGACAAGGTGCTGGAGATGTACGGCGCGGCGACGCGGAACGCGGACCAGGTTCCGACGTCCGTCACGCAGATCTTCGCGGCGGCCACGGCGCGCGAGATGCAGCTCAAGTCGCGGTTCGAATCCGACCCGAAGATGGCCGCGCTGTACAAGACCAAGGCCGCGGAGCTGCGCTCGTTGTTCAACGACGGCAAGCAGCCGCGGGAGGCGAAGCGCGCGATGCGCGACCTGCGCAGCTGGCTCGACCGCGAGGTGCGCGAGGGCGCCGACAGCGACAGCGACCCCGAGGACGGGCAGCGCGCGCACCGGAACCGCGTGGTGGAGCACGTGAAGGAGATGCTCGAGGAGGCGGACGACGACACGAAGAACGTCAAGGCGAAGCCGTTCGTGCTCGACGTGCTGCGCATCATCGCGGAAGCCCAGCCAGAAGACAAGTTCGCCCTCAGCGAGGCGGACTTCCAGTTCCAGGCGCCGCCGACGCGGCGACCGACGACGGTGGGCGGCCGCAGCATGGCGGAGGCGAAGGCGAACGCGACGACCAAGGCGCGGCGCGCCGGGGGGGCGGGTGCTGAGGCGCGCAAAACAACGAAGTTCAGGGCGGCGGGGCATACCGCTGGGCTGGCGACGCGCAAGGGGAAGATGAACGCGGTCGCGCCGAGCGCGAGCACGCCGCGCGGGCGGCGCAGCCGGCGCGAGGGTTCGCGGCGCCTGGAGCGTCAGGACGAGGACTCGAGGGAGGGGAGTGATGACCTGGGTACAACAGGGCTCGTGGACGCCATGTCGACGCCGTATGGCGCGGAGGGAAGCATGATGAGCGGCGCGAGCGGGGTCCAGAACGCGTTGGCGCGTCAGTTCGCGGGCGCGGCGGCAACAGGCAGTGCGTTGCAGCAGCAGGCCGGCGACGCAGCGAGTGGGCTCAAGGGGCTGTTCGGTGGCGGAGCGGGGGGCCTGGGGAGCCTCGCGGGGGGGCTGGGCGGTCTCGTGCCTGGGCTGAGCGGCGGGGACGGCGGCGGCGGGCTGGCGGGGCTGCTTGGCGGCGGCGGCGACGCACAGGGGGTCCTGGGCGGGCTGGCGGGGCAACTGCAGGGCGGAGACGTCGCGGGCGCGCTCGCGGGGCTGCAGGGCAAGTTGCCTGGCGGGGGGGACGGTCTGCAGGGCGCACTCGCCGGTCTGCAGGATAAGATCCCCGGGGGGGGTCTCGAGGCTCTAGCGGCGTTGAAGGACAGCGCAGCGGGCGGGGGCGTCGAAGGCGCGTTGGCTGGGCTGCAGGGCAAGCTCCCTGGCGGCGGCGGCGCGGAGGCGCTCGCGGCGTTGAAGGACAAGGTACCGGTGGGGGGTGTTGAGGGCCTACTGGCTGGGCTGCAGGGCAAGCTGCCTGCTGGGGGCTTGGAGGAGGCTCTAGCTGGGCTGCAGGGCAATGCGCAAGGGGGGGGCGTTGAGGGCTTACTGGCGGGGCTGCAGGGCAAGCTGCCGGGCGGCGGCGCTACGCCGTCCTCGATGGTGGACGAGGCTGTCGCTGGACTGAAGGGCAAGCTCCCCACCGGCGGTGCTGCGGAGGAGGCCCTGTCGGGGCTCAAAGGCAAGCTGCCGGGCTCTGGGGAGATATCGCCGGCCAGGCGGCTGCCCGGATCGTTGCGGGAGCAGAACGCTGCGTTGCGGGAGCGCATCGGGGGGCGCATGCGGGCGATGCGCGGAGCGGCTGGGTCGGACGCGAGTCAGACCGAAACGCCGGGCGGGGACAAGCAGGACGACGAGGCGGGCCCGTCCGGTACGCAGGAGTGATTTTGCGGGCGCGATCGCCTTATATGAGGCGGGAAACTCGAAGGAATGTGTTCGTGAGTCGTGAAAGAGTTTTCAACTACTATGGATAAAGTTTTTCCTTGGATGCCGGTGGCACACTGACGGCGCGGCTGTCGCCGCAGGCGTGGCGGCCGGCTGCGCAAGCATGCGGACTGTGAAGCCGAAACACCAAAAGCCCATGGCCGACTGTTGTTCAGACCCCGAGCAATGACACTGCTCATTGTCCAACACATCCCCTCCCTGGCGCGGTACGCGTGCCGATCGCGCCTGAGTTCGCGCCCACACCACATGATCGAGCAACGGACGTCTCACACTGCGCCGTGCGCGCGTCGCGGACGCCTCCAGGCCTGCGACTGCAGCAAACAAACACACCCCCCCTCTCAACTTACGTCGACGACCGCGCGGTCTCGACGTTCTGCGACGCCCGCCACTGCTCGATCCACTCGCGCGCCTCCGCTGCCGAGCCCCCCACCGGCACCGCCGACCCCCCCGCCTCCGCGTCAGCCACCGCCGCCTTCATGTCGTACCCCTCCGACTCCCCCCCCTCCTGCTTCGCCTGCCACGCCGCGATCCACGCCCGCGCCGGCGGCTGCGTCAGCGCCGCCACGTCCGCGTCCTCGTCCACGCTCGCGTCCAGCGACGACACCACACGCGTCGCCGCGCCGCGCCCCTTGCGGATGGAATTCCGAACCATCTCGTCGGCGAGGACCTCCTTCTTCTTCTCCTCGCTCGGCGCCGCGGGCGGCTCGCTCTCCGCCGGCATCAGCGGCAGCCCGAACCGCGGCCGCACGGAGTCGCCCACCGCCAGCAGCCACATGCGCTCAAAGAGCCCGTCGGTCATGGCCTTGCCGGCGTCGCTCTTGGCCTCCTGCCGCCGCACCTCGATCGTCTTGAACGCCGCCGCGTCCGTGCCCATCCCCGGCGTCAGCGCCGACATGAGCACCTGCGCCAGCTCCGGGCGCGAGATGGCGCCGCTGATCTCGTCGCCCTGGCGCGCCTCGATCAAGAAGGGCCCGCCCTCCTGCTCGTCGTCGCGCAGCATGCCGGTCGAGCGCACGACGGCGTACCGCAGCCCGCTGCGCCGCACCGCGTTCTCGCCCTTGTACTTCCAGTTCAACACCCCCCCCGGGTTCAATTTCACGATCGGGATCTCCTTGTCGCGCGCCTCGGCGTCGTCGCCCACGCGCGCGTTGCGCTCGACCGCCGCGGACGACAGCAGGACCACCTGCGTCCTGGGAGACCTGAATCCTTGAATGCCGCTCGCAGCAATGTCCAGCTGGAACGGCCCGGGCCAGCAGTACGGGTTCGCGGCCTTGTTGAACGAGAACCGCGAGTACACCAGCGCGATCGACGCCACGTCCTTCAGCGCGTCCGGTCCGAGCGGCGGCAGCTTCGTGTCAGTCATGGTCTTGCGCACTGGCACGAACTCGCGCCAGAAGAGCTGGACGTCGGTCCAGATGTTGCCGCCGGGGACGTCGAAGGACGCCTGGTACGTCACCTCGGGCGTCTCCATCATGGAGCGGGCCTTGAGATTCATCTTGAAGCGGCCGGCCTCGGGCGAGCGCACGCGGATGGCGATGCCGTCGAACGAACGGAAGTCGATGCCCGGGTTGAGCAGCGTGCGGATGCCGCAGAAGCCGCCGCCCTCCGCGACGAGGTTGCCCGCCCACTTGGCGCCCTCGAAGTCGCTCCCGATCTGCGCAGAGGGGGGGGGGGGTGTGATGATGACCCAGTGCGCGCAGAGATGCAGCCGTCGGGGGCCGCAGTTGACCGGAGCAAGCGAAGCGGTGTGCGATGTTGCGGCCCTCGATCGTATGAATGAACGGCAGATATTATTTTCCTCTTTGGTGAGTTGCGGGGTCTTACGTCCATGGCGGAGGTCGAGGTGCCGCCCATGATGGTGTCGTCCTGCTTCTCCCACTTCGCGACGTCCTTCGTCGCCAGCAGCCGGATCTTCGTCTCCGCAGACACGCTGTCCTCCGCAGGCAGGAACTTCGCCGCTGCCTGAGCAATGTTCTCATTGCCCTTGAAGTGCACCACCTCGGGCGTCATGCCGTCCACGTAGCCCTTCACGCCCTGCACGCACGCGCCCGCGGACCGAGCCACCTCAGACACGAACTTCCCGCGAATTTCCAATCGAAAAACCATAGCTTTCGTTTCGTTTCCTCGCGGGGACTGAGCGCGCGGCGCACACGCACCTGCTCGTCCTCCCCGAAGATCGAGCCCGTCGCGATCGCGACCTGCGTGACCCCCTCGAACAGCTCCGCCGTCAGGCATCGCGCCTCGGCCACGTTGGCGCCCCCGCGCACCACCACAGTGCCCATCCCGCCCTGACCGCGCTTGTCCGGGACCAGCCCGAGCTCGCCGAGCTTCTCCGCGCCGGCCTCCGCGTCGCCGCGCACCGCCGCGACCACGTCGCGCCCGGACTCCGCCAGCGCCTTCACCAGCAGCTTGCCCGTGCGCCCCGTAGCGCCAAACACCAGCACCGCATTCGACACAGTCGGCGGGCCCTCGTCCTGCGCAATGTGCCGTCCAGGAAGCAAGCTCGCGCTCGGATTAGCCCGGATCTGCACGCGTGGGGGGGTTTCGAGCGCCAGGACGGCCGCGCCGGAGGAGCCGACTTATGCCCTGGCCCGTGGCGGGGGTCGGGGGGGCGCGGCGGGCGTACCTCGTCGCGGGATGAGAAGATCGTCTGCCCTGTGGAGGGCTCGAAGGTGTAGGCTGCGATGGCGATGCCGATCAGGGACACTGCGGGGCGGGGCGGGCCGGGGCTCGCAGTGTGAGGGTGGAGCGCTTGGTGGGCCATGAGTGCTCTGGTGGCGGTGCAGAGGCGGACAGCGCTTGGCGAGGGTGCGTTTTGCGCGGAAACGAATTTCTGGGGCTGAGATAGGGTTCGGCGCGATGTAGAGGGCGAAACATCCCCGGGGGAGCCCGTGCTGCGGCCCCGCTGCAGCGCCAGGAGGCTGGATCATTCGAGGGTGCGGCGGGGCGTCCTCGCGGCACGTTATGCCGTGTTTTTGCGCCGAACACGTCGAAACGGTGACGAATATTGCATCGAAGAGGGAACATACCCGCTGCAGCGCCGATGAAGAGCATGACGGGGTCGGACAGCATCCCTTGGAACTCGGACAGCTGCTCGGGGCTCATCATGGAGGCCTGGCTCTTGACTGCGCGCGCAGGGACCCGAGGGGTCGTGGCGACGAAGGCCCGCGACGGCCGCACCGCCGCGGCGGCGCGCCCGCGCGCCGCAGGGGCGCGAGTGGCATAGCACGGCAGCTTGGCAGCCAGCATGACTTCGCCGGACGCGTGTGCGCCTCGAACCGGCTCCGAAAGGACGTGAAGTTGCGGTACCGGTACAGCGCGGGCCGCCATGGCGGCGAGGCCGCCAGAGGTGCGCGTGTCGGGCGGGGCAGCGCAGTCAGGCGTGAAATGGAGGCGTGTTGATGTGATGTCAGGCCCGCAGGGTGCGCCGTGGGGTTGGAGCGGGGCCGGGCGGCGCGAGCGCGTCAGAGGCGCACCGCCGAGGGCGTGGGGGGTGTATTTGGAGTCGTCGTGCGCGACATAGGACCTGTGTGCGCGAGGGTTCTTCTCAGTGCAGGGCCTGCGTCGTTCGCGGGGGCGCTGGCGCCGCAAGAGCTCGAAACCGATACTGCGCGGCAGGGTAGGTCGGGAGGGAAGCTACGGCGCTGGCTTCGGCGCTTCTGCGGCTCTGGAGGGCGGCGCTTTTTGCGTTCCCGCCAGAGAGGTTAAAGAGTCGTGCTGGGGCGGTGCTTGGGTCTGACGGCGGGACACGCGCATGCGGGACTCGTGGCACAGGCCTGGGTGAGGTGGCCGCGCGCATGCATCGGCGCGGGGCGTCCGTGCGGTTGAGAGGGCACTGCGAACTGAGCCTGGAGCGCTCGCCGACGACCGCACGCCATGCGCGACAGAGATCCGTCCGCGGGACATTTCGACGACCTACTGGCGGACAATGCTGCGAGGGCCGGGCAAAATGAAGACCTCGACGCGATGCTCAGCCGTGACCAGCCCAATCACGGTGAGGCTCTCAGCGCTCTCTCCGGGCTCTCCCTGCCGCCTCGCGGCCCCGCTGCCGTACGACAGTCCACCTCGCGCTCACACGTACCTTCCACGCTGGCCCCGCTGCGTGGCGCGGTCCGCCTGAGTCAGTTGCGCCCTCCGTGCTGCTCTCACGCTTTGCGCCCCTCCCCCGCCCTCCGCAGAGCGCTTCAGTGCGCGGAAGCGCGACAACATGGCACGGGCGCGCGGATACGACGACACTCCGGCTCGCGGGAGGCCCCCGGCGCGCGCTTCCGGCGCGAGCGAGCAGCACGCGGGCTCTTCTCTTCCAGAGACACAAACGCTCAAGGAGATGATGGGCGTTCTCGACAACTTCATGGTCTCGACCTCGACGGGACGTCCGATCAAGAACATACCGCCCGAGGCGCGTGAACGCATCGTCGCGGCCGTGGAGAATCTCGTGGGGGAACGGAGCCACATCACAGAGCTCAAACAATGCCGCGAGCACTTCGACGTGTACTCCATGGAGGTGAAAAGAAGGACCCACGTCGTGCGCGAGGTTGTGTCGAACCTCAGGACAACCTTCAAGGCTGCTGAAAGCGTGGATATCAACGTCAAAACCGTCGCGAAGGGGGTTGTTATGTCCTGGGCTTGGGAAACAGTCATGGAGGAGAAGTTCCGGACCCGCGGCGCGCACCCCGCGGGCCCCGCGGGCCGGTCGCAGAGGGGCGAGGACGCTGGGGGCCCGCGAACCATGGGGCAGATGAGCACGGGGCTCCCAAGCTTGGCATCGAATGACGCGTACGACACCCCGAAGCTCGAATTTCGGCAGCCGGCCGCGCGGATGGAGCCGCTTCTCAGGTCCAGCGCGGGCCAGATCCCGAAGACGAAGCGGGAGACGCGGGGGGCGTCCAACGGCGGGCCTGCAGCACACAAGCGCTCAGGGAGGGTGCTTGCGAGCATGCGTGGTGGCGGGGCCATGCACCCGGTTCCCAAGAACGCCGTGAACCTGCCGGCGAGAAACCAGCTCACCCTCCGACAGACGACGGCGGTTGAGCGGTGGAAGTGGGAGTTCATCTGCCGCACGTGCTGTTACAGCACTCCCTTCCAGGATATAGACATGATGATGGTGCGCAGCTCGTGCACGGGGCGCCCAGTTACCCCCTCCATGTATCAGAACTTGTACTGGTACGCGGAGAACAAGTTGGAGGCCGCGGCGGGCGCGCCGCAACTGGACATGGTCGAGATCAACGGCCAGACATGGACCTTGCCGCACTGCAAGAGATGCGCCAGCAGCATCCAGGAGCTCGCGGAGGCCAAGGAGCATGACTCGGATGAAGCCAATCGGGTTCGCGTGGATGTCGAGGAAGTGCCAGCGTAAGCGCGACCCACCGCCTGCGTTGCATCCGCTGCGAACGCGGCACACCGCCTCGCCGATCACGCAGCGAGCACGCAGCGGGCGCGCGTGACGCGTTTGCTTCGTCCTGGTTCGTCGCAGGGAGCTGCGGGCGCAGTACACCGTCGCTGCTGACAGGCAGCACAACAGGGAGGTGCCGCAGCTGCCGACGCCGCAGCCGGCGCGCCCGCGGACGCGGCAGGCGAAGCAGGCGCGCCTGACGTACGAGTCGCAGGTGGTGCAGGTCGACGACGACGACGAGGGGGAAGACGCGGTTGCGCTGGCGCCGCAGCGGCCCCGGCGGAGCTGCGTGTCGCCGCCGCGACCCAAGGTGCCCGAGTTCCGCGTGTTGCTGGAAGGGATCGAGGTGCGGAGCGATGCCCCGTCGCGCTGCGCGTCCGTCATCGGCTGTATGACTGACAGATAGGCTGACGGACTGAGTCAGCAGTTGACGGGTGTTCGCGCCGCCACCGCACCTGCGCTTCTCCGCTACCCTCGCACACACGCGCACGCGCCTCGCGCCGTATGTCGCTCGAACCGCGCTCTCCTCAACACGCGCGCACTCCCCCTCGGACCCGCCCCCCCCTGCCCCAGCGCTTCACCGCTGCGCACCCGTCCGCGGCGCGGCGCAGGCCAAGTACCCGCCCGACGCGCAGCGCGGCAGCCTGATGCTCACGGGCAAGGACCTCGACCACCTGGCCCCGGGGGAGTTTTTGAACGACACCGTCATCGAATTCTCATACCGCTTCCTGCACCACGAGCTGCTCGCGCCCGCGCAGCGCGACGCCCTGCACATCTTCAGCACCTTCTTCCTGACCACGCTGCGCAAGGCCAACGGCCCGGCGCTCGAGCGCCTGCACCGCCCCAAGGCCGGCACCCCCGGATTCGGGAGCGAGGAGTGGGTCGACGCGTTCGAGACGGCGTACGCGCGCGTGCGGAACTGGACCAAGCACGTGGACGTCTTCTCGAAGAAGTTCCTCTTCATACCGTGCCACAACGAGCTGCACTGGTCCCTGATCATCGTGTGCTTCCCGTCGCACTTCCAAGTGCGGCGCGCGAGCCAGCAGGTCCGCGCGGCCCCGCGCTGACCGTGCCGCTCGCTACCCGCGCCTCGCCGCGGCGGCGCGCGCCGTCGCGTTCACGGCGCGCCACTGCGCCTGTATCGCTGCATGTCAGACTCATAGCAGGCTCTGACCGCGCGGGCTGAGCGCGCTTTTCAGCCCGCTTGATCTCCGGCTCACGATGCTCCGCTCAGGGCGTGTCTGCGCAGGACGCGGAGCCGGTGCCGGCGCCTGGCGCGGACAGCGACGCGCCGGCCGACCCAGGCGGCCAGCCGCTGACGCTGCTGCACCTGGACTCGATCAGGAACACGCGCATCACGAACAACCTCACGAAGTACGTCCAGGGCTACCTGCACTTCGAGTGGCAGAAGACCGCGGGGATCCCAGGCACGTACGCGCACGCGTGGACGCAGCGGCACGGGCAGGGCGCGGACGGGCTGGTGCCGAACTTCCTGGACGTGGACGGGTACAAGATGAAGCAGTGCCTGTGTCCGCAGCAGGAGAACGGGTACGACTGCGGGCTCTTCATGCTGGCCAACATGGCCATGTTCAGTCTGACCGACCCTGACGTGGTGAAGTACGAAGGCAACACCAGCTCCAAGCGGCACAGGTCCCGCGACTGGGCCGACTACACGCAGTTCCTGACCATGGATTGGTACAAGGCAAGCACGGCCCGCCCCACCACCAAACACTCGATGTCCTCGCGACAATCTAGCAGTTAGTCTTGCGGCCGTGGCGCGCCTCACGCGTCCGCGCACGGCGCGTCCCTCGCCGCAGCACGACGTCGCGGCGGACCTGCGCGTGCTCCTCTTCTACAACGTCGCGGACAAGCTGGACGCCGTCGCGGCCGAGGCGTTTGCGCCGGATAGCAAGGAGCGCGCTGCGCTCGAGAAGGGCAAGGCCGTGATGGCGCAGCAGATCCGGACGGACGAGCGGCGCGCGAAGCTGCTCCTGGCCGCGGAGGCCGGCGGGGAGGAGTATTACAGGGGTACAAACCTGCGTCAGTACTTCCTGCACGAGATCGAGGCGCGGAAGAGGGAGGCGGCGGAGGAGGCGCGGAAGAAGGAGGAGCAGGAGAGGAAGGCTGCGGAGAGGGCGGCGGAGAGGGCGGCGGAGCCCGAGAACGGTGCGTTGCGCCGCGCGAGGCTGTGCGACGCGCGGGGTCTTGTCGGGTGCCGTTCTGGGACCGATGGGTTCGCACGGTGTTGTGTTGTGTTTTCGCAGATAAGCGCATGAAGATGGCGCAGGCGGCGGAGCAGCGGCGGCAGAACGGCGGCGGGGGGGGGACTCAGGGCCACGTCAGTCTGGAGCAGTCTGAAGAGCTGCCACAGGGCGCGACGGGCGGGCGGAAACGCAAGCTCCAAGTGGACGATTCCTCATCCTCGGAAGACAGCGGCCAGGCGGCATGCACGCGCGACGGCGGCGCAGCGACGCCCAGCAGCAAGCGCAGGGCGACGCGCAACACCCGCGCAGCTCCGGCCAGCGGTGCCTCCTCGGAAGACTTGCTGGTCGAGTTTGAGTCGGACGACGAAGCGGAGCCGCCGGGCGTCGCGAGGGGGGGCGGCCGGGCCCGTGCGCACCGTCAGCAACAGGGCGCGCGTGAGGATACGAAAGGTTTGACGAACCCTTTCACAAGCCGGAGCCTTGCCGAATCTGCACCCATGCGCGGCATCGTCGGGGACGCTATCCCTCAGACCGTGGCCGACTCGGACGACGAGCAGGCCTCCGGGGACGTCACGCGAGACCCCCCCCAGGGGTCTAGGCGTGCTGGCAGCCCCGACGACGCCGGCGCGGGTGCGAGGAAGCGTCCGCACGTGGACGCGAGCGACGCGGAGGACGAGGAGGTCATGATTCAGCACGCGGCGCCGCCGCTGCGCACGGCGCTGCGGCCAACGGCAGAGCCTCGGGCTGCGCCCTTGGACGCCGGCGACGAGATGCGCGTGGCGAAATCGATGCAGATCATCGCGTCGGTCAAGCCGGAGACGCAAGTGCTGCTTTGGGAGTGGCTGTGGCGCCAGAACAACAAGGACGGCGAACCCCCCCCCTTTGAGGGGCGCGAGGCACTGGAGAAGATGGCCAGGGAAGCGGCGGTCGCGCACCCGGCCACGAACAGGAAGTACCTGCGGCTGGATGACCTCAACATGAAGCTGATGAGCGCCGTCGCGGAGGACGCCACCGGCATTCCCACACGGAGGCGCGACAAAAAGCACGACTTGATAGAGAGGCTCGAGAGGTCCGCCTTGGACGGCGAGCGGCGCGGCGGGCCGCCGGACCGCGACGAGGACGACCCGGGCGTCGAGGCCCGCGGCGCTGCGCGGCGGCAGCGCGGCAAGCAGGCCATGGCGAAGCGCGAGGCGCGCAGGCAGCTCAAGCCCGAGGCACCGACGCGCGAGATGCCTGCGCGGAAGAGCAGGCCCCCTGACGGCTTCGGTGCCGACGGGGGCCCCGCGCTGGCTACCGGGCGCACGCAGCCTGTCATAACCGACTTCCAGCAGTTCAGGTATGACAGGCGCAGTGCTCCGATGGGCGACGAGGAGGACGACGGCGGGCCCAGCGTCGGCGCGCGCGGGCCCAGCGTCGGCGCGCGCGGGCGGAAGCGCGCGCGGTCGGCGAGCCCGCGGAGGGCGTTCCAGGCGTCGCCGTCGCCGTCGCCACAGCAACGCGGCGACGGGTCCGCGGGCCGAAAGGGCGGCGCTCGCCACGCCGGGGCCGCGGAGGACGTCCGCAGGGCGCAGGTGACGCTTTCCTTGAGCTCTGGTTCGGAGGGCGGGTCGCCGGGGCCGGCGCGGACGCAGGAGGATGCGGCAGAGGTGTCAGGGGGGGGGTCGGGGCGCGTGGCGGCGCGGCGGGGGGGAGGCCTGGGGGTCACGGCTGCACAGGCGGCGAGGGGCGCGGGGGAGGGGCGCGGGGGACGGCGTGGGGGGAGCGCGAGCGACGCGGGGGGTGGAGGAAAGGACACGCAGGTGGTGATATCCGACAGCGACGATGACGACGATCGCGATGACGGCAGGAGCGTGTCCGCGGAGGTGTGAGAGTGGCTGGTGCGTGGGTCGCTGCAGTCCGCCACGGCACGGCTGGTGGTGTGTGGTAGAAGTTGCACCTGGGGGGTGTGTGGCCGCGCGGGGCAGGTGTGGGTCGTTGGGGTGGCGAGAAGGACGCGCGGGACACTCGCTGTGCTTCGGAAGGTCGCGGAGTGGCTCGTTTGAGGCTGGAGACTCCGGGCTTGCGCGGGAACAGCGCTTTGGACTCACGCGGGTGAGACGAGCCTTGCGGGCGATTCCGCACGGATCTGGGGGTTAAACGCTGGCTGGGGGCTACGATGCCGCAGTCGTCAATCGTCGCTGGCCGTTGCGCGGCACAGGTCCCGCGTTCGCGTCGAGCTCCGGCTGGCGCGAGGGCTCGGGGGGCTGACGTGCGAGTGCGAGCTGGCAACGGGGGCCCAGGGAAGGTGCGGTGGCTCATTCTCACGATTCTCTGCAGACCACGAGCACTTCATACCTGGTCCTTCCTTTTTCAGCGTGTTTCGTCTTCCAGATCCTACATCATGCCGCGAAACACGCCCTCCTTTGCCTTCATCGCCTCGACCCTCGACGTCCTGCCCGGCCCGCGCCGCCACGCGAACACCTCTCCACGAGCACCCCACTTCCCCCATCCACAGCAGGACGACAAGCTCGGCCCCCCGAGCGGCGTGGACTACTACAAGGGCATGTTCACACGTCCGCTGTCCATGGACGAAGACGAGAACCGCGTCAGGGCCTCTGAGTCCGTCGGACGCGCGGCCAAGCTCGGGCTGCAGGCGGCGGGGGTGCTCGTCGTCCTCCTGCTCGGGTTCATGGGCAGCAACGGCCTCCTTCCGTTCCAAAAGTGATGGGACGAAAAGGACGTGTTTCCAACAGACTCCCAAAGCTAGGGAACCGTGGCCGAGGTCGAACAGGACGCGGCAGTAGCTATCAGACCCATCGCGTGTTCCTACGGTCTCAAACGTGACGTCTGGATGTCGTCAACGGGTCGCACCCAACACAGTGTGTAAAGATGTCGTCATCGCTCCGGCCCGCTAGGACACTCCGATTCAGCACCTTGGCCCCACGCACGAACTCGCTGCACGCCACGACAACAGCCGGACGTCCGCGATTCATCGCCACTCACAGCGTTGCTACCGCGACACGCGCAGCCCAAAAAAGCGCTCAGTCCTGGAGCGACACGTTGCGGTTCTCGCGGTGCACCGCGTCGATCGCCTCGAGGACCTCGGCGTCCAGGTCCACCGAAAAGGCCACCATGTTCTCCTTGAGCTGCTCCATCGTGGTGGCGCCGATGATGGTCGTGGGCACGTACCACCGGCTGCGGCACCACGCGTAGCTGAGCTGGGCCGGCGTCAGCCCCGCGTCCTTGGCGATCTTCACGTACTTCTCGATCGCCGCCTTGACCTCCGGACGCTGCGCGCACGCCAACAAACACCCACCAAAGGTGAGCGCATCATTTTGCTCTCAGTGAGCCAGATAGGGTCACGACGAGGGCGCGGCGTGGACGGCGAGCAAAGGCGCGAGTCAGGCCAGGAGCACGAGCGGGAAACTCGCCGCACACGGCCATGACTGGATCATAATCATAATTAGTTTCATGTTGCATTTGATTGATTGGCAATTACCTGGAAGCGCGCGTAGCGCTTGGGCCAGATGCTCATGCGTCCCGGCACGTCCTGGTTCTCCAGGTACTTGCCCGTCAGCGCGCCCCCCGCAAGCACGCTCCACGGCAGCAGGCCGACGTCGCAGTTGTGCGGCGCGCACGTCTCCGCCATCTCCGTCTCGTACGTCCGGTACACCAGACTGAACTGGTTCTGCACGCTCACTGGCCGCGGCGCCCCGACCGCGTCCGCCGCCTGGCAGTGCCGCATCACCCCGAAGCTCGTCTCATTCGACAACCCCCAGTGCCTAATCTTGCCCTCACGCACCAGCTTCCCCATCGCCTCGGCCTGCTCTTCGAAGGACACCGCGTCCTCCCACGCCTCGCCGATCTCGTAGCGGTTCCGCCCGAAGAGCGGCGCGTACCGGTCCGGCCAGTGAATCTGGAGCAGGTCAAGGTAGTCCGTGCGCAGGCGCCGCAGCTCGGCCTCGGCGGCCGCGACGATCGACGCCGCGTCGACGCGCGGGTTCCGCTCCTCGCCGCGCGGCACCGTGCGGTTCGCGGGCACCCAGGCGAGGCCGGTCGAGCGCCCGGCAACCTTGGTAGCAATGTAGACGCTGTCGCGTGCCGGGGCGCCGGAGGACGCGAGCCAGGAGCCGATGTACTCGGACGTGCGGCCCTGCGTCTCGGCCGCGGGGACGATGGGGTAGATCTCGGCGGTGTCGAAGAGATTGACTCCGATGTCGGCGGCGTAGGAAAGCTGCTCGTGGGCCTCTTTCTCGGTGTTCTGCTGGCCGAACGTCATCGTGCCGAGCGTGACGTCTGCAGGGGTGGCGGGTTCGTGTCGTTGTTTGCGTGTGTGGTGTCGGGCGGCGGCGCTGTCGCGCTGCGGGAGGTGTGTGTGTGAGCGGGGCGTGTGGGCGCGAGGATAGGGCGAGGCGGGGCGCGTGGGGCGGACCGGAGACGAGGAGATCGCTGGAACCGAGCTTGTTGTACTTGAGGCTCAGGGACGGCGGCGCTGCGGCGGCGCTGGCGCGCACCGTGCTGCGGGGCCGGGCCGTGGCGGGCCTGCGCGGGACAACGGCGGGTAACTAGGCGATGAACCTGTGAGATTACGTACGTACACGGCGCTGCGGGGCGACAGATGCGCGCTATCGCGTCTCTATGGGGCGTGAGAGGCCTGCAAGCATGGCACAGCCCAGCATGGAAAGTTGCGCGGCCAGACCTGTGGGACGCGACATCCTTCGCGGACACGCGCGCGGAGGACATGGTGTATCGCTGCGCGGCTGCTCTGTCTCCGTGTGCCTCCGTGAGACTCCCCTCCCTCCAGGATTGGCCGGGGCGCAAATGAGCGGCACACAAGGGTCGAGCGCTTCTGCGTGCGGCACAGGCGACGGACTGGCGCGCAATCGGTCCTGGAGATAGCTAGAGATCGTACGGGAGTGGGCAGCGGGCGAAGGGCTCGCGTGCCATGACCTGGTGGCGAGACGGTGGTGTGGGGCCTCCTGTAGTCAGGGGTCGCTTGCTGCGCGACGGCGGGCTCTTCGAGGGCGTGGTTCGTGCCGATCGCGCAGTTAAAATCACGATGTTCGCCCAGTCCGTCGCGAAGAGCGCCCCGTGCGCGAGCGCGGCGCCCGCGCGCGCGCCCCTCGCCAGGTGCGTCCGCTCGCTGCGCCCCACCGCCCGCTGTGCTTCCCGCGATCTCGCTGGACCACCGCGGGCGCCGTCGCTGCGCGCACACAGCCCCGCGGCGCCTGACAGCCCCAGCGCGCCGCCTGCGCGCTGTCTCGCACATCCATCGTCGACCAGGGCCTAGCAACCCAGAGCTGCGGCCCCACGCACTCCCCCCCCCGTTACATCCATCCATTATCGTTCGCGATGGCTTTCACACGCACTCTTCCACGATTTCGTTCACAAATTGAGCTCGGAAGTGCTCCGTCTGACTCAGCGAGCGCACCTCTTTGGCCGGTGCACCGCAGGCGTGCGCCCGCGCTGGCGCAGCGCCCTCGCCGCGCGGCCCGCACCGCCCAGGCCCTGCCCATCGGTGCCATCGAGATCGACTGGTCGGACCCGGACACCTGGCTCGGCGTCGGCGGCGCCGTGCTGGGCCTGCTCATCGGCATCGGAGCGCCCATCCTCTACATCCGCGCGTCGGGTGCGGCCCCTCCCGCTCTCTCCCGCCCGCCCCGAGACACTCCTTCCTTCACACGCCCTGCTCGCGGCGCAAGACGCCTTCGCAATCGCCGTCCGAGCCAAAACAAGGCCGCAAATCATCTGACTGGTGCTTTTTCGGCGCGTTTTGGCCGAATAAGCGGCGACAACGCTCCGTCGAAGCAAACTGCGCAATGACACGTGGGATATCATCGATGCCATTGGATTTCGTGCCTCCTTTTCTCCGCGCAGAGCGTGACGAGGAGCGGCTGGAGGAGCTGCGCGCCCTCAACCGCGCCACCAAGGAGGCCACGGGGGAGTACCTGACGGACGAGGAGATCGCGGAGATCCGGACGCCCAAGTGGACCGACCGGCGGGAGTTCGTCGACAACGACTGAGCCCTCCGCCACGCACGTGTGACTGACCCGCGCACGCGTGGCCCCCGCCCGGGCCTCTGCGCCCGCGGATCACCGACGCACTTCGAGCGCGAGCTCGTCGACCGCACCGGCGTCGCACTGTGCCGGGACCGCCGCAGCCTGGTCAACCTGCGTGCCGGCACTCCACCGCTGTCGCTGTCGCTGGCGCTGCGCTCGCCCGGCCCTTTCCTCGGTCGCTGCGACCTCGAACCGATACAATCCGCCACGCCGATCGTCCATCACACCGGGCCGTGCACGTCCATCAACGCGACCCCCCTGGCCACTGTTGTTGTTGCTACGTCAGACAGCGGGTGAGGATCGCCCTCGGAGCGCTCCTCGAGCCACGTCTGCAGGTCCTCGAACGTGTCGATGTCCCGCAAGCGCGGCAGCGCGTCCTCCGGAGCCGTCCTGAGCCCGGCAGCAGCGAAGGCCCGCAGCGTAGCTGCACGCGTGTTTGCGCGGCTCCAGGGCACGCCGCTGAACATCTCCCTGCGGATCGGGGCTCGCGACCCTACGAGGTAGTAGCCGCCGTCGTCCGCGGGGCCCAGCACGGCGCCGTGGCCCTCTGCGTCAGCACGCAGTGCCGCGGCGCTGGCCAGGACGATTTCCGTGGTCAGGTCGGGCACGTCTGTCCCGACGATGATCGCTGCGCCGCACCCCGCGTTTACCATGTCCTGCGCGACCACGTTCACGGCGCGGATCGCGTCGGAACCTGCCGCACGCCCCGTGACGGTGCAAAGTGCTTTTGTGCGGTACAGGGCCCCTGTGGGACGCGAGCGCACCTGCATCGCCGCGAGCATCCTGTCGCCCAAGTCGGCCGTCGTGCTCTGCGGCCGGACGTCCACGTGCGCGGCTTTCACGGCCCCGCGGACCCACTTTGTGACCGCAGCTTGTTCGTCCGCGCGCGAGCAGAACACGGTGACAGGGCACCCGTGGCGCGCGCAGCCGACGACCTGCGCGATGACGTGCTCCGCGCACGCACGGTAGAAGTCTGCCGCGGCCTCGTCGCCCACGCTGCGGGCCAGCCTCGTCTTCACTCTGCCAGGGGTGGGGTGCCGGGCGAAAATACCGATTCCAACTTTGATTTCCTGGTCCCCCATGCCTCCAGCCTAGTCTCTCCTCTGCTGCCCTGTCAAGAGCACGCCCCAGAGCCTCCCGGGGGGCGCGCTGGACGCTGCTCTGCGACCGGCGCAGCAACTGCGCTCTGCTCGACGTCCCAGGCGGAAATACAGAGCGTGCGGTGGACGGATGCGCTGGCGGGGGCGTGCGGTAGCAGGTCGCGGAAGCGCGCCAACATCGCCCCGGTTCGTGCGGCGCGGACGACGGGCCTGACTGCAGCGCACGTGGTCCCCGCTGCGCTCACCGCGCCTCCATGTCCCGCGGTTACACTCCCACAGCGTTACTCAGATAGCTCGCTGCGCCTACAGTCGGGACCGACGCCCCTTCGTCGCAGCACGGGCCGGCCGAGAGTTCGTTCGTCGAACCCGCGAACCTCCCCGCGGGCCCGCCGTTCAGCCCGCTCCCTCGCGATGCAGTCCGTTAGCCTCCACTCACTGCGCGTGCGGCACGTTCCGGCCGCCGCGGCGCCCGCACGGACCCCCGCGGCCCCACAGCGCGCCGCAGCGCTGCTGGCTCGTCCTGGTGCGCACCTCCACCCTGTGGCTGCCCGACCCCCGCGCAGCCATCCCCACGCGCACCAGCCAGATGCCTATCAGCCGGCCAGCGCCCTCTTTCGCGCAAGAACGCCGCATCCTGCACGCATCGCGAAAGACTAGCACCTCTACAACCAACTCTCGCCGCAAGCTCGCGTCACCGCGCGACCGGGCCAGGCCCGCAGGTGTCTCTGTTCTCGAGTTTCCGCTCCACCGGCTCGCGCCAGAATCCCTGCATGAACCGCGCGCACCACGCAGCACCCCCGAAAGCCCTCTGGCGCCTGGTACCTTGCAAGCGCGGGCCCTCCTACGTCCCCTGCGAAACACCCCCAGCGCGCTGCGTGCATCCACGCCGTTCTCCACCTCGCAAACTCGCCCCGGGACCCGCTGAAACGCTGAAATCGCCAACAATGACCTCGTGACATCGAATCAACCGCTTCCTAGGCGCAGGGAAGAATGTCCGCCGTGTCACGGCCCATGCCGCGGCCGCGGCGTCCCCGGACGACGCTGGGAAGGGCCAGTACATCGAGACCGCGCGCCTCATGAGCAGCAAGGTGCCTCCCCGCCCCGCTCCGCCCCGCACGCGCCAACTCGGCCCTGCGCGCGTCGTCGGCCCCCGCCCGCCGCTCCCGTCCGTTCCCGACGCCCAACTGCCCGCGGGACGCGTTCCTCCGCCTCTTGCGTACCTCGAGCGACGCACGGCGAGCGCACGCCGCGGACTCCCCCCCCTGACGCAGGCCGGGAAGGTGGAGCCCGCAGTGGCGGCGGAGAACCCGCAGTTCCGCCTGCGGCGGCTGCTGTGCTTCGTGGGCATCATGATCGGGTACGGGTGCTTCTACCTCACGCGCACGTCGCTCAACTTCGTCGCGCCGGTGATGGAGCAGGACCCGACGCTCGGGTTCAACATCACAAAAGTCGGGATCCTCGCATCCGCCTTCCCGATCGCCTACTCGTGCTCGAAGCTCGTCTCGGGCGTCCTCGGCGACCGCATGAAGCCGTCGCAGATGCTCGCGTTCGGCATGGTGTCGACGGCGGCCGCCAACATCGCGCTGGGGCTGGGAAACACGATGGAGTGGTTCGTGGCCTTCTGGATCCTGAACGGGCTGCTGCAGGGCATCGGCGCGCCGGCGTGCGCGCGCCTGATGACGTCGTGGTACAGCTCGAACGAGCGCGGGACGATCTGGGGGATCTGGACCACGAGTAACAACATGGGCGGCGCACTGTCGCCGCTGATCGCCGGCAGCGCCGCGAAGAACTTCGGCTGGCGCTACGGGATGTTCGCGCCCGGAATCATCGTCGCGTCGCTGTCGGTGCGCACGCGCGCTCGCCCTCGCGTGCATCGTCGCGGCAGGGCGTGCGCAACGCCCCCCCCCCCCTCACCCCCGCGCCGCCGCGCCAGCTCCCCTGCCCCTGCGTACTTCCACCCACTCAGCACACCGCCGCGGCGCACAGCCCTCCACGCCTGCCCGCACCTCCCGCGGCGCCCTGACGTCGACTGCAATGCGGCGCTCGCGGGCCACCTCGCACCGACACGCCCGGCGGCCGCTCGCGCTCGCCCTCCCTCGCCGAGCCGCGCACGCTCCGTCCGCACGCGCGCAGGTGGCGGCGCTGGCGCTGATCCGCGACACTCCGCGTCAGGCGGGCTTCAAGGGCGTCGGCGTCGAGGGAGACTCCTCGAACTCCGCCGTCTCGTCGCAGTCGTCGATGGACGAGGACGAGATCGCGGAGATCCAGGCGAAGGAGAAGGCGGAGAAGGACGCCGCGAGCAAGCTCGTGTTCCGGTCCCCGGCCATGTGGGCCATGGCGCTGGCCTACTTCTTCGTGTACGCCGTGCGGCAGGGGGCGTCGGCGTGGTTCATGTTCTACCTGATCAAGGGCAAGGGCCTCGCGGACGCGGGACAGGCCGCGGTGTACCTGTCCGCGCTCGAGATCGGCGGCCTGTGCGGCGCGCTGATGGCCGGGAAGGTCTCCGACCACCTCATCGCGAACGCACCGTCCAACGTGGGCACCGTCGGGAAGCGCGTGCAGGTGCGCTCCTCCCCCCTCGCCCCCGCGCACAGCAACAGACGGGCAGGGCAGCCGAGACAAGTGAAGGACAGCGGGGCACCGCTGTTGCTTTGGAGGGCTGTGCGACCAGCGCCTCGCCCGCGTCCAACACGCAAAGCACCCCGACCGCTTCCGTCCGCCACAGCCACGCCTCCCGCGCTCCGAACACCGCGCCGACCCGCCCCTACAGCGTGGTGCGGAACCTCGTGCCTCGCTGCTCGCGCCGCAAGCCCTCGCCTCGCCCCCCGCGCCGCCGCAGGTGATGCTGGCGTACACCGTCGCCCTCGCCGGCGCCATGGTCCTCTTCGCCAAGGTCCCAGTGGAGGTCGCGTGGATGCAGTGGGGCGCGGTCTTCCTGGTGGGGTTCGCGCTTTACGGCCCGCAGATGCTCATGGGGCTCGCCGGCTCCGAGGTCGCGGGCCCGAAGGCCGTCGGGGCGTCGCAGGGCCTCCTCGGGTGGATCTCGTACATGGGCGCGGCCTCCGCGGGCGTGCCCATGTCGATACTGGTCAACCAGTACGGCTGGGGGAGCTTCTTCGTGGCCATGTGCGTGTGCTGCGTGGCGATCGTGGTGCTGCTCACGCCGCTGTGGAACCAGCCGAGCTACATTCAGAAGAAGAAGTGGGAGGCAGAGGCGGCGGCAGCGTAGGAATCAAGGGGGGGGGTATTGTGGTGATGCGGGCCGAGACGGTCGCTCGCGGGGAGGGGATTGTGAGATCGGGACTGTGCGAGTGTGCCGCGTGGGGTGTGAGTGTAATGGACCGGCCGGCGCGCTCGGCGGGGTGGTACACTTGACTTGGGGGGGGAGTGTGCGTGGGTGGCCGGGGACTTGTGTGGCTGGTTCGCGCTGGCGTTGCAGTTGGTTGGCTTGACGGCGGCAGCCTTGTGAACGCCGCACGCGCTCGGAGGTCAAGAAGAGGGACGCGACTGACAGGACTGTGCGTACTGTAGCTCTGCTGGCGTAGCAGACGCGTGGCGCCGCGATGGGGCTGACGCGGATCCGCTTGTCGTCGTTCATGGCGGGCCTGGCGGTCGCCAGCGCGGTCGGAGGTGCGCGGGGCGCCGCCTTGGGCGGTGCAGGGTTGCTGCCAGCCTGGGCCGAAGCGCTCGCTCTCGGGCGTTTCCGTGGCGGAACTCGCAACTTGAGTACACGGTGACGGACGCGCGGCGCCGTGTTCCGCAAGAGCGTGCTGGCTGGGGCCGGAGCGGACGCCCAGGGCACTGCGCACGAACAGGCCTCCGATATCGCGCCTGCGGCCGTCCGTGCGCGGGACGATTGCGCATGCGCATGCAGTCACAATGACAGTTGCATCCTGCAGTGAACCAGCGGGCGACACGGTGACATGCGCGGTCGCGCGCTCCCCCCTCCCGTGCAGTGTACCACCTCCGCCAGGACGTGTGGGAGTCCCACGACATCCTCGTCGACCAGGGGAAGCGCGCTCAGGAGGAGATGGACAAGCGGATCGGCGAACTCGAAGCGAAGGTGCGTCGAGCGACCCAGTTCCCTCCCCCCCCTGTCACACAACACACACACTGGCTGCACGGCCGCCCCGCGGGTCCCCACGGAGCCCGTCGCCGCACGAGCATCCCCGCATAGACTTCCCCTTCCCACCCAGCTGATAGGCGCGGTCGCTTTCCGCCGTGGTGCAGGTGAAAGAGCTGCAGGGCGCCGCAAGCAAGTAGCGGCATGCGCCAGCACCATCATGCGCATAGGTTTGTGACTCCCTTGCCACGACAGACCGCGCAGGGGTGCGGCAGGGCGCGTCATGCCATGCCGCGCTCCCTGCCGTGCCGCCCCAACCGTCGCCCCGGTCCTGGAGACGTGCCTGTGTCAGGTTGTGGCCTCGCAGACAGTGTCAGAGGTGATACGGGACTTGACTTGACTTGACTTGTTCACACCCCGCAGAACGGGTCAGAGGTGATACGGGTGGAAAAAAAGCACCGGGTCACGCGCAAACGTGGGGCAGCGGCGGTCGAGAAGGCGGCGGGTGCAGTAGGTCGTCGTATCCACTGGCGCAGGGACGCCCACGGCCCTGGAAGCAACTCGAGCGCCTTTGAGTCGTTTGTGCTTCGCTGACCTACAAGTCGTTGGCGGACACAGGCAGTTTGCGTGTCAAGTTACTTCGCTGACCTACAAGCACCCTCATCGCGAGGATGCTTGAGCGACCGGATTGGCAGACGAGAGCTCGTGACTCCCTGAGCCACAGGTGATTTTCGGCACTGCTGGCCACGGGCGGTCAAAGCGGTCGTTACAGAAGGCTCTCGCGAGACCACAGAAACGTCGTCGTGCAGCAGAAGAGCCTGCGGTCGCTTGCAGGTTGAGACACAGGTCACTGCCCCCCCGCAAGTGGGGCTGGAGCCGTGACCTGCAGTCGTGCAAGCCAGTTCTTGTGCGATGCGTGGATGGAGGTCGAACACGTTGGCGCGCCGTAGAGGGAGTGTCGCCCGCGGAAGGCCGTCTCTCTGCGGCCGTAGAGCATATTAATATGCTATATGCAATATATTGCATTGCGTGTGGAGCGGGAAGCCACACAACTCGATGGCACATCGCGCCACGCACAGGGGCCGCGTCGAGACGACATTCCCAGCAACGAGAGACAAGTCGCGCAACGAGAGGGGTCTGAAAAAGAGAGGGGGGAATTGCATGTGACAACTAGAGGGCGTGAGCCGCTGAGCCTAGCAGGCCGGCGGCGGGAGATGCGATAGGATGCCCAGAGACAAGTGCGCGCGGGGGTCGCACAGATGCGCGCTGCACGTCCATGCAGCATGCGATGGAATTGCTGCGGGTCCGTTCGTGCTCGTGTCACCTTGTCCCGAGCAGTGCATCTTCGCACCGACGAGCCGAGAATTCAACAGGGAGGGTGAGAGGGGCGAGGGAGGGGCTGGGGGGGGAGCCGGGGGGAGGGGGGGGGGTTGGGGGTGTGCTGCGCTGCTCTTAAGAGCAGGTAGAAACGACCTCAGGCAAGAGTGCAACCGAAGACGCACGCCGGCCCCCGATGGATCGCTGCGGCGGGCGCGGCGGTCGAGCGGGGGCACGGAGCGGAGCACGAGCGTTGCGGAGCGGGGCGTCGCGGCCTTGCGTCGCGCCCGGAGCGGGCGAGAGCGCGTCTCGTCATGCGACGAGCGGGAGCGCGTTCATACGCCGCCGCGTGGCGGCCGCGCTGGTGCGTGGCCGCACGAAGCGCGCCGCTGCGAATTCGCCGCTGCCCGCGCCGTGTGCGAGGCCGAGCGCCGACGCAGCTGGCCGCCCCTCGTCCTGCGTGGCTCTCGCGACGCCGCGGCCTCGCGACGTGAGCGTCTGCGAGGACGCGCCCCCGTCCGAGGCGTGGTCTGTGGAGTCGCTGCGGGCCAGGGAGCCGCGCGACCCCTGTTTGAGAGACAGCCGCGCGAGGCCGCCTCCCTCTGGCAGCACGTTCGCTCGCGCGCTCCAGCGCTTCGTGCGCGACGTCTCGAATCCCTTGCCCGAGCTCCTGCACCACATGCGGAGCTCGTGATCGGTGAGATGCGCCCGGTGAGCGATGCGGCGCGCGGGATTCGCACGGGTGCTGAGGCGTCCAGGTCGGCGGGTCTCTGGGCGCGCACCCGGGGCCCAAATTCGTCGGCTCTTGCCGCGAGCCGTTTTGCGGCGGCTCCACTCGCGTCATCGCAGGGTTGGACGGGTGGCATCGCTCAGAGCTGCGCGCCGGAACGAAGGTGGTGGCGAAGGTCTTGTGGCCGTGGCCGTCTTCTGACTTGTCCCTTCTGCTGAACAGCCGCCGCTTCGAGTTCTGACGCGCAACACTCGGCTCTACCCGGAAGCACTCGTTCGGCAGGTACTCCACGCCGTCCGCGGGGGCGGCCTTGGGAGAATCAGGGTCCAGTCCGCACAGCCGCTGCAGCCACAGCTCATCTGCGTGCGCACCCGGGAACGTGAAGGGCCCTCTACGTGCTGCCGCGGCTGGCGTTCGCGTGCAAACTCGGCGGGCCGCGCCGGGCGCGTGCAGCTAGGCATTGACTGTGCCGCGTTGCGGCCCGCATGCGCCCTCGGGCGCGGAATGCGGCGGTGGTATCGACATATGTGGGCATGGTTTCGCGGCGGGGCCGGCGAATGCTGCGATTTGGGCGCGGTCGGGCCTGTCGGCTGCGTCTGGACTGGAAGCACCGTTAGGAGCGCGTTGCCTGGGGGGCGCAGCGCGTGGCCGCGTGCGGGGCTCGGCGACGTTCGTGTCCCAACCGACGGCGAGGGGGCGGCTGGTGCATGAGCGAGCGCACGAAGCGGCGCAGGCGGTCCGATCGGGGGAGGCGACGTAAGAGTGCTAATCCCCGTGGCAGCACGCGCCCGCTGTGGGGCGCGCGGGGTCGTTCCGCTGCGCACCTCGGTCGAAATCCAGGAAAGCAAATTCCCTGCTCGAGACACCCATCCCGCGCCCCGCGCTGCCCGCACGCATGAGGCCGAGCTCCAGCGCGACCCGCGCAGCCTCGTGGTCGTTCCCGGCTGTAAGCAGGCCTTCAACTCACAGCAATACCCGCTGTCTGTCCGCCGCACCGGCGCACGCCCGCACATGCCCGCCCCCGGCCGCGATCGAGCCCCCCACGGGGCAGCTCTGGGGGTCCCCTCCGGTCGAGTCAGCAGGGCGAATACGCACACCGAACCTTCGGTCCCGCCACCAGCCGCCTCGCACACCTGCTCCCAGCACCTCGCGCCGCTAGGCCTCCATCTTCGTTGTGCCGCGCCGTGCGTAAGTTCACTGCTCGCATTGTGCCCCCCGCCCGTCGCTGGCCGCACCTGCAGTGCCTCGTCCCTTGCGGCCCCTCAGCCCCGACCTGGTCGTCCGCGCCACCGCGCGTGCTGCGTCCCCCGTACTGACGCCGCGTCCGCGCCGGCATGCAACCACCTTGACACGTTGCGCTGTTGCCGTCGTCACGGCGTCCCCGCGTCGCTGCGATCCGAACTCCAACGCTACGTGCCATACGCATGCGCATCGTGCCTGTCGCAGAGGCACCGTCGGCGGTCCCCGGCGAACGGTCAGGATGACAGCCCCTCCTCCTCCTGCTTGCAATTATACTCCCCCCCTTGTGCCGTTGCTCGGCGCACCGATGCCGCGCGCGCCGCGGCCGCCGCGCAGACGAGGCGCCCCTGTGGCCGAGCAAGCAGCGGACGCGCGCGCGACCGGTCCCACGCACACACGCGCACAGCGTTGCGTAGCGGCGACTCGTGCGGCGCTCACTGCGGCGTCCCGGCGGCGGCCCTGCGCGGCGCTCCGGCTGCGCAGGACCTGTATCCGGCGCTGCGGACCGCGGGCGGCGCGGTTTGCCGGTAGAGGCGGGGCGGGCCGCGTGCGAGGCGGAGCAACATGCCGCCCAAGGCCGACCCCAAGGCGGGGGCTGCGGCGGCCGGGGAGGAGGACGGGCCGGATGACGGCGAGAGGGAGCTGATGGAGCGCGAGCTGGCGATTTCGTACCTGAAAAACAAGCTCTCGCGGTACCAGCAGACGCGCGAGGCGCTGGCGGGGGAGAACAGCGCGCTCGTGGCCAAGCTCGAGCAGGAGAAGGCGACGCACACCGACATCATCAATCTCCTGTCGACCGAGGTGCGCCGCGCAATGCGTCCGGCGCCGGAGTGCGGCCGCAGAGGCCGCGGAGGGCAGCTCGCTGACGCGGCCACAGGGCCGGCCGTGCGCGGGCGCAGGGCGAGCGTCCTCGCGGGCCGGCCCGGTCCGCCTGGATTGGTTCCGTGGGGCTCGAGCGCACGGCGTGCCGCGTGTCGTCGCGCTCGTCCGCGGCGCGAACAGGCGCTGCATGCGCATGTTCAGCCCTGCTGTGCGGCTGTGCGGGCGCGCTCGGGGAATCCAGCGGAGGACCGTGTTGCCTCGTGTCGCAACTACGGCGATGGCCGTCGAGGTGGCTGCGAGAGACGAGCGGATTGGCCGCCCGGCGGCCCGGGACCGCCCAGCATGCTCGCACGGGGCTCTCGTGCGGTCGTCTCGCAGCGCGCAGTGGCTGCGAGACCACGCCAGCGCCCGCGCCGTGCGAACGCAGGTCAACACGCGGAACGCGAAGCTCGAACAGGTCGAGAAGCAGGCCGAGGAGCTCGCTGAGGCGCTCGAGGCTGCACGCAAGGAGCACAAGGAGGCGCTGGCGGCCGTCAACAAGGTCAAGGACGCGGAAATCGCCAACCTCAAGGTCCGCTCCTATCCCAGCTGCTCCACCACACGAGGCAAAGCGGGCGCACGGCCCCTGACTGCCCGCACGCCGACGCGCAACACCAGCACGCCTCTCCGAGTCGCGCAACGGGCCCACACACGCACGCGTCGCCGCAACACGCGTCGCGGACATCGAACAGATCACGAGCAGCACGCACCGTGGGTCCTCGGGCGCGCCGACCCTCGCATTCGGCCGCGAGCGGCCCTCAACAACGTCGCGCCTGCGCAGCGGCGCCGCGCGCGCCTGCCCGAGCGCCAGCGCGTTTCCGTTGGCCCCGCGTCCGCAGGAGCTACTGGAGGACCGCGACGAGAAGCTCAAGGGGCTGGACGAGTTCATGCAGCAGAAGAAACGCATGGAGGACGAGCTGGAGGCGCACAAGGAGCAGCTGGCGAAGGAGCGGCGGGAGTTCCACGAGCTGATGAGCGACGTGGAGCGGCAGCACGTGCAGGAGAAGGACTTTTGGCAGAAGGAGATGCAGCAGCAGGTCAAGGAGACCAAGTCCCAGATGATGAAGCTCATGGACAACCAGCTCGAGATCACCACGAAGCGCACGATCATCGAGAACGAGCAGATGCAGTCCGAGCTGACGTACCAGTCGCGGCAGTCGGAGAGAATCATGAACAAGAACTCCAACCTGCTCTCGGAGGTCGGAGAGCTGCGCCGCCAGGTGGGGGTGTGCCGGGCCCTGCGCGCGCGCCCGCCCCGGTCTCGCGCCTGCTCGCGCTGCACAGGTCGTCACCGTCGCCTCCGTTCCGGGCGTGCTGCGCAGGTGGAGCTGTCGCAGCAGGCGGAGGTGGAGCTAGCCAAGCGGAACAACGTGTACCAGAAGACGATTCGCTCGCTGCTCGCGAAGCTCAAGGCGCGGCAGCAGGGCGACGCCGCGGGTTCCCACGAGGAGGTCGAGGCGCTGCAGGCGGTCGTGGAGCAGCAGGAGGAGCGGATCCGGGCGTTCGAGCTGGCGTGCCGGGAGCTGCGGGAGCAGCTGCACGACGCGCTCGCGGACGTCCGCGTGCGCGAGATGCGCGAGGGCGCCCTGCGCGACCGCCACGACGCCGCGACGCGCCTCGTGCAGCGCATGGTTGAGGAAATCAGGCACGCGCAGGCGGGGGAGGCTGCGGACGCAGAGGACGCGGAAGCGCCGCCCGCGACGGAGGTCGTCGCGGGCCTCACGCGCGACGAGGTCCTGAAGCACGTGACGGCGCTTGTGGAGCGGCTGCGGGCCGAGGGGGCGCTCGCTGCGAAGCCGGCGAGCCGCGGCGCAGTACCGACTGGGGAGAGCAGCCCGCGGCGGCGCGGGTACTCGTCGATGATGAGCGGCCACGAGCAGCTGCCGCCGATCACGCAGCGCGGGCCGCTGTCGCCGCGGGACGTGGAGGCGCTTCAGGAGTCGCAGGCGCTGATGGCGACGCTGCGGGGGCCGCCGTCGCGGAAAGCGTCTCTGACGAAGTCGACGGCGCGGCAGGCGAAGGCGTACCAGCAGGTGGCGGGCGTGGACGAGCTGCTGGCGTCGCTGCTGCGGGGCCCGCAGCTGCCAGCGACGCTGCGCGGACAGGACCTGTCTCGGACAGCGCCGCCCGCGGTGCTCGCGGCGAACAAGACGGGGACGCGGAAGTGAGCGCAGCTAAGCTCGGACGTGCTAGCTGCGGCGCTGCGAGGGCCGCGCGGGGCGCGTTGTGACCGCGAACGGAGCTGTGTGCGGCACGATGGTGCCTGGCGCTGCATGCTGCCTCACGTTGGCCGGTCGACACGCCCACGCGGGCGAGGGGTAGCGCGTGTGCTGGTGTCGGTGCGGCGGCCGCTTGGGTGCCGGTGCGTGGCGCGTGCGGAACTCTCTTCAAGTGGCCGTGGTGCCGGCCGTCGCCTGCATGCACGTGCATCGCGCCCGTGGGAATCCGGCCGGGTCGTCCGTCCACAGCCGCCGCCGACCCTCCACAGTGCTGCAAGCGCGCACCGCGGTCGCACGCCACGCCCGCGACCTGAGTCAGGGGGGGGGGTGCAAGATACAGCACCACCAGGTGCTGCGTTCCACCGGGGCTCTGGTGCGGTCGGCGGCGCCCGCGGCTGCACTCTCTGCGACCTCCGCGGCGTCCCGGCAGCGAATTCAGCACGATGAAGGCGCTCATTCTCGTCGGAGGCTATGGCACGCGCCTGCGCCCGCTGACCCTCAGCGTTCCGAAGCCCCTCGTCGAGTAAGCGCCCCGTCCTGCCGCGCCGCCTCCGCCACTAGCAGCGACGTGACGTGCGCGCAAGCAGCCGGGGTCGATCATCGCGATCCCGGCGCAATCGACGGCTCGCACCGTGCTCGCCTGTGAGCGCACTCGCACGATGCCGCGCCCGCAGGTTCGCGAACGTCCCGATGGTGGTCCACCAGATCCAGGTGCGTCGCTCGTCGCCCCCTCGCTCCCCACGCCCGTCGAGCTGCCCGCGTTCGCGCCACCGCCCGCCCGCGCGCAGGCTTGCGACGCCAGCAACCACGCTCGGGGTCGCCACGACCGGCGCACGCCACACGGAATCGCGAGCGCGCGCCCGCTGCTCGTTTTCTACTTCCTCTAACTGAATATCGCCGCGAAACTCCGATTCCGTTCGCGCGGTGCGTGTGCGCAGGCCCTGAAGGAGGCAGGAGTTGATGAGGTGGTCCTGGCGATCAATTACCGTCCCGACGTGAGCCCCCCCCCCGCACGTCTCCGCTGCCCCCGCCTGCCCACTTCCTCGCCCACCGCCGGCGCCGCCCCGCGCGCGCTGCTGCCCCCGCACGCCGCGCGTAGCGCCGCGTCCTGCCCGCGGACAGGAGACCGGCCCTGGCTGCGGCGGGCCCGACCCGCACACCCCCCGCGGCGCGCCCGCAGGTCATGGCCGACTTCATCAAGGAATGGGAGGGCAAGCTCAACATCAAGATCTCCGTTTCGAAGGAGGACGAGCCCATGGGGACTGCCGGTGAGCCCCCACGCGCCGCCGCGCTCGCACCGCGCGATGGTCCACCTCCAAAACCGCCCCTTGCCGGCCTCTGACGCCGTACCGCGCTCGCGGCGCCCAGGAACCGGCCCCGCGGCCCGTCTGCGAGCGCGCAGGTCCGTTGGCCATTGCTGCGAAGACGCTGGACGACGGCTCCGGGGATCCGTTCTTCGTGCTGAACTCGGACGTCATCTGCGACTACCCGCTCCGGGACATGCTGAACTTCCACAAGCAGTCCGGCGCCGAGGGCACCATCCTCGTGACGCGCGTCGAGGACCCGTCCAAGTATGGCGTTGTCGTCATGGACGGCAAGGGCAAGATCGACCGGTGCGCGCCCTGAGACCGACGCCGCGGACCGATGCGACGTGGTCTGCGTTTGCGTCGCGTCGCGGGAGGCCGGCGCCGCGGGACGCGGCCGGCGCAGCGAGCGTGAAAGTCGTTGTTCGAAGCGCCGCTTCGGCCGCGCGTGGGCACCGCATCGCTCGGCGTCACGACGCGCTTTGTGTTTTTCTCGCAGGTTCGTCGAGAAGCCGAAGGAGTTCGTGGGCGACAAGATCAACGCGGGCATTTACTGCATCTCCCCCGAGTGTCTGAAGCGCATTCCGATGAAGCCGACGTCGATCGAGCGCGAGGTCTTCCCCGCGGTCGCGGCCGACAACAAACTTTTCGCGTTCACGCTCCCGGGCTACTGGATGGACGTCGGGCAGCCCAAGGACTACCTCGCAGGCCTGAAGCTCCACCTCGAGTGCCTGCGCGCGAAGAACCCCGCGAGCCTCAGCTCCGCGTCGTACGTCAACGGAAACGCAATCGTCGATCCGTCCGCGAAGGTCGGCGCGAGCTGCAAGATCGGCAACAACGTGTCGGTGGGCAAGGAGTGCGTGATAGAGGACGGCGTGCGGCTGGAGAACTGCGTCGTGATGGCCGGGTCGAAAATCAAGTCGTTCGCGCGCATCAAGAACTGCATCGTCGGCTGGGACTCCACCGTCGGGCAGTGGTGCGTGCTCGACAACCACTGTGTCCTTGGCGCCGACGTCTACGTGCGGGACGAGCTCACGCTCAACGGCGCGGTCATCCTGCCGCACAAGGAGATCAAGGAGGACTGCCTGGAGCCGAAGATCGTGCTCTAGGCGGACAACGTCGCGCGGCCCGGCGGCGACGTCGGCTGCGCTGACCGACAGCGCCGCCCTGCCTCCTGCTGTTGTCAACGCATCGGGAGCGCGGGGCGGGCGGGGCGCGGGGCGGGCGGTCGCAGTTGCGCCGTCGGGGCCCGCGTGACCGGTCGCGGGGCGTCTCGCCGGCGCGGCGCCACCAGGACCTCGAGTTGAACGACATTCTCGAAAACATGTCTTCCAATAGACTGCTGGTGATATCAAGGACCTGGGGCTGTCGGCGGCCTGGCGCACTGTGAGACGGCGGTCCGCGCGGCGGACTCCGGGGGAGCCGGCGGTGTCAGACGGCCGCCTCGGGGAGTCTCTGGTGTCAGACATGCAGCATGATGCTGAGTACTGGCCGACGTCGCGCGAAGGCGCGCGGCCGCGGCTGCAGCAGTGCAGTTGTCGCCGGTCGCCGTCAGCGCGCTTGTGTTTGTCCGCGTGCAAGTGACCGCAGCTGGGCGTGTCCTGCGCGATAGATAGGACTGAGCTCGCGCCAGCGGCGGCTGCGTGTCGCAGCGGCGAGGCTCACGCGGCTAGCATCCGTCCGGGGTGTATTAGGAGGGCACTGCAGCGGACTGACGTGACTGTTGGGCGCTGGGCGGCGCAGCGGGGGCCGTGTGGGTGCGTAGGCGGGGGCGCGTGCTGGTGGCACGATGGGGGTGCAGTCGCGGATGAGGAAGAAGCGGGGGGTGGCCAAGGTGTCGCGGAAGACCAAGAACAGGGGGCAGAAGGTGTCGAAGTTGCCGGAGGAGTTCAAGAAGGACCTGGCAGTCCTGGAAAAGGGAGTTGGGGTGGCACCGACGTGGAATGAGCTAGACACCGTGGAGGACAATTACGTCAGGTCCGACAACTACGCTGCATCGCTGCATACCGGTATGAAACGAAGCGCGCGATTCCAGGCCGAGAAACACGCCTGGCGAAGCAGCCACCGGCACCGCCGTCGCGGCGCGTCGCCTGGGGTGCTACATTGCGCTCTCCTTCGCGCTCTGTGGAACCTCGATCCATTTCACATCATGTCCTGGCCTTGAGCGTGCGTATCACGCTATCAATGCAGCGCAGTCGCGCCCTGCAGCCTGGCGGAGCACGCACAAGCCTCCGCTGCCGCCCGCCGCGGGGCGCTCACGCGTCCGCGGCCCCGCGCTGCCGTCCCGCAGGAACGGCATCCTCCGGAACGCCAACGCCAGCTTCGGGCGCAACAGGCACGCGGAGAGCCGGAAACAGGAGGCGCGTCGTGTGCGCGAAGAGGCGGGGGCGCAGAGCCCCGAGCGCGACGACTGCAGCGCCTCGGAGAGCGACGACGAGCTCCGCGCCCTGCTCAGCAAGGCGAGTTCCCCCGCAGCGCCCCTTTCGCGCGAATTTGGCAGCGGCACAGCCACCGAGCTGCAACAGTTGCTGCACCCGCGCCCAGGCCGCGCGGCCGCTGCATCGTTCGCCGTGCGCGCTCTGCGGCCGCGGGGCGCTCCGTGCGCGCACCTGGTCGCACGGACGCATCAGGAACCATGATTTCGTATCTGTCGTTGTGCGCAGACGCGCAAGACTGGCGTGGCCGCGCCGAAGCGGCTGACGCCGACGCAGGTGCGCGTGGTGGAGGAGCTCATCGCGGCGCACGGCGACGACGTCGCCCGCATGGCGCGCGACATCAAGCGCAACAAGATGCAACATACGGAAGGGAAACTTCGAATGATGATTCGCAGCTACAACCACTGGGGCAACGACCCGGCGAACCGCCACGACTTCCGCGTGCCGCGCAAGGGCCTCTGGTGAGGCAAGAGATTGCGCGTGACGGATCGGGCCGCGAGCGCGCATGTGTGTGATGTGAAAAAACAGGCGCGGGAGGCGGTGAGGTTGGCGGTCCGTCGCTCCGTGGACGGGGACACTGGCCGCGGCCGGCAGGGTGCGTCGCCGGCGGCGCGTCCGTCCGGACCAGGTGTGCGGCGTGGAACTGACGTCAGAGGGCCTGGCCGAGGCTAGGTTGATCAGGAGGGTCCCCGCGCCCCGCCAAGGGCCCGCGGGGCCACGGTGCGGCGCGCAAAGGGCTGGAAATAATCCAACTTCGCCGCACCGTCGCGCTGGAAGTCGCTGATCCGTCCGTGCGAAGACGCAACCGCACGGCCCCTCTCGCCCAACTGCATCTCGCGATGACCTTCGCCGGCGCCGCCAGCCTGCTGCGCACCCGCGCGCCCGCGGTCGCGCCCCAGCGCCGCGCCCAGCGCCGGGTAACCGCTCGCGCAGGTGCGGAACCACGTCAGCGGCGCCCTGCTCTGCCCAACTGCGCCAAACCACTTCCCGCCCCGCAGCGGCCCGCTCGCGGCCCAAAGTCCCGATGTCGCCTGCGACGCCGAGCTCCAGCTCCCCGCCGCCCTCGCCCCGGCGCTTCGCCGCCGTTTCGTGCCCCAGCGAGCGCGCCAGGGCCGGGGTTTCAGCACTGGGTGGCTCTAGCGCAAGCAGCTGCGGCCAGAGGCGTTTCACGCGCACAGCGCGCGGGCCCGCCTTCCCGCGACGTTCCTCGCGCTCGAACATCGCACGCCGAGCACCTGCGCGCGTCGCGGGGCAGCGTTTCGCGACGAGCGCGCCCGCGGAGCAGCAATCTCGCACCGGAGGTTGCCCCAGGCTTCCCCAGCCCGCTCTCGCGCGCCGCGCCCGCGCCGGCCCTGCGCCGCGCGCCCCAGAGCAGCATGAACGGCTCGTTCCCCGTCAGACACGACGCGCTCCCAGCTCCTTCGTACCCAGCCAGCCGCCGTTGCGCCTGCATCGAGCAACGGGCCTCTCACGCGCTGCCGCGCCCCGCCGCGGGCCCGCCCCGCGCGCCGCCGACGCGTGGTGCTTCCTCTGTGGGCGTTGCGCGCAGAGGAGGAGTCGAAGTCGCTGGAGACGATGCGGAAGTTCGCACAGCAGTACGCGAAAGGCTCCGGGACTTACTTCTGCATGGATAAGTCGGTGACCGCCGTCGTCATCCAGGGCCTCGCGGAGCACAAGGACGAGCTCGGAGCCCCGCTGTGCCCGTGCAGGTCCGCACGCGCGTCACCCCGAGCGAGCGCCCCGCGCGTGCTGTGGGCTGCGTTGCGCACCTCACCGCCCGCGCCGCCCGCGCCGCAGGCACTACGACGACAAGGCCGCGGAGGTCGAGCAGGGGTTCTGGAACTGTCCGTGCGTGCCGATGCGGGAGCGGAAGGAGTGCCACTGCATGCTGTTTCTGACCGAGGACAACGATTTCGCCGGCGACGACCAGACCATCTCTATGGACGAGATCAAGGAGACGACGTCGCAAATGTAGGGCGCGCGGGGATCGCCGTGCGCGGGCCGCGGCCCCGCCTGCTGCGCAGCGCACTGCGCTGCGTGACGAGCGACGCCGCGACGGCGCAGACAGGGTCGATACACGCCCGCCTGTGACTCGCGGGGGCGTGGGAGGGGGAGTCGCGCTGTCGCTGCAGGTTTGTCAGACTGGTTGTCCCTTACACAGCGGCTGCGGCGTGCGCGAGCAGCGCGCTGCGCGGCTACGCTGCTTCGTCCGAAATCGCGCGATCCGTCCTGGCGCGGCTTTCGCGTCGCACACCGCCCGCCGCGCCTGCGTGTGCTCTGCCGGCAGCGGCGGTTCGACGCCGCGCCCCGCGGCGCCCAGAGCGCAGCACGCGCCCAGCCCGGTCACTCCTTCCTCAGCGCCTCCCACTCCTGCGCCCCCACGACGCCCGTCTCGTCGAGCCCGATCGACGCCTGGAAGTACAGCACGGCCTCCCGCGTGCTCTCGCCGAAGAACACACACTGCACACGCAACGCAAACCCGCACAATCATCTTCGAACTAATCATTCTTGAGCACTGTCCTTTCTCATCATTCATCGTTGGCCTACACCTCAGCGCCAAACTCACGCCGAGACCGCGCCCTCTGTCCCCTCAGAGACGGCGCCACCACGGCAGCCCACAAGAACGAACACTTCCATTCATCAGCGCAGCAAAACGAAAACATCCACGCACTCCTCCGTCTGCAGCGCCGCACCTCGATTTCCTCGTCGCTGGGATAGAACCCGTTCTCCACCAGACACCGGTGCAGCTCCGCGATCCAGTACAGGTCCTCGCTGCCCTCGCCCAGGCCCTCTGGCGGGCCGCGCGCCCTCGCCTCCTCCGCCGTCTCCGTCGCCAGCGCCACGCCCCCGCCCGCGGCCTCCGCCGCCACCTCCGCCGCGCCGCCGAACGCCGCCGGCTGCGCCGCCCGCGGGGGCCCGCCGAAGAGCGGTCCGAGGCCCAGGGTGTTGAGCATGTCAAGCTCGTCCTCGGCGAGTGACAGGGGGTCGCGGCGCGGCGGCGCAGGGGACGGGCCGGCGGGGTCGACGCCGTGCATGGCGGCTGCGATCTCGCTGTTCACGTCGCTCGCGGGCGCCGTGGCGTCGAAGGGCGCGGGTGCGGCGGTCGTCGTCGCAGCGGGCGTCGCGGCAGCTGCGGGGGGGTGGGGGAGGGGGTGCGGAGGGGGGGTTGGTGTGGTGTGGGTGGAGTGGGCTGTGGCGGTGTGCGGGGCGGGGGGCGCTGGAGGTGGCGGGATGGGTGGTGGCTTGTGAGTGAGATAGGGCTTGGGTGGGCGGAGAGTCGAGGAATGAGGTCTGGTGCGGCGCGGGTCTCACCGAGAGTGCGTTTGATGCTTGCGACGCGCGCGTCGATCTCGGTCTTGATCTTCGGGCAGTCCTTGCAGCGGTGCTTCTTCGGCCGGCTCGGGTGCTTGCACGTAGCGCTGCACGGCGCGGCAGGAACGGCGGGGCTGCACAGTCAGGATCAGCGCAAGCAGCAGGGCGCGCCACGCCGACATGACGACCGCATCCGATCCAAACGCACCTCCAGCGGTGCCCCGTAGCGTGGCGCTGCAGGTCCGAGAGCTCGGCTTCGAGCCGCGCGACCATTTCCGGCTCCAGCGTCGCGCTCAGGCCCACGTCAGAAGCTCCAACGGCCTCCTGCGGCGCACCGGCGGGCTCTCCCGCCGGCGCCGCGGCGGCCGCAGGCGCCTCGGTCGCTGGCTGGGCCGCGACGGGCGTCGCGGCATCGGTGCGAGGCGCCGATTCGTCGCGGGCGGCCGGAGCGTCCGCAACGGACGTGCGCGCGTCCGCGACGCGCCTGCGCGCGAGCATTGTCAGCTCGGCCTGCAGCTCGCGGAGCTCGCCGCGCAGCTCGGCCTCCCGCACCGCCCAGCGCTCACGCTCGGCGTCGAGGCGCTCGCGCTCCGCCATTACTGCCTCCTGTTGCATCTTCGCCAGCTTGCGCACCGTCTTCAGCTCGGCCTCGCGCATCTTCCGCGCCTGCTTGTCGACGCGACACACCACGCTGCCGCGCGCCGCCGGCGCCGCCGCGCGCCGCCCGAGCGGGCCCGCCAGCGGCAGAAGACTCGCCATATTGCTGCAGCTAGGAGCGGCCAGCGCCAGCGGCTGCAGTGCCGAGGGGCGGTGGCGCGCCAGGCCGAGCGAGCCGGGGTGTGCGCGCGCATGGCGCGCGCCCCGGGGTTTCCCGCCGCGCGCGGGAGACGCTGATCGCGTGGTATGAGGGGGGGGTGCGTAAAGAATCCGTCGGTTCGGTTCGATGGCTCAATGCCGGCGTCCGCGAGGAGGTGCGGGCGCTTCATAGTCCTCTGCTTAGCCAACAAACCTCGTAGAAAGATGTCGTTCGCGCCCTCCGCTTTCGCCGGCAAGGCCGTCGTGGTGGCCAAGCCCACCGCCCGCACGGTACGCCCCCGCCGCGTCCCGGCGCCCCGCGCCGCCTCAATTATTCACGCACAGCGCGCTCGTGCCCGCGAGGACTGCGTGTAGCCCCCGCAGCCGCGGCGCGTCGGCTCGACCTGGAGGGCAGCGAAGCGCAACGGATCCTGCCGGAGCACGCGCGCGCCCGCCCCTGGAGCGCCCCGGGCCCCGCCCGCACCACAGCAGCGACATCGCCGCCCGCCTCGCGGCCGAACCGCGGCCTCGCGCCGCGGACGGGCCCGTCGGCCGATCGCTTCGGTCGACCCGCGCTCGACTCAATCCTCTCACCGCGCCGCTCCCGCCCCCCCGCCGCCGCGCAGGGCCGCACCTCGGTGCGCGTGCAGGCCGCCGACCGCCCCGTGTGGTTCCCCGGCAACGAGCCCGCTCCCCACCTGGTAAGTCGCGATCTCCCCACTTGCCCCCCCGCACGCGCCCCGCGCGCCCCCCGCACGCGCCCCGCGCCCCCACACACGCCCCTCGCATTCCAACCATACTATCCTTGCGCTCCATTCCGCCTCGCAACCCATCACCCGGCCACCGCAGCCCTGCCCTTCCCTCCCCACCCCTCATGCGCTCGCGCGGCCGCCCCCGACCACGCAGGACGGCTCCATGCCCGGCGACTACGGCTTCGACCCCCTCTCGCTCGGCTCGGACCCCGAGTACCTCAAGATCTGGCGCGAGGCTGAGCTGCAGCACGCCCGCTGGGCCATGCTCGGTGCCGCTGGCGTCCTCGCCCAGGAGATCGTCAAGCCGGACGTCAACTTCTACGACGCCCCGACGAAGATCGACCTGCCCTTCTCGATCCCCACGCTCATCGGCATCCAGTTCATCCTCATGCACTACGTCGAGATCCGCAGGTGCGCGCCACGGCAGCGATACCCAGTGCCCTGCCAATCAACAGCTGGCGCCCCCGGGTGCAGAATCTGCGCGCCAGCGCCCCGCGCAGGCCGCCGGAGCCCCCGTCCGCGCCTCCCGCGCCTCGCCTGTACCCGTGCCTTGCCCGCGCGCGCCGTCCCGCGGCCTCCGCGCCCCGTGCCGCCCCGCACACGCACCGCGAAGCCCTCGCACGCCACCGCGCCACCTCTCCCCGCTCCGCACCGCCCTCGCGCGCGCACTCGCGGCCCCGCGCGGCCGCCCCCGCCACTCCCGCGGCCCCGCGACGCGCAATTTCGCCGGTCTCGAACCCCCGCGGCCCGCCGCGCGTCCTCGCAGGTGGCAGGACCTGCGCAAGCCCGGCTCGGTGAACGCCGACCCCTTCAACCCCAAGTACAAGCTGCCGGACCACGAGCCGGGCTACCCGGGCGGCATCTTCGCGCCCTTCATCCCGGGCGACATCGAGACGCTCAAGGTGAAGGAGATCAAGAACGGCCGTCTGGCGATGCTCGCCTTCATGGGCTACATCGCTGCGTACCTCGCGACCGGCATGGGCCCGCTCGAGGCGCTCGGCGCGCACATGGCCGACCCGGGCAAGGTCAACGCGTTCAGCTACGGCGCGATCCCCTCGCCGGGCAGCTTCTAAGCGGCCGTGTCTGTCCCGCTGATGAGCTGACGCGGGGCGGGGGGGTAGTGTTGTGGGGGGTATTGGGGTGTTTGGGCGCGCGTGGATGGGCGCGCGGATTGCCGCGGACGGGGGGACTCCCACGGACGTGGCGCGGCGAGCACCGCCGCGGCGCCTGTGCGGGGGGCCGCGGTGGGCTGGCTGTTGGCTTGGCACTCGCCCAGCGCCGTGCAGGCGGCTGGGCGCGGATGGGCCGCGCGGCTGAGGCCGCCGCGCTGGCCTTGTGAAGTATGATTGTCAAATATGACTCGCGCATGTGTTTGACTCGCAGCGACGCGAAGAACGTACCACCTCACCTCACATGAGCCTGGCATGCCTCCCGCACACCTCGACTGCGCTCAGGCGCTGGCTTCTTCGCTGCCCTACGGCTCTACCGCCGCCGTCGCCCTCGGCCGCCCCCCTTCTCGGTCGAACCGACCTCCGGCGCAGACATACATGTTCGTTCAACACGCAGACGCCACCGGCGACTTCTCCCCGCCACAACCCCCTCCAGCCCTGCACGAAGCAACTCGCAACACCCCCCCGATTTCACTCCTTGTCCGACTCGCTCGAGTCGCTCCTCGCCTCCGCCGCCAGCAACCGCTCCTGAAAGGCTCGCAGGCGCGCCATCCGCTCGCTGTCCCGCTCGCTCTCCAGCCTCCGCTTGACCGGCTTCGTCTCCAGCGGCTCGGCGTGGTCCCCGTCGAGGTCCGGCACCGGCCCGGTGTCGGGGCACGCCACGCGGCGCACCTGGATCGACCGCACGGACCCCTGGACCAGCGTGCCCGGGGACAGCAAGTCCGACACGACGACGACGACGTCGTTCGCCTGCACGAGCCCGCGCTTCACGAGGAGCCGGAACGTGCGGTTGACGTTCTCCTCCGGCTCCGGGTCAAAGTCCAGGCGGAACGGCACGGTGCCCCAGCGCAGGTTGAGGCGCCGGGCGGTGTCGCCCTTGTCCGTGAAGGCGAAGATCGGGCAGTCCGGGCGGTGCCGGGACAGGAACTGGCCCATGTAGCCGCGCCGCGTGAAGACGAAGATAGCCTTTGCGTTGAGGTGGTTGGCGATGCGCACCGCGGACGCGGAGAGCTCATCGGCGAGCCGGCCCTCGTACGTCGCGCCGAGCGCCGGCAGGTCCAGCGCGGCGAAGTTGCTCTCGCGCAGCCACTCCTCCGCGCGCGTGCACGTGTCGCGCAGCACCTCGACCGCCGCCTCGACGTGCGCGCCGTCCGTCGCCGTCTCCGCGCTCAGCATCACCGCGTCCGCGCGCTGCCGCACGACGTCCGCGATGTCCGACACCTCGGCGCGCGTGGGGCACGGGTACTCGATCATGCTTTGCAGCAGGTGCGAGGCGACGATCACGGGCTTGCCCGCCTGCCGCGAGAGCGTCACGATGCGCTTCTGCACCGCGGGCACGTCCTCGACGGGGATCTGCGCGCCGAGGTCTCCCCGGGCGACCATGATGACGTCGGACGCGGCAATTATGTCCGGGAGGTTGTCTAGCGCGTCGATGCTTTCAATCTTCGCGACGACCTCGACGGCCTTGGTCGCGCGCGCCGCGACGTAGGACTGAAGGTTCTTGATGACGTCCGCCTGCTTGACGAAGGAGACCGCGATCCAGTCGACGCCCTGCGCGATGGCAAAGTCGATGTCCTGCCAGTCCTTGGACGTGATCACGGGCAGCTGCGAGTTCTTCGCGCGGATGATGGAGCCGTTGCGGCGGAAGGTGAGGTTCGCGCGGGACAGCACGAGGCCCGGGTCCACGCAGCGGCACAGCACGTCCGGGCCCGCCTTCTCCACCACCGTGAACGAAACCATCCCGCCGTCCACGAAGATGTCGTCCCCGACCTGCGGAGGGGGTGTTCTAGGGGTGTTTTGCGCCGCGTGCATCGAGGCCGGCGGATCGCGCGCTTCCGCGCCGCGGCGGAGAGAAGCACGCCACGCAACGCTATGCAACGCAACGCAAGGCGCGCGACGTGCGTACACCTCGCGCGCTCCGCGCTGCTGCGGCGGCGCGCGTCGACGGCGCCGCGCGCCGGCTGCGTGCGCGTTGGTGCGCGCCAGCTCGGGCTGCGGGCGGCGGTGGGCGCGCGTCGCACCTGGACGTCGTCGACGAAGCCGTCGTAGTTGACTTCGAGGCAGTCCGGGACCGCGGAGGCGAGTCTGCGGATCGTGAACACGAAGTCCTGGCCCTCCTGCACCCTGTGCTTCGTCCCCACGGTCCCCGGCGTCTCCTTGCAGTGGATCTCGGCGCCCTCGGTGTCCATCATGATCCCGATGTTGAAGCCGCGGCGCGCGTTGATGGCGCGAATGCGGCGAATGACCTCCGCGTGCCATTCCCTCGTGTTGTGGCACATGTTCAGGCGCGCGACGTTCATCCCTGCGGAGGGCGGGCGAGGTGGTTGTGGCGTAGGGTCGAGGGGTGCAGGGGGTGTGTGGACCGCGGTGCTGGGCGGGGAGCGGCGTGGTGGTGGCGTTCGTGGGGGGGCTCGCGAGGGGGGCGGCTGCGCGGACCTTTCTCGGCCATCTTCTCCAGAATTTCCTCGCTCTCAGAGACAGGGCCAATTGTGCAGATCATCTTGGTGCGCCTGGTCGACCGGAAGCCTGCGCGACGACGGGAGTCGCAGGGGTTTTAAGTGGGGATGCCACATTCCAGCGAAAAATTGCGAATGGGCGCGTATCAACCGCTGCCGGGACCCCTCGGCCATCGACGGCGAACCTCCTCGACGGCCCCGTGCCGCCGCGCGGGGATCAGCGGTGCCCGCTCGCAATTTCGGTCGGTACGCACCATTCTCCCGCAGCTCCTTCTCCAGCCTCGTGTCCACCTGCAGCCGGTCGTCGCCTCCCGACCGCTGCACCAGCCCAGGCGCGTCGTCACCGGCCTGCTGCGCGCCCTCCACGTGCGCCGTGCCCTGCGCCCCCTCGTCCATCGACCTCACAACCGTCTGCGCGCGGCGGTAGCGCCGCGCATCTTGCGCACACGCCCGCACGGGACGAAACGCCCCTCGCGCAAGCCCCACCCTGATGGGCCGCTGCTGCGCGAGCACGCGGGCGAACATACTGCCGTTCCGCGTCCCCCAGTTCAACCACCACTTCAACAACCACCAGTTCCCGATACCTCGCCGCGTCAGGCGAGCCGGGCGCTGCCAGGGGCGCACTGCAACCGCCAGTGCTCTGCTCCTTCGAGCTCCGTCACGGCGCGCTCTTCCGGTGATTGAACGCCTCGGCTGTGGAGAGTACGCGAGCGCGGTGCCGCCGGGCTGCCACGTCGTCTCGCGCGGGGGGGGCGTGAGCCGGTGCGGAGGAGGGAGGCCCCGTGTGGTTGGTCGGACGCGGGCGTGCGAGGCCCTGACAGGGGCTTGTGCGGCGCCATTGCGCGCACGTGCGCGCCGCGTCCGGCGTTGTACTCGCTGGGAGTGCGCCGGTCGTTCCTGTGCCACGTCATCGGCCCCCGACGACGCTCTGGGCGCGTCTGCTTCTGCGGATCGTGCGGCGCGTGGGCCGGGCTGCGCGAGGACCTTCCTGGTCCTGCGCGCCGAGGCTGTGTAGGGCGTCCCCCATCTATCACGGGGGCGGATTCTCAGCCTGGGACGCGCGGGACGCGGGGAAGAGGTGCTGAGTGCTTTCCTCGCGCAGCGGTGGCGCCCCCGCGCGTCGAATAGGCTAGAGCGGACCGGACAGTGCAGCAGGTATCAGGAGGACTGCACGGAGGCGCGGGATCAGGGATGCAGGGGTCGGGTGAGATGGGCAGGGCGGACAAACATCCTGCGAGGGGCCTCGGAGTAGTTTTCGCACCGACGAGCGATCCCAAGGTGAGTCTGCGCGGTCACGCCGAAGGAACTGTCTCATGATGACGCGCCTGCGTGCGCGAAGTGCGCGCCAAGTCGCACATTCGTCGTCAGAGCGGCGTTTTCTGGCACTCCCACGGCGTGGGTGGCCCCCGGTGCCTAGCGCGCCAGGCATTCCGAGCGCCCGCCCCCTGGTTCCATTCAGCCACGAAACAGCAGCGAATTACGCGCACTCTCCAGGCTCTCCGATGCGGCCCCGCGCGCTCTCGCCTGCCTGAGCTCGCCGCGACACGCGCGTCGCACGCGACGCCGCTCGCGACAGGCCGACACCGCATGAGCACATGCCGCTCCCGCGCGCCTTCCGGCCAGCACCGCCGCTGACACACGTCCGACTCACATCAACGCCGCGGACACCCCCCCCCCCTTTGCAGCACCACGGAGGCATCACGTCCCTCGCGCTCAGCGACGGCGGGTTCACGGTCTTCACGGGCTCCCGCGACGCCACCGTGCGGCGCTGGGACGTCGGCCGGAAGGGCGGTCTCGACGGGAGGTGCACCGGCGTATACGTCGGCCACACCGGCTGGGTCAACGACGTCGTGCTGTGCGGCGACGTCCTCGTCTCGTGCTCGAACGACCACACCGTCCGCGTGTGGCCCACCACGGGCGACGCGCCCTCGCCGCTGCACACGTACGCGGCGCACGCGGACTACGTGTCGCGGCTGGCCGGCGCGTCGGACCGCAGCATGGTCGTCTCCGCGGGCCTGGGCGGCGAGATCTTCCTCTGGGACGTCCACGCCGCGCGCCAGGCGCCCGTCTCGCGCAACACCCCCCCCGGGGTGTCTGCGAGCCCGATCTGGACGTCGCCGACGCCCGGCGCGCCGACGTCGCCGGCCGCGAACGGCTCCGGCGCGATCGAGAGCGCCGCGGGGCTCACGACGTCGTCGCTGTACCGCCCGCCGCCGTGCTCGCTCTACGCCGTCGCGTGCTCGCCCAGCGCGAGCGTGATTGCCGCGGGCGGCACCGACCACGCGATCCGGCTGTACGATCCGCGCGCGGCGCGGCAGGCGCACGAGCTGCGCGCGCACAGCGACATCGTCCGCGACCTGTGCGTGTCCCCCGACGGGCAGCTCTTGGTGTCGGCGTCGTCGGACGACACTATCCGGCTGTGGGACCTCGGGCAGGCGCGGTGCGTGTCGACGTACCGCGTGCACCGCGACTCGTGCTGGGCGGTCGCGTGCGACGAGACGTTCTCGGTGTGCTACAGCGGCGGGCGCGACGGAGGGATTGCGCGCACCGTGCTGAACAACGGCGCGTCGGACCTCCTCGCGCGGGAGGAGCGGCCCGTGCTCGCGATCGCGGTGGACGAGGAAGAGGCCCCGGGGCGGGTGAGACGACCCCCAAGCTTCCTGCTCCTGAAGCACCGCTTGATGGCTCCCGTGCTTGCTTGCCGCCTCCAATGCTTGCTTGCTTGCTCCCGTGCTTGCTTGGTTGAGCTCGCTCGCTTGCTGTTTTGATTTCGTGGCTGGTTGCATTTCATGTCTGATTGATTTTGTGGTTGATTGAGTTTCACGTCTGATTGATCTCCTGGTTGATTGAACGTTATGTCTGATTGCCTGCATGTCTGATTGCTCGCCGCTGAGCGGGACTCCGCCCGCGGTGGTCTGGCCTGCAGAGCGCCCGCGTGTGGACGGGCACGCTCAGCTCGACCGTGAGCAGCTACGACGTCCCCACCACCCGCGGCCCCCGCCGCGCCTCCCTCAACATGTCGCCGATGAAACGGCACTCCTCCGGCACCTCCCCGGTCGTCGTGTCGCCGCTCCGCAAGAGCACGCCGGACGCGGAGGCCGCGGAGCCGATCGCGGCGCCCGGCCCGCAGCTCCTCGGCACGCCGCCCATCGTCCGCGCGGCGCCGCTGACGGACCGGCTCCACGTGCTGACTCAGGACCAGGTGGGGGGGGTCGCGGTGTGGGACCTCGCGCTCGGTCAGCCCGTGCACGACCTGGGCGTCGTGGACCTCCGCGACGCCGAGCGCGAGCTCTGGGACCCGACTGTCGCGCCGCCGGCGTGGTGCGCGGTCGACGTGAGCCTCGGCACGGTGCAGGTGCGCGTGAAGCCGCCGTCGTGCTTTTACGCCGAGGCGTACGCGAAGCAGACGGGGCTCAGCCACTACGGCGACGACGAGAAGGTCAACCTCGGCGGAACGCTCCTCCAGGGGGCGTTGTGTGCGTGGGCAGACGCACAGGGCGCCAAGCTGTCCGAGTACGTGGGGGACATGTACGGCGGCGGGCCTGCGGGGCCCGTGCAGGGCGTGCCGGCGTGCGGAGAGGCCTTCGCGGCGCGCATGGACCGCGCGGTGAAGGCGTGCGGGGCGCGGAAGACGGCGGCGCACGCAAGCGCGGACAAGCCGCGGCCGCCCGGGCCGCGGGACGCCGTGCGCCGGCCGTTCGCGTTCGCGATCGAGGGGCCGCCCGTGCGGATCATGTGCGAGGACGCAGACGACGTGCCGTGGGCGGCAGTCTGCAGCACTCCCCCCGCGTGGCTCCAGCTGGTAAGTGGCGCGCGCGTCGCACCATGCCCGGCTTTGCCGCATACGTGCCGTTGAGGAAGAAGACTTGAGAATGATCGATGCGCCGACAAGGAGACTCGAGCGCAATCGACCTGACAGACGACACACCCCCCTCCTCTCTGCGCGTCCGTGCTCGCAGCCGTCGTTCGTGCCGCCGTGGCTCGCGGCGTGGGCGCTGCGCGGGGACCTCCCCGCCGGCGTGGGCGAGGCCGGAACCGCAGGGGACACGCGTATGAGCTTCACACTCCTCCCGGCCCCCGGAAGCGCACTCCCCCCCCTCGAACAGGACACCCTCATGGCCCCGAAGATCCTCTCCATCCGCAAGGTGCGCCCCACGCCGCCCGTCCGCGCCTCCCCCGCCCCAGCGGCGCCCCCGCCGCGCACAACGCAAACACCCCCCCCCCCTCCCACTGCGCAGGTGGCACACTACATGCAGGCGCGTCTGCGGGAAGCCGGCGCGACGGTCGGCGTGTTCGACCCGGAGGGTCCGCAGCCGACGCCCGCGCAGGTCAGCGCGGCCGGGGGGTGTATTGCGGACGTCACGCTACGCGGCGCTGTCCTACCGTGGACCATGACCCTTGCGGCCGTGCAGGCGCGCGTGGTGGGGCGCGCTGCGCCGCTGAGCCCCGCGGCCACGCAGGCCTCGGTCGGCGCTGGCGCTCCGTCGCCGCCGCCGCACGCCGCGAGCCTCATCCTGGAATACACCCTCCGAGACGCCAGTGCGCGCATCGAGCTGGCTCCGCTGCCGAAGTTCGAGGGCTAGGCGGCGCGCGCGGCGCGTGCGTCGTCCGCAGCCGGCTCCTGGACGCGGGCGCGGGGCGGGCGCGGTGTCAAGGGGGGGGGTCAATGGCGCGGCGGTTGGAGAGGGCGGGGGCGAGCGGGCCAGGGGGCGCTCCGCGCGGGCGGGTGCGGGCGCGCTGATGGGGAGCGCGGGCGGCGCCGCGCAGGTTGCTCGGACTGCGCCGGCCGCGCCGATGTGAGCAAAGCGTCGGGGCAGTATGTGCATCAATTACTACTCTATGTGCGCGTGCTTTACCAGCGGGGCGCTCCTGCGCGCATTGCGGGGCGCAGGGCCGTGGCGCCTCTTGTGCGGGTGCGCAGGCGTTGTCCTAGGCGTCGGGCGGGGCGCGAGCGCATGCGGCCGCGAAACGAGGCCGGGAGCGCGCGATGGTTGACGTCAGACCCGGGCCCGACGCGTCCACCGGCCCCGCCCGGGCGCGTGGGGGCCGCGCCGCGCCGCCCCGGCGCAGAAACAGTCGAGTCGCGAGCCGTGAAGCGTACCACTTGACGCGAAAGCAACGCCACCCGCCGCGCTAACGGACTGGAGGTGCCCACCGGCACGGGAGCTTCTCGCGCCGTTCGTTGGTCACAGGTGCGCAACGGCCGCTCCGCGGAGCGCAGTGCGGAGATATCTCGCTGCCGGATGCGCCGCGCGGGCGCGGCCGGCCCGGCGCGGCGCACGAGGGAGCGAGGCCAGTGCGGTGCCTCCCTGCACGTCGCGCGTTCACCGCCCTGAGCCCCGCATTCCCCGCGCGCAGGAGCTCAGCCGCACAGGCTTCCATCATGGCCGAGGAGCCAATGGCTCCGGACGCGGCCCCGCTGGCGTCGCAGTCGGAGCAGGTCACGGTGAGGTTGCTGCTCTCGAACAGGGCAGCTGGCACCATCATCGGCAAGGGAGGCGGGAAGATCTCCGAGGTCCAGGCCCTCTCGGCCACCAATATCCAACTCTCGCGCGCGAGCGAGTTCTTCCCAGGTGCGCAGCGCCCGCAAGCTTTCCTCGCGTCGAGCGCTTTTGCGCGAGCGTGCGCCGCGGGGCAGGAGCGCTCACGGCCGCCCGCGCCGCGCGCACCTCCGCAGGAACGAACGAGAGAATCGTGAACGTTTCCGGCACCGTGAACGGGATCCTCACGGCGCTGCATCTGACCGTAACGAGGCTCAAGGCCGAAGACCCGGAGAGCGTGCACGCGCCGGGCCACATGTCCGACGCCGACCCCCAGGTGAGCGGCCCGCACCGTCGAGGCTGCACGCGCCGCGCGTCGGCCCCGGGCGCCGCGCAGGCGCGCAGGCTGGCGCGCGAGATGCCTCCACCGTTTGCCGGCGCCGCGCCCCACACCGCGCTCGCGCCGCCGGAACCGCAGGCGCAGGAGCCTAATATTCTGATCAAGATGCTCGTTCCCAACGCCATGTGCGGCGTCATCATCGGGCGCGGCGGCGAGACCATCCGGAGCTTCATTCAGGACTCCAACGCCCTCATCCGCGTCTCGAACAACGACCAGATGGTCCCGGGCGTCCAGGACAGGTAAACTTCGCCGCCTCCGCCCCCTCCGCCCCCGCCACGCCCCCGCGCGCCCCTCGCGCGCCGGCAGCCGGACACGAGCACCTAGCCAGACACCGCCCCGCACGCCCTCCGCGCCCCCGGCCGCGCCCGCCCCCGCGCAGCACGGCCACCTCCCCGCCACCCCCACCCGCGCCCTGCCCCCCCCGCGCCCGCGCACCGCCCCCCAGCACACCCTCCCCGCCCCACCAATGGCCTCTCACTCGCGCCCGCCGCGCCCCGCCGCCCGCAGGGTCCTCTCCGTCGTCGGCAACGTCGACCAGATCCTCCGAGCGATCGCCCTCATCCTCACGCGCCTCATGGAGCACCCGCAGTTCGACCGCAGGGCCTCGAACACGTCCACTACGCCCTCGCCCAGCGTCCCCACGCCCGGCACGCCCATGCACGCCGCGCCCTTCCTCCCCGTCCGCTCCGGCGCCGACTCCGGCGGCATGACGACCACCGCCATCGCCGCCGTGCCCGACTGCCACGTGGGCATCGTCCTCGGGAAGGGCGGCAAGGCTTTGCAGCAGCTGCAGTACATGACGGGGTGCTGCATCCAGGTCTCGGCGCGCGCGGACCTCATCCCGGGGACGCAGAACCGGAAGTTCGTCATCACGGGCCCGCCGGAGGGCGTGCAGTTCGCCCAGTTCATCATCGCACAAAAGGCGCAGGCGGCGCGCGCCGCGGCGAAGGACGGCGCGGGCGGGCCGGCCGCGGACGCCGCGTGCCACCCGGCCGCGCCCGCGACCGCAGCCGTGCCGGCGCCGGGGACGCCGTCGGCGGGGTGGGAGCAGCACCGCGGGGGCAACTGACGGGACGGCGGTGCTCCGCGCGCCGCTGCCGACGGCGGCGCGCGGGACCGACGCGCGGCCCGTGCGGCCGGAGCGGGTCCATCACTCCCCCTTCCTTCCAACCCCCCCTTCTATCTCTCCCTCACCCCCCCTCCCCCCCCTCTTCAAACAACCGCGTCTTTTTACGTAATAGCGTCCCTTTGTGTGGCGGGCGCCCACTCTCTCAACCACCGTGTTCTGGAGCACACGAGCGCCGGGCGGCGACGCGTGCCGCGTCGCCACTGTCCGTGCCGCTCGCGGTGCATGCAAGCCTGCGCGTAGGCAGCCGGCCGGCGCCCGACATTCTGGGCGACGGGCGGCGCCGGCGCACGACCGACGAGGCGCGTCCCGACCGCCGTCCGACGCCCCCGGCGGTCGGCGGCGCCCCTCGCTCGCCGGAACCAGATCTGACTGACCACGAACCATGAACCCTCACCCTGCGGCTATTGTCGCCCCCAGGCGCCCCTCAGGACACGACTTGAGCTCTGCATCGCCCTGCGCCAATTCATTTCAGCTCACAGTAGGTAGGCCCCGCTTCGTTCGACGCGCACCCACCAGGGCGCGCGACGGGCGGGAGACGTCTCTCCGTCGTACGCACCGCCCTCGCTGCGATTGTGGCGGGCACCACAGGACCCCCCGGGGCGGCGCTCACGCGCAACGGGGCGCTCCGCACGCCCCGTGGGCGGTCGGACCGCCGCGCGGGGGTCACCAAACAGACCATACACCTCCCCCCCCCCCCCCCAACCTAGGGTGCGGTCCGTAACAACCACCAGCTCTCCCTCAGAAGCGCCGTTTCGCAGACGGGCACCTCGGCGCGGCCGCACCGGCCGCACCGGCCTCCACGACGCACGGGCGCCCGCACGCTCGGCGCCGGCCTGGAGGTTGCGTGCTCTGAACTGCGGGCTCGCGCCGCCCCCCCCGGGGTGTTTTCCCGGGCGGGGCGGCGCTGCCACCGCCGCGGGAGCGCGCCCCCGGCGGGCCGCTCCCCGGCCCGGATCCCCGCTCGCTGTCCGTAGCTTTTCCGCGCAGATGTTTTCGCCGCCGCCCGCGACAGGGCGCCGCAGATACGCCTACACGCCGTCGTTGCGCCCCGCACGCCTGCACCGCTCCCATCAGGGCAGAGCGAAATGCGGCGGCGTGCCAGCCCTGCTCGTGCACCAGACCATGACCTCTGCTGCGTCCATGCCCGGACCACCACAACCACACCCGCACTCAACCGCCCCCCTTAGACCACCCCGACGCCGGCACGGGCACCTTTTCGACAGTCACAAGCACGGTAGCAGATACATAGAGTAGGACGGCCTCAAACGTTGCCTGCACTTTGACTTTGATGCCACCCATTGCCCACTTTGGCCACATCGGACTCCCCCCCTCCCCCTCCCACCCTTGATCAAGCTTCAGGGCGCAACTTTCTCGCCCTGTGGACAGCCAAACAGCAACAGAACAAAGAAATACCCTTAGCTTCAGTCGGACCCGCCCTCTGTCGGGACTTCCTTCCCCCCCCCCCAACACCCCTCCTTTTTCTCATGCCCAGTGGCTCGCCCCTCGAGCGCCCGTGCGGCACCGGGCGCTGCCGGCTGTGTCGGCAGCGGCACAGTGTTTTGGTGCAGCTTCGAACAGAGCTGCACACAACCACTCGTCTGTACTCCCCCCCCCCTCTCCCCCTTGCCCCTTTCAAGACCCTCGTGCGATAGCCCTGGCACCGCCTCTTCTCTGGCGCCACGGCCCGGAGCGGCGCCTCGACGAGCGGACAGGGACCAAACAGGGCCATGACCTGCGAGCGTACGAACCAACACACTCAGGGAGCCCCTACCTCGATGTCACACCCGCCGCGACGGCACGATCGCCCTGGTCGAACCGCGGCGGCCCGCGCAGCCAGTGACGACCTAGGCGTCCGCCGCGATTGCGAGCCCGGGCCTTGCTCAGTTCCTGCGCGCCCCTGCGAGCGCGCGTGCACGCCGTGCTTCCCGGCAGGCGCGGCGACAGGCGCGGCGGCAGGCCGCACCGAACCAACACGCCGGGCCCCGATTGCGCCCTTGGTACTGTCGAACTCCTCTTAGGTTTTGCACGCGGCTTTGACCCCCTGTCACTGCGGAGTGAGGACACTGTGACACCTCTCCCGTCGCCGCCTGGCTGCTGGTGATTCGGGCTGGCTCGTCCGTGCTTGATGGCACACTGACTCATGTCGGTTGGACTCTGGACGTGCTGCTGGACCGAGGCATAAAGGCCCGTCGTCACCTGGGGTCGTTCAGAGACTCACGCAGCACGCTGTGCGCTTCCTGAACGATCCCCGCATTGTCTCACCGTCGTGCAGGTGTGTGTACGACATGCATGACTGCTCACATTGTCTACCCTGTCTGCTGTGTGAGTCTCGCCTGCCGTACCATTTCGGTCGCTCCGGCATCCTCGCGGTGAGGGTGCTCGTAGGTCAGCGAAGAACTATGGCCTCGTCTGCCCTCGTGATGCGAGGTCTGCGCTCCAAGTCTGCTACAAAGTCGTCGCTTCATGCAACGACCTGCGCCGCGCGATGGTGCTCCTGGTTGCGAGGCGCTCCCGGACGGTGTGCGATGCAGCTGGGGGGCAGCGGAGGCGCCGCGAGCAAGCTGTCGCTTGAGGTTTACAGCTGTGCAGGGCAGAAGGCCGGGCGGGATCCTACGCATGACAGGGAACGATGCGCTCAAGGCGGGGCCGTCGGGCAAGCCCCCCCGTGAGCGGGCTTTCTGCGAATGTCGAGATCGTGACTCGATCCAACATCAGCGGGGGACGAGTCGGCCCAGGTCAGGTCAGACCCAGCACTTCCCCAGCCTCTCCTTGGCCCTTGCAGCGAGCTCCACCAGGCCGCGCTCTACCGCACCGTGATAATCCCAAGTCTTGTTGCGGGCGTCGAACCGGCGGCGGAAGTCCTCGACCGCCTTCAGGACCTCGTTATCCTTCGTACTGCTTTGCTTGTCGTAGCCGGGCGGCAAGTCGTTCTGGGCGGGGAAGGTCGTTCCTGGGAACTCGTGGAACACAGGCCGACCCTGCGCGATCAAGTCGCCAAACACCGCTTTCCTGAACAGGTCGACGTCAGCGTTCTCTGCCGCGAGTGTGCGGAATGCGGCCATCACGTCGAAGCAGATTTCTAGGTCATCCTTTTCGTCGCTGATGGGAGCGGGGAGTGACGGTGTCTCTGCTGGCTCAGCGGGCCCCGCCCCGCCCGGCGTCGCGCCGGGTGACGCGGGTGCATCGCCATCCTCGCCGTTGCCACCTGAGCCGGCTCCCGACCTCGGCGCGGGGAGCCCTCCGCCAGGAGGTGACCCGCCCGTGCCGTCCTGGCCGTCGTCGCCTTCCGCGCCTCCCGCCGCCGCGAGAGCTGCGCCCTGGTTAGCGCCTGCATGCACGCCTGCTGCGGGGCCGCCAGACGACGGCGCCTCGGGGTCCTGGGGACCGGCCGGGTCGGCATCCACACCGGAAGCAGGGGGCTCGGGGACGCTGTAGTCGCCGAGATCGAGTCCGACGTCATCGGCTGCTTTTTTGATGATTTTGTACATATCGTACGCTTCCTTCGGGCTCGACATGTGACCGCGGGCGTTTGTGACTTCCTTGCCATCGTCCGTCTTGCTGACACCGCCGGAGTCTTCGAAGTTGAAAAAGCGCTCGAGGAACAGCTCCAGCTTCCGCGCTTGCTCGTCGTTCTCGTCTTCGAACCGGTACCCAGGCCACGGCAGCAACTTGTGTTCTCCCGCCACGCGCTCGGCGCTCACCTGCGAGCGAGGAACCCGGGGTGTCAGGCCAGGCATACCGTTCCGGCCAGAGCCCACGAGCCGTCAGCGTGGTGCTGCGCCGATGCCGTTCTCACGCCAGTACCGATGCGATGGACGCACCTCCTCGAGCGCTTTGTGAAGCTCGTAGTTGTATCCTGGTTTGAACAACAGGTGGAACTGTGTCTTCGACAGCTCGTCTTTCGCATCCGATTTGAGGAAGCTCAGCGCGCCCGCTCCGTAGCGGTCGAGTTCCTCTTTGGAGAACGGCTCCACGAATTTCTCGAGGAACTTGCGCAGGAACGGGTAGCGACCGTCGAGCACGAGTTGCCAATCGATGTCGTACGGGGCGAGGAGCGACCTCAAGATCGGCTCCTGGAGCGCCTTGGGGATTTGCCCGAGAAGTGCGATCTTGTGTTTTGATGTACCGCCCGTCGGGCCTCTCTTCCTGGCAACGTTCCTCGTCAAGCCCAGGACCGACAACGTCATCCACAGATCCGCGCTGCTCCTGTGCTCGCCGCCGCCGCCGCTGCCCCCGCCGCCGCTGCCCCCGCCGCCGTCACCGCCGCCGCCACCGCCGCCCCGCCGCCCCCGCCCGCCCCGCCGTCGCTGCCGCCGTTACCGCCGCCGCCGCCCCCGCCCTCGCCGCCCCCGCCGCCCCCGCCGCGGCGGCAGCGCTGCTTCTTGTTGCTGCGGGGTTGAGGACTCGCGTTCACGTTGCGCTTCGCTCCACGACACGACCTCCGCGGCCTGGTGCCAGGCGACACGGTCGTGGCGTTGAGCACGACCGCAGCAGTGGGCTGCGGCGTGTTTTGCGGTGCGCGATTCCCATCCGAGCTGCGCGTGGGTGCCGATCGCCCAAACCGGGTGTTACGACGGCTGCTCGAGTCTCCTCGAGGCGCACTCTGACGCGCGCTTGCGGTCGCCGCCAAGCCATTCATAGACTGAGCGCAGTCGTGAGCCCCCGGAGCGTGTCCCTGCGTGAAACACGGGTCGGAGAAGCCTCGTGTGTTTCCAGTGGTGCGCCGCCGTGACGCGCTCCCGGCGCCCCAAGCCGACGCAGCAGAGCGCATGAGCACCGCACACCGCTACGAACGGTGCCGCGGGACGCCTGCCAGCAGCGAAGCGACGGTGCGCGCTGCTGAGGCGGACATGACCCAGGCGGGCTACCCTGCCAACTAACGGGCCGCAGAACGGCATCGGAGAACTTTGAGGTGGCGTGATCGCGCTTGCCACAGCGATTCAGGTTAGTTTCTGGTCGTGTCCCGCCAAACGAGTTCCGGGTGCGCCCGAGTTTCGGCGACCAGGGGAGGCACAGGGCGGCGCTCGCTGCCTCGGCGCGTCACGCGGGACTTTCTGCACGTATCGAACCAAGGAAACACTAGGACGGGCTTTTTTCATGCCTCACGCGTCGCGACGGGTTCCTCCTCCGCCTGGTTCGTCCGGACATCGCCTCCGGGGCTACCTCGCGACGCGCTGGGAGACTCGCCGCCGCTGCCGGTTGCTTGCTGATTCATCGCTGGGTTCCCGTCACTCGAGAAGGTCTCGTACTCTTTGGCGATCATATCCATGAGTCAAACCTCTGTTCTGCGCGGAATCGGTGGGTTTGCGGGCCGTGTGTGCCTGCACACCCAGCGCGAGGCTCGCGCAGCACCACGTCGACATGACGTGGAACGGCCCGTAGCGCCCCTCCAATACTTGACCAGGCAGGACGCTCCGTAACTTCGCACAATCCGCCGCTAGGGCGACCGTGGACGCCCCGCTATGGCTTCGTCAACCGCCCCTTGGCACGGAGGCGCTATTCGCCGAGCGGGGCGCGAGACACTCACCGTCAAGCTTCCGCCACGGATGTCCAGCGTCTGTTTCTTGCGGAGGTGCAAGCACGGAGCCGCTCGTGCCCGGACAGAGCAGGCAGCGGCGCTCGCGGTGGGCGCGTCCGCTACCAGTGCTGCAGGCAGCTGCGCCTAATGCGCGTCGTCAAACTCGCTGCGGGTTAGCGCCCCAAGACGAGTGATCATGTGGCGCGCCGTGCGTCGCGTTTGGGGCCCTGGAGCGCGGCGTGCGCTGTCCGAGAGAGGGGGGGAGGAGTGGCGCTCCTGCCCGACATCGCGGCATGGCGCCGGCATTGCGCAGAATCGGAAGCGCGGACCGCCGGCTCGCTGGGACCTCAGTGTAAGAAGCTGCACGTTGGCGAGGAATGAGCGGCCGCGGATGGACGCTGTCGCGGGCCGGGCTGATTTCGCCGGGCGCTCATGCGCAACGCAGCCGGTGGGGCGTCGTCGACCGAACCAGACCTGCGCTCGCGCTGACCGCTGACTGCCATCGATGGCGGACGCCGACGCGGCGTCGAATCCCGTGAAACAAGAAATCGAACGCACGTTGAGCGGCTGTGCGTAGGCGTCGCATCACACGCCGCGCGAGAGCCGCAGGGGCGGAATTGCGGCGCGGCGACCGGCCACGTTGCGACGCTGACCGCGCGGGCGGCGTGCGCCCCGGCGGCCGAGCGCGCGGCGCGAGCTGCAGGTGGGGGGAGTGTTGACACTGTGTCATGCACTTGGTGAGCCTCGCGGCCGGGCACGTCGGGGGCCCGCCGGGGACGCGCTCGCGCAAAATCGAAAGCTCAAAGCTCGGAGGCACAGAAGGACGTCCAAGGGTGCCGTTGTTTGTGGGAGACCCACAAGGTGCGTTTCGCGCGCCCCGCCAAAGAGTTTCCCAGCCTTCGGGCAACCGGCCGCACCCGTGCCCGCAGCGGCTGAGAACGACGATGTGTCGCGGCTCTTGCTGCATGCGGGTACCGATAAGCGAAGCACCGCCCCCATGCCCGTGCAGTTCACATAGCTCCGCTCGGGCCCGTCGTCGCCCCCACCCGGCACCGGACGCGGCGGAATGCCTGCCCTGAGCAGCAGGAATGCAGGCGGCGCGCGCGCGCCCGCCGCGTGCACGGCCGGCGAAGCCCGGGCGCCGCACCAGCCTTCAGACGTTGAGCGGCGCCTGTGCGACCACATCCAACAAACCCCCACCATCACCCCCTACAACGCCAACCAGACCCACAACAACGGCTGGCTCAACGACCTGGCGCACCTCATCGCCGTCAGCGCACGCGAGGGCCTGGACGTGGTCCCCGCAGGCAAGAATACCGCCGCGACGCGCGCGTTCCGCAAAGTCTTCGAGGGTTTCGCGGCCCAGGGCGACAGAGTCGCGCCCGTCGTCGCAGCCAACGTCCTCGCGGCCATCAAGGTCGCCGCCCTGGCCGCGGATTGGGCCGCCAAGGGAGTTGAGAGACCCAGCGAAACCGCGGCACTCCTCCGGACGATGCTGCAGCAAGAGGCGAACGACAGGTACCTGTCGCTCGGCGCCCGGTCGGCCGCGTACACCTTCGGGGAGTGGCACGCGGCCGGCGACGACTCAGCGCGGCAGTCGGAGAAGCTGGCTCCGCTTGCGCAGGCAATCCTGGACGCAGTGGTGGAGGTGGGCTCGCGAACGCGCCACGGCAAGTGCCGCCTCGCGTCTGCGGCGGCGATGGCGCTGGACGCGCTCGGCGTCCTTGCGGCGCACAACTACCAGCCGGCGTTCGAGGTGGCGTGTTTGGAGGCTGCGGAGTCGCTGGGGACGCTGCTGGCGCGGCACGTGCAGGCGCGGGCGAGACAGGGGAAGCCGTGCGAGCTCGGAGACGACTGCGACGCCGCGTCGATCGGCCTGTATATTGAGCTGATGCAGGGGCACGGCGCCTGCTTCCACGCGGAGGTGGAGGAGCTGCCAGGAGCGCTGCGGGCTGCGCTTGGACCACCTGACGTGGATGACGGCGGCGGCGTGGCTGACGGCGGCGGCGTGGCTGACGATGGGGAGGAGGACGCTGGCGCGGCACCAGAGGACGCCGCGGAGACCGCGGACGGCGCGACGAGCCTGGGGGCGCTAGTGCGCCGCGCACGGGAGCTGCAGGCGTGGGTCGAGCCAGGCGGCGGGGAGCACATGAAGCAAGCCATCGCGACCACGCTGCACGTGTGCGACCTCGCGCCGGCCCCTCGAGCGGTGCTCTCTCTCTCGTCCGACAGCAACGTCTGCGCGCTGCTCCGCGACATTGTGGTCGCTCACGAGGCGCTGGCGCGCGTGTTCGGGAACGGCGCGACGGTCGAGGGCAGGATCTGCGAATATAGCGGCGGGACGGCATTGCTGCTGCACGCGGCCGCGACGCAGGCCGCAGCGTGCACGGGAGCGGCCTTCCGCGCCCACCTGCGCCAGATTCGCCAGACGCGCCCGGCGCCGGACGAGCAGCTCCAGTGCGGCTGGATTCGCATGCTGGTCCACCTCGTGCCGGCGCTCGCGCCGGCCGCGGTCAGGGCCGGCCTGCACCCGCAGCAGTCGGTCGCGTGGAACCTCGCGGCGTGCGTCCTCGGCAGTCGAGGGTTCGTGGTGCCGCAGGACGCGCAGACCTGGGCCGCGCCGAGCGTCGCGGAACACGTGCAGCGGTACGCGCCGCCGGGCTGCGAGAACATCGCGGCGAGGACCGCGGAGATGATCTGCGTGGTTGCGGGGGCGCCGCCGGGCCACCTGGGCGGGCGGGCGTCGGCGATCTTCGCCGAGCTTGTCCGCGAGGGGCTTTTGCACGCCAGCGCCAGCGTCGAGGCACCGCGGCGCGCGAAGCTGCGAGCGCGCGCTGCGCCGTCGGCGTTGGCGGAGTGTCTCTGCGCGTTCGCGCGGGCTGTGCCCGCCGGCGACGGATCAGGGGCCACGGTTGTCGACCCTGACACCGCCGCAGCGGTACGGGGCCTGGCGGAGGTGTTCGGGGAGGCGCGTCAGCAGGCCGCGGCGGACGACGTGTGCCGGGCGCTGCGGGCGTTGCAGCGCATGCCTTGCGTGGTCGACGCGGAGATGTGGACGCTGGACGTGGTGGCGATGGTGGAGGAGGTGTGCGGGCGCGCGAGCACGGACGAGATCGCTACGGCGGTGGATGCGTTGTGGGTGCTCGCGCAGGCGGTGCCGCGCGCGACGCGACGTCCGGCGGGCGCGGTGAGCGCGGCGGCGAGCGCGCTCGTGGCGCGGGCGGGCCGCACGGCGCGAGAGGCCGCGCACGCGGTGGACGTGGCGCTGGCGGCGGCCCAGAAGCTGCAGGACGACGCGGCGTCGGCAGCGGCGATGGAGGGCGCTGTGTTCGAGCTGGTGCAGCGCGCGGGGGAGTGCGGGGACGCGGACGAGGCGCGCGCAGCAGGGATGATGTACGCGATAGGTCAGGCGCTGCATCTCGCGGCGGCGGCGCAGCGCCCGCACGGGCGGCAGGCAGTGGAAAAGGCAGCGCAGGCGGCGTGTGCGCTGTCCGGCGTGGCGTGCGCGGGTGGCGCGGCGGTCGACGCGGCGCGGAGCGCCTGGGGGCTGATGCGGGTGCTGGAGGTGTTCGACGCCGCGAGGGACCCCGCGACGGCGATGCAGATGTGGGAACGCGCTGTCGACGTGCTGCGGCGCATGGAGCGCGCCACGTGGGCCAGCGAGACCACCGCGACGGTGTCGCTTGCGCTGTGGGCCGTCGGGAAGATGGCTGAGCTGGCGGTGGACCTCGGTTTGTCCTCCGTGCCGCCCGACAGCCTGGACGCGGTGGCGAAGATGCTCCTGCACACGCTGGCCGGCGCGCAGGACAGCGCGTCGCCGCACACGCTGCAGACCGCGCAGTGGGCCGTGGAGCACGTCGCGCGGGCCAAGGCGGCGACCGGGGCCGCGCAGAGCCTCCACTGCGACACCGCGGCCTGCGTGGACGGCGCTTCCGGCGCGCAGACTGGTGGTACGATGTGGGGCGCTGACGAGGCTGCAGCGATGTACGGAGCCTGCGCGACGCCGACGCTGCTCCCTGCCAGCCACGCAGCCTGCGGGACGCCCGCCACGCTGCCCGACGGCACGGCGTCCGGCGGGAGCCGGGTTCGCCTGCCGGAGCACGACAGGTCGGAGGGCGCTGTTCCCGCGGAGGCTCTGACGGCGGCGCTGCACGGGGTCCCGGAGAGCTTGATTGCCGACTTTGGGTCCCTTCTGAGCGCTTGCGGGCCCTCGACGGGCGAGGAGGAGGTGTGGGGGCCGCTCGGCGTGGGCCTCGGAGCGTGACGCGTCCTCACGCGGCTTTGCGGCGGCGGGCACTGTGATTCCTGCCTTTCAATGCAAAAACATGCAAAAAACAAACAAGCATCCTCGCCGCGAGGGCGCGTGTAGGTCAGCGAAGTACAGGTCAGCGGATTTCTACAAACAAACTGCACGACAGTGGATAGCTTGGCTTGCGTGGTTGGCGGTTGCGAGGCGACGTCGTGGTGGCGCGCCAAGGATCGCATGGTTCGTGTGGCCAATTCACACTAGTCGAGAGCGCGCCGCGCGTCCAGTCCGCGCCGCGGCGTTCACTTGTAGTGTGCGCTGTCTAGCTGCACGAGCTGTGGGCACAGGGCGAACATGCGCTCGACGTACCCCTCCTGCTCCGTGCACGGGTTCTTCTCGAAGTAGAGCGTCAGCAAGCTGCCCTTGGACCCCTCCAGCTCCGCCTCCAGCTCGATCGCTGCTACGGCATCTGCATCCAGGACTCAATTCGCGGCGTTCGAGGCCAGGTGGGTGGAGCTGGGCGCTGTTGCCGTGCTGAAATGCTCGTCTCGGGCCTCGTGCGGGCACGCCGGGCGCGCTCCGACGCTTCTGGCCCCGCACACGCGCGCGTATGGTCGAATATTCGCGCGCAGGGTCCCGCAAAGGAGCGAGCGTGGAGGAACGAGGCTGCACAGCGCGGTCTTTCGAAGAGGAGCAGCTGAACCCCAGCATTGAAGCGCAGGGCGCGTAGCTAGCAGCCATGGACCTCCTGACGCAGGTGAAGAACTCCTACATGACGACGGAGATGTCCAAGCCCAGGAAGCCCTTCGTCTCCCAGGACAAGGACTTCCTCGAGCACCAGAGAGCTCTCCAGGCAAGCCGCGCCCCGCACCCGCCCGCCGCCTCGTTGCGCCGGCTCGCGCCCCGCGCAGCATCCTCGTGTACATTTTGACGCTATGCGCTGGAATTTCGGGCCTGAGAGCCGCTTGCGGAGCGCGCGGGCGGCGCGGAGGCAGTGCACATGTGCAGCCCGCTGTGCGCGCTGCACGCGGGGCTCCCGGCCGAGTCCGCATCGAACCGGACTACATCTTCGCTACAGATGCCGGAACTTTCCCCGGACCTGCGAACTGCGGCAGCATGGGCCGGTTTTGGCCGCCTGTAGTCCTCGCAAGCCTCTCTCCGCGAGCGCAGCGCCCGCCCCGACCTCCTGCGGGCCCGCGCGCGTTCCCGCAGGCTCTCTCGAACGGCCAGGACGTCCCGTACTCGGCGACGCTGCGTATCGTCGAGCACGAGGGCGGCAAGGCCCCTCTGAACCCGAGCTCGAAGACCAAGAGCCACCCAGGGTACCGCCGCAACGAGCTGGGCGGGTACTTCACGAGCTGACGACCGACGCTCGGCCTGGCGGCGGGCGCTGAGCGGCCCCGCGGCGTCGAGGTGTGCCGGTGCTGTTGCTGGGCTTCCGGCGCGCTGTAACTCGAAACGGAACGCGCAGGCACGCGTGCGCAGCCGCGAAACGGCCGTCTCGCATGCAGCGTAGCGCCGTGGCGGGCCATCAGCGACGCGCACGGCCCGGTTTAGGGGCCATTGTAGCTCCTTGATGCTGTTCAATGGACGCACCGCGAGCGCCCGGGGGCAGCGGCGCCGGAGGACCTGCCGCCCGCACAGCACGCCAGCGACGCGGGGATCGGCATCGCGCGGCGTCCATGCGCGAGCGAGCGGATTCGACGCGGCGAGGCACAGCGAAGTCAGCAAACACACACGTAGCGTCCATGAGCGACTCGCGGGGTCCGCAGCGGTATTCACAAGTGCTCCGCGCAGACGGTCTCGCGTTGCATAGTCTCTCTCTTGTAGTTTGCCAGCACCCGCGGGCGGCCGCCATGCCCGCGCAGCTGCGCAGGCGAGGCACTCGCGGGTCAACGATCGCCGAGGGATCAATCCTCGGATCCTGTCTGCCTTAGCGTCACGGCGCCGGGGGCTCCCAAAGAAGGCTTCAACCTCCCTCGGACCCGCCGCCAGCGACCGTTGTATAATTCTTGGGCTTTTGATACTACCAGCTGCTCGCGCTGGGCCCGGGAATCGAAAAACGGGCCCCGCGGAGCCAGCGGCATGCAGGGCGGACGCGTGCGTCCGCGACGTACAGAAACTACCGCCAGGTCCCGAACGCCGCCCGTCCTCTTGAGTCAGTCGTCGTCCTCGTTGTTTCCGCGCTGTTTCCGGATCGACAGCGCGTCCAGGTCCGACGCGATCGCGACGGCGCCGCCGAACTGCGCGCGCGCGGCGTCCAGCAGCGTCTCCTCCGCGCGCCCCGCGCTGTCCGCCTCCCCGGAAAACGCCTCCGAGATGCCTGACAGCAGCAGCGCACGTGCGTTCGCCGCGCCCGCCAGCGCGCCCGCGCGCGCCGCCAGCGCCACCGCCGCCTCCTCCCCGCCAGCGCTCCCCCGCTCCGCATCGACGCCGCGCGCAGCGAAGCTCGTCCCCGCGATAATCAGCGATGCGTTGTCGACGATGTTCGCCAGGCCCGCAGCGCTCCCGGCCGGGTCGAGCATCATCGCGACCTTCCGCCCGGGCACGTCCGGCGAGACGGCGTCCTCGGGGCGCACGATCTCCCCCGAGGGGAGCTCCACGGACTCCCCCGCCTTGAGCCGCGCGTACTCAGGCCCCGGGGGGAGTCCCAGCTCGCGGCAGCGCTCCGTGTCGATCCGCCCGGCCTTGTCCGCCTCGAGCGCGACCCACGCCCACGCCTCCCGCCCGGGCTCCGCGCCCGTCTGCGCCGCCACGAGCGAGAACTGGTCTCCGCACCGCACCGTCCACACCGGCAGCGCGCCCTCCGGCCCCGCCCCGGTCCCCGCCGCGGCCTCCGCGTCCAGCAGCGCCGCGCTCTTCTCGTACCCGTCCGCGAGCGCGAGCGGCCGCCCGAACTCCCGGAACACGTTGCGCGCGTCGCCCAGGCGCGGCGCGTCGTCAAGTTCCCACTTGTAGACCTGACGGTACAGCTCGTCGTCGAAGGAGTCGTCCTCCTCGTACGCGTCGCCGCCGCGGACGGCGTCGGGGTAGAGCTTGCACGCGAAGATCTTGCTGCGCGGGTTGAGGAGCGTCGGCGACATGCGCCCCTGCGCGGCGGCGGCGGGCGCGCCGGCGGCGTCCCAGAGCTCGTAGACGACGACGGGCATCGCGATGTACCCCTGCGACACCGAGAAGATCGTGTTGAGGTACCGCGCGAGGCCCGGCGGGCCGTAGATCCGCAGCGGCGTTGCGGCTTCCTTGTGCCGCGGGACGTTCGACGACCCCCCGCACCGCGCGACGGAGACCGTGGTCACGAGGCCCGGGAGGCCGTTCAGGAACTCCGGCGCGGTCGACGGCACGACGATCCGGTCCACGCGGTACGGCGACAGCGTCGTGCGCTGCAGCTGCCGTTGCGCGTCCTCGCCTGCGCCAAACACCCACAGCGCCCGCTCGAGCCGCAGGACGACGCTCGGAAGGCTCCGCGCGGCCGAGACCGCGCCGGACGACGTCCCCAGGAACATCACCTGCAGCCCGTGCCGGTTCGACAGGTCCCAGCCATCGAACCCCCCCGCCGCCGCCCCCAGCTTCTCCACAACCGCGCTCGCGAGCTGCTCGGCGGCGCGCGCGATCACGCGCACGCCCTTCTGGGAGTCCCCCTGCCACGACGCCGCGATCTCGTCGTACCGCCCCTCGTACGCGTGCTCCAGGAGCCGGTTCAGGAGGTCCTTCTTGTTATACGAGCCCAGAGGCCCCATCGTGATGCCGCGCAGCTCGAGCTCCGTGACGAGGACCTCCGACGTCGTCTTCCGGCACCGCGACTTCGTGATGCGGCACCCGGCCACCGGCCCGACGCCCGGAGAGAAGAACTGCCGTCCCGTGCCCTGGTCCTCGACAGCGCCGTCGTCCGCGCGGCGCGGCCCCGCGGACTCGCCGTCGTCCCACCCGGGCGGGCCGTCCGAGTCGGTGCTCCGCCGCGGGGCCGCGGGCTCCGCCGCCGCCTGGGACGCCGCGTGGACGGGCCCGGCGCCGCGCGGGAGGATGCGCGCGGGCGCGAACGGCGCGGTCGTGGCCCAGAGCGAGCTGTTCTGCACGAGGTACGCGGGCCCGACGGGCGCGACCGCCGCGAAGCCCTCCCAGGGCTTGCCGCGGAGCGACGCCGCGAGCGGCGGTGGCGGGCCGTGCTGGGGGGGTGTCCCTTTGAAGTGCGGGTGGAGGAGGTAGCCGCCGAAAGTGCCCGCGGGGGGTGGGAGGTGCGGTGCGCGGTGCAGCGCGGTCGCGAGCGAGGTGTGTGAGGACCAGTGCGCGGGTCGGAAGGGCTCGGCTGTAGCCAAGTTGTATGGCAGGGCGGCCGGGGCGGTGCGCTGGTGCTCCGCGGAGCCGCGGCGGGTGCTGCTGGAGACGCCGCGGGCCTTCTTCGCGCTCAGGGACTTCGAACTGCGTGCGCAGGGGGTCGGACGCGGGAGCAGTTGGGGACCAAAGGTGGGAAGGTTCCTCTCAAGAGCCTGTGGGATAAGTATGCCGTAATACCACGAATGGCGCGTGGAGAGGCCCGAGAAAGGATCTGTGCGGGCTCTCCGTGATGTGAGCATGTCCGTCGGGGCGGTTTCGGGCCGCGTCGGCGCCGCGAGCGCCGCGGCAGCGCTGGGCTGGGTGAGCGATGGGCAGCCGCGCCCCGGTCCGAGCGGCGCGCGGGAGTCTCGGGCGCGGTCGCGCGGCGCACCTGGCAGAGTGGAATTTGGAACGCGACGTGAACGGGCGGTGCATGCCCCCGGACGGCTCGAACGCGCCCCCGCCGGGCTGGAGCACCCCAGTGACCGGAGCCATCGCGCTGGAGGTCCCACCGGGCGCGCAGAGGCGTCAATCCACGGCTCGCGCCCAGACAGAGACACGAGCCGCGCTGCTAGGCCGGTGGGAACTATCAGGACGCGACGCCCGACGAGAACGGCCGTGCGAGGCCCTGGCGCTTGCACGGAGCTGCACGCGCCGACAGAGCGCTGGACCGGTGAGTAGGATCTGTTCCGTGGTGTGCCGGCGGACGATGGGGCTTCCGGGAGCGGACTGGCGCGGCGCGCGGCGGTCGCGCGCCGCTGTCTTGCCGAGCGGCGCCGCGAAGTACCCCGCCCACGTCAGCGGGGCGCCCGGGCGAGGTCCCTAGGCGGAGCGAAGGGCGCCGCGGCGGCTTGGAGGGTCGCAGATGCTCAGGTGATGCGCTTGCGACAGGATTTTTGGGGATTGAGAGCCTGTGAGCGCGCAGAGACCACAAAAAAGGCTGTGAGAGGGACATCCACGTCCGTAGCGGCGTGAGGGCGGCAGCCAGCGGGTTGACGGAGGAGCCATGAACGCCCCACATACGTTCCGAGCTGGCGCGCGCCACGCGTCCCCGGCAACTCCAGGTGCGGGCCGCAGCTCTCGAGTCGGTTGTGTGGCCCGCACATGGAGAGCCCCGGGGCGCTCTGGCGTGCGCGTTCGGGCCGCTGAGCCGACCAAGCTGGTCTGCGTGACCGAGGGCGGGTGCGGGGCGAACGTGAGCGAGATCGAAATCTCCGAGCCCATCATTGTCGGAACGGACGGGAGCTGCGAGTTGCAGGTCCAAGCTGACGGCGGTACGGCCCCCCACGCCCCAAAACCCCCCCTCTGACTCACCCTCAACCTTCTCCATCACTCATCCATGACATCAGAGCCGCGAGCGACGCGCCATCTGCCGCGCGCGCCGCGCTGCGATCCACAACACACACTATGTTGCCTACGCCTGCTGTGCAGTCGCGCCGCAGCACGCGCGCCTCGAGATGAAGGCGAAGCGTCTCATGTGCACTGCGCTTACCTCGGACGGCACGCCCACGGACCCGGACGCCCTCCTGCCAGACACGGGGCCCTCGGCCGTGCGCCTGAACGGCTCCGAGATCCGCGCGGGCGTCGCGTACATGGTCGCTCCGGGTGCGCGGGTGTCGTTTGGAACGGAGGGCGCTCCGGAGTGGGAGGCGCGCTTCGAGGAGGGCGGGGGCGCCGGTGGCATGGCCGACATGATGATGCGAGGGATGGCGAGCGCGGCGAGCGCCGAGGTCCGCGAGACGCTCGACAAGCAGCTGTGATTTGTTCCGGTGGATCACAGCGCGCGGCGGCGCCCCGCGGCGCGCAGGCTTCGCGGAGGAACGCGCTTTGAAGGACAAGTGCGTGTCTACGCGGGGTGCGCCGGACGCGGGGGCGTTGAGCGTACGCGTCGCGCCAGCTGCGAGACAGATATGGATTCCACGCGATCGGCCCTTGCTTGCGGCGTCACCCTGCGGCCCTCGACCGAGTCCCTCTATCGTCGTTGCCGCCTGGGGCAGCGCGTAGCGCGGCGCGCAGCGCGTCGACGTACCCGTCGCGGTCTGATTTTAATATCTCGACGTGCGGCGCGTCCGGCCAGAGCCGCCACGCCACGGCGATGCCGCGCGCCCGCCACTCCTGCTCCACGTAGGCCTGGATGCCGCGCACGGGCACGACGTCGTCCGCGTGCGACGCCAGCACGGTCCGCGGCACGTCGACACCTACGTGCTCCACCCACGCCCTGCACGAAACAACAACAAAACCGCCGACTCCCCGTCAATCGTGATTCCTCGATTGCTTTTCCATCTTTTGGTCTTGCAGCGAACGACATCCAGCCGCGACGACGCTGGCCCGGCGCACGCGGATCGCGCCCGTACCCGCCAGTAGCGTGTATTCGTGCGCGCAGGCGCTCACCGGTCCACCTCACGGGCCCGCTGCGCCACCGAGGTGCGCTGCAGGTATCGGGCGAACAGCGACTCGAGCGCGGACGCGAGCCAGCGCAGCACGCTGCTCGACGCTGCGTCCTCCCAGCGCGCCGCGAGCGCCCCCGCGAGCACGCCGCGCGCGCACATCTCGGGGGTGAGCACTGCGCACGAGTCAGGGGGGGGACTGACGGGGGGAGTGAGCTGCCGCGCCGCGGACACCGCAGCGCTCACAGAACATCAAGGCTGAGAAGGAAGTAGGGCGGGAAACTATACTCCCCCCCGGGTCGTCTTCGAGGAGGTAAAAATACAAGCGTTGCGGGCCCAGGGGGGGTGTCGAGGGACGGTGTGCGTGTCGGTCAGGATTCACGGAGCGGCGCCGCGCGGCAAGAACGTCTGCGGCGCACCTGCGGGGCACGAATCGAGCACGACGGCGCGCACCGCGGCGCCCATCCACCCGCCCTGCGCCGCCGACAGCGCCAGGCACCGCCCCGCCGTCAGAAACCCCCCGCTGCTCATCGCGGCCAGCACGACCCGCGCGCCGCCGCGCCCCGCCGGCTCCACGGCGCCCCGGATCCGCTCCAGGCTCGCCCGGGCGTAGGCATCACCGAGTGCGGGAAAGATGGTGCCCACAAACGGAGGCCGTATCGCCAGCACGCGGCAGTCGGGGCCCGCTGCCTCGGCCCACGCCTCCTCGTACTTGCGCACGTGGCGCGCGCGCGAGCCCAGCCAGCCGAACAGCACGACGACGGTGGGCGCGGACGGAGATGGCGTCGCCGCCGTGCGCAGGGCCCGCGGTGAGGCCGCCGGGCGGAAGGGCCGGAGCGCTGCGGAGGGGGCGCGAGGGGCCGGCGCGCGACGAGCCGCGAGCGCCGCGGCGCGCCACAGCACGGGGCTACAGGGCATGGGAGGCATGGTATCTGTGTGTCTGTCTGACCCGCGTGAGGGGCTGACTCAGGGTGATCTATCGCGTCATCGCGCCTCCGGTACGCTATTGTCCTTCCCGGCCCTGCTGATGCGCCGCGGGGGGCTCCTCGGCGGCAGCGTCGTCAGTTGCGTCCTGTAGTTTGTCCAGAGCTTCGCGCAGCTCCTTCTCCTCCTGTAGCAGGGCCCACAAGTGCTCCTTCGCGCTCTCGCGGAGCTCGAGAAGCGCCTTTTCCTCCTCGCGCAGCGCCGCGACGAGATTCTGCGACCGCGACAAGAGCGGACCGGCCAAGCTTGAGAGCCAGCACAGCGACGTTCGTCCTTGCATAGTTGGTGTACGCGTCGTTTCGAGCTCTGACATCATAGCTAGCGATATGATTATGTCGTGGCGCGCACAGCTGGCTTCCAAACAGCGCAGAACAGTGCGGGAGGGCGACGCGTGGCGCACCTCCTGCCTGCGCGCTTTTCGTTCCTGGGCCTTGCCGCGCGCTGCGCCTTCTGCAGACATGCAGGCGACGCACAAAGAATAGGCGACGTCAAGGCTGTGCGCACGGCACAGCCGCGGCTCCCATCATGCACCGCCGGGCCCGTGCGGGCATCGAAAGTAGAACGCGGAGGTTTTTGGGGGGGTCTGCGCACGCGCGTGCTCGCTTGCTGGCCAAGAAAGGGGCGCGCTGCCAGTGCCACGCATCAGGAAAGCTCGTTGGATCGGAAACCCGCCGGCGCGACCATTTGGGAGGACGCTAGCGCGTAAAAAAGAAAGTCAGGTTTCGAGGCCGCGGGAGCCAGTGGCGTGACGCTTGCCGCTGTTCCGTCACACGAGAGCTCGCCCAGTTGTCAGGGAATCAGTCGCGCTGCCCGCGCGCCCCTTTCAGGCCCGTCCGCGGCCGTGGTGGGCGCCCGCGATGTTTCCGTGATGGCTGCAGCGCGCTCGCCCACGCTGCGCAGCCTGGTGCGCACAGACGCCCCTGCGGCCCTCCTCGACTCCGACGGCCGCTTCCTCGTCGTCGCGACAACAGAACCAGGCTGCACGGTCGTGCGGATCGACGAGGACGGCCCGGGAAGCACCAGCCAGCCCCTCCGCCTCTCCACGCACCTCCAGCGCCGCGCCCCGACCGCAATCTGTCTCGGGACGTACTCCGAGTCCCCGGACGACCTCCCGTCCACGCGGCTCGCCGTCGCGTCGAAGGATGCCGTCGTTTTGTGGGACCTGGAGGATGCACACCGGTCGTCAGGCACGCTCACGCGTCCGTCCAGGCCCGCACGCCTCGCCCTGCCCCCTGCGCATTCCCCAGGCGCAGCGGAACAGAGCTAGCCGCAAACCTAGACCGAAACGTTCTCCGTGCCATTCTGGGTCTGTGTTTTATAGTTGTTGTTGTTCAGGAGTGTTCCTCTTGTTCGGTGCTTGCAGCGGCCGGCGAGCCCCTCCTGGAGCCGCTCGAGCTCTTGACGGGCCAGGGCCACGTCGACACGGTCGCGCTCGCGCCCGGGTGCGCCACGGCCGCGGTCTGCACGGGCTCGACGGCCAGGATCATCGACGTCGCCAGCGTTCGAGTTATCTATATCCTCGAGGGGCACCGCGGCCCTATAACTGCCGCGGGCTTCTCCCCGACGGACCCGTCGCTCCTCCTCACCGCCTCCGAGGACCGCACCGTCCACGCGTGGTCCCTAGCGAGGGGGGAGTGTACGTTGCGCTCCCCCGTGCTCAGCGCCGCGACGCCCACCGCGCTGGCCGTGGACCCGGGCTTCCCGCGCGCGTCCGTCGGGTTCTCGGACGGCACCGTGCGATGCGTGGACCTCTCGTGCATGCCGGGCTTCCGGGAGCTCCAGGGCATCGACTTGGGGCGTGCCGTGGTGCGTGAAGCGACGTCGCGCGCCGAGGAGGCAGGCGGGGGGGTGACGTCGCCGTCGGGGGAGTTCCGGGGGCCGCGCGTGATCAGCAGCACGCCGGGCGGCGCGGGCGGCGCGGGTGGGGGGGCACGGGGGGGGGATGTGTTGGTGTCAGGGTTGGGGGGGTTGGCGGTCTCGGACGAGCACCAGCAGGCCGCGCACCACGGTATGGGCATCGTGCATCTCTGCTACGGCCGCGAGGCCAGCGAGGGCGCGAACGGCGACGCGTACGCGGCGCCAGACGACTCCCTCGGGGGACTTTTAGCAAGGCCCCCCCCTCTGGGCGTGGCGTCGCTCGGCTGCCTCGCGGTCCTCGACGGCGCCACGTTCGACGTCCTCTCGCTCGCGCCGATGCTCGCCAGCTCCGTCGAGGGCCGCAGCGCGCCCCTGATATCCGCAATTGGCGGCGCTGCGGGCGCGTGCGCTGTCTTCCCTGACGCCCGTGGCGGCGTCGGCTTCGCGGTCGGAGGCTCCTTCACGCCCGTCGTAGCCCTGGGTGCGCTGGACGCGCACCGGGAGTCGACCAGCGCGGGCCCCGGCGACCTGGGCCCGCGCAACGGCCTGGCGTCACCCCCGGGGAGCGGGGAGCCGCTTTCGGTGTTCGCGCGGCAGCCGCTGCCGCCGACGTCGCCGATATACTTCGTGGAGAGCGCGAAGCCGCCGCCGGCGCGGTCTGCGAGCGAGCGGAAGCCCGCGGGGGCAGCTGCGAGGCGCGGTCTCCAGAAAACCAACAGCGACAAACCGGTGACGTTCCACACGTCAATCAAGTCCTCCGGCTACGGGATGTTGTACCCGAAGAACGTGATCGGGCAGCGACCGAACGCGCCGATCAAGAACCCCACGGCCCCGCGCTCCCGCGCCCCAGGTACCGCGGCGCTCTCGAAGCAGTATCCGGTCGCGTGCGGGCCGCTCACGCACCTGCAGGAGCGCAACTGCATGCCCCGCAGGGAGCCTGCGCACCGCGGTCCGATCGTGCGGCTCGACTTCAGCCCCGACGGCTCGCGGCTGGCCACGGCGAGCATCGACCGCACAGCGCGCGCCCTGCGGCTGCCCGTGAGCAAGCACCGCGGGGACGGCTCGAACTTCATGGGGCACGACGCGCCGCTGACGGACGTGTCGTGGGCGCAGAGCGGCACGATGCTGCTCACGGCGTCCGTCGACCGCACCGCGCGCGTGTGGCAGCTGGGCAAATCCGATCCGGTGCTGATTCTGTCGCACGTGGGCAGGGAGGCGCCCACGGGCGGCGCGGGCACGCACCGCGAGGCGCACGAGAACCCGCGCTTCCTGCACGAGGTCAGGGCGGCGCGGTTCCTGCACATGGACCGCATCATCGCGCTCGCGTGCGGGAACAAGCTGCACCTGTACAGGCACGCCCCCGCCCAGCCAGCGCCCCCGCACCAACGCTCGCAGCTACACAGCACGCGGGCTGCGTCGGAGCAACACCACATAACGGCCGATCGCTGCTGGTCACAACTGGATGCCTTTCGGGCCTGCTTCGCGCTGTTGTCTCTCCCGTCTACGTGCCCCGATCGGACGACGCAAGTGCGTGCCTGGCCTGTGTTGCGTGCAGATACGAGATCGGCGCGGAGAAGGCTGCGAACGACCTGGACCGCCTGCGCGCAAGCAACCGCTACCGGCAGCTCGCCGCGCTCCCGACCGCCGCGCAGGCCATCACCGCGCTCACCGCCGCGAACCGCGTCCTCTCGCACCTCGTCCTCGCCGCCACCTCCAACCGCGCCGTCGAGGTCATCGACCTCGCCGCCGGACGCACTGCGCGCACCCTCCCTGATGCGCACGCCCGGCCCGTGCACACCCTCGCGCTGAACGACGTCTCGCCGTACGCGCAGCACGCCGCGGAAGCCCACGAACTCTTCATCACCGCCGCCGCGGACGGCCTCGTCAAGCTCTGGGACCTACGCTCGCAGCGCTGCGCGCGAGTTTTCTCGGGGCACGCGAACCGGCAGCAGCCCGTGGGCGCGTCGCTGAGCCCGTGCATGCGCTGGCTCGCCGCGGGGTCCGAGGACCGGGCAGCGGTGATGTGGGACCTGGGGTCAGGAATGATTGTGCACCGTGCGCGCGGGCACCCAGACGTGGTGTCTGACGTAGCGTGGCACCCGCTGCACCCGCAGCTAGCGACGGCGTGCAGCGACGGCCACGTGCGGTTCTTCTCCGAGGAGGCCGGGTGAGTCGGGCCGGCGACGCGGCCTCCTTGCGCGCAACGTCAGGCGTGTGATTACCAGCCCTGCATGTCGGTCCTGACGTCCGCGACCACGCGCAGCGCGTTGGAGCCCGTGAGCTTGGGCTGCAGCACCCACGTGGCGACGTGCACCAGCAGAGCTTCGCGAGAGGGGGGGTGTGATGTCGCGCCCTTGCCCTTGCTCGATGCGTCCGCGGCGCGGTCGGCCTCGACGTATGCGAGGACGTCGTCCGCCAGCGCGCGCTTCACGCGGAGTTCTGCCGTGAAGGCGCCCGCGACACGCTGCGGCGGGAAAGAGGACACGTTTCCTAATTGTTTCCCTCTCGCTTGTCATGTTGTTCAAATAGGACCATCTTGCGGGTCGTGTGGGGCGGCGCATGCGAGGGGACGTGCCTGGAAGTGCGCAGCGATCGTTGACGGCGTCAGCGAGGTGAACAGCGCCGTGTCGCGCTGCGGAGCGCTCGTGTGCGCGCAGGCTGTGAGCGACTCGACGTACGCCTCGCTGGCGGCCGAGACCGCAGCGACGCTCGCCTCCAGCTCCCCGAGGGCGTCCTCTAGGTCTGCGAGCTCTTCGGCGGCGGCCGTGGCTGAGAGGGCGGCAAAAATCACCCAGCACTCTTTGCGTCTCGAATGGCACGCACTTTCACCAAAGGACCCATATTCGACGCCTCGAAGCGCGTCTCCGATCTTCCGAATGCGTCTCAATGAAGGCCGCAGGTCCCGAGAGCGCCCTCAAGGCCTGGAGGCCCGCGGCCCTCATCGAGACGCACTCGGAATGGCCCGGTTCAGATCGGAGACGCGCTTCGCCATCTTCGAGGCGCACAACACCGTTCCGGGACGCACCTCGCGCGAGGCGCATCTGCCGCGCCTCCAGCTTCGCCAGGCAGGCGGCGCGCGACCCCTCGAGCGGCCCCAGGCGCAGCTCCGCCATCACTTGATGCTCCAGCAAGGCGTTCGACAGGCCCTCGATGCTCGCCCGGCCGGCAGAGTGCGCCTTGTCCCAGCGCATCTGCACGGGGCCGGCGGCGCGGGGGCTCGCGTGACGATGAGACCACGTTTCGTGGTTGTTTTTCAATCCCTGAGAATCAACGAATCATTGTACACAGGGATTCGGGCGGCGGGCTCGCGTGGAGTGGGCGTGTGAGCGGGAGGGGATCAGACCTGGCCGGACGTGATCGCGTTGAGCGCCACGCGCACGTCCCGCTGCGCGGCGGACCTCCACTGGCGCTCTTGCAGCGGACTGAGAGGCGCGGCCATCGCCGGACTGACGGTGATAATTTGGCGCGTTATATCGTCACTGAGAGCCACTCATACTTCGTGTCAGCGAGCCAGAGTCCGAGAAGACGTTGAAACGGGGCGAGGGCGCAGATTATGCGGGGGCAAGCCGCCAAGCGAGCTGCATCGCGCAGCCTTCTCGGAGCACTCCCGCAGCGCAGTTCAGGCGCCTCCCGTGATGAGACGGAGATCAATGTGCGGCCGATCGTTTCGGATCATCAAAAGCGCGCGGCGGGCGCGCCCAATCCTCCCCGCTTTGTGCTCGGTACCTAAAACGCCCGGCTGCCTGCGTGCCTGCGACTGAACCTCTGTTTCAACGCTCGCGAACGATTTTTGTGATCGGCCTCCGCTCGCGGAAGCGCTCAGCGCCCTCGCCGGGCGCCTCTCCGGGAAGATGCGGGACGTTTCCCTGGAGGGTCCACATGACGCCCCCAGCTTTCGCGCCTGGCATCACACCCTCGATGTGGAGCCGCGAGCGGCTCCTGGAGCACTCCGACCGTGCGTGCATACCGCCGCCTCCTATTTTTACGCGTCATGGTGGCAGCTTGCAAGCGTTGATGGCAATGGAAAGCGGGCACGACCGTGCGCAGCTCAGGCTGACCTGGCAGCGCCTGCTGGACGCTGGCGCCTGTCTCTGGCTTCTCCGTAGCGGCAGCGACTTCCTGGCCCGAGCAGCCGCTGAGAGCCTCGAGCCTGCCGTTCCTTGCAACCAACCAACAGCCCGAGGCGAGGCCGTGTGCGCGACCGAGCGCGACGATGCGGCTCGCGAGGAGACAGCTATCGTCCGCGCGCTGGAGCGGCTCCCGTGCGAGGTCATGGAGCTCGTTGCGGAGCACGCCACGTCGAAAGTCACGCTTCCCGTGGGTGGACAAACACGCCTATCGCTGCAGTCCGTCCTCAACGGGGCTTCAGAGGTCGACATGGCGGGCCAGACGATATCGTGGAGCACGGGATGCGTCAAGGTGACGCGTAACAAGCCCGTCACGCTGCGGAACGGCGTGCTACAGATCCGGCCGCAAGAGGCGTGCCCCGAAGACGCGCCGCGCTGGCAGAAACGCGCCGCCGCCCTCCAACGGATCCGCCAGGGCATGCCGGTCGGCATCGTCTGCGAGGACAGCTGCCCCGGTGCGCTGCACTTGCACAAAGCCACGCCCCGCAAACACACACGTTGTCGCGGCTCGACACCCCCCGCAAGTCAAGAGACAGACCATTTTTCGCGCGCAGGGCTCACTCTCGAGAACGTCACGATCCGGGGCTTCTTCCACGGCGTCGAGGTCCGCGGCCGCGTCGCCATGCGCGACTGCGTTTGCGAACGGGGCGGGGCGGGCGTCATGGTGCAGGGGCCGAGCGCGCACGCGACGCTCACGCGCTGCCGCGTGGCGCGGAACGAGCGCGACGCGGTCACGTGCCGGGCGGGCGCGACGGCCTGCGTCGACGACTGCGACATCCGGGACAACCACGGGGCGGGGGTGTTATGTTGGGGCGCCGACAGCGACGTCACGTGCCGGGGCACGCGCATCGCGGGCCACGCGCTCGCGGGCGCCTGCGCGTCGCTCGAGGGCCACATGAGGCTGGAGGGGTGTGTTTTGGTAGGAAATGGGTCCTCCGGGGTCTATTGCAGCGACGCAGGGTCGCTGGTGCACGTGCTGGCGTCGTGCACGTTCGGGTGGCACCCGGGGCCGTGTATGCACGCATACGGCGGCGGGGTGGTGTGGGTGCGGGGGTCTGAGGGGGGGAGTCTGAGGTCCCTGACGCAGGCTCTGGAGGAGCTGGAGGGGCTCGACGGCCCGAGGGAGGGGGAGTGCAGGCCGGTCGGTCGGTCGGGGGGGAACTCGCACCATTGGATCGCGAGCACGGCGGGGCCGAAGTGCGCGGCCGAGTTGGGGGGCGTTGTGCGGTGGGATCGAGACCTGGAACTGGTTTGATGATGAATGGTGGCGGCTCCGCGCGTCGCTGGTGCGTGCGGCGGCGGCGTTGTTGTCAAGGGAGGCCGCTGCGCTCCTGTAATGAGCGAACAGAGTGGCAAAACGTGTCAGCTGGAGGCGCATCTCTGTCTGTATTTGTACTTCGCTGACCCACAGGCACCCTCACCGCGAGGATGCCGGAACGACCGAAATGGTACGGCAGGCGAGACTAGCAAGAAATGCAACACGGTGACCACGCGCGCACTTGCCAGGTCGAACGGGGCAACGATGCGACGCCATCGCACCACTAACATCAATCACATCTTCAAGATCCAAATTGTCTTGCAATCACGATCCTTCTCTCTGTCATAATAAGGAAGCAACACCGCCCAGTCGCACCCGCCCTCCTCCGGCGATCAGCCCGTCCCAGATCACCCCTCGCCCCTCAACGACCCCCCTTTTTCACTCACTATACATCTCCATGACCTCATCGAGCCTGCGCAGGCCCTCGGGATCCGAGATGCGCGCCCGATACACCGCCACCTCCTCCCGCACGGCGCGGTGCAGGTCCGGGCAGGCCTCCACCGCGCACCCGATGCGTTCCCGCGTCATCGGCGACGTGTACTGCACCCCGTGCCCCTGCTGCCGCCGCTGGCGCTTCTGCTGCTTGAACCACCGCTCGATGGCGTCGCGCTCGTACACCATGCCGTCCCCGGCGCGCACGGGATCCCGCGGGATCGCAGTCGTGATCGGACAGATGAAGCGCTTCAGGGATTCCTCGAATTCGCGCACGACCGCGTCAACTGACGTCAGGCTCTGTTGTTGCCAGCGCTGACGCAGGGAGGACGTCCCGCTGAGGTCGTGGAGGCTGCGCATCTCGGCTGCGAACGTAGCCATGGATGGGCGCTGCTGCCGGCCCGGGTCGGTGCACGCAATGCCGAGAGAAACGAGCCTGGATATGACAGACGTCGGCCAATCGCCCGCGGTGCCGTCGCACAGGGCCGCGAGAGCCGCGTTCGCGTCGGCATCGCGGAAGGCTGCGAGCGCGACGTCGCGCACGTGACGGCCTCCGACAACCGGCCCCCCCTGCAACGACAGTGGCGGACACAAACAGCAGTCGTCGCGATCGCTCAGCAAGGATCGCGGTACGTGTCTGCGCCGTATTTGCGGCCGCGACGCAGTCCAAGCTGCTCGACCGCGCGCGACGGCGCCTTGAACGCTGATTCGTGAGTAAATCGCGCACCTTGTTGAAGAGCAGCTCCAGGGCGATGACGCCCATCGAATAGACGTCGAGGTGCGCGTCGTCGGGGCGGCAGACGGGCCGCTGTATGTACGCGGGGTCTGTGTACCCGAACGTGCCCTTGGGCCCCGTCACGATGCTGCTGTCGGTCACCTTGGCGCACCCCAGGTCCGCCACGACGGCGCTGCCGTCGTTCGTGCACAGCACGTTGTCCGGCTTCAGGTCCCTGCGCGGCGACACGGATAGCCACACGACGAAGCACATTCTCAGACGACGATTGCCGCCGTGGCGCACTGATAGGCAAGGGCGGGGCGTGCTCGGCGGAGGGTGATTCGACCCCTGCGCACCTGTGGATGACGGGCTCCCTGTCCCGGTCGCTGTGCATGCTCAGCACGGCCAGCGCGACCTCGTGCAGCATGCGCACGCGCATCTGCCACGGGAACGCCGTCGTCGCGGACTCCTGCAGCATCCGCCGCATGCTCCCGCGCTGGTAAAACGGACTCACGATCGCGCACGCGTCGTCCGACTGCGCGAGAATCGGCACAATGTGCGGGTGCCGCAGCCGCGTCAGGGCCTCGCACTCCCGCCGGTACCCCGGGAACCCCGCCAGTCGCTTCACCGCCACGTGCCGCCCGCGCCAAAACCCCTTGTACACCGTCCCGAACGCCCCCTCGCCCACGACCTCGCGCTTCGCGATGATGCTCTCGACCTCCGCGCCCGACAGCATCAGCGGCGTGTACAGGTCCTCGTGTTTCAAAGACGCCCACATGTTTTCGCGGGCCGTGCCGTAGTACGCCCGGGTCGAGTTCGGCGCCGTCGCGCCCGTGCCGCCGTTCGAGGACCCTGGATCCGGGGCGCTCGGCGACAGCGCATAGTCCGGGCTGAGGCCGATGCCGGGCGCTGTGGGCTGCGGCGCCGCACGACGGCGCCGCACCACCGCGTAGTAGGCGAAGAAAGCTATGAGAACGAGCCCCGCGGCGCCGCCGGCCACCGCGGCACCGATGACGATGTAGGCGGACGACGATCCGCTCGACGGCGACGGTTCACTGCCTGTGTCAGGCTCGGTCCCGTCTGACGGCGTCAGCGACACGAGCTGGACGCGGGTCTCGACCAGCAGCGCAGCGGTGAGCGCGTTGCCGACGGCGACGGGGTTTGTGACGACGTTGGCCGTCGCCCGCTGCTCGGCGAGGGCGGCCGTGGCCTCGTTCGGGGCCGTGAAGGTGACGGTCATGTCGTAGGCGGCCGTTTGCTGCTGGAGGCGGCGGTGCGCCCTGCGGGCCGCGCGCACGATGGCGGAGGTCGAGACCGTCGAGGGCGGGTCGGCCTTCTCGACGACCGTGTCGCCCGCCAGGAGTTGCTGGCGCGAGGAAAGCGTCACCTGTGTCGCACGCGGCGCAGGCACACGGCGATGAGGCAGGTGGGCCGTTCGCGCGCGGAGCAGCGCAGCGGGGCGTAGCAGCACCCCGCGTCTCGAAAACGCGCCGCAGGGTCCGCACGAGGCGTTCAAAAGGCACACGATGTGGTGCGCTCGCGGGTGCCATGGGGTCGCGGACGCGTGGGCCTCACCGCGGTTTCGAACTTCACCGTGAGCGAGAACGACCTGGGCGCCTGCGTCTCCGGCGGCCGCGTTTCGGGCGGCGCCGCGGTGATGGGCGCCGCGGTGGCGATGATCGGGCGTGCCGTTGCGGCGCTGGGCCGCGGCTTGGTCGTCTCGGGCGGCGAGGAGGTCTCCACGGGCTGGAACGGGCTCAGGTCGTTCGCTCGCGCCGGCGTGGTCTTCTGCGTCACGTCGAGGCCCACGTCGACGAGTGCACCATCGTCCGCGAGGCCTCGCCCATGCCGCATCGACGCGCCGGAGAGCGGCAGGACGAGCATCAGGCAGATACTGAGAAGGAGAATGCAAGGACGCATCATCGTCGCGAGTTCGTCCGCGAGAACACGGCTTGCGGTTACGTCCTGGGCCAGACTGGGTCTGTCTGCACGGTGGGGCGCGAAAGTGTGCCTGTCGTGCGACGCAGGCGAGTACGATGTGTCTCGATATCGCCTCCTGCGGGGGAAACACGACGTGCAAGCACGTTTCCGGCGCGTATTGACGTCTGCCAGAAAGCAGTGACGTTGGTCCCCGCAGCACTGCAGTGACGCTCCGGGGCGCACCGAAGTTGCTCAGAACGATTCCTCGCGTGCTGGAGCGCGTCGGGGGCGTGGCGCTGAGGTCCCTCCGCGTCGCGTGTCTGCAGCAGGACCCCGCGGTACCACAAGCACAAGGCGCCGGTGGCGGCCGCGGTGTCTGGGAGCCTCCACGCTCCGAACGCAGGGCCTGGCTCGCCTGCACGCCGATCGAGGCCCGCGGCCGCGCGTCGACGCAACGATCGTCGGCGGTCTGCGGCCCGCAACAGCAACGCGGCGTTGTTTGCGCACACAAAGCGAACGCCTACGCGCACGGAGTCCTGCGATCCGACGCAGGGTGCGGCGCCCCAGCTCACAATATGCGTTTCCATGCGCCGACCGGCACCTCCAACATAGCGCGCTGCGCGAGGCCGCTCCGCGAGCCTCTGCAGTCTGTCAGGTGTCTGAAACGCCCCCCGCGGTGACTGAAACGCCCCCGGTGGCGCGGGGCCGCGCCGCGCACGCGCGCGACGGCTAGTGTCTTCGCATGATCGCGTTGTCCACGTCCCCGGCGCCCATCTGTCCCGGCAGCGCCTGGAACCCGTTGAAAATGGTGTAGGCGCTCGCTTCGCCGCTCTGCCGCCGGCCGAGGTTCGTGTATATCACGACGATGATCGTGCACAGCACGTACGGCGCCGCGTGCCCGTACCTGCGCCGCGGGTTCCGCGTGCGCGGAATGGTGAACCCAAAGAGCATGACACGAAAGGTGCGGTTGTGGGCGTGGCGCGGGCGCCGGAGGCGCGGCGCACCTGTTCACGTACGGCAGCAAGAAGAGCCACGCTGCCGCGACGCCCCAGACCCACAGTCGGACGAAGAATATCCACGTCAGCGCCAAGTCTGACACCCCCTGTTGTTGAAGCCACGCGGCGAGCTTGCGGTCCAGCCACGGGGAGTTGGGCGACATCTGAAACCGCAGGTCCGCGTCATGGTCGTCCTCGGAGTCGCTCTCGCGCGCCCGCGCCCCCGCGCCGCCCCTGTGCGGCCAGACGCGGCGTGCTGCTGCCGTCGCGCTGGCGGCTGCAGGCCCCGGGGGCGCGCGGTCCCTCGGCCGCGCCGGGGCGGCGACGGCGACGATACTCGCGTTCTCTGCGAGCTCGACCTTCTCCGTGGCCGGGAGGTCCGTCAGCGCGCAGCCCTTGTGTACGAGGCGAAGCCGTTCCAGAGGGATGCCCGTCGCGGCCGACGCTGCGGAGGAAAGGTCCGCGACGGTGGTCGGGGAGTCGACATCAAGGGGCGTGGGCTCGGCGCCGGTCAGCGTGACCGCAGCGGTGCGCAGGAGGACCGTGGGCATCGCTGAAGTGGCGGTCTCGACACTAGGCAAGGCTAACGCAGTCGTTTACGCGGGGTACTGATGGGTTCGGCCCAGGCACCCTTTTTCCCGCTATGTGTTCTGTCTGGTCGGGGGGACTCCCTGTCGTATTGATGCTGGGAGCGCTGAAACTGCGGCCCTGAGTAGCGGTGTGAAAACAGCCGCGCAGGCGTGAAATCGAGGGGCGCGAAGACTGCCCGATGTCCACGACAGCAAAAGGGTGGGAACAGTGATGTCCGCGGCCATCCCTGCTTCGCCTTGTCAGGTCCGACAGGTTGTTCGGAGGGGGCAAATGATGATGCAAGTGCAGGGTATAAACACCGGCGCTGCGAGGGCGCCTGTAGCGCTGGTGTGCGCCCGCCAGGCACGGGCGAGCGTACTCTCCACGGAGTCTCAGATTCCGTGCATTCTGCACGTTTGCGTGTCCTCGGCGAAGCGGGAAGCGACGATGGGGGGTCATGGCGGGCTCAACATCCTGCCGCAGAAGTCCTGGAACGGTGCGCACGTGACCTCGCGTGTCCCAGCTCCGCTACGGACCCCGCGCACTTGCTTCCCCTCCGGTTTCCGTCCGTACTTTGCCCGAGTGTCCACTTCTGCTTTCTGCGGGTCATCTTCCACGCAGTCTGGCGCCAGGACAACCGCGAGAAGGTGCGCGCGGACGAGAGGAAGGCGAAGGCAGAGGAGGACAAGGCCCGCGCCAAGCACGAGCAGGCCGAGCGCGAGTTCCGACGCAACCTGCTCCTGAAGCGGGCAGAGGAGACAGGCCGTGTCCCCCAGCACGGCGCTCTGGACTCCACGGGCGGCTTGCTGCAGCAAGTAGGCGGCGAAGAGGACGTCAGGGACGGGCGCGGTGGCGCGCGCGAGGCGAGCAGGGACGCGGAGCGCGCGTCCAGGCGCAAAGGGGAGCGAGACGCGGCCAGGCGTTCGCGGTCGCGCAGTCCGCACGGCCACGGCCGCGACAGGACGAAGCACAGCTCGAAGAAGAAGAGCAGGCGGCGCAGCGCCTCGCCGGAAGGCGAGCGCGACGCCGGGAGGGGCCGCGAGGAGGCTCGCGCCACACACCACGCGCACAAACCCCGCGGCGGCTTCGGCGAGCACATCAACCTGTTCGACCTGAACGATCTCGACAAGGCGGGCGACGCGGACAAGCTCGAGAAGGAGCGGGAGGAGCGCAGGCGCCGGGGGAAGGCCGATACTAGAACTGCAGGTATGTTTTCGCTGGCCACGAGCGCCCAAGTGCCCCCATGCGTCGCGCACCGCGCGTGCTGCCCTTTCCGCCCCACTGCCAGGCACAGATGCGGTCACTTCACGTACCACCACTGGCGCCAAGGGAGGAATCTCTCAGCATGGTTCCGTCAACACGAGGCATTCGTGCGTGAGCGCTGTGCTCGGTTTCCGCACGTTCGCAGACCCGCGCTTCGACGAGCAGTTCCAGCTCGGCTACAAGATGGGCCGCGAGCACGCTCCGTGGTACGCGAGCGCGGGAGGCCCCGCCGACGCCCCCGCGCCAGCAAAGCAGCTCAAACGCAGCTACCGCGGCGCCGGCAAAGTTATCGACATGACCGGCGGACACGTCTTCGCGCACGGCGGCGCCACCGGCGGCGGCGCGGATCCGTCGGGCGCCGACGACAGCGGGCGGCGGACACGTGGCCCGAAATCGATCGAACAGCTGCGCGCGGAGCGGCTCGTGCGCGAGAAGGCGGAGCGGGCGAAGGCGCGCGCGCTCGTGGGGCGGGAGCCCGGGCACCAGCGCGTGCCGCCCTCTCGGCGGTACTTGTGAGCCTCGGCGGCGTAGACGCAACACCCTAGCTGTCCGCGGTGCGATGGTTCGTCCGGGCGCGCACGTCCAGGTCCTCGGCGTCGCGAGAGGGGGATTCGCGGCAGTGCGGCGAGCACGCGGCGTTGAAAGGGTGAAACACCCCCCTTTTGACTCGACTTGGGGTTGTTCTGGCAGCGGACGCGGCGGGGGGCGTGATGGGCAGGCAGCAGTGCGTGGGACGCGTACTGCGGTTGCGTTGTGGCGGCGAGGTCGGTCGCGGCGTGTGCGTCGTTGGGCCGGCGGGGCACGGGCGAAGAAGTGGAGCGGGTCGTTCGGCGGCATGACGGACGCGACGGGCGGCGGGCTGCCGACGGGGGCGCCGTGGCATATCTTCAGGCGGCAGGCGCGGGAGAGGCTTGCGTGTGCGGCGTCGGCGGAGCGCGATCCGCTCAGCTGGTGTGTGCCAGAGAGCGGTGACAGCGTCTCGCGGGGGCTGTGCGGCGTCTCGCGGGACGCGCTGCCTCGGCTCGGGCACGTGGCGCATGTGCCATGCCGCAGCGCCGTTGCGGGGATCGCTGCTGCCTCGACCAGCGAAGCGAGCCCTCTGCTGGGCTTCGTGGAAGCTCTGCAGCTGCTGGGGCTGCATCTGACGGCGACGGGGGGATCTCAGGCGGCGGTGAAGTCGGTTTTGGCTCCAGTGGACCGGACGCGGATTCTGCTCCAGGTAACTCTCGAGCACGGGCTGTTATCGGGCGGTGGCCGTCTGCGACACACCGCTGCCAGTTGCGCGCGATGGAGCGATCTTTGGCGCTGTTTCGCTCCGCTTCAGGTATCCAACCTCAGCATCGATCCCATCACGGCCTACGCCGGATCCCCACGGCGCCCGCCCACGCCGTGGGGCGCGGCGAAACACACCTGGAGAAAGGAGGGCGCCCTGGCCTTCTGGCGCGGCAACGGAGCGGCCATCATGCGCGTTCCTCTCGAGATCACGCTCAAGTTCGTGATCGCCGACCAGTTCAAGGCGAGCGCACCCACACCAGGCAGCGCCGCTGCAAGTCCAGCACGCAGTCACCGCGACACCACGTACACCCGCCGCCCGCCCGCCTCGCCGCACGCGCAGGTCATGTTCACGCCGGAGTCCGGATCGGACGCCTTCTGGGTCCCCTTCGCGTCCGGAGCGATCTCCGCGGCGATCCGCACGTTGTCGTTGTATCCCCTGGACCTGGCCAGGACGCGCCTGGCCGCGGACTCGGCGCCCCGCGGGCGCCACGGTCTCTACCGCGGCGTCTGGGACTCGCTCGAGATCGCGTACGTCCGCGAGGGCCTGCGAGGGTGGTACAAGGGGCTGGGCCTCTCCCTGGCGTGGGGCGTACCCCACTTCGGGCTCACGTTCGGCGTGTACGAGCATGTGGACACCTACCTGCCGAACAAGAGGGTGAGCAGCCGCCTGCGTGCACGGGGCCCGACCGCGGGAACCGGGACTCGGGACCCGCTTGCATTTATATACAATTGAGTTGAACAGTCTACGAATCAATTTTCAGGATTGCTCGATTGCTCTGGCCCCTCAGCGGCGTCCACCGAGGCGCCGTCCACCGCGCAGGAAGGCGCCAAGCTGTGGTGGTTCCCGGCAGCGAAGATCTCCGCCGCCGCGGCCTCGAGCGTGGCGGCGACGCTGGCGCTCTACCCGCTGGACACGCTGCGCCGCCGGGCGCAGGTCCGCGGGTCCCTGGGCTTCATCGACAACGCGCGGCTCATGACCGGCGGCTGGCAGAGTCTGTGGCGCGGCGCGTCCCTGCACGTCCTCCGGGCGGGACCTGCCGCGCTGCTGCAGTTCACCCTTTACGACCTCGTGCGCTCTGCGCTGCTGGCGCAGTTCCCCTCCGCGTCGTCCACGCCGCTGTAGCGCTCGGAGCCCTGCCGTGGTCGCACGCTCCGACAGGGGGGGATCACGAGTAGTTCGATCGACGTGTGAGCGCGTATGGCTGCCCGGGGGGCTCGTGTACCCGTGCGTTTTCACATACGATCGGTTCATATACACAAGGCTGAAGCTGCGTCGCCCTCAGAGGCCAAGCGCCATCCGCGGGGCCGCGACGCGCGCCGCCGCCGCCCGGCGCGCACCGGCAACGTGCCGGATGCGCGCGCCGGCCATCGACCGCCGCGCCGGACCCTGCCACCGCGGCACCGGCGTCGCCCCTAGCCTACGCCGCGTCGGCACGGCCCCCGTCGGACTCACCACGGCGCTCGGCCCGGGCTCCGCAGCGCCCGCCGGCACGCGCTCCGACACGTTCAGCGACACGGGCCCCGTCGGGTGCAGCGTCAGGCCGTTGCCGTGGTGCGGGATGGTGAACCCCGGCTCGGGCGCGACGAACCGGAACGAGGACAGAGCTTCGATGAACGCCATGCGAAGCTCAACCTGCGCGAACTCTGCGCCGGAGCAGATGCGCGCGCCGACGCCGAAGGGCATGTAGGCTTCGCGCACGCTCGGGCGCCCGCGGCCCTCGATCCAGCGGTCCGGCTTGAAGGCCAGGGGGTGTGGCCAGTACTGGGAGTCGCGCTGGATGCTGTAGACGTCGATGAAGACGTTCGTGCCCTCGCGCACGACCTGGCCCGTGCTGAGTGTGACGTCCTTCTTCATCTCGCGCAGGAGGTACGGGCCTGCGGGCGCGGAGCAGCGGGGTTGTGTCGTGTTGTTGTGGGTGGGATCCGTTGCTCGCTGCGGGCTCGAGGGCGCGGGTCGGGGCGCGCGGGGGTGGCCGGCGAGGGCGGAGGCGGCGTGCGAGGCGGGAGGGGGCGTTGGTGCGGCCGGCACTCACCGGGGGGGTATAGGCGGAGGGTCTCTTTGATGACCGACGTCAGGACCGGGAAGGCCTCCTCGGGGGCGTCGTCGGGGGTCTCCGGGTGCCCGTTGCGCGCGATGTGCGCGTCGATCTCCGCGATGCAGCGCTCCTGCACACGCCGGGACGACACACCGACATCGAAACGACGTCGCGCGAGTCCAGGAGGCGCTAGCAGCGGCCGCCGCGAACCTCGTGCGCAAGGCGCCGATCGAGAAAGAGAAGACAGCGAGGAGGGAAACGCGCAGACCGGGAGCAATGCCTCCTTCGTGATGTCAGCACATGGGTCACGTCATGCGTCCGATACGGACAAAGCGGGGCATGCTGCCGGGTCTCCTCGTTGCCCGCGTCCTTCTTCTCCGTCCGTGCCTTGCGCACGAGTACGAACAGGCAGCACAACACAAGGCATGCGCTCTCCCAGCGCACCTGGACGTCTGGGTGCTGCGCGAGCAGTGCGGCCATGTAGGCGACCGTCACGGCCGTCGTCTCGAACCCCGCGACCATGAACAGGCGCCCCTGCGCGACCAGCTCGTAGTCCTTCAGCCGCCGCGCGCTCGTGTTGAACTCGTTGTGCGGCACGCGCGCCGCCAGCATCGTGGTGAGGAACGACGACTGACTCAGGAAGGGGCACTCCGAGAAGTCCTCCGCGTCCTGCGCGGACGGCATCTCGTCGTCGTCCATGTCGATCGTCGCCGCCGGGAGCGGGTCCCCTCCCTTTGCGTCCTCCATCAGCCGCTTCACTTCCGTCGAGAACTCGCGGTCGCGGGCGCGGAAGGCCGCGTAGTCGCGCAGCGGGAGGACGCGCGCGAGGAACTTGAGCGCGCCGCGCGCGCCGGGGATGTCGCCGAAGAGGACGTTGAAGGCCGCGAACGGGTTGGCGTCGGGCGTGGCCCGCGCGAGCACCTCCGTCCCGGCGTTGAGGACGACGTTCGCGGTCTCGGCGTTGTGGCCCGTGATGGGGTCTGCGGCGGCGGGGGGGGCGAGCCGTGCGGCGCGCGTGGGCGGCGGCGCGCGATGGCGGTGCGCGTGGGGTGTTGAATCGAGGGTGGGGTCATACCGTATTTGATTCCGAGGCCGTAGGAGCCGACGACCTGGAAGGACATCTCCTTGCCGAGCGCGAGCATGTCGACGGTCTCGCCGGTGTCGGCCGCGTACGCCAGGCGGCGCGCCAGCGTGACGGACGCCGCGCGCAGGTCGGCGGCGGCCCCGGCGATGGCCTCGGGCGTGCCGACCGCGCCGTGCCAGGCGGTGCGCAGGGCCTTGGCCTTGGCGCCCTTGGCGAAGAAGAGCGCGGAGTCGTTCATCTTCTGGTTCCACGCGTCAGCATGCATCGAGGTGTTCTCCCGCGCGAGGTCGCCGCGGTCCGGTGCGCCTGCGGGGCCGTCGCGGGGCGCCGGGGACGTCTCGGCAGGTGCGCTGGGGTGCCGTTCGCGGGCTTGGGGGGACGCGAGGGGCGCGTGCGGCGGCGGGAGCGGCTTGTCTGTACCTTGGAGGATCTGGCGGACGAGCTTGGCGTCCTGGACGACGACGACGGGGCGCGCCCCGAGCAGCATCGAGAAGATGCCGGGGAACTTGTCCTTCTGGGCCGCCAGGTAGTCCGTCAGGTTGCCGGCCTTTTTGCTCTGCGCACAACCACCGGCGTCTGGCACGGAGGGGTCGCGCGGGGCGAGCGCTGCGGCGCTGCGCGCGCGGCCGACGCGCCCGCGCACGCGAGCGACGCGAGACGTCGTTGCATCGCACCGCACACAGACGTCACGCGGCGATACAAACGCACAACGAGGCACAAGCCCTGTTGCCCCCAAGCCCCCCCCGCAGGCCCGGACAACGCGACTCACGCGGGTCCTCGGCCGCGGAAACCAGGCCGTACCACCAGGGAACCGGGCGGCGCGCTCACCTTGAGGAGGTGGCCCGCGAGCCAGTCAGACCGCGGCCCTTTGATGCCCCTGAGCTTCCATCGTTGGGGGATCCGCAAGCCGTAAACAAACAGCGCAACCGCAGCGGCGACCGCCAGGGTCGTCGCACTGAAGCTGAACATCGCGCGGGTCCGCCCGGATGCGTCCTCCGGCGCTCCACTGCCGCGGAAATCCGCCCTCCCGAGTGGTGCGTGCTGAGCCTCACCACTGGCTGCGCTTCCACTTGGTGTGTACGGCGGTGCCAGGCGCGCAACGGACCTCCCAGTCACGCCGCGTCGTAGCCCTCGCGCGTGCGCTGCCGCGTGTGCCGCCGGCGCGACGCGCGCGCGCCCGTCGAGCCCAGGGCGATTCCTGAACCAGGATTTCCCGTTTGTCCCCACGCCACCCCTCCATCGAGTCCTTCCGGGCGCGAGGACGTCGGTCCGGCCGTGCAGGGCCGCGCGGCAGTTCCCGGCGCTCGCTGCACGCCCCCAGCTGCAGGAACAAGAGCGCTGCGCTGCGCACGGCGCAACGGAGCGACCTTCGTAGCGACGCCCTCTGTACCGAGCGCTCGCTCCGGCCGGCCCCGGCCGCCGCGCGATTTCCGCTCGCGCGCGCTGCGTCTCCGTCGACCGATCGCCTGCTGGGGCGGCTCTGCGAGGACGTCCGGGTCGGCAGCGCGCAGCGTCGTGCTGGGGGGGCGCACCGTGAGAGCTGCCCGTGCGTGGGTGGCATAGGGGGCAGGAAGGCAATCATGCGGGCGGCTGGAGTCCTGTGCTTGCTGCTGGCTCTCGTTGCGCCGCTTGCGGCAGGGAGCGGGCGGACAGCGGAGTCGGCGCAGGGGCTCCGGTTGCACGCGGCACCCGAGTACGGGCGGAAGCTCGCGCGGGCGCGGGCGGCGCAAGTGATGGTCCCGAACCCGGTCACGGTCTGCGCGCACAGCGTGAGCTCGTTCGTGGAGGAGCGCGACGCCGCGCTGGCGCGCACGTTCGTCGGGAGAACGCTCTCAAGCCAGGGTGAGCGCACGGCTCCCCAGCACCGCTGCGCCCGTCTGCGGGCTCCTGAGCCTCCGCCTGGCCTGCTCGGCGCCTATCCAGGCTAGCTCTACCGTGCTGGCGGGCCGCATCGGCCCCGGGAGGCCTCGTAAGGCCCGAACGCGCGCCCTGCCTCGTGCTTGCAGAGTTTGTAGCGAATTTCCAGGGCGTCACGGTCGACCTGGTCGACGTTCTGCTGCGCCTGCAGCTGGGCTGGCAGTACCAGGTGCGAACCGCGCGCTTCCGTCGCACCTGTGCCCTGGGAACCCCCAGGGATTCGCCCGGACCCCCGTCGCGCGCGAACGCGAGCGCGCCCCGCCCGCGCGCGCAGGTCAAGGTGTACGAGGACATCAACGTCATGCTGTACGCGGTGCGCAAGGGCGTCGACTGCGACTTCGCGGCCTCGGCGATCAGCATCACCGCGGCGCGCGAGTCGTGCGACGCGCGCTGCACCGACCCCGCGGCCGGGGAGGCGGCCGTCGCGCGGCACGCGTGCTGCCTCGACTTCACGGCCGACTACTTCCCGTCGGGCACGGCCATCTTGTCCAAGTGGTCGCGCGCGACCAGCGACGGCGGGCTGACGAGCGTGTTTCGGAAGTTCATCGACCCGGGGCTCGTCAACGCGCTCAGCACGACCTTCATCGCGCTCATGGTCGTCGCGCACGTCCTCTGGCTCATCGAGTCGCGCGTCCAGCCCAACCGCATCCACCCGAAGTACATGGAGGGCATCGACGAGGGCCTGTGGCTCAGCATCGTCACGCTCACCACTGTCGGGTACGGCGATTACTACCCGGTCAGCGGCCTCGGGCGGCTGTCGACGGCGCTGTGGATGATCATCGGCCTCCTCTTCACGTCCTCGATCAACGGTGCGCACGCCAGCGCGCCCACGTGCACAGCTCGTACCTGCCTGCTGAGGGGTGTCGGCGTGCTCATCGGCCGCGACGGTGGTGCCGCCCGCAGGGATCCTCGCGTCGGTGTGGATCGAGGCGCGCGACAACTCCCCCGTCTTCGTCGGCTCGCTGTCTGCGCTGAACGGCCTGCGCGTGTGCACGACGCCCGGCGCGCTGGCCTCCTCTCTGCGCAACGTCGCGCCCGCGTCGCTGGCGCTCGTGTCCACGCAGCGCGAGTGCATCGACGGCCTCATCGCGGGCCAGTACGACGCCGCGGCCATCGACTGGGCCGTCGGCGTGTCGGTCATCGAGCGCAACACCGTCCCCGACGACGTGGCGCTGACCGGCATCCTCTGGCCCGGGCCGCTCGCGTTCGCGTTCGCGGAGGGCGCGCCGCTCGAGGGGCCCGTCAACGCCGCGCTCTTGACGTACCTCGAGGGCGGTGAGGACGCCGTCAAGATCCCCAGCTTTGCCGACATCACGGGGGACTTTTTCGCCGGCGAACGCGGGCCCAAGGGGGTGTCGAACCTGGTGCGACGCCCCTTGCGGCCCCGCACGTCCGCGTGCCTGCTTCGCGGCGTCGGGGCCGGCCTCACGCGCGCGGCGTCGTCGTCGTCGGTGTGACGTTGTTCGCAGGCGTTGTTCGGGGACGGCGAGACGGAGATCGACAAGCAGAACGCGACGCTGGACACGACGGGGGAGTACGCGTGGGGCGTGATCGGCGCCGCGCTCGGCATGATCTTTCTGTGGGCGCTCTTCTTCCTCGTCGTGCAGTACGTGAGGATGAAGCGGCGGCGCGAGCTGCTGCAGCGGCGCATGGCGCCGCAGAAGCTGCAGCGGCAGGTCACGCTCGACGGCGACGACGACAACGGCATCATCGCGGGCGAGCAGGCGGACAAGGTGGACCCCCTCCGGAAGATGGAGAAGAAGACCTCTCTGCGGCACATCGGAGAGGGCAGCAAGAGGCTGTTTTCCGGCATGACGATGCTGCTGAACAAGGGGCTGGGGGAGCTGGCCGCGGCGATCGCGGACGTCGAGGTGGCGGTGCAGGAGGACGCGGAGAAGCTGCAGGACAACATCGTGGACGACATCGTGGGGCCCCCGCCGGACGTGGGCGCCCCCGCGCCGGCCAATGGCGCCGCGGGAGCCGACGGCGCGAACGGCAACCCCGTCAGCGCCGGAGGCGTGCCCGCGAACGACGCGCTGGCGCAGGTGTCGCGGAGGCTGTCGGTGGAGGTGCCGGGCGGGCCGGCGGGGGTGCCGCCACCGGCCACGCCCAGCGCGGTTGCGCTCGCGATGGCGGGCAGCGCGGCGCCGGCCAGCGTGGCGCCCGGCGAGGACGTGTCGGACGTCGTGCAGTACCTCAAGCTCGCCGACGCGCGGCAGCGCATCATCTCGCGCGTCCTGATGCTCCTGGCCACGGGCTCCTCCGGCCTCAGCGCCGACAAGCTGGTGCGCCCCCCGACGGCGAGCACCGCGTCTGCCCGGTCGCGCGCCCGTCGCGCACCTGACCTGACGGTTGCGCGATGGCTTTTTGTTTGTTTGTTTGCGATGCGCGCGCAGATGGAGGTGGACGAGCTGGACGCGGCGCTGGAGAAGCTGGACGAGCTGTCGGCGGTGAAGCGCAAGCAGGCCGCGATGGAGCGGCTCGCGCGCGGCTCGCGGCTCCCGTCGGTGCCGGAGTCGCGCGCGCTGAGCGAGTACCGCCCCAGCAACCAGGGGGACTCCGCGGTGCTGGACACCGGCCGAGGGGGGTCGCAGCGGGCCGCGCTCTCGCCGATGGGGGGCGCGCCGCCGGGGACGGCGCGGTTCAGGGCACCGCCGCGCGTCGCGGGGTCGAGCAGCAGCGACAAGGCGTGACGCGGCGCCGAGGTCGGGGCGCAGAGCTGCAGGCGTGGCTGCTTCTGCGCCCATCGCGCGCTGCGCTGGAGGTGACGTACTTGGCAGTGCAGTGCCAAGACCCAAGATGACATGAAATGACAGGATATGATATGATATGTGAGAGTGATGCGGGAGTTGTGTGTGTGGTGAGGTGGGGGCCGCCTACGCACTCGCCGCTGCGTCGAGCCCAGTGCACCCGCGCCTCCGCGCGGCGCTCCTGAGCGCACGCCGCATGTGATGCGCACAAGCGACACGGAGCCAGGCGCTCGTGCTGCTCAACCTGCGCCCGAGCTGTCCGACTCGGGCGTGCGGCAGCTGGGGCGGTCGCTGTGCGGCGCGCCGGGCCTCGCGGAGGCGCACATCGAGGGCAAGCAGCTGTCGGAGGCCGGGGCGCTGAAGCACCCGCTCCAGCGCACGCTGACGGGGCAAGTGTTCGCGCGAAGGAACATTGCGAGGAACTACGACTGGGACGCTGCTGCTGTAGCTGCTTCAACTACCAAGAAATTATATCTGTTTTAAAAACAGAGAGAGAACTGAAGTCACGCTGCTCCGGCGCGACATTGCGCCAGCAGCGTGGCAGGAGGCCAACGCAGGCCGTTTCCCACCGCACTGCGAACGAACGGCTTCACACTGGGCAGCAATCAACGCCAACCACCTTCTAGCTTGAAATCGACCCAGTAACATTCGACTCACTTTGCCCACCCCCCAGATTGCGCGCGCGCTTGCTCGCTTGTTGCGACCCGCTTGCTAGATGCACCGTGACGCTGCGCGGCCCGGCGGAATCTGCAGTGCCGCGCCGTCCAGAGGGGCTGCAGGCCCCCCCGTGACGCGAGACCCGTTGACGTGCTCGCGCATCAGAGCTGGACGGAGGCGGCACACGAGAACGTCCATGGACGTGCGGGGCGCGCAGATCGAGGGCGTCACGAGCGCATGTGGCTCTGGTGGCGGGCGGCATACTGACCGCGCTTGGTCGCGCTGTTCCGCGTGCCGCGCCTGCGCGCGCAGCAGCCCGTCACCGACCCATCCATGGCAGATACCGAGCCCGCCCCTCCGCGGCTCGTCAGGCCCAGCGCCTCGTCCCGGTCGGGCACCGTCCGTGATGCCTCGTCGCCGTCTGCCGGGGGGTGCCTCAGCAGGCGATGGGGGGGCGTGTTGAGCGTTGGGCAGCACAAGGCGTCGGCCCGTGACACATCGGAGCCACAGCGCACCGTCACGCGCCACGCGACGATCGCGAAGACGTCACACCTCGGTGCGTCGCACCACGACGTGGTTGCGAGCTCTCCGCAGCCCGTCGACGTCGACGCGCAGCTCAAACGGTGCTGCCAGACGTGACCGGTGATGCGCCGCGTACCTGCGCTCGCGAGCACACAGGGCTCAGCAACACACTTTCTTGCCGTCCCGCACCCTGAACAATCGAAAAAGCGTCCGCACGGTGACGGTCTTCCCCTTGGGCAGCCTCTGCGTCCAGCCCAGATCGTCCGCCGTCAGCCCGGTCTCCTGCCCCCCCAAGTCGTCACTGACGTTGATCTGTTCGATTGCCTCCAGGCCCTCGGGAAGCTCCGACACAGGTGTCCGATGAAGGTCCAGCTTCTTCAGCCCTCTCGCCGACTGCCGGTCGATGAATCCAGACCGAACGTTGCACCACGACAAGTCCAGCTCCTCCAGCGCCGGCATGCCCCGCACGCACGTCGTCGCCGTCGACGCTGCTTTCAGGACCCGCAGCTTGCGTCTGGAGGTCTCCGGGATCTTGTTTGCGTCAAACGCCTCGCAGTGACAGACGTCCAGCTCCTCCAGCGCAGGCATGCCCCGCACACACGTCGTCGCCGTCGACGCTGCTTTCAGGACCCGCAGCTTGCGTTTGGAGCTGTTCGGGATCTTGTTTGCGTCAAACGCCTCGCAGTGACAGACGTCCAGCTCCTCCAGCGCCGGCATGCCCCGCACACACGTCGTCGCCGTCTCATGTGCCCTCAGGACGCGCAGCTTGCGTTTGGAGCTGTTCGGGATCTTGTTTGCGTCAAACGCCCCGCAACACGAGACTTCGAGCACCTCGAGCGCCCTCATCCCAGGCGGCACCTCGCGCAGGTCAGTGTCTTCAGCACGGAGCTCCTGCAGCGTCTCCCGCACGCTCGCGCTCAGCCACCCCGCGTCGAAGCTGACGCACTCCGACACACTGAGCTTCTTGAGCTGCGTCATGCCGTCAGGAAGCCCGCGCAGGCGTGTCCCCGACACGTCCAGCTCCCGCAGCGCTGCCGCCACTGCATCGTCGATCCAGTGCTCGTCCAGCTCCTCGCACCCGCACACTCTCAGCGTTTCGAGGTGCGTTGCAGAAGCCGGGATGCGACGGACGCTCGGGAACGACACGTCGAGGTGGCGGAGCTCCCGTGCCGAGTCCACCGGCAGCCAGTCGTCGGCCAGGTCGATCGATTCGTTCCCGTCCGTCAGCGTCAGCCTCTGCAGCGACATCATCCCGGCAGGCATCCGACGCACGGGCGAACATCGCACCTCCACCTCGACCAGCGACGCGCGCGACGCCTCGTCCAGGAAGTCCTCGCACAGCGTCTTGCACCCGTAGAGCCGCAGCACCTTCAGCGCCCTCACGTGTGGCGGTACGCGGTTGATGGAGCACTCGTGGACGACGAGCTTCTGCAGCCTCTCACCGGAGTCCTCGGGCAGCCACGCCTCCTCAAGATCACGACAGGCGTACAGAGCCAGCTCCTCCAGCGCCCCCAACCCGCTGGGGAGTCTCTTGATGTCGCAATGGCCCAAGTCGAGCACCTTCAAGTTGCGGGCGGAGCTCGGCGGCAGCCAGGTCGGTACGCACTCCGAGAGCCGGACCGTCTCCAGCGCCGGGAGATCTTCCGGCACGCGGTCGATGCGGGCATATATGCCTCTATAGGCACACCGAAGCACCCTCAGCGCTGGGCGGCTCGACACCGGCAGCCACGCGCTTGCATCGATGCGCTCGCAATCCACGACGTCCACCTCCTCCAGCGACCCCATCCCCTCCGGCACGCGCCGCAGCCCGCTCTCTGCCGCGTTCAGCGTCTTCACGCTCCCGCGCGCACCACGAGGCAGCCAAGCGTCGCTCGACAGCCAGTCCCACTTGAGGTCCGACACGTCCACGTGCTCGAGCGCCGTCATGCCGTCGGTCAGCGGCGGCGGCGGCAGGTCGCGAACCTCGTCATCAGCATACACCCAAAAGAACCCACCGCGCGCCCTCTTTCCAACATACCGCTGCCCCGTCTTCGCCTTGCGCAGACCCACCACGGACGCCTCGTCCCCCGGGTCCGCCCCCGCCCGGTACACCAGCACCCACCCCTCCTCGCTCACCCGCCCGATCCGCGCGTTCGCCGCCACACACCCCTGCTGGTGCAGGCGCTCCATGATCTGGTCGGCCACCTGCGCCTTGCTGGGCGTGAGCCGCACGCCGCCCGGGCAGCACCGCAGCACCGCGCTCATGTACGCCGACGACGTCGCCGCCAGCGCCGCGCGGCCCCGCGGCTCCAGCAAGCCGACGACTTGCGCCAGAGGACCACTGGGCAGGTCGGTGAGCTGCAGGGCTCCACGGGGCCCGTCACTGCATGGCACGCATCAGAAGCGGGATGTGTGCGTTGAGTCGCTGCTTGCTGTCGCGTCGGCACACGCAACACGTCGCTCCCGAGCCCCCGCGCAGGCAACCACCACTGAGCGGGTCACCTCACCTCGGGCTCGCAGGACCCTGCGCCCCCCCGTCCATCGTCCTCGCGCGCCGCCTCGTGATCATCTGCATAGTGATGATCAAGTCACGACGTCATAACCACGGAAGCTCGTTGCGGCGGCGGATTCTGCGCCACATACCCTCTGCTGCCCAGCACGAGCCCCCCGCACGCAGCGACAGCGCATACAGACCGCACCTCGACCACAGCGCCGCGTCCAAGCTGTACCTGCTCACCACGTCCGCCTGCCTCGGCAGCCTCGCGCCCTCCCACGCAAGCACAGAGCGACAGATGCAGCCCCGCGTGCGTGAGGGTCGCGACCCTTGTACGTGCGCGCGCCGCTGGATCCCCGACTGCGCGTCGGTACGTGAGTGTCCACGCCGTGCCGCCACGACACCGTGAAGAAGCCTCGCACCCGGTCGCACCGCGTGGCATCGACGGCAGGGGGTGTCCAAATGACACCCCTCTTCAAGACCCCCCCTCTCGTCGCCTCTGGGCGAGGCCCGTCACTGGCCGGCTCCATGGCAGCTGCCGCACCATCTCCGCGGCTCGTCAGGCCCAGCGCCTCCCGGTCGGGGCTCGCCCGTGCGGCCTCGTCCCCGCCTGACGCGGGGGTGTCTCAGCAGGCAACGGAGAGGCGTATCGAGCATCCGACAGAGAGCCCACAGCAGCGCGATCTGCGCCCCTCTGCCGCACGCGCGGGCGTCGCGATCCTGTTCACGGAAAACACGTGATCGTGCTGCGCCAGCCTTTCGCCGGAGTGTGACGGCGCCGCAAGCGACAGCGCTTGGTCGCGCTGTGCCGCGTGCCGTGCCTGTGCGCGCAGCAGCCCGTCGGCGGTCGCGTCGTCTCACGAAGCACCGGTCCGCTTGACCTGTGCCACGCCCGGGCGCCAGGAACGATGTGGCGTCGTCGGCAGCGTGCGGCATGACGGACACTGCGAGTCCGCGGCCGAGCCGCTGCCCGCCGCGACCGCACTTGCTGTGCGAGGCCACCGCAGATGTGGCGAGGAACAGTTAGGCCGGCGTCGCGTCGTGTCGGCGATCAGGGGGAGGTGTCTAGCGCGGGGGTCCCCAGCGCTCGTTGCGGTACAGCGGCAGCGCCGCCGCGCATGCGCCGTCTGCGCCAGGTCTTCGGGAGTGTCTCGGCGCGGGAACGCGGCGTACTGGTGCCAGGTGCGCGTCCACGCCTCGCGCGTGCACCGATGGTGCGTGGGCGCGAGTTGCAACGTCCAGCGCCGTCGGGCGCTGTGGCGGCGCTGCGACGCCGCACGCGCAGCGCGAGCGTCGATCATCGATACTGGTGACGAGGCTGAGCGATGTTGTAGCCCGCTTAGGACGGCGCTGGTCCCTCTGAGAGCCGATGCACCCAGCGCACAGCAGAGGCCGATTGCGGCCGCGACCCAGCGTGCTGGCCTGCGACGCTGACCGGGCTCATGCTGGTGGTAGTGGACAGCGCGAGCGGGCTCCTGCACGCGTGCCACACGGTCATTCAGGCGCCGTGAGAGCCATGCGACCCTTGCTCTGCAGGTATCTGGGGAACCGCGCGTCGCGGCCGCCTCAGACGGGAGCGGCGGAGCCGCGCATCTCCGCCTCACACACACGACGCTAGCGGCACCAACCACACCTACCCGCTGCAGCAACCTCCGACGTCGGCAACATGGTGCGCCCCCCCTGACACACATCTTGGCTTTGTGCGTCGTCATCGCACCGGCGTCTGACTCACGGCCCCGCGTCGCCGCTCCGTATCACGCAGGGGTCGGCCTTCGAAGAGGCGCTTCACAGCGTGCCCGCGGTGCTGCAGGCGCTCCCCGACGACAGCAAGCGCAGCGCGGCGGCGACGTCGTGGAGCGCGCTGTTGGCGGTGCTGCAGGGGACCCGCGCGACGCTCCGGCTGTCCGCGGGCGGCGCCCTGCTGCAGTCGCTTGCCGAGCACGTGACGCCCACGCCCGGTGCGAGGCCCGCGCTGGGGAGCGTGTGCGTGAGGGAGCTGGCCGAGGCGACGATCGCTGCCGACGACGTGGGCACGTTCTGGGCAGGTCTGCGCGCGTCCGGGTACTGGTACTGGTACTCGCCGATGGACAAAGAGGAGTCTTCGCGGGACCCTGATGCGATCGTGGAGCTGCTGCACGTCGCGCGGCGGTGCGAGGAGCGCGGCACCCCTCTGAAGCTCCGTGGCATGACAGTGGAAACGACTGATGTGTCTCGGGAGGAAGACAGTGAAGAATCATCCGGGGGCACCGCCACGGACTTCGGCGGGGATGGTTGCTCGTTTGCTGCAGACACACTTCTGAAGCTGTTGCGTATGCCGTCCGTGGCGAGCAACCTGCGTGTGCTCGCGCTGCATCACTGCTCTCTACACAATCACTTTACCGAGTTGATGAAGGCCCTGCGCACCACGAAGCTGGAGCAGCTGCACTTGCAAGACTCCGACTATGAAACCTTCGAGATGAAAATGTCTACCGAGGACGTGCTGGAAATGGCCGAAACGGTGCGAATCACGGCCGCTCTGTGCGCCCGCTCGTGTGTTGACGCGCGCGTTGCTGCACGGTCTCGCCGCAGGAGTTGTAAACTCGCAGAGGTCGTGCAGATGAATACTGTTTATTGAGCCGCGAGATCTCTGGGGAATCCATCACTGCGTTGGCGTGCAGCTGAAAAGCAACTTCAAACACCGCACTATTCAGGTATCAAAACTGGAGATGCTACGCAAGATGACAACTCCATCCACGGACTTTACGGGCCAACTCTTTCCAAACGAGTTTACCAAGGAACAGGATGCAATTTCGGCGCTTCTCCGGGCGATCGGGGCGCACAAGTCGCTGGAGGAGCTGCACCTGGGGCTCGACCCGGCAGTGCTCGACGCGGCGGCTCTTTCTGTCGAGTCGATGCTGAAAACAAGCACGACGCTGACAACGCTCATCATCGACCAATTTTCCCGTTATGACCGCGATGAGGACGGGTACTGCGACGACGCCATGTACGAGGCCGCTCAATTGTTCGGATGGCATCTCGAAGGCTTGTCGAGTCTGCCGAAGGCTCTGAGCGCTGGTCTGACCCAGAACAACACGCTGCAGAGACTCCACGTCAAGAGCGGCGCTTTCGACTGGTCCGACGATGACATCGCCGGCCTGCTTCAGAACACGACCCTGCAGCACCTTAATCTGGGGCCGCGGCCTGCCAGCCGCACCTTGCCTCTGCAACTTGCGGCGGCAGTGAGGCGGGGGAGCACCCTGCGGGTGATGCGCGTGACTGGCGATCCGACCGGCACAGTGGAGCTAGCCCGAGCGCTGTCGTCCAGGTCGTGCGTGGTCGAGCTCCGCATCACCCTTGAACGGGAATCGGGCGATTCTGTCGATCTCGTGCTCGAGCTGGCGAAGGCCTTGGCGGACGGAGCACTGGGACACACGCTGGAGACACTCCGGATTTCTGATACGCCAGACCACAGCGGCACGCAGGACTTCGTGGCCCTTGCAAGGGCGCTGGAACACAACTGCGTCCTGCGCACCCTGTTCGCCGCCAACAGCTTGATCTCCCCTGAAGGCGCCGCCGCGCTCGGTGCTGCGCTGCGGACGAACCGCACGATCAAGACGCTCGAGCTGCGCAACTGCGGCATCTGCGACGAGGGGGCGGCCGGGCTTGCGTCAGGCCTGCAGCACAACACCACCCTCCAAGAATTGGATTTGAGCAACAACGAGATGGGCAGGGCGGGAGCCATCGCCCTCGCGGACTCGCTTGGAGCCGGGTCCGCACTCGAACGCCTGCGGCTCCACGGATGCGTCGTCGCGCAAGTGCCTGGCAGATTGTGCATCAACGTCGACGATTCCGTGGCGGCTTCGTTCGCCGGCGCACTGCGGCGGGGCTGTGCCCTCAGAGACCTCGACATGGGGTTCTGCACGGTCTCGAGTCCTCCTTTGAGTGGGATGCGGGAGCTGGTCGATGCGATGGTCGATCGCAGGCAGCTTGGGAAACATCACGAGATCGAAGCGTGGCTCTCGTGGGATGCGAACGTGGTATCGTGGACGGAAAAGTGGAATGAGATCCGTCTGCTGAGAGGCAAGCTGTGTCGTGTGGAGCAGGAGGGATGGGGACGCGTGGTCGTGCTCCCTCGCTACCTCTATTGAATCTGACCTATTGGGTGTTACCATCTCCGCAACTGACCGCGGTCGGTCGTGCTGTGCCGCGTGCCGTGCCTGTGCGCGCAGCAGCCCGTCGGCGACTGCATCGTCTCACGGAGCGCCGGTCCGCTTGACCTGCGCCACGCGCGGGCGCCGGGATCGATGCGGCATGTCGTCGGCGTGCGGTTGGGCCGACACTGCGAGTCCGCGGCCGAGCCGCTGCCCACCGCGACCGTACTTGCTGTGCGAGGCCACCGCAGATGTGGCGAGGAACAGTTAGGTCGGCGTCGCGTCGTGTCGGCGGTCAGGGGGAGGTGTCTAGCGCGCGCGGGTCCCAAGCGCTCGTTGCGATACAGCGGCAGCGCCGCCGCGCATTCGCCGTCTACGCCAGGTCTTCGGAATCTGCCAGATCGCCCATCGCGGCGCGCTGGCGTCAGGTGCGCGTCCACGTCTCGCGCGTGCACCGTGCTGGGCTCAGCGACTCCTGGACGCGCCTTGAGGGCATCATCACCGACGTGGAAGACACCCCGGTCAATGCCCCTTCGGACACTGAAGAGGTCGTCTTCCCCAACGTCTACTTCGTCCCGTGCGGCAGCGTTGTGTGGTGCTACACACACCTCTACGGCGCGTTCGGGCACGCCGGAGCGCCGCGGCTGGACGCGGACCTGGTGGCGAAGGCTAAGCGGAAGCTGGAGGCCACGGGGGCGGGGAAGGACACGGTCAACTTCTCGCTGCGCGTGGTGCAGTACGCAGGCGTCGACGTCCGCGACCCTCTGGCAGACATAGGTCCGCGGGCCGGCTAGTCGAGCCTGAGCGGACAGGCAAGTGCAACGAGAGCCGGGCTGCGAGGGTAACGAGGGAGGCAGCAGCGACCGACGTAGGGAGGAGGTGCGGTGGCGCTTACTCATTGTAAGACTACGCGCAAGCGCGAGCGTACGTCTCGCGAAGCTGTGGAGCGCGCTGCGAGCACGGATCGCGGGCGGCCGAGGCCCATGCGGTCGTTCAGGCACGCCCTGACGAGCCTCCACGCGGGTCGAGGTGCACCGCCGCAGAGGTGAGCCAGCGCGCGGGTTTCCGGGGCGCGCTGGCCGAATTTCGGGGCCGCCGCGACAAAAGAAGAGACGTTGACCGCTCCCGCACGGCCGTTGCCCGCTCGGGCTGCGGCCACGGTCGCGCCGGGAGGTTCAGGTGCTGCGCGCGGCTGGCATCGCTCCTGGACGGCCCCCCGACGCGTCGATGGATGCGCAAACGCTTCAGGGACCCGCAGAAAGGCCAAAAATCATGCCTCCTAGGCGGTTCGAACGCCTGACCTCATGCTGTTTCCGCTGCGCATCGCGCAGCATCGCTACGAAGCATGCGCTCTACCAACTGAGCTAAGGAGGCATGATGAAAGAGGCAAAATTATGCGCTTCGGATTTGCGTTTGTTGATTACGGTACAGTACGTAGCTATAGTACCGAATTCCGATCATCATCCATCGTTCTGGAACAATCGTTTCCCACCTCCGAGGCGCGCTCCGTCCCCATGTGTCCCATGCAAGTATCTGCACCTCTTTCCGCCACAAGGGAGCTGCTCCTCCGCAGACAACTCCCGGCCCATCGGCCGTCCGCGGCCCGTCGCGCGAGCCGGCGCCTCGCACCACGCAGCGCCACGCCTGCGAGCGCCTCTGCACGTCGCCTCCTGCGAAAACGGCACTCGGCACGTGCGTTCCATCATGGGAATTCTACTCCGTCCCCTCCCGCGCCCGCGGGGCCGCTCGAGGCCTCCGCTCCGGCGGCGCCTGCGTCAGTGACGCGCGGGCTCGGCATTTCTGGGCCGCTTCCGCGACGTGCGTCCCCGCAGACCGTCGCGCGCCGCACCCGAGTTGAATTCGGCGCCTGGCCCGCCCTGCGTCTCCCACCGACGCCCGGCGCACCGACGCGGCCCGCGCTCCCGCGCGCCTCGTCCCTGTATGCTCACCTGAGCGAGCCGCGAGCATGCTGGGCTACGACAGCGAGGGCAGCGCCGACGACGGCCCGGCCCCCCTCAGTCCGGTGGCCACGCTCGACGCCGCCGCGCAGGTCCGCCCGCGCGCCCCGCGCCCCGCCCCGACCGCCCCACCGTCGCCTCCTCCGTGTCCCGCGGCGCCGGAGATCCGCGCGCGGCGCCTCCCCCGCGCCCACGGCCCCGAGGCCGCACCGAAACCACCCCGCCCCTCTCCGGCGCCCTTCCCCGCGCAGGGCGACCTCGACGGCCCCGCGAGCAGCCTCGAGGAGGAAGTCGACCGCTACCGCGAGGCGCTCGAGGAGCAGGAGCGCGAGGAGGAGGAGGTGCGCGGGCGCGGCGAGCCAGCTGGCACCGCGGGGCACGCCGGCCTCGTGTCGCAGCTCTCGTCGTGGCCGTCGAACCTCGACGACGCCGCGGTCGCTGGAGAGGACCGCCGCGTCGGACTCGACAGCCCCATGGGGGCCGTCCCGCCGCCCCCCGCGCACCCCGCGAGTCCCGTGCAGGAGCGCGGGCTGCAGACGGGGCCCTCGCTCGCGCGCCGCCCGCCGCTCCCGACGCCCGCGTCGCCCGGGACCGCGCACCGCCAGCTCCAGACGGGCCCCTCGCTCGCGCGGCAGGCCGCCCCGGCCGCGCCCGGCGCCGCGGCAACATCCACTGCAACAACATCCACTGCCGCTGCGCCGCGCGACGGCGCGGTGGCGACGCCGTCGGAGAGCTCGATCTCCGCGCGCGGTGGGACGTCGCCGTCGAGCGGCGGGACGGCCGCGCAGGACGCGACCGGGACCTCGGACACCTCCACCCCCCTGACCACGTCGGCCGACAGCAGCGGCAGCACGCCGCCGTCCACGGTGCCGTCGACGACCACCGCGACGACGAGCTCGTCGGAGCCCGCGGCGCGCTTCGGCGGGTTCCGCGGCTTCGCGACCGAGACGGCCCCGGCGGCCGCGGGCGTGGACATCGGGGGCATGCCCGGGGACGTCGTCGAGGTGCTGCAGTCGCTCGGCGTGGACACGACGGCCATGCGGCGCGCGTGGGCGCGCGCGGGCACGACGCCCACGGGCTCCCAGGTGCGCCGGCGACACCCGCGGCCCTGTATGCCCGTGCAGACGCGCGGCGGCGCCACCAGGGGCACATCCTGAAGCGCACCGCGTTTCCCAACCCCCTCCCGCGCAGGACACGTCGATGCAGGCGGCGCGCGCGGGCTTCGACGCCACGGCGCGCCGGATCCGCGACGACATCGCCGCCGCGGGGCGCGTGGTGTCGCAGATGGCCGCCGCGCGCCCCGCGGCCGCCCCCGCCGCCGCCCCCGCCGCCGCCCAGCGTGCCCCCGCGCGTGGGGTTCCCCGCGGACGCGACGGCGGCGGCGGCGGCCCCCGGCGCACCCACGCCGCCCTCCGCGGCGCTCACCGGCGACCTGGGCGACATGGCCGCGTACCTGTCGGCGGTGAAGCACAAGTACCGTATGAACCTAAACTCCCCCACCTCGCTGCGGGCCCCCGTGCCGCCGCCGCCGCAAGGCGGCTGGGCCGGCGCGCCACCGCCACCGCCACCACCGCAGCAGCAGGAGGAGGCCGCACCGGGCGCGCAGATCGTCGCGCGCGGCGTGCAGGTGCCGGAGGGCTACGCCATCGCGACGCAGACGTCGTTCCGGAGCCAGGCGGCAGCGCCGCCGCCCGCGCACGAGCCCGCGCCGCCGGCGCAGCGCCCGCCCGCGGTCGCGACGGGCTACCCGGTCGAGGCGGGGGACGGCGGCGGAGGGGGGGACTCTGGGCAGACCCCCCCCGCTGACGTGGCCATCGGGACCCCCGTGGGGCCGTCGGCGCCGTCGTGGGATCAGGTCGACATGCTGTCGGCCCCCGCCGACGCCGAGGCGTCGGCGCCCGCGCAGGACGAGCAGGGAGCGAGCGCGCCGCCTGCCGTGACGGGGTGGCCCATGGAGGTCGACGCGGGCGCGCCCGACGCCGCGCTGCCGACCGCGCCGCCGGAGGAGCTCATGACGCCGCGCGACAGCGCCGGCTCGGCGCAGCGCCGCGCCGCGCGGGCCCAGCGGCGCCGGCTCGGACTACCACCACCAGCTGTCGGGCATTCACTCCTCGCCCCCCACGTCCGACGCGCAGCCCGCCGCGCCGCCGGGGCCAGCGCCCGCCGACGCACACGCCGCCTCCGCGCCGCCGCAGCCGACCGCCGCGGACGCGACCGCCAGGGACGTGACCGCCGGGGACGCAACCGCAGACGCCGTGGAGGCCGTGAGCCGCGCCCTGCGCGACAACGGCTTCCCGGGCCTGCCCCGCGCGGCGTTCGGCGCCGCGCCCGCCGGCGAGCTCGCGGATCTGCCGGAGCCCGTCTCCGCCGCGCTCGCGTCGCTGTCTTCCGTCCTCGACCAGTACGGCCGTCGCTCGCGCCTGGTCTCGGACCTCATGCGCGCCGCGGAGCTGTCCCGGCAGAAGGACCGCATGCACGCGGAGGCGCTGCGGGCGCTCACGGAGGAGCGCGACGCCGCGCGGCGGCGCGCCCAGCGCGCCGAGGCGGCGGCCGACCAGAGGACGGAGAGGTCGAAGACCAAGTCGAGGAACGCGGAGGGCGCGGCGAAGGCCGCGGAGGACGCGGCGGGCAAGCTGCGCGCGCGCGTCGGGCAGCTGCAGCACGCCCTCAAGCAGAAGGAGGGGGAGTACGACAAGCTCAAGGCGCACCTGCAGGACCGCGTGGCGCGCGACGAGCGGCGCGCGGCGCGCGACAAGGAGGTGTACGCGCGGCTGAAGCAGGCGCACCACGCGGCGCGGCACGCGGACGCGAAGAGCGGCGCGGGGGTGGTGTCGGCGGCGGCGCGCGAGCTGCGGCCCGTCGAGATCGTGTCGATCTACGAGGCGGCGCGCGCGGACCTGGAGAGCGAGGTCGGCGTGCTGCGGCGCGAGAACGGCGACCTGCGGTCCCGCGTGGCCGAGCTCGAGGGCACGATCGCGCGCAAGGACCGCGAGGGGTCGTGGCGCAACAAGGGCGGCGACGTCGAGCAGGCGCTGGCCGAGGCGGAGCGGCGGGCCGCGGAGGCCGCGAAGGAGGTGGCCGCGGAGCGGTCGCGCGCGGCGGAGGCGGCGCGCGAGGCGGCGCGGGCGGTCGCGGCCGCGGAGCGCAAGGCGGAGCGCCTGGCCGAGGAGGTGGCGTCGCTGGCGCTCGAGGTGGAGTCGCGGCCGGCGCTGCGGGAGCTGCGGTCCGCGCAGCGGCAGGTGGAGATCCTGGAGCGGCAGCTCGCGAAGGCGCGCGGGGGCGTGCCCGCGGGCACCGGCGGCGACGCGCTGCGGGGCGAGGCCGAGGTGGCGGGGGCCAGGCTGGGGCGCGTGGGCGCGGCGGCGCTGGGGACGCGCGAGCGCATCCACCGCGACCGCGAGCTGCACCGCCTGGGCCTGACGCAGGTCGGGGAGCTGCCCAAGGGGGTGCTGTCGGACCTGGTCGAGGACGTGTGCCTGGCGCTCGAGTGCTCGGAGCCCACGAGCCTCCCCGCGCACGTCCAGCGCGCCGTGCGCGTCGTCGCGGCGGTGCCGAAGCTCGAGCGCTTCATGGGCGAGGTGTGCGACGCGGTGCTCGTCAAGGGCCGCTCGCTGGGGGCGCTGCCGGAGGGCACCGGCCTGCAGGACGTGGACGCGGTGCCGGGCGTGGTCGCGCGGTGGGCGGACGAGGTCGCGGAGGCGCAGAGCCTGCGCGCGGCGCTCGAGGCCGCGCGCGGGCACCTCGCGCAGCGCCCCGGGTGCTTGTCGGCGCCCGAGGGCGCCGCGGGGGTGGTGCTGGCCGTGGAGGACGTGTGCCGCGCGGAGAAGGCGCTGATGGGCGCGCACGAGACGATCGACGCCGCGCAGGACATCCTCGCGCAGGAGCGCGGCGGCGCGGCGGGCGGCGCGGCGGGCGGCGCGGCGGCGGCCGAGGCGCTCATCCGGCGCGTGGTGCGGCACTTCATGCACCTGTTCGAGTGCCCGCGGCTCGACGGCGCGCTCCCGCGGATGAACCAGGTGTACGTCGCGCTCTCGGAGTACCGCAACCTGCTGCGCACGCTCGGGGCGCTGCTGGACCTCGGCCACACGCCGTCGCCGGCGGGCGTCGTGAAGCGCGTGCGGCAGGCGCTGCTGGCCGGCGGCGTCGACGTCGTCGACGACGCGCAGAAGGCGCTGCTCGCGGACTACGCGAGGGACGAGGGGCGGCTCGCGGGCGTGTCCGGCGGGAAGGGCGGAGAGGGGAAGAGGAGCGGGCGCGGGGGGGCGGCGCTGGTGGCGACGGTGCTGCGGAACGGCGACGTCGTCTGGGAGGACAAGAGCCACAACGTCGTCCCCATGCGCGTCGGCAAGCGCACCTGGTGCGCCCCCTTTTTCGAATCAACCCCCCCCCTCCCTCTTTCACTCACCCCCCTCTTGCCGCGTGTTCCAGATCTGCGGTGCTGTGCCTGGCGGCGTGCGTGCGCGTTCGCTGATCCCCTGCCGTGCGTGCCTGGAGATTGGCCTGCAGGGTCGGGGAGGGGAGTGACGATGCGGAGCCCGAGGCCCCCGGCACGCCGGAGCAGGAGGCGCCGCGCGCGCTGCCGGCGCCGGACACGGGCAGCGGCTCGTCCGAGGGCGACGCGAGCGCGGACGAGTTCGCCACGGAGCTCAAGGAGCACACGGCGAGCATGCGGCAGCTGCAGGCGCTGCTGGGGGCGGGGACGCCCGCGCAGGCGGTGGTGGAGGCGCGGAAGCTGGTGGAGCGGCTCGAGAAGCTGGACGCGGTGCTCCCGAACTACCAGCGCGTGGCGTCGCAGCTGTTCGACGTGCTGAAGGTGGCGACGCTGGAGGACGTCGTGCCCGCGGTGATCGCGCTCAACAGGCGCGCGCAGTGAGGGGCGCTGGGCGTCGGCCAGACGCGGCGTGGCGCGCGCGATGTTGCTGCGTGCGCTGCTTCGCGTCGAGGATGCGTCGAGGGGCGGCGGAAACGAAAGTCCGGGTACTTGCACCCGATGTGAGTGTAGTATTCATCGACGGCGGAATCTAGTGTTCATCGAATCCTCACAGCGCACGAAGACGATCAGAGCGACAGCGCCACAGCCCATCGACGCCGTCCGCTAGGCCCCTTCTCCCGCGCAGAGCCGCCGCCACGTAGCCGGCTCAGACGGGGCTGGCGAACGACCGGCTGTTCGACCGCGCGACCCTCGCGGACGCCAGCGCCGCCAGCTCCCTGTCGGTCTCGTCGCTCTCGGCGTCCTCCCCGGCATCCACCACACCCCCCTCAACACCCCCCAGCTCGGTCAGCCACCCCTCCACGTCCTCCTCCGCGCCCCACCCCTGCCACCACACGGGCTCCTCGTTCGCCTCGACCCCCGGCGCCGTCGGAACCGACCCCTCCGCGCCGGCCGCGCCCTCCCCGGGCGGCCACGGCACCAGCCTCGATTGCGGCGTCCCGCCCGCCGCGCCGGGGGGGGCGCTGCTCTGGCTGTGCGTGCCGGAGGCCGCCTGGATGCCCTGCGAGACGCTTTCGAGCACGCGCGTCAGGCGCTGGAGACTCTCCATGCCTGCGAGCTCCGACGGGGAGCGCGCGAGCGCCGCGGACTGCGTCGCCGCCGCTGGGGAGCCTGCCGGCACCGAGATGCGCTGGACGACCTGCTGCTGCGGCTCGCTGGCCGCGAACGACGGCGGCGACGGCGGCGCGAAGCCGCCAGGGGGCGACCGCGTTGCAGTGGCCGCGGACGCCGCGCTCCTCCCGATGGACGCGCGGTCGCTGCGGACGGTGTTTGCGGCTGCCGCCAGCGCGTCGAGCGCGTGCGCGCGCCCCGCATAGGCGCCCTGCGGCGGCGGTGCCCTGTTCGCCGCCACCGGCGACGGCATCGCGGTCCTCCGCGATCCGTCTGGGCCCGAGCCCGGCGACGCACCGCTCGGGTGGGCGCTGCCGCGCGCCGGAAGCGGGCCCGCGATGGTGTGCACGGCATGCCGAATCGCGTCCATCTGGGACTGCAAGCCCGCCTGCCAGGACTCCATCGACACCGCGCGGTCCCCCGGCGTTCCGGAGTACCCGCGGCTGCGCGCCGGGGTGTCCGAGACGCCCCCGTCGGACGGGGAGTCGGAGAGCGCGCGGCCGCCAGGCCGGACGGCGGCAACGCTCGTGATGGCGTCCTCGCAGCGCCGGAACAGCGACGACAGCGTCCCGGTGATCTCGCCCTCGTAGGCGGTCCAGTACCACCGCAGGAAGTGGTCGCGCGCGACGGCCTTGCCCGCCACGTTGCGCGAGACGATCTCCCTGCGCTGAATCGCCTCCTGGGCCGCCGTGCGCCACGCGCGCAGGATCGCCTTGCCACGCAGGCGCCGGCGCGAGGCCCGTACGCGCTCCGCCGCCCTCCGCAGCGCCCGGCGGCGGTCGGCGTGCTCCTTGAGCGCCCGGAACGCTGCCTGCTTCGCGTCGGCGGCCTCGCGGTCCAGCACGGCGCGCCCGCGTTCCCGTGCGACAGCACGCAGCCTTGCAGAGGCGCTGCACGCACCGCGCCACGCCTTCCACGCCTCCCGGACTGTCCGCCGCCGCGACGCGCCCTGGAGCGCGTGGAACAGCGAGGTCAGGTTGTTGGTGGCCATGCACGCCCCGCGCCACGACTCCCACGCTTCCCGCACGGTCCACCGCCGCGCCACGCCCTGCAGCGCCTTAGCGAACGCGTTCGTCCTGTCCGCGGCCCGCAGCGTCGCATGCCGCCACTCCCGGAGCACGTCGCGGGCCCGTGCGTCCTCCGAGGCTTTCTTGGCCGCCGCCGCCGCCGCCCGCTCCGCCGCGGCCTCCTCGCACTCGGCGCGCCACGCAACGAACGCGTCCCGCGTCCGCACGGCCACCATGCGCGCCGTCGCCTTCCTCGCGTGCGCGTGCGCCGCCGACTTGGCCGCCGCGCGGTCGCTCCAGGCCCGCAGCACCGACGCCTTGAGCGCCCTCTGCCGCCGCTGCGTGTACCGCGCCACCGTGATCTCCTGCCGCCGCCGCGCCCGCGCGAGCCCCGCCCACCGCGACCACACCGACGTCACGCGCAGCGCGTCCGCCCGCTCGCGGTACCGCTCCACGAGCGCGTCGAGCATGACGGCGTGCTGCACGGCATCCTTCCACGCGCGCAGCATCGTCCGCATCCTGTCCCGCTCGCGAACTTCCTCCAGCGCCCGCGCCTCCGCGCGCACCTCCCGCTTCACGGACACCCGCTCCCGCCACGCCGCGACGACGAGCCGCTGCCGGCGGTGCCGCTGCGTCGCCCGGAACATCTCCAGCCGCCGCTGGTCGTCCGCCGTCGGCAGCGCCGCGGCCGCCCACCCTCGCAGGCACTTGCGCAACAACCGCTCCTCCTGGCGGTCCTGCAACTCGAGTTCCTTGCGGCCGAGGAGCGCGCTGTGCTTCGCCTCGTCTCGCCAGGCGTACAGGATGCGGCGCGCGCGGCGCGCTCGTGCCTCCGCGACCAGCGCCGACGTCGCGCGGGTGCGGTCCCGCCACGCCGCCCACACCCGCATGGCCAGGCGGCCCCAGTACGCGCGCTCGAGGCGCTCCTCGAGGCGCACGCGCCCGGCCGTGAACGACTGCCAGTGCTCGAAGCACAGCCGCATGCTGTCGAGCCGCTGGGACTCGCGGAAGTCCGACTGCCAGTCCCTCCACAACAACATGCCGGAGAACGCCCGGCGCTTCAGGTGCATCTCGCGGCGCCACCGGTACTTCTCCACGCGCACCTCGCGGTGGAAGACGTCGCGCTTGTGCAGCGAGAGCTGCAGCGACGCCTCCACGGCGCCCTTGACCTGCGCCACTGCCGACCCGGCCGCTTCCAGCATGCCTGCGCGCGCCGCGGCGACGTTGCGCGCCGCGGACGCCACGATGCGGTCGCGCTGCCCGCGCAGCCGCGCGACCTCGGCGACGGCCTCGCGGTACTGCTGCGCCAGTGCTTCCAGCACGGTGATGAACTCTTCTGCTACCAAACCCGACACAGCTGACAGCACGTGGCCCTTGTCGCGGCTCGGGGAGGTGTTCGCGAGCGCGAGGGCCTCGGTGATCGCGAGCTTGACCGCGCTGCGCGGGGGGCTCGCGGCGCCGGCCGGGGGGGACTCCTGAGGGGGTGTCTGCGGCGTCGGGGGGGTCTCTTGTGCGCGTTCGAGGCGCTGCGCGTAGTTCGGCACGACCGGGGACGTGTCGCGCTCCCTCGGCGGGCTCGTCGTGGCCTGGGCCCGCGCCGGCGCGGAGCTGGCGCCAGCCCGCGCCCGCGCTGTGGCAACGATCTCCGCGGCCGAGGCGTTGACGCCGCTGTTGCCGGCGCTGCCAGGACCATCCAGGGCCGCCGACGGCGCCGGACCGTGTGACGGCGCATCGTCCGACGTCCGCCGCGCCTGCGGCGCCGATGCGGGGGGGGTCCGCGACTCCCACGCAGCTGCGAGGTTCGCGGCCTTGCGAGGACGAGCGGCCGCTGCGGACACAGAACGGGGCGCGGAGGCGTCGCTTGACCTGGTGCTTGCCTCCCACGTCGCGGCGAGCTGCGCCACCCGCTGGCTTCTGCCCCTGGGGGCCTGCTCGCTCGCAGAGCCCGCGCGCGGCGCCAGCGAGGGGTTCCGGAACGCCGGGTGCACTGTCTTGCCCGTGAGGAGGCGTACGCGGCACTCCAAGCTCCGACCCTCGAGCCCCGCTGGGGACAGCGTCCCGCTGAACGTGGTCGCGCCGTCTGCCGTCTGGGAGCTCTCGCCGCGCAGCACGAGCAGCCAGTCCTTCGCGACCGACGGCCCCGCGGGCTGGAACGTCATCGAGAGGCTGTCGTGGCCGTCGCGGGCCGCCGCGAGCACCCTGTCGGGCGCGAGCGGCGACGACAGACGCAGGCAGCCGCGGGGGGCGCCGGCGCGCGAAATGCGCAGCTGCACGCGCAACTCGTCGTCGTCCAGCGTGTCCGTCGACAGCTCGAGCCTGTGCGGCACCCAGGCTTGCGCCCCGGCGACCACCACCCACCCCTGCGCCCCCCGGTGCAGCGGCAACAGTCGCACCACCGCTCCGTGCGGCAGGACCTGCGCGCTGCGCTCCGCCTGGTCCACGAGCGAGGCTCTCGAGCCGGCGCTTCCGTGCGAGGAGGACGACGTCGACGCGCGCGGGGCGGCAGCGCCGCTGTCCCCGGCTGGGTCCCCGTCCTGCGCACTTGTCGCGACGACGCCGCCCGCGCCGGAGCCGCTGCTGCTCGACGTCAGCGACCAATCGTCGCTGTTCCGCCCGTTCGCGGCCCCGCGCGGCCGCGGCGCCCGCTCCGCGCGCTGCGCGCCGGCGTCTGCCACGTCAGTCAGACTAGCAGCCTGTGCCACGACCTTGCTCGACGCCGCCGGAGCGCCCGAAGAGCGCGACGAGGGCGGGGTGGGAGGGCGTCCCCACGCGCCGCCGGCGCTGCCCTTCGGCGACGGGCCACGGGCGCTGCCGTGCGCGTCCGCGGCCGGCGCGGCCCACACGCCAGCGCTGGGTGTGGGCGGCTGCTCGGCGTCGCTCGCGGCGGCCTGCGCGGCTTGCCGCTGCGGCGAGAGGTCGACGGCCACCTGGCCGCTGCGCACGCTGCTGCTGGCCGAGTCCCGGTGCAGGGCTGAGTCAGGGGTGGACCTCGAAGAGCTGGATCCCTCCTCGACAGCGGGGTCGTTATACCGCTGCACGTACCCCGCGAGCGACTCGACGCGGTGGACGCGCTCCCCGAGCGAGTTCTGCACGCACCGGAACGCCGCACGTCGTCGTTTCCGACGTCCACGATCATTCGCACATACAATCGAGACCGTCCCCATTTCATACATTCGTCTTGCGCACGAGCGGCGGGAACGCACCACGGACGCGCGCACGTCGCCGAGGTCGACTGCCTGAGTCCACGACGCGTGTTCGGATACCTGTTCCGCCCGCATCAGACCCTCCTGCAGCGGATCCGATTCGATGTCGGGCAGGGAGCGACGGGGGGGCTTGGCCTCCGCCGCGAACGCGCCCTCCAGGGACCGCTGCGCGCCCGACGAGGGCGCGGGCGGTTGTGGCTCGCTTTCCAGACGCGGCGAACCGGGTGACATCCTGCGGGGGGGTGTTGGGGAGGGAGCAGAAGAAAGGGGGGGGGTTTGCACTGACGTGGACGACGGCGACGCGCCGAGGCACGCGTGGCGGAGCAGGCCCGAGCGTGCGGCGCGACGTGGCGGCACGTCGAGCGACGGCGGTGCCGTGACGCGAGAGTCGCGGCAAAGATACCGAAATGGGACTCGAGTTGCCTTTGAAAGCATATTGTGAGGGTCGCGCACCAGCCGGGCCGCGACGGCGTGTCCGCCCAGTCCGTAGCGTCGAGCGTCGCCACCGAACTGCGGTCAGGAGACACCCCCGACCCCCCCCGCGACGGCGGGGACCACCCGGGCACGGGACCCATCCCGGGGCTGCCGAACTGAGTCGAGGAGGGCGACGGACGCTGCGGGCTCGCGTCGCTTGCCCTACCGGACCGCCGGGACCCCGCGGGACCGGGCGAGGAGGGCCCCGCGGGCGCTCGGGGAGGCGAGTGTTGCTGTGGGCGCGCTGGGGAGCCTCGGAGCGCCATGCCCCGCGGCGCCATCTTCGGGGGCTCGAGCGCAGCTGACTGGGGCCCGCTGCCGAAGGACGGCGGCCTGCGGACGGGATGGGACGGCGGATGCTCCCGTACAGCCCCTCGTGCGATGCTGCGGGTGTGCGTGGGCCCCCCGTCGTGCAGCGTGCGAGCAACGGGGCGTTTCCCGTGCTGTGCGCGATGTTGGAAGTGCGTTCATGCCACTTGCTGCAGAAATGCGCGGTGAAGTGCGGCGTGGCCGGCGGTGCGGTGGGAGAGAGTCACTCACGGGAGACCAGCGGAAGTGGGCGCCGACGTCCGGGCAAGCTTCTGCTGGAGTCGCTTCGCCGGTGAAGGAGCTAGGTGCGGAGGCAGGCCGCGCGGCAGCGGGGGGTCTGGCGGACTGCTGGGGGAGCCCTGCGCCGGACCAGCCCCATCCTGCCTCGCCGGGGGCTGCTGCGGCGAGGAGAAGGGGGACTCGGCCGCTGCGTTGACGAGATCTTGCAGTGTTCGGTCCACCTCTGCCCGCACGGGCGTCGCGGGCCCCGATGACGCCGGCTGCGGCGCGCGGGGCGGGCTGTCCTCCATAGCTAGCCACGGGCAGCCGCCTTTGCGTGCAACCTCGACAAACAACCCACTCGCAAGTCACTGTCCTAACTCGATCTCCATGTCCGCGCGCCCATACACGCCGCGGGCGGCTCAGATGCTCTCCGTACGCCTCCACGTGGCACGCGTGCAGCGTTGCCCGTCAAGCACCCCACCATTCGGGTCGCCGCCGAAGGCGTCATGCACTCCCATCGCGCCGCAGCGCGCCATTGAGCCCCGCCACCCAGCAGCGCCCCGGGGGGGGGTCCAAGCTAACATGCCTCAGGTATAAAACCGCCCACCGCGCTGCCCCGGCGCGCGCACCCCAGACGCCACGCCCGGCAGCCGCCGTGGCCCCACCGTACGCAGCCGCCGCGAGCACCCGGCGCCCACGCCCCGTCGAACGCAGCGCAGGAGCGAACGAAGCACATGTCACATTCTACGTGCGTGGTCGAGGCCGCGGTCTGGCCGCGGTCATGGCCCGATGAGCCCGTTTCGGTTCCCTCGCCGCTTCTTCTCCTTGCGCATCGTGTCGGCCTGCTTCTTCGACATGTCGAGGATCCTCTTGTGCAGCGACGCCGACCCGCACGACGACCGCAGAAAGAACTGCGGCGTCGGGTACGACGACACGCCGAGCTTCTGCTTCGTCTCCAGCATCCGCGCCGCCGCCTTCACCCGCCGGCTATACTTGTTCCCCGTCTCCCCGTCCCGCAACTCCAACTGCACACACCCCCGGGTACAACACACTCGTGTCAGCCTGGCGCCGCGCGGCACGGGGTCCGCGAGCTCGCGGAACGGCCGACACGCAGCACGCGAGCCCCCCGCGGCAGCCGCCGCGCTGGAGCAACAACGCAACCCCCCCTGCGGCCAGTGCAAGGCACCGGCATCGCCATCAGCGTTGCGCGCACGCACCCCCGGATGCCGGTCCGCGAGCATGGCCTCCCACTCCCTCAGCTCCACCTCCTTCTCCGCCACAGTGAGCGGCGGGTGCGCCGACAGCGGCGGCAGCGGGTGCCGCGACCGGCCGCTGCTGGGGAGGGACTGTAAGGCAGACCCCCCCGACTTGGCCGTGGTCAGGCCGGCCTGCGCCGCCGCGTCGTCGGTGGACGTTCCGGCCTCGTCGCGGCCCGCGGCCGGCGTAGTCGCGCCGCTCCCGCGCTCCGACGCCAGGATCGGCGAGTCGGACCGGGGGCTGTCGAGGCCCCCCGGGACCGGGGAGGGGTGGCGCTCGATGAAGGTCGCGGGCTCGCCGCCGCGCGCCTTCATCGACATGCGCGCGAGCATTCCGACGAGCTCCACGCGCGGGCCGGCGTGCTCGCGTTGCTGCGGGGGACGGAGGCGCGCGCGAGCGGGTGAGGTCGGTTGCAGGGTGGGATGGGGGGGTGTTGCGGCCAGGGGCGGGGGGGTGTCGCACCGGCCGGCCGGTCTGCGGGAAGGGCAGGAATTCGTGCATGTCCTGGTGGACCATCGCCGCGTTGGGCGCCGGGCGCAGCACTTTTGGCACCGGGGGTTCTGGCTGGGACGACACCCCCCACGCTATCTTCTTCTTCGACACCGTCCGCTGGTCCTGCCGCCGCGAGTTCCCGCGCAGCCGCTTGCCCGCGAGCCGCCGGATGATGCGCGCCTCCTGCACACCCGACGCACCACAACCGCGCTCCTGCCTTTCAGTGCGCTACGACGACGTGCGGGCGCGCGGCGGGGTCGGTGGTGGGTCGGCGGGGCGCGCGGACCTGCAGCCAGAGGTGCGCTATGTGTTCGTCGAGGAGCCCGAGGTCCGGGTGCTCCGCCTGCGCGCACTTGTACGACACCGTCGTCACCATGCGATTCACGACGGAGTTGACCTGGTCCTTCTGGTCGTCCGTGAGCTCCCTGCGCGCGCACACAGGTGCCCGGGAGCGCCGTGTCGTTGGCGGCGGGTCGATAGCGTCGCAACGGGGCGCGTGGAGGGGATGTGTGGTCATTGACGTGGGGCGCGCGGCGGGTTCTTCGCGCGAGAGGGCGTCGGGGCGTGGCTTGCGAGCAGGCGAATGGAGCGGGAGCGCGGCGTACTTGGCTGGCTCCCGGAACAGGCATAATGGCGGGGCGCTGTGAGTGAACAGGGTCTTGGCCTCCGCTGCGATCGACGCCCGCTCCGCGTCCTTGTCGTCCTGCACGCCAACGGCCGCGACGGGGATTTAGGGATGTCTTGCTGCGGCCGCGGCGTCATGCGGCGCGCCCGGGGGCCGCCACGGCCGCTGAAAGGAGCTGCCGCTGCGTCGGGGCGACCTGCGCGCGGCCGCACGGTCTCCTCGAGCGCGTTCGTGGTGGACACGCACCTCCGCTACGTACGAGGTGCGAGAGCCTGACGATACGCGCGAGGAGAGCTCTCCCGACGCGCGGCTCGCCCCGCGGGAGGACGCCTTGACTGGCCTCATGGGGCGACCGGGGGCCGGTGCTGGTGCCAGTGGCGGGTCCGTGAGGCCCTTGCGCTTCCGGAGCCGCTCGAGCAGATCATCTACTTCCTGCTCGGGGTGCCCCAGGCGCGCTGCCATCCTACGCCGCGCCCTGGCCGGCCCGCGTTCGAAGCCAGAGCCCCCGCGCCCCCCTCACGGCGCCTGCCGCATGAGGCCCGACGTACAGCTACGCGCTTGCGCGCTCACTAGCGGACGTCGCCGGCGCCCGAGCGCGCAGCCCACGCAGGGCGCCAGATTGCCTGCGCGGGCCGAAGCCGAGAACAAAAGCGCTGTGCTACACCGCGTTCCGCTCCCCTCGCTGCCGCTTCTCTGACAACGCGTGCCCGCCTCGCTGCACCCGATCGTTTGCTCCGCTGTGCACGGGCCAGCCGGCAAGGAGGCCCGGGCGGCAGCGGCGTCTGACACACGGCGCACCCAAGTGCCGCGTCAGACGGGTCGGACGGGACGCTGGGGGCCCCGCGGGTCCGCCGGGGCGGTACGTGGCCGTCCCGTGCAGCGCGCCACGCGTCATTCGCGACAGAAGGCGCGGCGTCGAGCGCGTTAGCAGGCGCCAACAGGCTGCCAGCGCTCGTCGTGCAGTTGACGCCGCTACGCTTCAGGCCGCGCACTCTGCGTCCTGGCACGAAACAGCGCTCGAGCAGCGTGCCTGGATCGATCTCTGCGCTGAGCCCATCCATAGGCCCCGCCCCCGACGAATAGCGGCCCAGCGCGCGCCCACTGCTCTGTCGGCCCACCGGCGGCGTTCCCGGCCTAGAAACGGACAGTTCGAGCCCCCGCTCGGTTCCGTGATCGACAAGGATCCCACCGGCGGAGCCAGGCGGTCGTTGCGCGGCAGGGCGCGATGGACGGGCTGCACGCCCACCTCAGCGTCAGCATTCAGGACGCCCTGCAGCTCCACAGCTACGACACGGCGACGTTTCTCGCGGAGCAGCTGGTGGCGCTGAGGCCGTGCGAAGCGAGCTCGTGTCTCCTCGCAGAATGCTTCGTCAGGCGAGCCCCCGCGGCCCTCCCGCCGCGCTCACACACCCACGCTGCGCCCTCCGCCCCGCGCGGGAGCGCCATCACGCCCCGCATCCCGCATTCCAACCTCCCACCAATCCAATCTCTCCCTCCACATCCCAACAAGCCCAACCACAGCCGCAGCACCCCCCGCAACGCGCGCCCCTCGGCCGCCTGCCCCTCGCGACCACGCCCGCTCCCTCGCCCCGCAGACAAGGCCTCTTCCACCGCGCGCGCCAGACGCTCCTGCTCGCGCGTGGGCCCGAGGCCCGCTACCTCCTCGCGCACTGCTGCGTCCAGCTCGGCATGTACGACCAGGCCGAGGCCGCACTGCTTCAAATCCTGTCCAACGTGTCCCTGCAAAGCGGCGCGGGGGCGCGCTCCGTGTGCGCGCTGAGCCTGCTCGGGTCCGTGTGCCAGCGCACGAACCGCGCCGAGGACGCCGCGGGGTACTATAGGAGGGCCCTCGAATTAGACCCCCTGCACTGGACCGCCGCCAAGGCCCTGGCCGACATGGGCGCGCTCGACCCGCTCGCGAAACCCGACCAGGTGCGTGCGCGTCGTGCCCGCCGCGCCCGCAGCCACGCATGCGCGTGCGCGAGAGCCCGAGACATCTCGCGATGGGGGGGCTCCCGCGGGCGTGCGGTTGCGACTCACGCGCTGCGCTCGCTGTTCCTCGCGCGGCTGCAGAGCGAGATCGACGCGGCGACCTCGCCGCCGCTTCCGGCGGCGCCGGCGCACGCGCCGGAGGGGGGGGTCGTCCAGCTCACTCCCCCGGGGTCCGAGAGCGACCGCGTCGCGTCCGCGGGCGCCGCCGGCGCACCCGAGGCCCCCGCGCGCGCAGCTCAGCCCCCGGCGCGCCCCGGCACCGGAGGCCCGTCCAGCATCCCGCGGCAGCTCCAGTGGGACTCGCATCCCAGCGCGGCGTACCCGCAGCACTCGCGCTCCAGGGCTCCGTTCCCGGGCTCCGTGCGCGACGCCGCGCACGACATGCTGATCAGTCCGCTTCCGCCGCCGAACTTCTCGCTGCTGACGCCGGCGGAGGTGCCGCAGGGCGCGGAAGCGGGGACGCCGCAGGGCACGCCTGGGTCGTTCGCGACGCCCGCGGAGCAGCTCCGCGGCGCGGAGAGCCAGGTGCCGGGCGTGCCGCAGAAGCAGCGCGGCGCCGGGGGCGCTGCCGCGGAGGGGGGGGTGTCTTTCCCTTACTTCAGCGGAGTGCCCCCCTCCGCGCCCGGCACGACGCCCGGGCTGCCGGGCATGCAGACGAACGCGGCGCCGGCCGGCGGCGGGAAGCGCGCCAAGGTCTCCGGCCGGCTGTTCGAGAGCAGCGCCGTCGCGCCGGAGCCCGACCTCCAGACCCCCCCCCTCGGCGCCCAGGCTGGCCTCCGCGCGGCTGTGGCGGCCGGGCCGCCGGGACGCTCGCCCGCGGGGCTCAGCCTCGCGCGGGCGGCGCTGTGGGGGGTCCTGGAGGGCTACCGGCTCCTGCACCGCTACCGCTGCTCGGACGCCCTCGTTGTGCTCTTGGGGCTGCCCGCCGCAGTGCAGCGCACGACGCGGGTGCAGATCTTGATCGGGGCGTGCCACATGGAGAACCTGTCGTACGGGCCGGCGCTCGCGGCGCTGCGGGAGGCGCGGCAGGTGGACCCCACGTGCGCGGCGGGGCTGGATCTGGAGTCGACGGCACTGTGGCAGCTGCGCCGGTCGACGGAGCTGGCGACGCTCGCGCAGGTGGGGCTGGCGCTGGACCGGCGGTCGCCGCAGGCGTGGTGCGCGGCGGGGAACTGTTTGTCGCTGCAGAGCCAGCACGAGGAGGCGGTGCGGTGTTTCCGACGCGCAGTGGCGCTCGACCCGCGGCTGGCGTACGCGCACACGCTGTGCGGGCACGAGCTGCTCGCGATGGGCGACACGCAGGGGGCGTACCAGGAGTACAAGGAGTGAGTCTCCCGCGGCGCCGTTCGCCGCTCTGCCGTGCCCTTGAGATCGATACAAAAGAGCCCAATTTCTCCTTGTTTGTTTGTTTCTCGTTCTTCTTTTTCTCCTGCGAACGAGCCCTGGCCGTCCTTCGCTCGTCCGACCGTCCCCTCCCTCGTGCGCTGCAGGGCGACGATGCTGTCCCCGCGGCACTACAAGGCGTGGTTCGGCCTCGGCATGGTGTACGCAAAGGAGGAGAAGTGGGAGCAGGCGGCGTACCACTACCAGCGGGGCCTGGGAATACACCCGCAGTCGGCGGTGCTGCGGTGCCACCACGGGCTGGCGCTGGCGCGGCAGGGCATGCCGCACCAGGCCCTGTCAGACCTGCAGAGGGCTATTCAGTTGGACCCCAGCAACCCCCTGGCGAGGTATGAGAAGGCGGGGGTGCTGATGGACCTGCAGGAGTGGAAGGCGGCGCTCGAGGAGCTCTCGGCGCTGAAGAATATCGCGCCGCTCGAACCCTCCGTGCACGAACAGCTCGGACGAGTGTACAGGTGCGCATGCATACCTCCGCGAACTCAGACGGACCGGGGCACGGGGAGCCACCCGGCCCTGTTCCAACACGCACAGATGGGCGCCGGCATGGGTGTTCCGTGCGGCGCTGCTTCAGGTGGACGGTTGCCGCTTGTCTGTGCGCAGGAAGCTGGGGCAGACGGACAAGGCGATGCTGGCGTATACCACGGCGCTGGATCTGAAGCCGCCCGCGTCCGAGGTGCCCGGGCTGCGACGCGCGCTCGACCGCATCAACGTCCCCGACGACTCGGACTCGGAGGAGATCTGATGTAACTCGCTCACAACATCGCTGCAACCGCGCAACCAGCACGCCACGCAGCCGCCGACAGCCGCGCACTCCTCCAGCCCCAACTCAAGTGTCAAGTGTATCCAACCTGCCTGGTTCCTGCCCCAGCGCCGCGTCACTGCTTGGCCTCGCTGTCCTCGACGACCGGCGCCACGACCGTCACCTCGCTCTCCGCCACCACCTCCTCCTCGGCGGGCGTCACCACCTCCAGCGCCGGTGCCGCCCCTGGCCGCTCGAAGCTGAAGCTGTCCAGGTTGATCAGGATCTCGTTGCGCTTCAGGAACGGCGGCGTGAACGGGTCGTTGTACTGCGCCAGGCGGTACCCGTCCCACGCCTTGATTCCGTCCCGCTCCAGCGCCTTGCGCAACTTGCGCTCGTTGTCCTTCACCTCGAAGTCGAGCGGAAGGCCCGGGAACCGAACAGCTGCGACCAGGCCCATGTCCTGGCGGCGCACGACGACGCGCTCGGCGTCCGTGGGCTTCGGCAGCGCGTCCTCGTCGTCGCCGTACTTGCCCTCGATGACGAACGACATGGTGCCGCCGGAGCCACCCTCGCCCGGGGTGGTGTAGACGGGCGTAGTCATCTCCATCTTGGTGTTCGAGGCGTTGCCCTCGCCGAAGATGTAGCTCGCGAGCGTGTTGAAGCCGCCGCCGCGCGACAGGCCCTCGATGCCGCCCTGCATCTCCGTCTCCGCCACCTGCGCACACACGCCACACGCGTGGCTCAGTACACGATACTGGCATCCACAAGGGGGGCGTGCACTGCACGCGCTCCAAGTGAGGCGCCTCCGTGGAACGCGTGCCGTGACGAACACTGCAACAACAGTGCATCGTGGCATGGGGAGGCAGCGTCCGCGGTGCGTGACGGTCTACCGGGAGGCAGCGTGAGGGTGGTGCTAGCAAGCACGAGCGGCGCACCATGAAGGGCTTGTACTGGCGGATCTCGTACTCCTGGGCGCGGCGCAGGACGGTGTAGTCCGGCGTCTCGAGGCTGGGCGTGGTGCTCAGCACTGAGCTGGCGATCTGGCGGCCCAGGTCCAGGATGCCCTCAAACGGCATGGGGTTGGGGTTGTCGACCGAGTCCCACTCGTCCGCCTGGAGCACGACCGTGTCGCACTCGGTGTTGAGCGTGTAGGTCGACTTGCCCGTGATGACGATCGGGGACGGCTTGATCCCGAGGGCCGACATGGGCCCCGACACCACCGGGAGCTGGTCCAGCTTGAAGTCCATCGTCCAGCTGCGGCGACGCCACGGAGAGGGGGGAGTCACCGGACGCCGCGTCGCGCGGGGCGGCGCGCAAGCAAAACAGAGTGAAAGAAGGAGTGACTGCCGCGAAGATGTGTGCGGCAACAACGCAGTACGGAAGCGGTCGAACGCGGCTGGCGGCGTGCGCGTTTGGGCGTGTTGTGGCCGGGGCGCGGCGTACATGGTGGTGATCTCGTTCGGCGCGGACGCGTAGCCCGAGTGCACGATGAAGTCGCACTTGAAGAACAGAATGAGCGCCTGGATGTTAAACAGGTACGACGCCCGGCCTGCAGCGACACGACGCGAAACGCGGTGAGGCGCGGTCAAGGGGGCGTGTCAGGGCCCGTGCCAAGCGGCGCCGCGGACTGCACGGCGGCCATGTGGGCGGTGCGCATATGGCAAGTGCTAGCGCTGTGGGGGCGATGCGAGCGCGCACCGTCGATCCGCATCAGCGGGTCCGTGAAGACGATGTTCGGGGAGTAGAGCTCGGGGGTCTTGATGCCGTACTCGGGCAGCTCTTTGAGGTCCTGCGTGCGGGGGGTGGGTCGACTGGACGGTGTGATTTGAGACGAGAAAACACGACTGGTGGTCCCATCTACGACCGAAGAAGCGAAGTCGGCAGAGACCAGCGCCGCGGCCCGCGGGTCCCGTACGCGACGGGCTGTGCGCGCAGCGTGAGCGAAAGGCACGCACCGCGATGAGCTTAGGAAGGAACGCCTCCTCCTTCGAGAGGTCCTGGGCGGCCGCCGCGGACGCCCGGGCCACAGGGGCCAGGAGACGTGGCGGGGGCGCCCCTGCCCCCGCGCCGCGTCCTGCGAGCGATGCGTGCGTAGAACGGCACTTCAGCACACGAAGCAAGGCTGGGACCGTCGGTTCCGTCCTGAACACGGCAGGTGCTGCCGACTCAGGGCCCGTGCGGGGCGAAACCCTGCTGAACGAGCCTAGTTGTCCGAATGAGCAGGGGATGTGCGGACGATAGCGAGCCTCGGCCCGCGAACAGGCGTGGTGGCTGCTGAGGGACGTGCGGCGGGGCGTGGACGCGGTGGCGCGCTAAGTCGACGGAGGGAGAGGCTCTGGTGGTGCTCTGCGCAAGCGCACCTGCGAACCGGGTGGGCTGCGATGCCGGCGGGGTGCACCGCAGGGGCGTCCGGGACGGGGACGGCTGCGAGGCGGTGGGGGCCGCCACGGAGCGCTGCGTTAGAGCTCGCTGCATTGCCGCAGACTGATATGCAACGCACACACACAAGGTCGCTATTCGCCTCTGAGACTGACCGGCAAGTGTCTCCAAACAGACCACTTCCACAACCCCTATCTAATCTACCCGTGCACGATGACTCGCGCGCCTATCGTCCAGCTGAGGCGATACACAGAGGAGTCGAGCACCGCGGTCAGGGAGGCGTGACGTCGCGCAAAACGGGCTCAGTGCGGGCTTGAATCGCCCGGCGCCGACCGCACCGCGCCTCTCCTATGGCTGTTCGCCCAGGGAGACGGGCCGCGCGCGACATCCCGGCACTGCAACGCCTGGCGGGCCATGGAGCTGGAGCGCATGGCATCGGTGGTGTCAGCGTCGCCGGCCACGGGGCCACGCACGCGGCTGGCTCGCAGCCAGCGGTCACGGGTGTCTGACCACGTGCCTTGAATGAGGGGGAGAGTCATTTGAGATATCAAGTCTTAAATTCTTCCTTCCTTCCCGTCGGCTTCGCCGAGCTACAAGATCCCCGGCTGCGCGAAGATCACGTCCGTGATGATTCCCTGCTCCGGCCGCTTCCCGCCCTCCCACTCTCGCGCCCAGTCCACCGCCGCCGGTACGGCCATCCGCACGAAGCTCTCGGACTTGGCGCTCTCGCGGACGTGCACCTCGTACCCCGCGTCGGCCATCAGCCGCACGTACTGCGTCGCGGTGCCGCGCACCTGCCACATCTCCGTCAGCACGAACTTGGGCCGCCGGCTGGATTTCAGCCACGCGGCAGCGCCGCTAAAGGCGAAGTACTCGTGGCCCTCGATGTCGATCTTGACAACGCTGACGGGGCCCGGGTCGAAGAGGCCCTCGATGATGAGGTTGTCGATCGTGTCGAGGGGCATGTGCGACGCCACGTGGTAGCCCTCGGCCACCGGCTTGTCCCCGGCGCCGCACTCCAGGATCCCGTCGCCGACATTGTGCTCCTCCGACACCAGCCGACAGTCTGCGGGCCAGGAGGGCTGAGGGGCATGTCGGCCGGCTCGGCGCGGGCCGAGGTGCGGTGGTGGTGGTGAGAATGACGATGTTTGGTCATGTTGTGATCATGTTGGATTTCGGAGGAGATGGCGAACGGCGCGCACCTTGCTTGGAGTCCGACAGCCCGACGGCGATGACGGTGTGCATGTTGCGGTGGAGGTGTCGCGGCCCCGTGAGGCAGTGCGTGGTGAGCAGCGCGGCGAGGTTGCTCTTCATGGGCTCGAAGGACACCACGCGGTACCCCTGACTCAGGTGGCGGAACGTGAACCACCCGAGGTTCGCGCCGATGTCCACGAACGTCGGCCGCACCCCCTCCAGCGCCTCCACGTTCCGCAGCATCCGCTGCAGCACCGCAATGTTCCCCTCCTCCCACTGGGCGTGCGTGCGAATAGCGTCTGCAACGCCGGCCGGGAGCAAGCACGGGGTGCTGATCGCACGAACGCAAGGCGGATCAGGCGTCGCGTGCCCCCAAATCAAACACGCAACGTACGTTTCTACCATCGGCGGAGGTTCGTGGGTCGCGGGGAGAGGCTGGGAGCGAACCTGACACGGCGTCCTTGCCCGCGCCGTAGAGCGCCATCACCACGCCCTTCATCGCCTGCCGCGCGCTCGCCTGGTCCAGGTCCGGGTACGTCTCCTGGGCCGCGTCAAACGCGCCGCGCACGGCGCGCTTGCACTGCCCGGAGCTCGACGGCAGCGTCGCGGGGTGCAGGACGACGTCGTCGAGGCGCAGCGCCTTCGGGGGCTGTCCGGAGTGGTACGGGCACGTGGAGTGGCGGTAGTCCAGGTACATGTACACGAGAACGACGGCCAGGAAGATGAGGCCGGTGTTCGTGGTGCGGTACGTCCTGAACAGACGCTTCGCGAGCTCCGCCCACCGGCGCGGTCTGCAAGCCGGGTGTCGGCGGCGGCGTTGAAGTGCCGCGCGCTGAACGCAGAGTGGGCAGCGCGGCGGCGGGGCTGTCGGCGGAACGCCGATGCGGCCTTGGCGTGGATGGGAATGACTTCGTCGTGCAGCGTGCGAGGGTGGACGTCGAATGCGTGTCTCCACGGAGGGGGGCGCGGAGTGGTGCTGGGGCAGCGGGAACTCACCGTCTGGTCGGCATCATCTCGAACACGAGATTTCAATAGGCAGATACACTTGGAACGATGCGGAGGTATCCGTTCGGGTCGAGAAGGTTCGCAGTGTATCCCTGCGTCGGCCCCCAGGGGCGGCAACCTGTGCCTGTTGCTCGTTCAGCGCGCTCCCACAGGGCGTCGCTCAAAGACCCGCCAAATTGCCTTCGGATGATTGATGGCGTGATGAGGTTTCTATGTGGGTAGTCTCGACGACTGTCTGATCCGCAGACGTGACGGGCGACCGCAAAACACTGCGCCGGACCGGGAAGGAGCACGATGCGAGCGCGAACACGTTCGAGCGTTTTCACGAGCCGATCGCAGAGGAATGCGAGGCGCCATGCGCGCGCATGCGCTAGGCGCGGGGGCGAGGCGTTCGCAGCTCGTCGACTGACCCCCCCTGCTGTTTTTCGCCACCGTGGCTGACACAGGGGCCGTGGGTCTCGATGCGGGGTACAGCGCCGTGACGGACCGCGTTGCGTCGTCAGAGCGCGCGTCGCGTGTCGGTGGGGCAGTAGTGCGGCACGGCGCCCGCCTTGCGACCTCCAGCGGGAGGTGCGCTTGCATGTTGTCTGGTGCCTCCCGGGCGAGCGCGTGATGTTCGGACCGAGGGCCGCGCCGCACGGCGCGAGAGCCCTTGCTGCCTGCATCGCCCCGGCGTGCGCGCTCTGCGTTTGCGCGCCCTCCGCTGCGCCGGACGCACGGGACCCCCGCAGCTCTGCGCCGGGGCCGTTTGCGGGCCAGCGCGTGGTGTCCTCGAGCCCGTGGGCCGAGGGGCGTGCATCGGAGCCCAAGGATGCAAGAAAGCGGGTCCGAGCGCGCCCACGCAAGCCGAGCTTCGCGGACGTGGATCCTTTCAAGGAGCGCCCGCCAGAGCTCCTGACGCCGGAACGAGACCTCCCGTGGCACATGAAGCGAAGGCTCGCGCGCAAGTGAGTCAGAGAAGATACACTCGGCGCTATTATCCACTGAACAACGCGCGTCTTCGCGCGACGTGCATCGAACGGCCTCCAGGGACAGCGCAACCGTGCTTCGCGGCGCCCGCGCCGTGCATGCGCCGCCTTGGGACGTGAATATCCAGCTGAGATGTTACTGGGTGCAGGATATGGGACAAGCAGCTGAAGGACGGTGAGAAGCTCTCGTTGGGCGCGACGGCGCAAGCAGGAGCACAGTCGGCACACACGTCGCGCGTCGTGGATCCGGACCCGCCGCTCACCCCCCAGTACTTCTTCTCCGACGAGTTCAAGGAGGTCATGAGGAAGTTCCGCGCCCAGTTCCGCGAGGGCGTGCGGCACGAGGTCAACTTCATCATCCACGCGCGGCAAGTGCCGCACACGTCGCACCGCGCTCCCCCACCGATGCAGCGCCGCCAGCGGACCGCCTCACGCCGTCGCAGCACACCCATCGACCCCGCGCCACCTCGCCGCTCGTCACGACAGCCGAGCCCCAACAACTATTTACATTTACACAACATATCTTATGTCTCGTACGTTCATTGTCCCATATGGAAGGCCCAGCTCAGCACCAAGTCACCGCTGTCCGCTGCAGGGGCTTCCGCGGCTGGTTCACGAGGGCCTTCCTGCTCGGCACGCTCGGCACCGCCGCGTTCGTGTTCGCGCGTGTGCCTATTGCATACGCACGCGGCGCAGGCATCATCGCGCAGGACGACCCGCACCTGCCCGTGCGGGACCCGCACCGCGGCATGGGCCGCGCGGAGATGCTGCTGTCCGCGCCCTTCCACGAGACATGGGTCCGCGAGATGTGCACGCGCGGGAGGCTGTTCCTGACCCTCATCAAACTTTGTGGACCTGACAGGTGCGCCCCCCGGGACGAACCGAAACAAAAGGGCCCCCGCGCGCGACGCTGCGCTCGCTGGCAGCCAGCGATTCACGTCGACGCGTGGTCACGGTGCGATCTTGCGGTGTGTTTGCGCAGGGCGATGGACGTGCGGGAGCGCGCGTGCGCGCTGCTCGAGCGGCTGCTGGAGCGCGAGGATGCGATGGAGATAGCGGCGCGGCACAAGAAGGACGTCGGTCTCTTGCTCGCGCAGCGGGCGGAGGACTGCGCGGCGGACACCGAGGCGGGCCGGGCGATTGGGGGGCGGCTGAGCGAGCTGGCGTCGCGCGTGAGTGCGCGACGGAGCGCACGGTTGCGCGAGGAGGCGGAGGCGGGCCAGCCGCAACAACGCGAAGGCATTGCCTGAGAGTGCGTCGCTGACACGCCGCCGACAGTGCGTGTTGACGCCGCGATGGCCCTGGAGTCGGCGCTGCCCCCGTGTCGCACTCATGGAGTCGCACCCTGCAAACAGTGCAGCCGTGTCCGTGTAACACTGCCAGCGTGTGTGGTGCACATCTGCGTGTAGAAGTGCGACTCGTCACGCGTGGGATGATGACCCGGGAGCTCAGGCCGGCGGGAAGCGCCTGCTGCCACGTGCGTCGCGGTGCGTCTTCGATGCCCGTGGTCTGTCAGCGGCCGAGTTGTACCCGTTGTACCCTCATGGAGGTGTGCGCACTCCCCCAACCGCCCCGGGCGGCAGCATGTGACCGCGCCCGCCTCGCGCAAGGTCAGTGTGACTGGCTCGCGATCGGCCGCACATCGGCACCGCGCCGGGACGACAGCAGGCCGTGCAACTGCTTGTAGCAGGTGAGACGCGGGGCGGTGCTCGCGGAACGCGCTGGCGGTGGTTGGTGCTGATCGCACGGCTGTGGTGGAGGTGCGCGCTGTCTCGCGGGCTGCCGTGCGAGTCGCATGGAGCGCCCAACACGGTGCATGCGGCGTGCGTCTCTGGCGCTGGAGGGAGCTCGGCCGTGAGGCTGCGTTGCGGGAGATACATGCTTGATTGTCACGATGTCATGTGATAGGCACTGGGTGTCGTGATGAGCCCGGCTGCATGCGCGCGCCGGACGGCTCTCGCAGCCTCCGTTACCTCACCTCCTGGAATCTCTCTCGTTGGCACCCGCAGGATCCATCTACGACCCCCAGCGGCGGCGAGGCATCACGGGCACGATCTCAGCACTCGATGGAGCTGCGAAGCGGCCGCTGCGTGGGCGGGTCGCGGCCCTCACAGCGCCCGCGCGCTGGTGACAATGATGCACCCACTCTGATGGACCTGTCGTTCGGGCAGCACGGCGGCGCCCTGACGGAGGTGGTTCGCCTGCTGCACAGAAAGTGGCGCGTCGCCCTCGCGGCTGCGTCGTCGGGCGCGATGGCGTGTGTGCTGGAGAGCTGCGGGGGGGCTCGGTGGACCGCAGACACAAGGGAGGTGGGCAGGACGGTGGCGGGGAAGGTGGAGGGGCGCGTGTACGCGGGGGCGAGATCGCTGGTGGGGCGGACGAGCGACGACGGGCGGTGGTGGGTGTACCGGCGCGCGGGTGCGGACCCCGACAGTGTGGCAGCGATTGTTGGGCTGGAGGCCAGGGAGGCGGACCAGGGGGACGGGCCTGTGGCGGACGCGCAGCGGCTGGTGATCACGGAGGAGATGACGGGGCTGGAGGTCGTCAGGGCGCCGAGGTATCTGTTTGACATCGCTGAGGAGTGGGGGGGGGACTGGCTGCCCGCAAGCGTCGCGGCGCGGTTGAAGAAGCTGAGGGTGTACGGGCAAGATCTACGGAGGCTGCCGGAGGGGATGGGGTCGCTGGAGGAGCTGGACGTGGGTGACTGCAGTCAGCTGGCGGAGGAGGGGTGGCTGCCGGCGTCGAGCTGCGGGAGCGTGAAGAAGCTGTATGCTGCTTGGTCCTCGCTGGCGAGGCTGCCGGAGGGGATGGCGTCGCTGGAGGAGCTGCGCGTGCGTTCCTGCAGTCAGCTGGCGGGGGAGGGGTGGCTACCGGCGTCAGCGGGCGGAGCGTGAAGAAGCTGGATGCGCGGGAGTCCTCACTGCGCAGGCTGCCGGAGGGGATGGGGTCGCTGGAGGTGCTCGACGTGGGCGAGTGCTCGCAGGTGGCGGGAGAGGGTTGGCTGCCGGCGTCGAGCGGCGGGAGCGTGAAGAAGCTGTATGCTGACCAATCCTCGCTGGCGAGGGTGCCGGAGGGGATGGTGTCGCTCGAGGAGCTCAACGTGATGTGCTGCTCGCAGCTGGCGGGGGAGGGGTGGCTACCGGCGTCGAGCGGCGGGAGCGTGAGGACGCTGGTTGCTCGGGAATCGTCGCTGGTAAGGCTGCCGGAGGGGATGGGGTCGCTGGAGGAGCTCGACGTGGGCGAGTGCTTGCAGCTGGCGGCGGAGGGGTGGCTGCCGGCGTCGAGCGGCGGGAGCGTGAAGAGGCTGGATGCTGCGGGCTGGTTCCTGGCGAGGGTGCCGGAGGGGATGGCGTCGCTGGAGGAGCTGTGCGTGTGTTACTGCTCGCAGCTGGCGGAGGAGGGGTGGCTGCCGGCGTCGAGCGGCGGGAGCGTGAAGACGCTGGATGCTTCGCACTCGTCGCTGGCGAGGCTGCCGGAGGGGATGGCGTCGCTGGAGGAGCTCTACGTGATGTGCTGCAAGCAGCTGGCGGGGGAGGGGTGGCTACCGGCGTCGAGCGGCGGGAGCGTGAAGAAGCTGTATGCTAGGTCCTCCTCGCTGGCGAGGGTGCCGGAGGGGATGGAGTCGCTGGATGAGCTCTACGTGAGCTTTGCGAGCTGGCGGGAGGTGGCTACCGGCGTCGAGCGGCGGGAGCGTGAAGAAAGCGATGCTTCGCACTCGTCGCTGGCGAGGGTGCCGGAGGGGATGGCGTCGCTGGAGGAGCTCACGTGAGCTTGCAAGAGCTGGCGGGGGAGGGGTGGCTACCGGCGTCGAGCGTCGGGAGCGTGAAGAAGCTGGATGCGCGGGAATCCTCGCTGGCGAGGCTGCCGGAGGGGATGGGGTCGCTCGAGGAGCTGAACGTGATGTGCTGCAAGCAGCTGACGGGGAGGGGTGGCTGCCGGCGTCGAGCGGCGGGAGCGTGAAGAGGCTGGATGCTGCGTGGTCCTCGCTGGCGAGGGTGCCGGAGGGGATGGCGTCGCTGGAGGAGCTGAGTGTACTTGGCTGCAGGCGGTTGGCTGCGGGCTGGCTACCGGCGTCAAGCGGCGGGAGCGTGAAGAAGCTTGATGCTTCAAACTCGTCGCTTGCGAGGCTCCCGGAGGAGCAGATGCGGTCCCTGGCACATGCACGACCTTGAGCAATCAGTGATGTGAGGTGAGGTGTCACATTCTTCGCGTCGTGTGAGCGCACGTACGAGTGTCGACTCCCGGGAGGACGATGTGATGGATCACTGCCGGCGCCCGCCTCACTGAGCCCTCAGCGGTGACGTCGTAGCGGGCCGCAACGCGACGAGGTTTGTCTGGCGACGGCGCTCGAGGTGGCAGCGCGGAACGGGTCTGGTCTTGCTGTGATTCACAATACGATTCTATATGCACAGGGCGCGAATGCGCCTCACCGCCAGTATACCAGCAGGCCGGAGATGATCGTGACGACGACGCACGACATGACCATCGCGACCGGATGGAGCTTCGCGTCGATGTCGTGTGGCGACACAAGGTGCTCTCGCGGCGCCCAGCCTCTGCGCGGTGTCTCCACCTCCAGCGCCGGTACGTCGGCGCCGTGTCCAGCGACTGCCGACGAGTCCACAGGGTCCCCCGACAGCAGGCGCGCGTCCTCTGCGCCTGCTCTGTCCCCGTCGTCGTGCCCAGCGCCCACAGTGCTCCCGCGACCGTGCTGCACCCCGCTCGTGCCGTTCGGGGTGCACCACGCAGCGTCGAGATCGAAAGCGGCGTGGCGCGCAGGCGGATCGACGTGCGTGACGGTCGGCGCCGGCGGCGCGCCGCACAAGTAGCGTCGCGCACCCCCAACCACGTCGAACCTCGCCAGAGCGTCGCTGATGCGGCCGGGGGGGGGCGGGGGGTACCGCAGCGACACCACGACGGCCACGAGCGCCGTCAGTGCGGCCAGGATGAAGGCCCAGTACTGGAAGTGAAGACATAGAAGCCAGTCCCAGCCATTCAGTTCCTGGAGCACGTTGCCGCCGTCGTCTACGCGCGTGCGGTCGCGACAGTATCCTGCGCGCAAAGTACCACCGGTGAGTGAGGTCTGACGGCTGCGAGTCGCGGAGACGAGCGTTGCAGGACGAGCGTCATGCGCATGGCGTCACGCGATGCCGCTCAAAGTCTGCACACACACACCTGCTCCGATCATGCTGGCCCCGAGCTGGAGCAGCCCGCCCCCGGCGCCCGCGACCAGCGCCGCGACCGCGCCCTGCGCGTTCGCACGCGGCCAGAACACCCCCAGCAGCACCACGGACACCAGCCCCGGCACGAGGTGCTGCGTGCATGACTGCGCAAGCAGGTAGAGCTGCGTGTGCTGCGAGCTGATCGCCGGCAGCCACGCGAACGCAAGCACCACCATCGCCGCTGTCGTGTACCGCCCAACCCGCACCAGCTGCCGCTGCGCTGCCTCGTCCAGCGGCAACCGCCCCTCCTCCCCCGCCCCCCGGTCATCCACGCCACCACGCCTCGCCGGCGGCATCGACGCCCGCCGCCGCTGCCGCGACTCCGGCGTCGACAAACCCCGCCTCCGCACGCTGCTGTGCCCCGAATCCCGCGCCGCGTGCGTCCCCGCGTCGTCAGCCTCGTCGAACGTGGGCGTCGTGCGCGCCACCAGCGCCGCGCCGTCCGCGGACCCCGCGCGCGGCACCGCCCTGGCGTTCGCGGCCACTGCAGCCTCTCGGACGCGCCGCGGGTCCTGATAGAGGGCCTTGTACACGTCGTAGGTGAAGACGGTGGACGCGGAGTTGAACACCGCGGCCATCGAGGACATCATGGCGGACAGGAAGGACGCGACCATGAGGCCGCGCAGGCCGGACGGGAACTCCTTGACCACGAGGAGAGGGTACGCCCTGTTGGCGCCCTCCTCATCGTCCAGCTCCGTGCCGCACCACTGCACGCAGCACGTCGCCAGAGAAGGAGCGAAATAGGAAAGTCAGAGCGGCGCTTGGGATGAGAGCGTCGTTCGCGGTCTTCGTTGCAGGGTACTGAGCAGGCCGGGCCGTCGCACCTCGGGGAACTCCTCGCCGTCTGACATGCGGCATCGTTCAAAGAGTGCGCGCGCAGCGATGCCCGGGAGGGTGATGATGAGGACGGGCAGGATCTTCAGGAGGCCCGCGGCGGCGGTGCCGAGCCGCGCGGTCGGCAGGGAGCGCGACGACAGCACGCGCTGCGCCATCTCCTGGTCGAGACACCAATACCAGATACTGCGCAGCAACACGTGACGGGCAGGCAAGATTCGTCGAATACGACTTGAGGATCGCCGGTCGCGAGCCGCGCAGGTATCCATCAGCATCTTGGCGCCACGCAGACTCCTCCGCACCTGCCCACGGTCTGTCCAAGCACCATGCCAGCCCCCGGCAGGCTGCGGTCGTTCGCCGGACGGAACAGGTGCCGGAAATCGGGCCTCCCCGCCTCCGCCATGGACCGGAACATGCCGTCGACGCCGCCCACGCGCCCCACGGCGAGCCACGCCCCCGCGAGGCCGCCGGACAGGAATATGAAAAGCTGAACCAGGTCCGTCCACAGGACGGCGTGCAGGCCGCCGGCGAGCGTGTACGCGCCCGTGGCGAGGATGATAGCCGGCGCCGCGGCGTACAGGTTCATCCCCGCCACGACGTCCAGCAATACCCCCCCCGCGTACAACCCCGCGCCCACCTTGGACATGACGTACGTCAGCAGCGTGACCGTCACCATCACGAGGCGGCACGTGCGGCTGAAGCGCAGCTCCATGAACGAAGGCACCGTCGTCAGGCCGAGCTTGAGGTATATCGGCGCGAAGAGCCAGCCGAGGAGCAGCAGAAAGTACGCGGCAGTCCACTCGTACAGCGCGACCGCCATGCCTGCGCGGGAAGAAGCGCGGACGGCTTGGAGCTCAGGGCGAGGAGGCAGCGGAGGCGGGGCGATGGTCGTGCGCGCGGTCGCACGCGGCGCGGCACCGGCGTGCGACGTTGCGTGGGGTTGGGAGGGGGGAATGCCTGCGTGCGCTGCTGTGCCGGCCTGTCCGACGAAGTGCTCGCTCCCGATGTTGCTGGCGAAGAGAGACGCAGCCGTGAGCCACCACGTGCTCTCGCGCCCCGCCAGAAAGTATGCGCTGTCGCCCGAGACCTGGGCGCCCTGGTGCCCCTCGGCCTTGCGCTCCCGCCAGGCAGACCAGATGGCCATCGCGAAGATGCACGCCATCGCGACCGCGATCACGAAGAGGTCGACCTCGTCCAGCATCGTGCCGGGCGCGGCCGCAGCAGACGAGCCCGGCACCCCCAGCCGGTGTCTTGGTGCCTCTCCGGCCCCTCCAGACTATCTACGCCAGCTATTCCCCATCACGAGAGCACCAATCACTCAAGGGATCCCGTGCTACGCACATCGGGGCTCCTACCACCCGTCATGCGACGTGCGGAGCTCTTTTTTTGCACTGTGTTTCGTGTCCCGTCGCGCGCAGGTGTCCGCGGAACGTCGATGGTTTCTGCGCGCCAGCCAGCGTCCGGTGCAGCGCTCTGGCCGTGCGCGCCGCGACCGGCGCCTCACGAGCCGACCGTGGCTCCAGCTTGTGTCAGGTACAACTGGAACAATTGTGAGGCAATCCTGGGCGTTCCGGCGGTCACCGGGCCGCCGAGCAGCTCCGCCCGACGCACATACAACTCGCGGGGCCGGCGACTCCTCGCGCGCGGCATTCGTCAGGTCTCCTCGCGCTCCGGCCGTCTGACATTTGGAGTGAGCACTTGAGAGACCGCGTGCGTCGCACCGGCCGCGGGAAGGCCGTCTGGGGTGTGGGAGCGCGACTGGCTGGAGGAGGATGTCGCATTTGGACGAGGTGGAGCGGCGGATGGATCAGGCGGTGATGCAGCGGTTCAGGCACCGCAAGGGTGCGGGGGCCGGAGCAGTTGGCGTGGCTGCACCGTCCGGTGGCGGGTTCCAGCGGACGCCAGATGCGGAGCCGATGAACGAGGTAACTGCGAGGACCCGGTTGCGCGGCGCATGCGTGCAGCACGCTGGCCTTGGTCGCTGCCGAGGAGACGCTGGGTCACGTCGCACGCAGTCATGCTTCGCGCTAGCGACGCCGCTGCCGACTGACAGGCCCGTTTGCGCACCACACGCGTGGGCACGTGCAGGGGGACTTCCAGACGGCCATGATTCGGCGCCTGAAGCTCCTCGAGCAGGACGCCAGGTCGAAGAGTGCGCTTCTGGAGCAGGCGCGGGTGGAGAACGCCGAGCTGCAGGCGCGTCTCGCGGCGGAATGTCGCGACGTTCTCCCGCCCGTGCGCACGCCCAGAACTTGGACGCCCCCGGAGCGCACCCGGAAGATCGTGCGGGGCGTTCTCGAGGGCAGGGGGCGCACTTTGTTCCTATGTCATGGTCATGATGGTGTTTCCCGGGCCGTACGCGGCGCTGCGGGCGGCGCTTTCGAGGAGTGAGCGTCTCTCTGTTTGTTCGCTGGTCTGCAGAAGAAGATCCGCGTGCTCGAGGAGCGCCTGGCGCCGCAGAGCGGCCAGAGCTCGTCTGCTGACGACGTTGGGGACAACAGCCTGGCCGCCGAGGCGCTGGAGGTCATCGACCACCTGCGGAGCGAGAACTCGCGGCTGCGAAGAGAAGCCGACGGCGCGTGGGAGCAGGTCCGGCGCGCGCACACCCGCGAGCGACCCCCTTTCTGGCAATACAGAGCTCTCTCGCCGCCCCGCAGGACCCCCCACGCCGCGCCGCGCTGCCAAGGAGCGACCGCAGTCCGCCCCGCGCCCGCCTCGCGCAGTGCAAGGCGATGAAGCGGTTCCTGAATGACTACGGCATGGTGTGGGTCGGCGAGTTCGACTCCCGGAAAAACGTGGACGTCGAGCCGGGCAAGGCGCAGGGGGACAGCCGCGTGGTCATCGAGAGGAAGAAGGACGAGCAGCCGGCCAAACCCTGCCCGGTACGCCCGCCCCGCCCCCGCCAGCGCCCCCGCCATGCGCTGCGCACAGTCCCCCTCGCACGCGCGCCCTGCGTCGCCGCGACAGGGCACGCCTGGTCGCGTTGCGCCGCCCCTGATGCGCGCCGCAGCCGCGGTGCGCGACGCAGATCGACGTGGCGAAACTCGAGCGGGCGGTGGATCAGCTCAACAGGACGCAGGAGGGGAAACGCGCGGCGCCGGTGCCGCTGGCGGTGTACCGGGACGGCGTGCAGCTGCACGTGCTGCCGTTCATGCCGTTCACGGACCCCGCCGCGCGCGGCGTGGTACAAGACATCATCGATGGTTTCTACCCGTACCAGCTCCGGGAGGACTTCCCCGAGGGCGCGCACCTGGTGCTGCTGGACAAGGCTGGCATGACGTACGTTCCGACGTCCGCGAGGGGCGAGGGTGCCGGTGCGGGGGGCGCTGCAGGGGCGCCGCAGCAGGCGGGCAACGTGCACGGCATGGCGTCGCTCGGGCAGCCCAAGGACGGGCCGCGGACGAAGGAGGAGTACCTGAAGAAGCTGCCGGAGACGGTCATCAAGAACGGGAAGATCGTGGAGCTGCGCAAGGGCATCTCGGACTTCATTTCTGGGCGCGACGGCGGCGGCAACGCCGGCCGGCCCCCGCGGGACGCCGCGTCGCAGAAAGACGCCCGCAGCGGTCCGCACGCCGCGGGAGGCCCGCTGGCGACGTCCGCGATCGACCGGCTCCTGAAGCGCGGGCCGTCGAGCAAAGCAGTCACTTCACAACTCCTGGTGGGGCAGCACAAGAGCGCGGGACCGTCGCGGTCGCCGAGCGTGCGCGGGTCCCTGAACGAGAAGGCGGCGTCGGCGGTGGAGGTCTGCGCGGAGAGCGACCACAGCGACGAGCCGTGCGCGACGTTGCAGATCAAGGCGGAGGACGGGCGGATGCACGTGCTGAAGATGGCGGCGACGGCAACGATCGGGCAGCTGCGGAGCAAGCTGGACATTCTGCGCGTGCCGCAGGGGCCGTACGAGATCCGCTCGGCGTTCCCGCCGCGGGCGTACAGCGACTTGGCAGAGACGCTGGAGGCGGCGGGGCTGGTGCCGAACGCGACGCTGTTCGCGCGGGCGACGCGGAGCTAGCGGCGGGGAACGCGGGGGCGCGGCGAGGCGATGACGTTCCCGCAGTCACGTCGTTGACCTCGGGCCGAGCCTCACGTATGTCAAAACAATAGGACAAGGGGAACAGCAGCCATGTGAAGCGATCCAAGGCGTGCGGTGGGGCTCTCGCGGTGTCCACTGGTTCGATCAGTCGATCACAACTATTGTCTTGTCCGTTTGGAGCTTCTATCAAGCCGAGATGCTCTCGGGTGCTAGGTTTCGGGGTCTCTCTGAAGCCCCAGGCGCCGCAGCTGTGCAGTCGCCCTAGGTCTAAATCTGCTATGATTCACGCAGGCAGCTCTGTCCCTCCCGGAGCTGTCCGGAGCATCTTGCTCGCGCTTCGGCTCCCGCCGTCGCCATGTCCGTCCCCCGTGCGGCCTAGAACGCCAGGGCGCAGAAGCACGCGACGCCGCGGCAAATCCAGAAGTTCGCGCTCTCGTCCGTGGGCAGCTCCACCATCATCACGAAGTTCGTGCTGTGGCCCGTCGTGCTGAGCGTGCCCTGCCGCGTCAACGTCTTGTACATGGGGCACAGGTACACGCCGTCCTCGGGCGCCTCGCGGTTCTGCATCGGCTGCAGCCACATCACGGGCATCTCCGTGAAGAGCTCCTTCGGCCGGGACTCCCCGAGCAGGTGCGTCTCCTCGTTCCACCGCGCGCCCTCCAGGAAGAGCCCGCGCACGTAGCACCCGTCCTCGGGGCCCTCCTCGACGTCGCGGTGGTCCATGTGGTCCATCACCTGGAACCCGAACGACACCGTGTCGATCGGGTACGTGTACTTGCGCGCGAAGTTCTGCAGCGTGCCCGTCAGGAAGGCCTGCGGGAACACAAAGCCCGAGATCCAGTACACCGAGGGGACGCCGTTGTCGATCCAGCCCTGGATGAACGCGCAGCGCTCGAGGAGGTCGGTCACCCACGACGAGAGCGGCTTGAGCGAGGGGTACGCCTTCTTCTCCCACCGCTCGGGCACCCGGTTGTCAAAGATGGCGTTGCAGATGGCCTCCAGGTCGTGGCTCATGACCACCAGGCCCTTGAGCGCCTTGATGCACTCGCGCAGGCTCAGCGCCATGTCCTCGAGCAGCACGTTGAACCGCTGGCACTCCTGCGTCAGCACCGTGTTCATGCTCTGCTTGTACGTGGTCGGGTAGTGCTTCATGACCGCCTCGACGTCGAACGGCGCCGGGACGCGCTTGAGGATCTCCTCGGCCTTCCCGCCGATGACGTCCTCGCGCGAGCTCCCCGCGGCGCCCGCCGTGCGCGGCTGCAGGCTCAGGATGGTCCCCAGCATGTCGTAGGTCTCGTTCTGGTCGCACGTGATGTCCGCGTTCTCGTGCAGCCCGAAGATCTCCGGCGCCGGGTTGATCGGGAGCTCCTTGATGTACTCGAGGTACGACCGCACCGTGCTCGCGTCGATCGAGCGGTAGATCCCGCTGGGCGAGAACTTGTAGCTGTCCTCCACCACGCCGGGGTTGATGAAGTTCTCGACGAGCGTGTTGATCAGGCGGCGGTCCTTGTCGTCCGTCACGCGGCCGCCGTAGTTGATCTCCGTGAACAGGAACCGCAGCACGCGGTACGGCACGCTCTCGTAGTCGTCCAGGTACTGCTTCATCTGGGCCAGCGACACCGAGAGGTCGCCGTCCGTGAAGTCGTACCGGATGTTCCACCCGAGCGCGCCGAACTTCCGCCGGTCCATGATCACCGCGTGGAACAGGCACATCCCGAACAGCAGCCGCCGCCACTCCGCGGGCTTCTTGCTTTCCTCCAAGTACTGGTCGTTGAACCGCGCGTACGACCGCGCGAGGTTCGACTTGAGGCCCTTGGGCGGCTCGAGCGTGACCTTGACGCCGTTCTGGAGGATGCTGACCGGGAAGTGCGGGTCCGGGAGCGCCGTGAGCCACAGCCGGAAGTGCGGGTTGACCGTCTCGGGGTTGATGTTCTCCACGATGCGCTCGAGCGTCGGCATCCACGACTGCGCGAGGTGGCAGTTCTGGAGGCACACCCACATGCCCGCGTCCATCGCGAGCGTCAGGAGCTGCTCGGCCTTCTTGCCCTGCCCCTGCCCGAGCGACACCTTCTCAAACTTCTTCGACATGCGCATGTCCTCGGAGAGCTTCAGGAGGTCCGCCATGGGGTCCGCGCCGGGCGAGAGCACGAAGATGAGCGGCGTGGCCGGCGCGGCCTCGCGGTAGCACGCGGCCAGGTCGTACGGCGGGGGCTCGGTGAACTGCTGGCCCAGGTGCTCCACCACGAAGTTGCCCGCGGCGAGCGTGAGCTTGTCCGGGCGCAGGCAGCGCAGGACGAGGAGCTTCTGGAAGGACGACAGGCGGTCGTTCCAGTCCTCGGCCAGCGGGAAGGTGTGCGCCTCGGACGAGTCGAACAGCTTGCGGTAGTGGTCGATGTTGGCGCAGAAGTGCTCCTCGAACCCGGCGAGCGTGGGGAGGCGCGACATGTTCTGCACCTCGACCCAGCACTTCTCCGTCAGCCACGTCGGCGCGGGGTTCTCGCCCTCGAGCTCCGTGTCCGTGGGCCCCGCCAGGAGGAAGCGCCACTCCTGGGCGTTGATCTCGCCGCGGTGCGACAGGATGCGCGTGACGAGCATGACCGAGAACATGAGCTTGTGCTTCTCGAACAGCGAGCGGCACACGTTGCAGTACAGGCTGTACGTGAAGTACTCGTTCAGGTTGCGGCCCCGCTGCGGGATGTCGTCCGACCGCTCGGCCTCGCGCACGGCGCGCACGAAGAGCGCGATGAACCACGTGAGGCTGTACTGGTACATCGGGTCCACCGCCGCGAGGTCCGAGATGCAGAAGAAGAGCAGGCTCGAGCGCACCGCCACGGCGCGGTACTGCTCCCGCGCCTCGTCGATCTCCTTCTCCGTCTTCTCGGCCTCCGCGACCTTGGCCGCGATCTCGTTCGACTTGACCTTGGACTCCGCGAGCGTGTTGATCAGCTCCTCGTCGTCCAGGATGTTGCCCTGCGAGTTGCTCAGCATGGCCAGGATCTTGTCCTCGATCTCCTTGAGCTCGCGCTTCATGTTCGCGTTCGAGATGACCAGCTGCGACTTCATCTCCGACAAGTCCGGCCGCTCCTCCGTCACCGTGATGCCCAGCAGCTGCTCCTCGAGGCCCTCGCTCGTGACGAAGAAGTTGAGGAGCGAGACCTTGACGGCCACCTCGGGCGGGTAGTGCGGGGAGCGGAACTTGGTCGTCATGTAGAAGCGGAAGTCCGCGCTGTACGGGATGATGTTGTCGCCGATCTTGATCACCTCCTGCCCGCCCTGCTTGAAGGTCTGCTTCAGCAGCAGCGGCTCCAGCGCCGCGTCGAGCTCCTCGCCGATGTTCTCGAGCAGCACCGCGCGCCCGAAGCGCACGCCGTTCTCCAGCGGGCGCAGGAAGTCCTTGTCCGACAGCTTGATCACGTCCAGCTTCTCGCGCTCCATGTTCTTGATCCACTTGTTGGCCTGGCCCTGCGGGTCGATCATGAGCGGCCACCGGCGCGCCTTGCTCACGATGATGCCGTTCTCCACCGACTGCTGGTCCGTGGGCAGGCCCGCGATGTTCCACGCCCGGACCTGCACCGGGTCCTGCAGCGTCTTGGTGATGTTGGTCCCGGGGGTGTGCGGGACGCCCAGCTCGCGCAGCTGCGACTCCCAGTCCTGGTTGAGCCGCGTGCGGAAGTTCGGCGTGAACGGCCCGGAGTAGGCGATCGCCCCCGCCGACACCACCACGTCGCCCGCGATGTTCTTCAGGTCCTCGCGCAGCTGCGCCACCGTCTGCATCCACCGCATCTTCTCGCCGCCGAGGCCACCGAGGAGCTTGTCCGCGCGGTTGAGCTTGGCCTTGCAGTCCTCGCTCTGCCGCGAGAGCGCCTCCTTCTTCGCCGTGGCCTCGTCGAACGACGCCTCCAGCTCGGCGATCTTGTCCTGCACGGCGCGGAGCTTCGCCTGCGCCTCCGCGAGCTGCTCCATGGTCTCGGCGAGCTCGGCCTCGGCCTTGGCGAGCGCCTGGCGCTTCGGCTCGACGCTGAGCGCGACCTGGTGGTAGGTGTACATGGCCCGCACCCACATGCAGATGGACGTGGCGGCCTTGGACACGCGCGCGACGGCCTCGGGGACGAACTCCTCCATCTGCATGTACGGCTGGATCTTCTCGATCACCGACGCGGCGATGTTGTCCTTGTCGTACGTCATCAGCGCGTCCAGGAACTTCCCGGCGTCCGACAACATCTTCTTCGCGTTCTCCCAGTAGTCCGGCTTCTTCTTTCCGGGCTTGTCCGGGTCCGCCACCATCTTCGGCTTCTCCTGGAACATGATGCACGCCGCCTCCATCACCATCCGCACGCCCTGCGGCGGGTTGGCCATCGACTTGACCTCCACCACGTCGTTCCGCGACAGGTTCTTCAGCGACTCCACCGCGGCGTCCAGCGCCGGGAGCGCCTCGTCCAGGTCCTTCTGCGCCGACGCCTTGAGCTCCTGCGCCTCCGCGGCCTTCACGTTGGCGTCGGCCTCCTGCTTCTCCACCGCCGCGCGCGTCTCGTCCGCCTCCTTCTTGTCGTGCGTGATCACCACCATCAGGTCCTCCACCTCCTGGCTCGTCTTCAGCAGCACGGGCTGCAGGTCCTCCAGCTCCTTCTGCATCACCTGCACCTCGCCCTCCGTCTCCATGAGCTTGTCCAGGCCCACCTCGAGGCGCCGCGACATCTCGTGGACCTCCTGGCGCTTGTCGCTCAGCAGCTTGATGAACGTCGTCAGCAGCTCGAGGTACGACGTGGGCGTGACGTAGTTGTACCGCCGCAGCTGCTCAAAGAAGTCCTTGCTGTGGCGCTCGACGGACTGGTGCACGCCGACGCAGGCCTCGACGATCTTGTTCAGCAGGTCCGGGTTGGCCTCGTCGTTGAGCGGCAGCTCCTTGTAGAAGCTCAGCGCGACCGACCGCAGGGCCTCGTCGGGCCACTCGCGGAACCAGTCGATGGTGCAGCAGTTGACCAGCGACGGGAACATGCGCAGGCGCTGCCGGAACGCGTCGCCGATGGGCGACATGCACACGACGAGGTGCAGCTGCGCGCGCACCCGCTTGTTGAAGAACCCGAGCACGTTGGCGGGCGTCTGCGCGACGCCCTCCGCCGCCATGGGCCCGCGCAGGCCGTCCTTGATCTCCTCGAGGTCCTCGACGCCCATCAGGTTGGGCACCTCGCCGCTGTTCAGGATGTTGTTCAGGTCCTCCAGGAACGACTCCATGATGATCTGCGTGTCGCTGAACAGGAAGACCGTGTCCTTGCCCGACATGCCCGCGAGCTTGAGTACCTCCTTCAGGTTGTCGCGCCACTCGTTCAGGCCGTACCCCTTGACGATCTCGATCTGGAAGATCTCAAACTCCTCCATGTAGGCCGCGAGCTTGGTGAGGCTCTGGCGGCCCGACCCGCCCACGCCGAGCAGCAGCGCGTTGCCCAGCGGGAGGCGGATGACGCGGCAGATGCGGCTGACGTGCTCGATGGCGTCCAGGAACATCACGAGCTTCATCGGCGCGTTGCTGACGCTGTTGTAGTCGTCCAGGTACTCCTCGACGACCTTCAGGAGGCGGTCGAGGTCCGTGATGCGCGCGTAGCTGCGCGGGTCCGCGCCGGGGACCATGAAGTCGCCGTAGATGAGGCGATCGGTCTTGACGATGTCCGAGTAGGCCATCTCGAAGTGGGTCTTGAGGAGCTCCTCCGAGTTGCGCATGAACCAGTCGCTGTCGCCGTCGTTGATGAGGCGGTCCTTGAACACGCGCGCGCTCTCGTGCAGCCACAGCGCGAGCAGGTCCGTCACCGTGCCCGTCGTCTTGGGCTCCGCGCGCATCACCCCCTGGACCACGCGCGACATGTCGCGCAGGTTGAACGTGTAGTGCGACCGCGTCGGCGTGGGCAGGAGCTCCTTCCGGATGGTGTTGTACATCTCGACCGTCGCGTCCACGATGCTCGAGGCCTTCTCGGCCAGCTTGGGCGACAGCTTGCTCTCCAAAAAGGTGCCCAGGATGGTGTTGAAGATGCGGCAGCAGCTCTCGTCCGACATGGCCACGAAGGACAGCGTCTTGAAGTGCCGCAGGTACCGCGGCGTGACGGGGTTCCGCCCGCCGCCCGGGGGCCCCATTGACCCCACGAACTGCACGTTGATGATCTGCCGGAAGGTGAAGGGCCAGCGCCGCTCGTACCACCCGCCGTGGTCCATCCACTGCCGCAGAAGCTCGATCGGCGGCTGCGCGCCGTACTTCTCGCGCTGCGGCATGTTCATGTCGTCCACCAGGAAGACGTACTTCTTGCCCTCGCCCGGCCCGCACACCATCGTGCCGTGGACCTTGCGGATCTTCTCGACCTTGTTGTCGATCAGGTCCTGCGTCTGGTTCGCGCCCGTCCGCGCGGAGAAGGTCACGAACTGCGGGTCGTACCCCGTCGGGAGGTTGAGGAGCTTCTCCGTCGCCGTCACCGTCTTGCCCGTGCCCGTGTCGCCCACGCACAGCACGTGCTGCTGGTTCAGCAGCAGCTTCTCCATCACGAACGAGTACCGCACCGTGTCGCGCGTCGGCACGATGATCTCCGCGAACGGCGCGTTCGGGTTGCACTCGTACTTGGGCTGCGTGTCCATCCAGTCCATCCACGCCATGCTCTCGACGTCCCACACCCAGTCGAACACCTGCTTGTCGCGCGGGAACCGCTGCTCCTCGGGGATGTCGAACATGCTCTGCTGCATGGCCATGTCGAGCAGCGCGCGGATGCGGCGGTCAAACAGGTCGCGGCCGTCCTTGTCGCACGACGCGCCCAGCGACCACACCATCGAGAACAAGAACAGCGCGGGGACCATCGCGGGAGCCTTCTCCTTCTCGTCCTTCGTCAGCGGGTCGATCGTCTCGTCGCGGTTGTACCGCACCATCAGCGAGTCCATCAGGCTGAAGCACGACATGCACAGCTGGTGGTCCACCGTCGCCACCGTCTCCTTCAGGTCGCGCCGCACGAAGTGCACCAGCTCGGGCACGAAGTGCCGGAACATCCGCTCCAGCAGCTTGCTCTGCGACGCAATCACGGCGGGCATCTTCCCCAGCCACGACTCGAGCAGCGGCGTCATGCCCAGCGCCGAGGGCTCCATGTAGACCATCCCGCAGCGCGAGACGGTCGCGGGCGAGGCCTGGCTGAGGTCCTCGACCTCGAACATCATCGTCATGGGGTCCGACATCTGGATGATCTCGCCCGACACCAGGCAGAGCTTCTTGTTGTCGTCGAGCACCGTGTTCATGTTCTCGATCCACACCGCGTCGACGGGGCCGTCGAACATGATCCACTTCTTGTCCGGGGTCTGCTCCGCGCTGAACTCGCGCATGTAGTGTGCCAGCACGCCGTCCGTCCACTCGTGCGTGTTCTCGTCGAACTCGCCGTACAGCTGCCCCATGGTGATCGACTTGGGGTTGAGGCAGCACACCTGGACCTTCTCGAACCGCGCCTGGTGCCGCAGCTTGGTCATCGACTTGGCCAGCGCCTTGTAGCACTCCGTCTTCCCCGCCATGGTCGGCCCGACCAGCATGAGGCCGTGCCGCACGATGGTGGTGTCGTACAGCTGGATCACCTTGCCGAGGAAGGCGTCCGCGGGCTGGATGTTCATGTCGGAGCACGTCTCGATGAGGGCGCCCATGATCTCCGTGTAGTCGCTCTCGGGCATCTTGACGCCCGGGAACAGGTCCGAGATGATCCCGTCGAACAGCGGCAGGTCGTGGCTGAGGAACTTGGGCACGTTGACGTCGCGCAGCCCGCGCAGCACCAGCACGTCCTCGGGCTGGTCGGGGTACTCCCGCTTCAGGTTGCCCGCCGCCGTGATGACCGACTTCACGGCGCGCATGCCGTAGTCGTAGTGGTCCTGCCGCGACAGCTGCTCCGAGCACAGCCGGAACGTGGCCACCATCTTCCCCGACAGCGTCTTGGCGTCGCGGTACCCGTACGAGTACAGGCAGATCTCCGCGATCAGCGCGTAGTCGGGCACCATCATGGCGCACGGCCGGAACAGCGCCTTGAGGTTGTCCGGCAGCTCCGACCGGCCGGCGTACCCGGGGTTCATGGTGATGAAGACCGAGCAGTACTGGTTGAGGTCCAGCTCCGTCTCCTCGAACACGAACCGCTTGACCTTGGACTGGATGGCGAGCTGGATGGTGAGGATCTGCTGCGCCACGACGGACAGCACCTCGAGGTCGATGCGGTTGAACTCGTCGAAGCACGCCCACGCGCCGGACGACGCCAGGCCCTTGAACATCTTGGCCATCGCCAGGTAGTCGAGGCCGTCCGAGCAGTTGAAGACGACGCACTGCTTCGCGAGGGCCTTGGCCAGGTCCTTCGTGGTCTCCGTCTTCCCGGTGCCGGCGGGGCCCGCGGGCGCGCCGCCGAGGTTCATGTGCATGGCCGACATGAGCGTCATGTAGCACCGGTCCGTCAGCGGCGTGATGACGAGCCGCGGGGTGTTGCCCAGGTACTCGTAGCCGAACGGCAGGCTCGCCTGCACCATGTCGACGTACACGTCCTCGCGCCAGTAGTACCGCAGCTGGCTGACCCACTCGAAGTCCGTGGTGCTCTTGAGGCCCACGTCCACGAAGTTGCTCACCGTGTCGCGCGCGTGCACGTCGATGGTGATGAGCGCGCCCAGCGTCAGCCGGTCGAGGTTCGACAGGTGCCCGCGCACCAGGTCGGTCAGGTCCATCAGCTCGGCGACGGACTTGTCGAGGAAGCCCTTGACGTTTTCTGCCTCGATGTGCTGCTCCGCGTTGCGCGACCAGTAGATGGCGTTGACGGCCAGCACCACCATGGCCGGCCACGACCGCACCCAGTCCCGGCGCTTCCCCTGCTCGTACGCCTCCATGGAGAGGATGATCTGGTGGCGGATGGCGTTGATCATCGACTTCTCCACCTTGCCCAGCCACTGCTCCACGTTGCCCTGCGGGTACATGCTCTCCTCGAAGGGCACCTTCTCGCCCTCGCGCGAGTTCATGGCGCTGATCTCGAGGCCGTCGCCGAAGTCCAGCGAGTCGATGGCCTCGAAGCACTTGCGCAGGTGCGGCTGCACTGCCAGCGGGTTCTTCGTCTGCGACAGGATCTGCAGCAGCTCGTCGTTCGAGAGGAAGAAGAAGCGCGCAAACGCCAGGCGCTTCGTCTCGAGGTAGTCCGCGAGGCCCTTCTGCACGCTGTCGAGCTGCTTGTTGGCCTCGCGGAACTGGTCGAGCAGCGGCTGGTTGACGCACGCGTGGAGCATCTCGGGCGCCTGGTGCGTGTCCTGCAGTGCGCGGCGCCACAGCCGGTCGACCTGCGTGAACTTCTTGGCCTCGACGGGGAGCTGCGACTGGATGTCCTCGGACGAGAAGATCGGCTCCAGGTACATCCACTGGCGCTGCAGCGCCAGCCACTCGTCGATCATCTCCGACATGAGGTTGAGCTGCCGCTCCCAGTCGTGGATGCGGGCCTCGAACGGCTTCTTGTACGGGCTGAACGACATGCTCTGCGCCATCACGATCTGGTCGTCCAGCATCTGCGACACCGCCTCGTCCACCTTGATCACGTACGTGCCCGTCTCGCGGTACTCCATCACCTGCAGCGCCGTCCCGCTCCACTCCGACTCCATCTTCGCCAGCGCCTGCTCGATCGCGTACTCCTTCGCCGCCACGTCCGCGACCTTGCTGATCAGCTCGATGTGGTCCAGCAGCCCCATCTCCTGCGCCTTGGTCATGGTGAAGTCGTCGCCGGGGCGGAGCTCGAACCCGAGCCCCTCGCTGAGCTGGTCCCAGTGCCGGTCGCGCATGCCGGACGTCCGCAGCGCCTGGATGAGCGGCACGAAGGCCTTGAAGTCCTCGACCTTCTGCCGCACGCCGTCGGCGAGGCCCGCGTGCTCCTTGAGGTCGCGCTGGTTGAACATCCGCCCGACCTTGAAGAGCGTCTTGAAGCAGGACCCGACCTCGCGCTCCACGTGGTCCGGGTCGAGCGACGTCCACTGCCCCTCCATCCACTGCTCCTGGTTGTTCTGCCACGCGCGCGCGGTCGACCAGAACTGGAGGTACGGGTCGAACTGGTCGATGATGCGCTTGACCGACGAGTAGTCCGACACGTCGAGGCCGAAGATCGCCTCGCGCGAGTTGAACAGCTTGGCCTCCTCGTCCACCGACGCCAGCGCCTCCTTCAGCTCGGCCACCTGCTGCGCCATGCCCTCGAGCTGCTCCATGTTGGTGACGCCGCGCAGCTGCTGCACCTGCGACTCCAGGCTGCCGATCGTGGACACGAACGCGCCCTGCTCGCGGATCATCTCCTCGCGGAACTGGCTCTCGTCGTCCTTCAGCTGCTCCTCGGTGCGCGCCGCGATCTCCGCCACCCGCAGCGGCCAGTGCAGCGCCTGGAAGCGCACCTTCGCCGCGTCGTCCGTGAGCTTGTACCGCAGCTCCTCGAGCGCCGTGTACCACTCCTGCGTGCGCGACATCTCCACCTCGAGGCCCGCGACCTTCTTCGGGATGTCCTCCAGGAACTTGCGCTGCGCGTCCACCTCCTCGATGGTGTTCATGGGCGACTGCAGCTGCCGGCTCAGCGCCTCGAACTTCCGCGTCGCCTCGGCCATCATGCGCCGCGGCACCGCCGCCATCAGGTCGCGCAGCATCGCCACCAGCTTGTTCTTGCGGTCGATGATCGCCTCGCGCACCTTCTTGATGCCCACGCGCACGAGCCCCAGGTTGATCGCGTTCGGGATGCCCGACACCACCGCCGCCGCCCCGGCCTCCGCCTTGGTCAGCTCCGCCTTGAGCCGCTCGAGCGTGAGCTCCTCCGACTCGCCCAGCTCCTTCACGAAGGCCTCGTAGTCGGCCTGCAGCACCTCCTCGTACTTGCGCATCTCCGCGAGGTACGCGCGGGCGGGCTCCAGCGCGCGCTCCACCGCCTCGGTCAGCTCCTCGCGCAGCGCGACGATGTGCGCCTCGCGCGGGTGCGGCGTGTTGAGCGGCGGCACGTGCGACCACAGGAGCCGCTCGAGCACCTGCGGCTCGAGCTGCGCGATGCCCTGGCACGCCGCGATGCCCTGGTCGAACACCTTCACCAGCGAGGGCGCCACCTTCTCCGTGGGGGTGTTGTAGCGCATGGTGTTGGTCGCCGGGTCGATCTCGAGCTCGAGCACGAAGAGCGGCGTGGCCTTGGTGCCCGCGGCCTTGCCGTCGCCGTCCGGGAGCGTCACTTCGACGTCCTTGGTGGTGCGCACGACCACCTCGGCCGCGCAGAGGCCGCGGATCCACTTGACGTACGACTGGAGGGAGGATTCGACGAGGAAGCGCAGGACGTCCTCCATCATGAGGCGCGTGAGCGTCAGGAAGCGCCGGAGCTTGCTGAACTCGTACGTCTCGCGGTTGGTCTCCTCGAGGTTGAACCAGCCCTTGCCGACGTCGCGGAACGAGCTCTTGACGATGTTCTTGATCGACGTGCACCACGTGTCGCGCAGGTAGCTGCTCATGCTCTCCGCGGTCTGCCCCTGCAGCTGCTGGAACTCGTCCGCGCGGTACCCCTTGGTGGCGTGCGTGGTGAACAGGCACTGCTTGAGCACCTTGGCGTTCTCCACGCGGATCTTCATCACCGCCGTGATCACCTCCTCCTGGGTCAGCAGCGAGTAGAACGCGAAGTCGCTGAACTGGTCCGGGAAGCAGTAGGCCGGGCAGTCCACCGGCGTGGGCTCCACCGCGCCCGCCGCGCCCTCGGGGTCCTCCTCCACGCGCACGAGCATCTCCTTCGGCACCGCGCGGTCCATCGGCGCGAACTCCGGCGCCACCGCGCTCCCCTGCACGCGCGCCGCCTGCCCCATCATGGCGCGGTTGGTCGCCGTGCGGAAGTCCAGGTCCATCTCCGCGAGCAGCGCCGCCTTCTGCCGCTCCTTCGTCCGGTCCTGCAGCCGCTTGCTGTTCAGCGCGAGCTCCATCACGCGCCCCTGGACGTCGCGCGGGACGCCCAGCAGCGCCTCAGTCGGCATCTCGTCGACGGACAGCGCGTGCAGGAGCGCGGCCTCGCTGCGCTCGCGGAGGACCTCGGCGGCCACGCGGCGGCGCGCGAAGACGAAGGGGTCGTCCGCGTCGAAGTGGAGGTCGATGCGCGGCACCCACACGCCGACGCCCGCCCCCGGGCCCGTCTTGGGCACCGCCTTGAAGTGGCCGGTCGCGGCGTCCCAGTCCTCGACGGTGCACGCGCGCCACGTCATCACGCCCTCCTCGTCGTCCATGCGCGCCATCCGGCCCGTGGCGAACGGCGGCGCGGGCGCGCCCGGGGGCAGCGCGATGGAGGGAACCCACTCCTGCGGGGTGCGCGTCTCGAGCTCGCAGTCGTCGAAGATCTCGAGCGGGAAGACGGGCGGGCCGTACTTCGCGCGCTGTATCCGCTGGCGCCGGAACGCCGGGTCCTCGCGCTCCTTCCGCGCCGTTTCGCGGACGATCAATGAGTTGAGGTCCTGCGCGTCGTACAGGCGCTTCCGCCGCTCGATGATCACGCGGCGGGGCACCTCGCCCGGGCGCGTCTCGTACGCGACCATGACCTGCGGGGGCGCGGGGCGGGAGTCGCGCGCGTGGGAGGCCGCACGGGGGCCGCGTCGTCGCTGAGCTGCATGTCCGCGCGCAACCCCCGCGCACGAGCGGCGGGCGGGGCCGCGAACGGTCGCCGGAGGTCGCTTGGCAAGTGAGCGCGCGCACGGGCGGCGCGTGGACACGGAAACGCGTGGGAACGGCCTGAGGCGTGGTGCAGCAAGGAGACTAGCAACGCGAGGACCAGCGACGTACGGGCGCGGCGCAGGGGGCTGGGCGGTCCGCGGCGCGCCGAGGGACGAGCACGGCACGAGGGAAGCTTGCCTTGGGGTAGAGGTGCGGGTTGCGGATCTCCTCGTGCGACAGCGCGTCCTCGAGCGACCCGATGGACGCAGTCTTGCCCCCCTCACTGCTGGCGTCCTCGTAGCTGCCCTCCGCGGTCGGAACCTGGCCATCGTAGTCCTGCGTCGCACGAGAAGTCGCGTGCGCGGGTCAGCGAGGCGCGAGCGGGGCGCGGAGGCCGCGTTCAGCCGTCCGCAGGTGCGTGCCGGGTGCTAGAACGCGGCTGCGTCCCCGGCGGGAGCGACCTGGGATCGACTCCGCCAGCGCAAGACAGAGGGGGTATCTGTGAAACAGTCAGGGGGGCGCGGCAGGGGGCAGACGCCCGGAGCAGGCACAACTGCCGCGTGGTGCACCCGCGCAGGTTCCGACCCTTGAAGGGCCGCTCGGTGGCCGCAGCGTGGCCGTGGCGTGCGCGGAGCATGTCCCGCAGGAGACTGGCTCGACGCGGGGGGGCGAAGCGGGCCGAAAAAGCCGGCGCGCTGCGGGGCGAGCGCAGGCATGGCAGCGGCGGACCTCGCGGCGTTTTCCGGCTTCGAGGGCCTCTTTCAGCTTGCGCCCGAAGCGGGCTTTGGGCCTCATCGACATGGCGTCCTCCTGCCTCCCGCTCGCCTCCCGCCCGCCACGGACGCGCCACCTGCCGGTGCCTGATGCAGCTGGTGTCGCGGCCCGCGGCGTGCAGCGGCGCCAGCGTGGCCAGCAGCGGGATGTGCTGCCTCAGTGCTGTCGCAGTCTTGCGATCGCGGGCCGGGCGGGGCGCCGCCGCGGCGTGCGCGCGAGTCTGCAGGTTGGGGAGCCAGTGCTTGGGCCGCTGTGTACGGGCTGGGCGGAGAAGCAATGATCAGAGCAAGCGCATGAGGACTGCGCGATGCGCGAGGAGCCGTGTGTCGCTGGATTCGCGCGGAAAGTGAGCGTCACGGCGACACCAGCTCTCGCAAGTGAGGGTGGTGCACGCGGGGCTGCACGCGCCGTGCGGCGGCCTGCGCTCCCGCTTTTGCGCCGAAAGCGCGCGAAATAATGGGCGTCGACGACGTCCGCGCTCGGACCCCGCGACGTACCTGCGGTCGGCTGTAACGGCCGTGTTGCAGAGGCGACCTGGCCTTTCTTTCACAGTGCCACTCCAGGCCTCAGGCAGGCAGCCCCCGCACAGGATGGCTGGTCAGAATGACCCAGCGCGGCCCCACCGCGCCCCCTGGTCGCGCCGGCACGTGACAGGGAATCACACGGAAGACAGGGGACTGGGACCCCCTCCCCACCAGTCGCACACAGCCCAGGCGCCGCGTTGTGTTGGATGAGGGCCGGACATTTCCGTTCCTCATCCCGCGACACCGCCATGCTGACGGTGGGGAAGACCAACCAGAAGCCAGCCCGCCCGTACGGGCAGGGGCCTTCGCCCCAAGCCTTGCTCGCCATAACAGCGAAACGTATGATTCGGACATAGAGTTGGGTGCGGTAACGGGGGTTAGGGTGGAGCAGGGGAGGTTTGCAGGGGGGGTGCGATGGCCCAGCGCGGCAGGGTGGCCCGGAGCGCGCGGGCAGAGGTCATCTCGATGGAGAGCAGGGAAGGGTGCGTCCATGTGACGTGGTCGTTGTCGTTGAGGGTGAATATGTATCCGTCAAGGCTGTAGCGTTTGGTGAAGCGGAGTATGGAGTTGCGGGAGGGGCACGGGGGCAGACGCTTCGTGCCCCATACCACAGCAATGGCCAGGCGTGAGTGGAGGTACTTGAGGAAGCCGATGGTCACGCGTGGGAGCCATAGGTGGGGCTGGTCTTTCGGGCCTGGGAGTGAGATGACTTTGAGGATGCGGGGCGAGCCTTCGAAGGGTTTGTGGAGCCCCACGCACCAGAAGAAAGCCCAGAGGGCGTTGACGCACTCGGAGTGGAGGAGGTCCCAGCCAGCTCTAAGCTCGGGAGTGTCCATCTGCGCGAGGTAGCCTGTGCGTATGGTGTCCCACGAGGGGTCGGGCTGTTCAGTAGGCAGGGTACCTTGGTCGCGGAGCTTGGAGAAGAGGGCATGCCAGACCGACTGGGCGAGAGTGCAGCCGTGGAACATATGTTCGTCATCGGGGTGCGGGGTCGTGCAGAAGGGGCAGGTGATCGTGTTGGCGCCCTTGGAGTGTGCGTAGGCAGGGTGGCGGAGTTGTCTGGTCCGCAGCATGTATGATATTGATCTGGAGGCAGCATCGGCGATGCCACGTAGCTTCGCATCCATGAGGTGGGCGCGCCTGGGCACCGGGACGGGGGCAAGGGATTCGCATACCATGGAGTTCGGTCGGCATATGTCATTGTGAGCGTGGGCGAGGGCCAGGTATGTTGTGCGGGTTTTCATAGGGCCGACGGGCTTTTGCGTCGTGTCAACCGGCATAGGCGAGTCTGCGTCTGGTGCATCTTGCCATTTGGGGGTTGGGCAGGTGAGGGTGGGGCGCGGGTGAGCGGTCGGGGGGGCGCATGATGCGGGGTGCGTGGTGGCGATGGACGATAGCGGCGGGAGTAGTCGCTGCGGTGTGATCAGGGTCGGGTGCGGGAGGGTTCTCAGGATCTCGGGCGGCAGAGCGGGGCTGGCCTGCACCAGCTGGTGTGATGGGATGACCAGGTTGAGGAGCTGCTGGTACGTTGTGACTGTGAGAGCGGTCGGTACGTATGCACGGCCGGCTAGGAGCTGAGTTGCGATGTTGGTGGCAACGGTGGTCTGGAGTTGTGTGGGCGGCAGAGAGGTAGGGTCTGGTATTTGCAGTGTGTCTAGGTGCGGAGAGGAGGCTAGCGGGATTGCGACATTGGGGGTGGAGTTTGGTTTGTGGATGCGGGGGCGTGGTGAGTCGGGCTGGGGGGTGATGACGTATAGGTGGATGATGGGGCGTATGTAGGTGGCGATGTGCATTCGTTGGTGCGGTGGCAGGGAGTTGTAGTACCTTTGTGCGTGTTGCTGTGTGGCCGCTGGGAGGACGACGAGGTTGGCGAGGTGGTCGTTGTGTGCTGTCGGAAGGGTGGCAGCGATGGGGTCGGACGTGAGGAGGAGGTAGGGCTGGTCAGTGTGTGGCAGGAGTTCGTGGAGTGGAGGGGTTTGTGTGATCCTGTCACGGAGGATTTGGGGGATGGAGGAGAGAAGGGGGTCCAGGTGCTGGTGTGTTGACGTCGGGAGGTTGTAGGCGGATATGAGTTCGTGTGGGGTGCGGAGGCGGGTGAAGGTGGGGTGGCAGGCATCGCCGATAGTTCGGAGGCCACGGGAGTACAGCGTTCGTGCGGCGGGCGTGTCGTTGAGGCTTGTGAGATATTTGTTGAAGAAGAGGGGTTCAGTGCGTAAGGTGCTCGGTGGGTTGGCTGCGTGGTTGGCGCGGTCTGGTGTTGGGGGGAGGATGGAGGAGGCGGATGTGAGGAGTTGCGAGGTGTAGGTATGTTTGATGCGGAAGGTTGACTGGTATGCTTTGAGTTCGGGTTCGTTTAGGAAGAGGATGCGAAGTCCGAGGTCACCGGCGGAGTGTGTCACTGTGCGGAGGTGCGAGATTGCGAGGCGGTCGAGGGGGGATGGGTTGTGCTCGGGTGAGGTAGCCTTCTCTATGATGGGTTGTAGTAGGTGTGCGAAGCGCATGGCAAGGGATTGGACACGGATGTCCCTGAGGTGGAGGCCTCCAAAGATCTTGAGTTTCTGCAGGTCGGCCGGCCTCACGGGGCATGTATTGGACGGTCTGCCGGGTCCCTTGCCCTGGCGGACATAGTTGTCGATTGTTTTTTGGACACCGCGCCCCCTGGTCGCGCCGGCACGCCCCTCTCCCACCACGCACGGAGCCCCCCTCCTCACAGCAGGGGGCCTCCCGCGAGGCGGCGCACAATGGCGCGCTCGGTCCGCGCCGGCCCCCACAACCCTGAGCCATCCGCGAGCTCCACGAGCAGCAACCCCCGCCCGCTGGTGTCGCTCCAAGCCGCCGGGGGGCTCCGAGGAACAGCGCGACGCTACCGCCCTTGCCTGGCCGGACACCTGGCGGCAGGAACGAGCCAGGCGTCCCATGCGGGCGTACCTGCTCTCGCACGCGACGGACGCGCCGGAGACGCCTGAGCCGGACGCGGGAGGGGACGAGTCCTGGTACGTTGCGTGGCCGCGCCACCCACCCTCCGCGCGCGCCTCTGCGCCCTCCGCACGAGCAGCCGCGGCGCGACCGCGCCCCGAGATCCGATCTCGAGGATCGTGCTCTGCCCCGCCCCGCTGGGTTCGCGCCGCGCGCGCCGCCGCAGCCGAGGGACTGCACGAGACGCAGTTTGGTTGCGCGAGAAGTCCGCCGGCAGGACGACGAGCTGCCGCGCGCGCGCGTCCTTTGCCCTCATGGTCCCCTGGTGGCCCTCGGACGCGGGGTTCCAGGGGCGTTGGGGCGCGGGGGGGCGCGTTACGGATTGCTCTGTTCCGTCATCCAGCACCGCTGACGGGTGCGCGCCGCTGCGCCGCTCGACCGCAGGTGGGACCGCGCCGAGGAGGACCCAGATGTGCAGCACGCGTGCTACTACGGCCTCGCGGCGGCTTACGCGCTGATGGGCGCGCTAGCGCTCATTCAGCTTCTCAGGTGAGCACTATGCGTGCGCTCGTCGTTCCCGGGCTGCCTGCGCCGCGGCTCGCGGTTCGGGGTTGGTGTGGTGCAAACGAACCCGCACGTCGCGTTCGGGCCCGCGAACACGTCCGCGACGGGCACGGCAAGCGCAGCGATGCACAACTGCCGCGCAGAGCGTGTAGCGCTGCCGCGGGCGCGCGTGTCCCTCTGCGGCAACCAGCCGTCGCCGAGCGGATGCCTCGGGGACTGGAAAATCAGCGCGCCGCCACGCGCGGGACCGCCCCGCGCCCCGCGCCGCGCCGTGTCTCGCAGAATCCAAAGGCGCGTCCCGGAGTACGGGTGGACGACGCAGAAGGTCTTCTTCTTGCTCAACGGCGTCGTGGGGACGCTGCGCGCCTTCGGGATGGGGTTCCGGATACAGATAGCGCAGATGGGCAACGCGGCGGAGCGCGGACTGCTGCTCGACCTTCCAGGTGCGGCCCCGCGACCAGGCCGGGCGCAGCGCCCGGCAGCCCGCCGGCCCCCTCGATCACCTTCGACGCGAGGACCCGTTCCCGGCTGACGCGCAGGTCTCATCTTCTTCTCGACGTACACGCTCCTGGTGTTGTTCTGGGCGGAGATCTACCACCAGGCGCGCTCGCTCCCGACGACGCACCTCAAGCCCGCGTTCGTCGCGGCCAACACCGTCGCGTACGTCATCCAGGCCGGCATCTGGGCCTTCATGTTCACCGCCGAGCGGCCCGAGGAGGAGGCCGTCACCGCGCTGTGCAGCGCATGGTTCATCGCGGCGCTCTCCGTCATCGCGGGCTCGGCCTTCCTCCTCTACGGCGTCCGGCTCTGGCTCATGCTCCACCGCTTCCCCGTCGAGTCCCGCGGCCGGAGCAAGAAGCTGCGCGAGGTCGGCCTGGTCACCTGCATCTGCACCGTCTGCTTCACCGCGCGCGCGGTGATCGTCGCCGCGCAGAGCCTGCAGCGCGACGGAGCCTCCGCGCTCGACGTCGTCGCGCACCCGCTCTTCAACACGGTGCGCCCCGCCCTCGGAAACCCCCCCCCGGAACGTGCTGCCTCGTGTCACGCGCGCCGCACCGCTGTCACGTGCGGCGATCGCTGAGCGCGACCGGTGTGGCCCCGCTGCGTCTCGCAGATGTACTACGCGCTGTCGGAGCTGCTCCCGGCGTCGCTCGTCCTGTTCATCCTGCGCAAGCTGCCCCCGCGGCGACCCGCGGGCTACCAGCCCGTGCGGCCGGGGCCGGACGACAGCTCCCGGACGCAGTCCGCGGCGCCCTCGCCGGCGCGGCCGCAGGGACAGCCCGCGCAGCAGCAGCCCCAGGCGCAGCAGCAGCGGAGCTGACATCCCTCTTGCTGCAGCGGCGGGATGCGCTGTGCCTCTCGCGGGCCCCGAGCGCCGGGGCCGGTCGGAGGGCCGCCGCTGCAGTGTGAGTCGACCATGTGCGCATGTGTGGTTCGTTCGTGACGCGGGGGCCCGTGCGGGGGGGGGTCCCGCGCGCAGCTGCTGCAGGTGCTGGCGTAGCTGGGTGTCCGCTCGCTTGATCCTGCGCCCGCGTGCGTGTGAGACGTGGGCGTCGCGGAGCACCGGCGCCCAGGATATGGTGATGAGAGCTTGCTTGAGTCAGTCGGGGGGGGTGTCTGTGCGTGACCGTGACCCATTGTGTGACGTGTTACTAGGACCTGCGGATGCGCACCCGCCGAACAGTCTGCACAAGGTATCAGTGATGCTGCGCGCCCTCGCGGGAACCCGTCTGCGTTTCTCAAGGGCAGCAAACGCGTGCGGGAGGCGGACCAGTAGACCTCGGGTGAGCCCCCGGCTCGTCCTGCACCGCTCTCATCAACGACGCGGCTTGACGGGCCGTACGATCTCCAGAGGGCCGAGATGTGCACGGAATCTCGCGATGTGCGCGACACCGGAGCTGCCACGGCCATGGAAAGCCAGGAGGTTGGTTGGCCGTGGATGGGGTCTCACGCCGTGCGTTTCGCGTCTGTTTCGCAGGTGTCGACTGCGATCCGTGCGATGTCCGACGAGCAGGCGAAGGCCGCAGCTGCGGCTGCCCAGGGGTGAGTTCGCACAGACCCCCACCGGCTGATCCTGCTTCCTCCTCCCAGCGGCGCTTCTCGGGGGGCGCTGCTTCATCGATCCCTGCATTGACCTGAATGTGCAAAGAGCGGGGACCGCGCCGAGGCCACTTGTCCGGAGGTCCGCTGCACGCCGGCGGGGAGAGCGGCAACAGACCGCACCCTGTTGCCTCGCTCGCAGGGCGGCGGAGAGCGGCGAGCCGACCATCTTCGACAAGATCATCGCGAAAGAGATCCCCGCGACCATCATCTACGAGGACAGCAAGGCGCTCGCATTCCGCGACATCAGCCCCCAGGCACCGGTGCACTTCCTCGTCATCCCAAAGGACAGGTCCGCGCCGCACGACGCGTCGAGCCCCCGCACTGACCCCGCCGCAGTCACGCGCTGTAGCAGGAGCAGCGCGACGGGCAGGGAACGCAGCCCCGTCCGCTGATGCCTGTTTTGTGTGTGTCTTATGCCGGGGCGAAATCTGATCCTCAGAAGGGAGTTCCGGCTCTGGATCGCGCGCAGAGACGGTCTCGTGCGCTTGGCGAAGGCGGAGGAGCGCCACAAGGAGCTCCTCGGCCACCTGATGTGGGTTGCCAGCCATGTAGCTTTGCAGGAGGGCGCGACAGATGGGTTCCGCGTCGTGGTCAACGACGGGCCCAGCGCGTGCCAGTCCGTCTACCACCTCCACCTGCACGTCATGGCCGGCCGCCAGCTCACGTGGCCGCCGGGGTGAGGTAGGACCGCGGCCGAATCTGGCGGTCGGCACCTCGGCCCTTTGGGCGCCTCGGCGACGCCCGTGGCGGCGCAGTGCGCCGCGATTCCCGGCCATCAGTGAGCGAGGCACAATGTGTGAACGTTTGTGTCCGCTGAACATGCGATCTTCTCGTTATTCGCTGTCCTACAAGCACCCACAAGCAGTATAGTTCTTCGCTGACCTACAAGCACCCTCACCGCGAGGACGCTTGAGCGACCGAAATACGTATACGGCAGGCGAGACTCACACAGCAGACAGGGTAGGTATGACGGGCGCGTCCGCTGGTTCGTCAACGAGGTCACAAATTGCAGCTCAAGCGCGGTCCCTTCCCCGCTTGTTTCGAGGGCCGGTTCTTCGGCGTGTCGCGCCGGCGTTGAGCGCGGCACAAACATATGAGCCTGGCGCGCACGAGCGCTCCCCGGCGTGCGGCAACGCCTGTGTCAGGTGGTTGACAGCGCTTCGTTGCCACACACAACGCGGACAACTAGCACTCGCTCTCTCTGTCGCTGTCGCCCTACACACCAGCACACCAGCGCAGCGTACGTCTACGCCGCAGCGGCGAACGGGACGAGCGCCTGGAGGGGTATAAAAATGAAACCTGTCCACCCTGTCCAAATCGCTACTCCTGCAGGGCTGGCAAGATCCCGTCGCGCGAGAGCGGGTCGTCCGACGCCGCTGGAGCCTCCACGTCCGACGACGGCACCCCCCCGCAGATCCCGATCACGTCGTCGCGGCCGGAGGTGCCCCCTCGGCTGCTGTAGGGGGGGAGTCCGGATTGGCGGGAAGTAGAACCGGGCCCGGGGAGGACGCGGCGTCCGCAAGAGCGACTTGAGAGCGGCGCGATCGGTAGAGACGAATGCGGGTCATGCAGGGGGCCCGAGTTCGCGCGGACTCCCCCGCAGCGTCCGGCCGCAGCGCCGCTCCTCCTCCCGCCGCGGCTGCTGCACCCGGCGTCGCGGGCCGCGGGGGCCGCGCAGGCTTCGTGCGTCCCCGCGTGCGCACTGAGACCTCCTCGCTGCGGCGGTGGGCCGCCGCCTCGCTCGCCGGGCTCACCGTGCTCCTTTGCCAGTGCAGCGCCAGTGACGCCAACCAGCCCCTGGCGCAGTCCACGCTGCGGTGAGCCCCACCCCGACCCTCCGAGCCGCCCGCACCGGCGCTCCGCCGCCCACGCGCGCCAGCTGCGCCCGACTCCCGACGGGAGCCATCCCGTCGTGCGCTGGACGTGCCCGCAGCTAGGGCGTTCCGCGTGCCCACGGCGGCTCCGCTCCGCCCCGCACGACAGCAGCCCGCGTATCAGCCCTGCCCGCACGCCGTCGCACTCCGCGCGGGGCGGACGGCCGCAGCTGCACCCCGAACACAGCGCAGCGTGCGATTACCGGCCGCCGCCGCGCTGCGCGTTTGCAGGGGGGTCCCTCGCGTAGTCGACGGAGACACGCTCGTCATTTCGCGGCAGCCGCGCCCGGAGGACCCCCCCGCCGTCCGACTGCGGCTGCGCGGCATCGACGCGCCTGAGTCAGCCCAGACGTGCCTGGACGCCAACGGGCGCGAGTACCCGTGCGGCGAGGTGGCCACGGCGGCGCTGAAGCGGCGCATCGCGGGCCGCGAGGTCGAGTGCGAGGTGCAGGAGCTCGACCGTTACGGGCGCGGCGTGGCTACGTGCCGGGATGCCGACGGGGCAGACCTCAACGCGTGGATGGTCGAGCAGGGCCACGCGGTGGCGTACAGGGAGTACGCGAAGGACTACGTGCCGCAGGAGGTCCGTCCGCGCCCGCCCTGCGCCACATTCGGCGTTGTTGCTTGTTCACCACCATTTGCCGTCATGCGACATGTTGCGAACAGAAACAGCCCCACTGCTCGGCTGCACAGCACGCCTCCAGTCAAGGCGGCATCCAGCAGCGCGCGCGCCGTCACGGCCGCAACAGCGGCGTCGCGGTGCGCGCGTGTGCAGGAGGCGGCGCGGAAGCGCAGGAGGGGGGTGTGGCAGGGGAGTTTCCAGTACCCCGCGGACTTCCGGCGCGAGAAGCGCGGGCAGCAGCCGCGGACGTCGCCGGCGGTCGCGAACGGCCCGTGCGAGGGCCGCATCAAGGGCAACGTGAGCGCGAGCGGGAAGCTGTACCACAAGCCCGGCGGGAAGTACTACGACGAGGTCGTGATCGACGTCTCGAAGGGCGAGCGGTGGTTCTGTTCCCCCGAGGAGGCCGAAGCCGCTGGGTGGCGCGAGGCGAAGGAGTAGCCCGAGGGCAAGCAGAGGGAGGGGGGGGAGTTATTGGGCACCGAGCTCGCACGGACGCGTGCATGCACGCTCGGCGCGTTCGCGTCGGCCGCAAGCGCATGCTTTGTGAGGTACTTGAAGACAGCGCGTGCCATGGTGTGAGGAGGGACACAGTACATTGGTGTGTACAGCTTGAGGGGTGCGCTGCGTGTGCGACGTGCGGCGGCGAAGCGGGCCGTGACCTGGGAGTGCGACGTTGAACTTCCGCAAACATACATACGATTATCCCGGGATCAACCATCTTGGTCTAGCTCGTGCTGAATGAATGGCGCGCGCTCACAGATACACGACGGCCTCACTCGACGCCCCCGAGGAACCTCCTCGGAGGGCGCGGTCGCAACCCCTGAGACTCGGCATTCGCTTCTATTTCCTGTGTTTGCATGTGACTTCCGCGTGGCGCGAATCTCCCGCACCGCCACTGGCAGCCCGCACGGAGTCGGCTGCTCAGTCGCAGCATCGGAGCTAGTGGCACTCCCCACGTGGCGCTCCGCCATTGTGGCGCCTGACCGCATGCATGCCGCGCCCCGGCTCGCGCGCAGTGTCGTGTGCTGACAGCAGGCTCGTCACGAGCCCCCCTACGGTAGGGGGGTTCCTGCCAGAGCTGCTGGGTTGGGGCTCGTTGGCGTCCCTTCGTGAGCACTGCGGCACAGTACCAGGACAGGTGGTAGACATGCACTACGGTCGCGCCGTGGCATCTGATCAGCGAGCGGCGGGCGGTCCTCACTGGCCACTCATGGTGCGCCGGCCGCCCGGGCAGGCCCGTGCTGGTCTGTCGCCGACGAGCGGCCGCGACACCTCGCGGACTTCAGGCAGGCGGCCGCCCGGTGGGCTCCGCACGCTGCGGCACGCGCGGGGCTTGCTCCTCGCCGTGATTCTATCCGCCTGCTTCCGGCTGGCCTACGCGCTGGGAGCGGCAGGTGCGCACGCGGAGCGACACGGTCGCGCCTCGCAATGACCCGGTCGCCGTGTCTTACTCTGGAAGGCCGGCGCCACCGGGGTCGACTGCCGTCCGCCGTGCGGCCCCACACGTGTGGCTCCACCCCTGAGGGGCGAGTGAGTGCGGCCATACTGCGCGTGCCCTCCGCCCCTGTGCAGCACGAATGCTCCGATCGCGACATGACCACTGTTGACGTCAGGCACTGACCCGTCGCGCGCTGTCCGCTCGATGCAGGAGTCCCGCCGGCGAGGGTTGCGAGACCTCACGCGCGGCGTGTCCTCGCGGCAAGCGAGCAGAAGCTGACCGCCAGCGACGCCGCGGAGCGCGATTGGTTCGGGCACGCGGTGGCGGTGTCGGGGGAGTACATGGTGGTGAGCGCATTGCACGACGACGACGCCTGGACTGACTCGGGGTCGGCGTATGTGTTTAGGCGCGGGGCGAACGGGACGTGGACGGAGGAGCAGAAGCTGGTCGCCAGCGACGGCGGGACGCTTGATCGGTTCGGACAGGCGGTGGCAGCGTGGAGCGAGTACGTGGTGGTGGGCGCATTGCACGACAACGACGCCGGGACTGACTCGGGGTCGGCGTATGTGTTTAGGCGCGGGGCGAACGGGACGTGGACGGAGGAGCAGAAGCTGGTCGCGAGCGACGCCGCGGCGGGCGACCGGTTCGGGTGCGCGGTGGCGGTGGCGGGGGAGTACGTGGTGGTGGGCGCATATCTTGATGACGACGCCGGGTCTGCTTCGGGGTCGGCGTACGTGTACAAGCGCGCCGCGAACGGCACGTGGACGGAGGTGCAGAAGCTGGTCGCGAGCGACGCCGCGGGGGACGACCGGTTCGGATTCGCGGTGGCGGCGGCGGGCGAGTACGTGGTGGTGGGCGCAGTTTTCGATAACGACGCCGGGTTTAAAGCGGGGTCGGCGTACGTGTTTAGGCGCGAGGCGAACGGGACGTTGACGCAGGTGCAGAAGCTGACCGCGAGCGACGGCGCGACGGGCGATGAGCTCGGGCACGCGGTGGCCGTGGCGGGCGAGTACGTGGTGGTGGGCGCATTTCGTAATGACGACGGCGGGACTGACTCGGGGTCGGCGTATGTGTTTAGGCGCGGGGCGGACGGGATGTGGACGGAGGAGCAGAAGCTGGTCGCGAGCGACGCTGCGGGGGGCGACCGGTTCGGGTGGGCGGTGGCGGTGGCGGGCGAGTACGTCGTGGTGGGCGCACGTTTCGATGACGACGCCGGGACTGACTCGGGGTCCGCATACGTGTACAAGCGCGCCGCGAACGGGACGTGGACGGAAGAGCAGAAGCTGGTTGCCAGCGACGCTGCGGCGGATGATTACTTCGGGTCTGCGGTGGCAGCGTCGGGCGAGTACGTGGTGGTGGGCGCATCGCACGACGACGACGCCGGGACTAAATCGGGCTCTGCGTACGTGTACAAGGCGCTGACGGCGCCCACGGCGACGACGCCGGTCGCGACGACGGCGGCGCCCACGACAACGGCTGCACCAACCACCACGGCGGCGCCGACCACCACTGTTGCTCCGACGACGACGGCGGCGCCCACGACGACGGCGGCGCCCACGACAACGCCTGCGCCGACCACCACGGCAAGCGAGCAGAAGCTGGTTGCCAGCGACGGCGCGACGGGCGACCGGTTCGGGCACGCGGTGGCCGTGGCCGGCGAGTACGTGGTGGTGGGCGCATTTCGTAATGACGACGCCGGGACTGACTCGGGGTCGGCGTACGCGTACAAGCGCGCCGCGAACGGGACGTGGACGGAGGAGCAGAAGCTGGTCGCGAGCGACGGCGCGGCGGGCGATGAGTTCGGGCACGCGGTGGCCGTGGCGGGCGAGTACGTGGTGGTGGGCGCATTTCGAAATGACGACGGCGGGAGTAACTCGGGGTCGGCGTACGCGTACAAGCGAGCCGCGAACGGGACGTGGACGGAGGAGCAGAAGCTGGTCGCGAGCGACGCTGCGGCGGGCGATTGGTTCGGGTATGCGGTGGCGGCGTCGGGGGAGTACGTGGTGGTGGGCGCATTGGGTGACGACGACGGCGGGACTGACTCGGGGTCCGCATACGTGTACAAGCGCGCCGCGAACGGGACGTGGACGGAGGAGCAGAAGCTGGTCGCCAGCGACGGCGGGACGCTTGATCGGTTCGGACAGGCGGTGGCAGCGTGGAGCGAGTACGTGGTGGTGGGCGTACCTCATGATGGCGACGCCGGGACTGACTCGGGGTCGGCGTACGTGTACAGGCGCGCCGCGAACGGGACGTGGACGGAGGAGCAGAAGCTGGTCGCGAGCGACGGCGCGGCGAACGATTGGTTCGGCGTAGCGGTGGCCGTGGCTGGCGAGTACGTGGTGGTGGGCGCATTTCGTGATGACGACGCCGGGACTGACTCGGGGTCGGTATATGTGTATAAGCGAGCCGCGAACGGGACGTGGACGGAGGAGCAGAAGCTGGTCGGCAGCGACGGCGCGGCGGGTGACGCGTTCGGCAATATGGTGGCGGTGTCGGGGGAGTACGTGGTGGTGGGCGCATATGGTGACGACGACGCCGGGAGTCAATCGGGCTCTGCGTACGTGTTTAGGCGCGGGGCGAACGGGACGTGGACGCAGGAGCAGAAGCTCACCGCCAGCGACGCCGCGGGGGGGGACTGGTTCGGACAGACGGTGGCAGCGTCGGGCGAGTATGTGGTGGTGGGCGCACGGAATAATGACGACGGCGGGACTGACTCGGGGTCGGCGTACGTGTTCAAGGCGCTGACGGCGCCCACGGCGACGACGCCGGTCGCGACGACGGCGGCGCCCACGACAACGGCTGCACCAACCACCACGGCGGCGCCGACCACCACTGTTGCTCCGACGACGACGGCGGCGCCCACGACGACGGCGGCGCCCACGACAACGCCTGCGCCGACCACCACGGCAAGCGAGCAGAAGCTGGTTGCCAGCGACGGCGCGACGGGCGACCGGTTCGGGCACGCGGTGGCCGTGGCCGGCGAGTACGTGGTGGTGGGCGCATTTCGTAATGACGACGCCGGGACTGACTCGGGGTCGGCGTACGTGTATAAGCGCGCCGCGAACGGGACGTGGACGGAGGAGCAGAAGCTGGTCGCGAGCGACGGCGCGACGGGCGATGAGTTCGGGCACGCGGTGGCCGTGGCCGGCGAGTACGTGGTGGTGGGCGCATTTCGTAATGACGACGGCGGGAGTAACTCGGGGTCGGCGTACGTGTACAAGCGAGCCGCGAACGGGACGTGGACGGAGGAGCAGAAGCTGGTCGCGAGCGACGCTGCGGCGGGCGATTGGTTCGGGTATGCGGTGGCGGCGTCGGGGGAGTACGTGGTGGTGGGCGCATTGGGTGACGACGACGGCGGGACTGACTCGGGGTCCGCATACGTGTACAAGCGCGCCGCGAACGGGACGTGGACGGAGGAGCAGAAGCTGGTCGCCAGCGACGGCGGGACGCTTGATCGGTTCGGACAGGCGGTGGCAGCGTGGAGCGAGTACGTGGTGGTGGGCGTACCTCATGATGGCGACGCCGGGACTGACTCGGGGTCGGCGTACGTGTACAGGCGCGCCGCGAACGGGACGTGGACGGAGGAGCAGAAGCTGGTCGCCAGCGACGGCGCGGCGAACGATTGGTTCGGCGTAGCGGTGGCCGTGGCCGGCGAGTACGTGGTGGTGGGCGCATTTCGTGATGACGACGCCGGGACTGACTCGGGGTCGGTATATGTGTATAAGCGCGCCGCGAACGGGACGTGGACGGAGGAGCAGAAGCTGGTCGGCAGCGACGGCGCGGCGGGTGACGCGTTCGGCAATATGGTGGCGGTGTCGGGGGAGTACGTGGTGGTGGGCGCATATGGTGACGACGACGCCGGGAGTCAATCGGGCTCTGCGTACGTGTTTAGGCGCGGGGCGAACGGGACGTGGACGCAGGAGCAGAAGCTCACCGCCAGCGACGCCGCGGGGGGGGACTGGTTCGGACAGACGGTGGCAGCGTCGGGCGAGTATGTGGT